TTAGAAGCTCGAGGAATGAGTGGATTCCATGCCGCCACATGCGCGCCGGCATAGCGTACTTGGAAGCCAATCGCCGAAGTGCCGGGCTGGCGGACGGATGCTGGCTGGCGAGGAAGAAATCATGGTGCTCGTGAAGCAGTGTGCGATGCAGAGCAATAAGCGCTTGCCACTGCTCGTTGTTCAGCTGCTGCGGCGAGTCTTTATTGGACGATTGAGCGTTATCCACCTCTATACACTTGCTTTCCACCATGACCAAGCCGGCATATATGCCTTTGACTTCGGCAACGAGCTGCTCTTGTGAGATTGGCCGAGTTTCTGGCTGACGAATCATCTGCGATACAGAAGGATGCTCGGTAAATGATTCGTCCGCCTCTGCTTCTGCCTTTGGGTCTGGTTCTGGATCGGGTTCCTCCACTTTGCTGAGAGGCAGCTGCTTCGACCATTGGCCAGACTGTTGTGTTTTCGTTTGAGGGGGCTTAGCTAAGGCAGCACCACCTGGGGTCCAGAGCGGCCAATTGCTGAGGTTTTTAGTCCCGCGATCAAAGTCCCTGTCATTTTCGGCTTGTTGCCGACGCCTATGCCTCTGTGAAGTGCGCGGCGTGGGCGAGTTACTAGGAGATCGCCGTTTCTTACTGTCCCTTTCATTATCAGAACCTTCTCTATTATTCGAATTTATATTATCAAGGTTCTGCTGGTCTTCTGCCAAATCTCGGGCAGCTGTGCCTCCGGGTCTTTTCTTTGACCTCTTGGCTTGATCAATATCTGAAAACTGATGTGAAAATTGAGGTCTTTTGGGGTGCAAAAGAGAGAAACCAAGTCAGTATATGTCGATGCATAGTCCAGTAGTTGGTCGACTCACTGAACTCGAGAAGACGCCAGCTTCATCTTCTCCAAGGCATCCAAAATATCCTTCTCTTCTTTTGGATGGTTTTCGGGATATTCCCGAACATGTTGCTCGAAGCCAGCCTTTGTCGGCGGCTTTATGTCTTCCTGACAGAAATCACATGTGAGCTGCCGAGCTGTCCGCTGATAATTAATCCAATTTTTGGCAATGTCGAGTTGGCGAGGCATATTCGCGATACCAACAAAGCGATGACAAATTGATAGGTATCTGCAGCGGCTGACTTGCTTGCTATTAATTATGAAGCAGTCAACAATGGCTCGCGACAGGATGCGGCTGACGGAAGCGACACTTCAGCAGGGCTTGAAGAGCTGAGATACGAATCGGTTAGCACGCGACATATAAGGCTTTAGGCTTCGATGATTCGCGGCTGGCATTTGGGCAATGCGTGCGTGAATAGGGACAAAATGGGAAAAAAAGAGGGATGTAGTGATGATGTTAAGTAAGGCGCCCCCACTATGGCGGCCGATGTAGTGCATACAGGGGTGCAGCATGCATGTACAGGGGACTTTAGGCGGTTCGCGGACCAGGCGGCTCTGCGGGCTCACTATAACATTGAACACCCCCAACACAGCCGCACATCACATCGAGTCTATCTGTGCGTACCTTAGAAAACAAAGAGAGAGAGAGAGCCTGTTCAGGGTCCGATCCAAGATTCGCAGTCGCTCAGCGCAGAATGATATTGATAGAGCATGAGCTTGAGGCTGATGGAGTAAAAATAGTTCAGGTAGGAAATGTGGCTGTCCGGAAATAAGTACATAGAATTAGAGTTGAGATAGGAATATCGGCAATTATGACAGCATTGTGTAAGATGCGACTCCGCGCGATCATGGTAGAATATCGTGTTGTAGGCGATGGGACTGATGGAATGCCAGCTCTCCATGACAGACGGCAACCAAGGTTATATATACGTTGGATTTTCAGCCTAAGACATGGACATGCCCAATTTTTTGAGGCTTAAGTTCAAATGGTTGTCTCGTGAGCCGCGTCTTAAAATGGATGATGGCTGGTCTACATGTACCGATCGAGGTATAAAGAATGTTGACTTCTGTTGCACAGTTAACATGTATACAAGTACCTAAGGTATCTATGCTATAGCGCATAGATGCCTTTAACGTTGGATTGAGCAAGGCTCTCGCTATCGAACTTAGGCTATCTAACTTCTACTCCCATCCAATTCATATTACCATCAGGCAAATCGCCGCGTACTACAGTACTACACGCAGCAGAGCCTCATAACTTGGGGAGTCCTTTATCCCCAGGCTTTGACTCGAAGGCCCATGTTCCTTTCACCTCTCAAGGCCTTTGTTTCACTATATATATATATGCCAGGCAGCATCTGGTTCGGATATCCCTTATTGTTTCACTGGCCATCATGACCAAACACAACATCGATATGCCAATCGCTGCCGAAATTTGACCCAGTTGCCTTGTTCGCTTGAAAATCTTTGGGGCAGTATTCTGAATCAACCTCGCAATCTGCTCTCAGTCATGCAACACGATATTACGTCGCACAACTTGCTGTAATACTATGATCACTCTCATCGCAGCATGACTCTCGGGCGTCTTTGAGAGTTTTTGCCAATCAGTTTTAAGACAGATCTGAGAAATCTTAAGGCGAAAAAGCCTCAAAACCATGTCGGAGTTTGAAACCACCCGATAGAACAAGGCGACGGAAGGACAGAGTATGTGTATTCGTGAGATTGGCTACCTTGGTATATGTCGGCCACTTATACCCGTAGTAATGCAAGTGACAGCGTATATTTGAATCATTGGGGAAGAAGTAGTCAAAATCGATGTGACAGAAATGTCTTGGCTGCACAAACATATTCGCCCTGAACTTTAATAGGCAAGGATCATGCCGAATGGTGACTGACGATTTGCTCGGTAAAAATAGCTAAGAAAAGTAAAACACAGAGGATTATGGGTCTATTTATTCGCCCTTGTATGTTGGCAAGTCGTTTCTCTTTTTTAGCAAGCTGCTCTTGCGATGACAACCCGTCCTCTTGTTGAGTCATCTTAGCTTAGACCGCATTAACGTCTATTTGCAAAGGAAGGCAAGATATATATGTGCAGCTCTAACTATTCTAAGTAAAAAATAATGCAACTTAATTTAGTCAATGAAATATTATATTCTTTAGGCTCATAAGCAGTCCAATGCAGATGGTTGGGTGATTGGGCGTAACTCACATTGAACGAGTCCCCACCATGTTTACATGTATGTTAATGCCCTACTGTAACAGCCACTCGCCCAGCGCCCAACGAGCATCAGAAATAAGTGATATTTGACATGATAACAAGATTTGAAGTGAAGAATTCAAAAGTGGTGAAGAGAGATTGTGACTTTGGCTTCCAACAAGTATTTGCTGTAAAGACCTCCTTCCGTGAAGCAGACGCAAAAAAAAAAAAAAAAAAAAAAAAAAAAGGCCAGTGACAAGGCGCAGCAAATGGTCCTCTCCACATATTCACAATTATTTCCTGGCTCTGACATCATATTCACAGTCCATCTTTGAATAATTCAAGACGTATTTGCGGTCTTGTCAACATGTGGTAATCTTAATATACTACCGAATATGTAAATTGGGTTGCATTTTGCTGCCTCTATCTTTTTCCACCGTCTCCACTATTTTATAACCGAGTTGTGCAACACACCTACGCCAGCACATCCATGATAACGCATTGCAATGGCAATGGCTAGATGAAACAAGAATAAGAGTCTTCCCAATAAGTATGTTTGAAATATAAATTTATATGACATTTTATCCGATCATGAGTAAATTTTTGCAGTTATTCAAGAGAAGATCCATCTCCACCATATGCCATACCCCCCACATCCAGCGGTGAGAGACAGAGAGCGGCGAATAACATGAGGGAAGAACATATTTACCGTCGTGTGAACTCCATATATAAAAATAATGTAATTGCTATTAGATTTTAAGCGATATAGCCACTTAGAATGCTCAAATCGGTAATAAGCTGTCTTGGTCTTGCGGCCGTGTAAATCCGGCTTTCACCATCAAACGCCTCCAAGCGCGAGTAAGTTTAGCAAAGGTTGCCTAAACGGTTGCCTCTATGAAGACACCTGTGGAAACCTCTTTTTCCAAGTTTTTCCCTGTCTGAATTTTTCCGAGCAAGGTCTGATCTACTTTTACGTAGTGTATGCCGCTCCTTCGCTGATCCATCCACTCTATATTGTTACCTAGAATTTTTCATGCAGCCTTCCCATTAACACATATTCTGTAAACAGCCGGACTTCAACTATCCAAGGTTTGCCAAGTCATCCGGAATGCATATGATACGATATAATTAGACGGCATCAGGCATATTGGCCAGGCTGGCAGTATTACTCGTTCGAATGGCGCTATATACATGGACAACGTGATAATTTTTCGCCACTATCTCCTAACTCTCGTGTAAAGTGTCTGGTGCTTATAGGCACCTGTATATACTCTCAGAATCATACAAAGTTGTGATTACTAGATTTCTTAATACTTTTTATTTCCTAGACGTCGTGTTGTCAGTCCATCCTTGTCTGTGAACAAGGGTTATAAGGGAAGCTGATGTCGGTGTAGCTATGTATGCACATGAGTAGCGGAACTACCTAAAACTATTTCATAGGTACACGAAACGCCACCCGCAATGGTTCTAGCCCTTCACGCATATAAAAAGCCGACGTATCTAGCTGCCTTTATTTCATCTGTTTACGAGGCGACCAATATTAGTACTCGTACTACGGAGAGCTCCGCATATAGATACAAATCCTTCTACAAGGTATTAGGTAGTAAAACGCAATTTTGAGCCCGGTGACCGTCCTTTATAGGGGAAAGTATGGACTGCAAGCAGTTCTTATACTACTACCTAGTAATAGTAAATAATTATATCTACCTACATGTATTACATCATGCAATGGTCCTGGGATACCCCTGCTTAAGAGATAGAGCCTTTGCAGTATGGGGAATATGGGTATTGGTAACGTAGACCGCTATTTACAAGTAAGAGTAACATCATAATAATAATACGAGTAGAATCTTAATCAAGAAGCAAGGCATCCAGTGTAACAATTACAAGTACTACCAATATCAAATTTACACGTGGGGAGCACAGAAATGCAGAGATGTCCATAATGGTTTTCAGCCTATCGTAATACCGCTAATATAGACCCTTGCATCCAGTCCTACTTCACCAGCTGACCACTCGTTGCCTCATACACGAAAATCGCTGTACACGTCGGTATCCGCACACGCATAGGCAATGCCGCTTATAAACACTCTGTAAGGATGGATGGCGTCCAATAGACCCTTAGTTGCCGGGCGGCTATGCCGGGCGCTTCCGCTCCTCTCTGCAAGAACATTCACATTGGGGGCCAGAAGTCTCGAAGCCTGAGACGTAAGAATGTAACCAACCATATTCCCTGTATTCTCGGTTGCCTTATAGAGACACACAGGCTTTGGGTTAAAATGAATACCTAGTTGTACTGTCTCTTTAATAAATGTTGTGTCCCAAATCACACGGAAATAGTCGGTGATTCGACGGTGATTCTGATCATGGTATTTCCCCCTTACTGGCGCCACCATTCGTACTTTTCAGCCTCTTTCATTTTCGCCTCAACCCTCTTTATGGTTGCATCGTCATAAAGCTCCTCCAAGGCTTTGTCTGCCTTAAAGATCTCTTTCTCGTGCCTAGTTGCCTCTTCTTTCGTCATACATACCAAATCCTGAAGTCGGATCGTGGAGCACTTCTGTTCATCTTTGCCTTCTCCAATCCTAGACACACTGGAGGTCACTGGCTTCTTCCATCTAATAAGAACCAGTTTCGTTGGGATGCCACTAAGAATGCTGCGACCACCATACAGCTCCTCGGTCATGAAGGCGACATCGCCCAAAGTCAGTGGGTTCTTCAAACCAGTCAATCCCGGAACGAACATGCGACCTAGTTTCTCCTCCGATCCTTGAACATAAGTGAGAATGCCTTCGTACATTCGTTCACGAGCCTTGCCCGGAACATACGTAACAGGGTATCCAGTTATTCTCAAAATAACGTGGTTGGCGGCTGTCAATCCAAAGATGGCCGGCATTGTTCCAAGAACAGGGAGAATTCTCACTCTGAAATTGGCCATGACTCCAAGATCGCCAACAGAGCCTTTCTGGAACTCTTCCTCAGGAAGGGGCAAAAGCTCAGCTTTTCCCTCTCCAGATTGCTCTGTACTGTAGACAACGGGAATTCCACTGGTAACTCCTAGGAGCTTCAGGCGTCGTCTCGTAGCTCGTGATAGTCCGTCGTCTTTGCTTGTTCCAATATCGCCAATTACTATCTTTGTCGGGTCTCCTTTGCAGCCTGCTCCCATGCAGCTAATGACGGGCAAATCCCTATCGTAGCAGTACTTCAAAAGAGCAACCTTGGTGTCAATGTTGTCAATGGCATCAATGATAAAGTCCGGCTTACGGCCTTCCCACGGTGCCAGCATCGCTTCAGCCACTGATTCATCAAACTTCTCCTGCTTGAGATCGAACTTGATCCAAGGAGCGATGGCAATAAGTCGTCGGTAGAGGCATTGTACTTTGGGAGTGCCCACATCCGCTAGAGTGGCGACAGCATGTCTATTTAATGAGCTCAGCGTGACTTGATCAAAGTCGATTAGTCGAATATTAGACACTCCTGATCGTGCCAAAGTTGCAGCTGCATGTGAACCAACTCCTCCACAACCCACCACTATAACAAACGAATCACGCAACTTTTTTAAGCCTTCGGGCGTGAGGAATACTTGGTTACGGGCGAGTTGCTCCAAGATCAGCTCTTCGTCAAAGTCTCCAGCCTGTGCACGTTTTGCCAGAGCGATATTGCGAGCATCTTCAGGGTCCAATCCTGTTTCTGATGAAGTCCCAAAGCTATTCAACTAAAGACATGTTAGAACGTGGAACCTAACCTATGAACTCTAGGGGCTAATTTACTCTTCTAGATCGGGCATTCTCGTTGTTTGATAGCTGTGGTATTGAGTTTTTCAGCTCGGACAGTCTCTCTTCTCGCTCCAAGGCCTGAAAACCTAAAATCAATCCCGCAACAGTCACACCGGACACAGCAGCTGTTGCAAGCAGCTGTACCCGGGGATTAGATAATGTGTCTGATATGAAGGAAGACATATTTTCATCACATCATGTAATTCCCAGAAATAGCGTATAAGCTGCTCAAGATTGTACAATTGAACTGAGTTTCTTCCGATAAGCGGATAAGACTAGATAACCCCACCAAAAATCGGATACTTGCATATCTCTTATCCGGATAGGTACCTACCTAGGTCGATGATCGCATCTTCAATTGACAACCAGAAAAAAGGCATCAGTTCACCTATTCGACTTGGCTTACACCAGCCGGACTCCGGCTTCTAGGCCTGCGCCGCCATGGCCCCAAGACTGATAGCCCGGAAGATTGTATTCCACCAGGCAGGATCCAGATCACGATGCCTGAGAAGTTTTGCCAACCAGTCCCGCCTCACCACATCCACCGGATCACGACCGAGCCTGCCTTTTCTCTTTATTCCTAGAGCGAGCCCCAACTCTGTCCGGTGCTATACTTCCGAGCGGCGACGGTGGTGGAAGCACGAGGCGAAGCTCGTGGTGCGCTACACCCTCACCTTGTGGGGAGTTGTGGTGTGCGTCTTGACGATTCTGTTCGCCGTCAACGAAGAGGTCGTGGAACGAGAATTCCCTACGCCGCACGAATGGCACTATCTGACGAGAAAATTCCTGCGCGATGCGAACAACTTCAAAGATCCAAAGAATGGAGAGGTCAATTGGGCTAGAGCCCTGGAGCTATCACGGGGAGTGGTCATCCGGCTGGAAGATCCGAAGACGGGAGGACAGGACGTCGTGAAACTGTCGGATATCGTCGATCCATCGCTAGAGGTGCCTGGCGAGTTTATTGCCTGCGACATCTCAGAGAAGTCGGAGGAATGGAGGAGAGGCTACTATGAAGCCATCATGCTAGCCGCCAAAGCCGCAGAGCATGTTGACGGCTGGCAGCGAGATATCACGCGGAATATCGTCACCCCTCCCGAATTCGTCATCGGCCCGTCCAATCCTCACCCGACTCCAATCCCTCCAGGCAACCCGTCAGCTCCTCGTGAAGAGGATTGTGAGCTCGCTTACCCGTCTGCTGACAATTGGTATACCAAGATTCTCGCGACCAAAGGCCTGAACTCCCGCCAAATGGTGGAAGCATGCCTGGAATATGCGAGCTTCATGGAGTTCAAGAGCAATCCCCAAGGCGCCGAGTCCCTCTACAAACTAGCACTAGCCGAGGCAACCGCCGACGTAGACCCAAAGAAACTGCCATACGACCCAAAAACCCTAGTCCTAAAGGATCGCGCCGAACCACCCTCGATGAACGTCCTCAGCGCCCTTACAGCCATGGCCAATCACGTGGCTCGCAAAGGCGACATCTCCTCCGCCCTGCCAATGTACCTTTCCATCCTCAAAGCCCGCCGCTCACTCTCCAACGACCCGCCCCGCACACCCTTATCCAAGGCCAAGCGCGAACCCATCTATCAACAGATGTTGAACTTCTTCGCCCCGCCAGATTATCCCCCGCCCCCACCTGACGGGGCCCTTCCCCCCTGGAGAAGCACCCTAGAACGCTGTCAAGAAGCAGCTCTGAATCTATACATTGGCGAAATCCTCTACGCGACAGGCTCGCGCGACGAAGGCCTGGCCTGGACGAGAGATGGAGTCGATCTGGCAGAGGAACAGCTACGAAATCCGAAAATAAACGAAGACAGCCGTGGCACGAAGTCAACGTGCAGAAACTGTCTGTCTACTGGACTGGACAACTGGTCTATTATGGTATCAAGATTGGCAAAAGAAGAGAAGGACAAGAAGGCAACAGGATCCCAGTCATCCGTCTTCTCCTTCTGGAGTGGACCGTCACGAGAGACGGAAGGCCGCTGGGAAGCCGAGGAGGCAGTTATTCAGGACCGCGTGAAGCGGACGCGGGAGTTATTGGAGGATGTTCAGGCGCCAAAGCCTGGTATTGTGTCTTATTTCAAGGTTTAAATGCGGGCAATACGCCAAGCTTATCCTTTTGATGTATTAAAAAGTGCATTGTCAGAATCATTTCAAAGGACGATGCAAAATCTCATGTAGTATTAGTAAGAGTTAATGGAGAAGGCCAAAGTTTTTGCTTTGCAGTGGCATCTAAAAGTGCCTTAACCACTGAGTCTATGCGAAGTCATCTACCTGCCAAGATGAAAAATAGAACCAGCGGCTATAAATATCCCAAATAGAATGTCTATCAATTAAAGACAGCGCTCCAATATCAATACGAGCTTTAGATCTCTGGCTCCGGCTCTGAATCTGTCTCTGGTGCCTTTCCGGTTTCATTAAACTTCTTCCAACGCCTAATTTGCCTCATCTCCTCTTTTAAGGCAGTGGGATCTGTCTTGGATATAATAGGTTTATCTCCCTCTGGCAACTCCTCCCAATTTTGCTCAGTCATGGGAGGTCGAGGACACTCAGCTGGCACAATGAGTGGATTCTCGTACTCGGCATCAAGAGCTACCTCTTGGAGGTGGGAGAGGATATGAGACCGAGCTCGGATAAAGATTGATTCCACGTACATTGGTTCGCAAGAAGAGAGGCATGGGAGGCCTAGAGAGGGGATACAAAGCTCCAAGTTGCCTTCGGGGGGTGCTAGAGGGGTGCCAACAGGCTCATGAGAAAGGCCATAAGCACGAGCTCGCTTAAGGATCCTTTGTTAGCCGAGTGTTGCCTTTTCCTTGTAGGGGGGATACTATCATCTTACTTTTGCCAAGAAATTCTTGAACTTTTCATTCTTCAAACCTTCTGAGTCATAGACCGGACCAAGGAGGACGAGTGCGCTGATCCGCCTGCCCCAGATATTCCAGGCTTCCTCACCGTCTAGGAAGCGCTCCACAATCTCGCAGCTTTCCCCAATAGCTATGATATCCACAGCTGCCTTGTCACTAGCTATAGAGCCAATTACGTTGTGAAACACGTACTTCACATGCTCTTCCGGGTCCTTGTTGCCTGGAATATCGTTCAAGGCGGGCATATATTGTACTCCTCTATGCACCAAACTAGGCAGCGGCACGGCGTTGTTGGCCGTTACGGTGGTGGCTCGCTGTCCCTCGGGCCACCAACACGTCTGGCCCATGTTTGCCAGCAATATGCCTGGAGATGTGTCATCGCCGTTGGACCCTTTCTGCGATTTGACAGCTCGAACGACCGGGATGGCGCTCCCTTCGTCGATACCTCCTGGCCCATTTGCCACGCGACCTGCCAGGACTCCGAGGTCTTGGGTGGGTTGGCCAAATATGACGACGATTCGAGATGCAGCTTTCAAGTCTGGGGTGACGAAAATGGGCGTATGGGGCTCCGTAGCTGACGCACCCAAAGGCAGGCGGAGTTTCTGCAGTCCTTCGCCTTCGAGGCGCTCGTGGATGATGGACTCCATGGCATCTGGAATCGATTCGGGTTAGCCGCGTTATAACGCATTGGATAACCAATAACTGGGTATGGTATGCATAACGTTGGTTGTACTTACGATTAAACTCGAACCGCTGTCGAGCGCAAATACGTGGGTTGCGATCAAGAAAGAATTTGAAGTAGTTATCCGGGTTTTCGATGGAGCGGATTTCGTCTTGGTCATTCACAAAGTATCTATTCAAGCCGTTGTGTTAGAACTGGAAGTAGAGAAAGCTTTAAGAGCTATCGAGAGTTTCGGGCAAAGAAGAGAGTGGAAAGACAAACCCGAGTCCTTCGAGATCCGAAGGAAAGGAGGCATCCGAAGGGAGACCAGACCAGAGACGACGAAACATGATGGCGGTGATGAAAGAGAGTTCGCTTTGTCTTGGATATTTTGAAATGAAATATAAAATTAAGAAGTTACTGCTGTGGTTCTGCACTTTTAGAAGTAGATGTAGAAATCAATTAGATCCTAAAAGTCAAGAGCCACCACCTCGATGAGATGAGGCGGTCAGAGTGCCAAGTGCAAGAAAAGAACTCAAAGAGAATGGAAGCCCTCGCTATCTTTTACAATCACTCTTTGTTTCTCGAGATTAAGCATTGGCGGCCAAAAACAAAGAGTTCAATGCGCAAAGCTGTGGACCAGCTGCAATCACCCGCAGACAGAGTTACACACGTTGGCTTGGTGATAGAGCATTGGCCGCAACGCTGGCATTAGCGACACGTCTGAGGACAATGACTTAAACATCGTTTAAGCTTGCGAAAATTAGATTGTGAGTGGTTTTATTCTACTGCTATAATACTATTAGGAATTGTGGTGTTGTTATGCTAGTGCCAGATTAACAATTATTCATTGTATTCCATATCAAGAAACTTTTTCACTCTGGGAGTGCAGAATTGATTGACATTCACTTACGTTTTATATAAATATATAATAAAGTTATACCGAACTATATCGAAACGGCTAAAGAGAAGCTGCTGGCCGTGAACAAGATGTTCAACCAGTATCAACGAATATAACGAACAATGAACTTGAGATGTGCTACAATCTTGTCATGTATTTGCTATAATATAGACTAGCCACAGCTCAACATCGTTGCATATCTAGAGCTAGACAATAATCTCTCTGTTCTAGGGACCAGCTGCTCTCTTGCAGGTGGACAGTGTGTCTGTTAGTGTAAATCATACAACGTTGCTATATATCCAACTCCAGCCACTGGCGCCAAATAGTCCTTGTCATAAATACACGTGAGATAAATACCCAAAAAGAAGAATCCAGTTCCCATTCGTCATAAATATTAAGTAGGCATAAACAACGTCAAAGCGTACTAACTTGACCAAAAATTCAGCGGTTTCGAAACGGAAGGCTGATGCTAAAGCGACTTCCGCTGCCGCGATCCATACTAGCATACGCTTCTTCCATGGCGGATCGTGTGACGGATGCATCTGTAGCATAACAAGTATTAGCCAAGAAAAGAAGATGGACAGAAACGCTCGAATGTATATAGGGGAATAATACCATCCAAGTCGCTAAAGCTGCTACTGATGCTATGGGTGCCTTCGCTGCTCCCCGGCTCTGCGGTATGGCGAGGCGACACGGGGCCTGCACTATGGACATCTCGCGTCTTCGGCGGTCGCAGCACCATGGCGGGTGAACTAGCTGACGAGTCAGAGGTTTGCGAATGATAGGGCGATTTCGCAACTGCCTTTTGATTTCGCCTCGCCTTATTCCGACTGTCTTTCAATTTCAACGTGGATGCCAGGTCAGGCGACGACGTATCGGCAGATGGCGCGTTATACGGCTGAAACGCGGGTTCTGATTCGTCATCCTCATCGGGCTGATAGCCAGGAGGGTATGATTCCTGCTGCTGAAACCGAGGCGGCCGACGGATGATGCGAGACTGAACCGGCATTGAGTCATCGTCGGATGAAGAGCTTGAACTGTTATCGGCTGGGCCAGGCGAATTCGCCCTGTCGACTTCCGCGCCAGGCTGTTCGGGAGAGCTTGGGGACCTTGGAGACCTTGGGACCGGCGATTCCATTGGCAATGATGATAGCCGTGTTCGCCCAGCTTGCTCAGCTGCTCGGAGACTGGGCTTGTTGCTCGTTCTAGGAGATGCGCCTCCGCCATCCCTCATGACCGTCGTAGTCGCCGAGGTGTTGCGCGACATGGTCGGGCGAGTCGGCGCATTGGATGCGAATGTGCCGCTCTCATTGCGCAGCCCAGACACGTCGCGGCGTATAGACAAGGCTGACGGCGTCCTCAAATGGCCTGGACCAGCTAAATCGGATCCGGGTATAGGTGACTGAGTGGCAGAGCCCTTGACCGCGGCGGTCGCTTTTCTCACTTGGGCGCGAAAATGTGATTGATGTCGTTCGTTGAGGTAGGCTACCTGCTGCACCAGAAAGTCGACGGGGACTTCGAACCGATCGGCTCTGGCCATAGTTAGTGAGCAGCTCAGGAGAATGGATCGGCATGGCTTTGATAGATAGCATACACTAGATTCCCTGTACGCCGTTAGCAGCTCGAACATGCTTTTGCCCTCTGGGCCATCACTACCGAGGGTTGCATCATACAGTCAATTTCCTTGTGTCCTGAGAGGATCTTCCATAGAGCCTCATCTTTGGCAACGTCCCAGCTGACCTATGTAGACAAAGACGAGGTGTGTTAGCAGCTCTGGCCATGTGTTGTCACTGCTGCATGTGGTACTAAGCGGTTAGTACGAGACACATACCGGCGCTGGATCGACAAAGCCCCGACGGGGGATAGGCACCCTGATGAAGACTGTGTATTGTGGCTCTTCCATGAAGCTGTGCGGCGCCTCAGACAGAAAACTGCAAAGGAGCAGAGATGGAGATGGAGATGACGATGGAGATGGAGAAGGCTAAGAATGAAGCTTTCAGAAGCTGCCAGGAGTCTGGCCCTCTAGCGACATGCTAGCAGTAGTGCTGGGCAGATGCCTGCATGAACAAAGTTACAGTACATGTAGCGCTGGGCGGCTGAGCGAGCCGAAGTTAACGGGCTGCATTAGCGCCATCCATCACTACAAGGCACGCTGTAGGTACCGCGTCGCTTCCCTGCAGCATGATAAGCAGCACAGGGCGTTGAGATGGATTCAAGTATATCAATGCGATATCAACGTCTTGGTGTTTGCAGTATCTTCTGTTAATTAGTCTATTAAAAGGTGCCTATAATGTGTCTCTCTGAAAGAACATGTCCTTGTATACAGTTTACAGGTTACTTGCGTACCTGGTAGCAACTGCAAACTTAACAGTCAGCGGTAACGGATGCTTTCTCTACTCTCAACATGGTCTTCTGGCGATGATGTAATCCGGTTGTATCGACGCTGACTCGATCTCTTTGTTTCAGCCACAGCAAGACACTAAATAACGAATGATGTGATGAATGGCAAATATATATTGACAAAAAAAAAGGAATAAGATTTCAGACCTACTGTTGCGATAAGCAAGTGAATAGAATATGGCCGATATCTAATCGTATGCCCACCAACTTTGAGTCACGTTTAAGGTTCAAATAGTGACTTCGAAGCCAAGCCATTTGCTACGGTTGCGTCCGCAAACGGCACCTTGAATCAGTAATCCCAGCGGTTTTAACACGACAAACCATATACATGGAAGATGCATGCACAGTAAAAGGACATGGAGAAAGGAGAAGAACATATTGAGAGCTGCATACACCCTGTGTGTGTACTAAAAGGTTTGGCTGTTGAAGCTCACGTACACATGCACTTACACCGGCTATAGCCAATTTGTATGTGGTCGTTAACACACGCGTAAGACAGTCATTGATGCTTCTCGCAGCGGAATGTAACCGTAAGCTGCTACACCACATCCAGATTACAACACAACCCGAACCGCCCAGCCACCAGTAGCCACTCTTACTTGTCTACCATCGATCAATAGCACGCCAAACTCCTCTGCCCATTGCATCCGAAATGGCGCATTTACGACGTCGATTCGTCCAGCGCACGTCCAACATGCCTCTCGATTTGGTCTAGGGTAGCGCCATTATCAAGCCCCTCGGCGGGGTTGATACGGAATAATCTCATGTCCACAGCCAGTAAGCTACCTGTAGGCATTATTCCGTCATCGCCCAACAACCATCCCAGTCTCCCAATTCTCTGGACATTTTCCCCGTCTTTGTTATATCGCGATAAGATCCAGCGCCTTATCTGCCAAGGTACTACCACTATCGCTATCTGCGCTGCCATTCTTTACCTATCGCAGCGTCGCAAACAAGCCCGAGAGCTTCAACGCATAGCTGATGCTCTTGTCTAGACACACGATCACGGCAAAGCGTCCAATACGTTTGGCGAGGTGCGGAAAATAAGGAAAATAACGGCTTGGCGGGGGAGTCGAACAGGTTAATCAACTACCTTACACAAGAGCAGCAACAAGAAGCCCAACGCCGAATCTCGATCGCCACCATGGTTGTCTCCGAGCTGACAGCTTCTGCCGTCGCCATGAAATCTTCCCCACCGTCGGAGAGAGGAGACAGCAGCGGCAGCAGCATAGAAGCTCAACTACCGCCTCTCCAGAATCGCGCAAAAGAAGGCAGGTCGCCGTTTGTCAAGGGCTATGGTGATAGTCTTGTGGCATGGCAGCTGCTGGACGATGAGTCTGTTGAAAGAGCGAGGAGAGAGAACAAGCTAATCTTTTTGCACATTGGATACAGAGCGTGCCACTGTGAGTCTTCTACCTGATGGAAACCTCTTCTCGTGCCTCACAGGATCCATCTCGCTGACACAAATAGTCTCTCGCCTTATGGCGCTCGAATCCTTTATGAACTCCGATTGCGCTGCCGTCTTAAACCACTCATTTATCCCCATCATCATCGACCGCGAAGTGCGCCCCGATATTGACACCATCTACATGAACTACGTCCAAGCCGTGAGCAACTCTGGAGGCTGGCCGCTCAACCTCTTCCTTACGCCCGAACTGGAGCCTGTTTTCGGTGGAACGTACTGGCCTGGCCCAAGTGTAGCAAGGAGAGCTGCAGAAGACCACGGTGACGAGCCCTTGGATTTTCTGGTCATCTTGAAAAAAGTGCGCAACATCTGGAAGGATCAGCAGGCAAGATGCCGCAAAGAGGCAACCGAGGTCATTGGCCAACTGCGTGAATTTGCGGCCGAAGGCACTCTGGGGAAACGAAGCATCGCGGCTCCACAGCAGCAGCAGATAGCTCCGGCTGGCTGGGCTGCGCCAGTGTCCAACCAGCCTGTGGCCAAGGTGAGCGACAGTGCGGACGTTTCCAGCGAGCTGGACCTTGACCAGCTTGAAGAAGCTTATACGCACATTGCTGGAACCTTTGATCCTGTGTATGGAGGATTTGGCCTGGCGCCCAAATTCTTGACGCCACCCAAGTTGGCCTTTCTTTTGAATCTGGTCAACTTCCCTACCCCTGTTCAGGATGTTGTGGGTGAAGCTGAGTGCAAGCATGCACTGGATATGGCTCTGGATACCTTGCGCAAGATTCGAGATGGGGCGCTGCATGACCACATCGGAGCCACTGGATTTGCGCGATGTTCGGTTACACCTGATTGGAGCATACCCAACTTTGAGAAGTTGGTCGTTGATAACGCTGAGCTTCTGCAGCTGTACCTAGAGGCATGGAGAAAGAGCGGCGGAAAGGAGGACAGCGAATTTTACGATGTCGTTGTCGAGCTCGCCGAGTATCTAACCTCCCCGCCCATTGCCCTTCCAAACGGTGGCTTTGCCTCATCCGAAGCTGCAGATTCGTATGCCAAGAGAGGAGACGCCGAAAAGAGAGAGGGAGCTTATTATCTATGGACACGGCGTGAGTTCGCTTCTGTCGTCAACGCTGATGATAAACACATCAGCGCCATAGCTGAAGCATATTGGGACGTTCAAGAGGATGGAAACGTGGACGAAGATCACGACCCGAACGACGACTTCATCAACCAAAACATTTTGAGGATTAGAAAAACTCCGGAAGAGCTGAGCAAGCAGTTCAATGTGCCTGTTGCTACAGTGAAGCGAAATATAGAAACTGCTCGGGAGGCGCTCAAGAAGAGGAGAGAAAAGGAACGGCCGCATCCAGACGTTGATGATAAAATTGTCACCGGATGGAATGGTCTGGTGGTATCGGCTTTGATACGAACGGCGGCTTTCTTAAAGGAGTTGCAGCCAGAGAAGAGCCTAAAGTATCTCAGCGCGGCCAAAAAGAGTATATCATTTATCAAGGAAAATCTTTGGGATGAGAAGAACAAGACCTTGTATCGGATATGGAGCGATGGAAGACACACTGAAGGCTTTGCGGATGACTATGCGTATTTGATTCATGGTCTTTTGGATCTTTTTGACGCTACCGGCGAGGAAAGCTACGTCGAATTTGCCGACAACCTGCAGAGTAAGACTACTAACTCCCACTCCTATTTACCGACCCCAACAAATGTGATTTTCAACCAGTCTCAACTATATACTGACACTTTCCATAGAATCACAAAACGCCTTATTTTACGACTCTGCCGGCGCCTTCTACTCAACCACCCTATCCTCCCCTCACACTATCCTTCGTCTCAAAGACGGCATGGACACTTCCCTTCCTTCAACCAACGGCGTTTCCGTCTCAAATCTGTTCCGCCTTGGCGAGCTTCTGGCGGACGAAAAATTCACCGGCCTCGCCCGAGAGACGATCAATGCCTTTGAAGCAGAGATGTTGCAGCACCCGTGGCTGTTCCCAGGATTGCTGGGAGGTGTTGTCGTGGCGAGATTGGGATTGGGGCTGGAGGGCAGGACTCTGAATGTGCGATACAAGTCAACGAGACGGAAAGCGTAATGGAGTTTTGCAAATCACTGCTTTTTGTTTTTTGACGGTTAGTGTCTTTGGGGGTGATGTATTCCGGGAAGAGGAAGCCGGATTTTACTCGAGGAGTTTGTTTCATTTTTCATCTTCTCATCATTTTTTTTTTCATCTTCTTACCGGCCTCTTCTTTGGCTCTTCTTCGGCTTTCTTGGGGATTGAATGGTTTGAAAAAGGGTGTCTCGGTGGATCATGCTTTCTTGATGCTCAAGAGACTACAGTGAAAATAGACGTGTTATTTGGTGCATCAAACATCATGGTTGTCGCCTCTTTCTATTACCGGGTTGTCAATAACTGACAAAAATGTTTTAAAAAAGTATTTTTTTTTTGTTCCTCATCAAGGGTATCTATTCTACAAAATATATGTATGCCTCTCCCCTCATCACGCCAACCTACCAACCTACCTACCTACCTAATACCCTAACCTTTCTCCTCCCCCCTTTGACCAAATTATTTTTTTTCCAAAGCCCAACTTTCCGCCTCCTAAGAAAATCATCATCATCATCCGAGTGAATCTACATACAGAAAGACATGCCTCCATCTTTTTGTTTACGTGTATGTGTGCTCGTCTCCAAATGCTCGCTCGTGGAATAAAAAGACTTGCCGCTTAATCAGAAAAAAAGACAAGAAAGATAATTTTTACCCGCCAAGCTTGAAGATAAACATTAAAAACTAACCAAACTGGAGCAAAAAGTGAAGAATCGCGTCATGACCGATCCCCGGCTGTCCTATTCATCAATCCCGAAAAGAAGTCATGGAGCTGCTCGTTGTCAAAGTCCTTGGCTATGTTGCCAACGGCAGCTTCTGGTTCAGCTGAAGGAGAGTCGGTTGCGATATGTGCATTGCGGTCCTATTCGAGAATATTAGATGATAAACATTCCCATTATCCATTACCGAGCTGGGAATCTGAATTATTCGTACCTTAAGGCGTTGCAGCATATCGTCAGCATCAACTTGAATACCGCCCATATTGAATTGCACCGGACCGATATGTTCATTCACAGTCTTCTCATCGTTGAAATCCAGTTTCCTTGCTGAGCTGGAAAGAGAGCTATCCGTAGCCTTTTCGGGCGCCTTTGCCTTGTATGCATCCAAAATCTTTAGTTGCCGTTCAAGGAATTCTTGCGTGTCCTCGCTTTCAATCGCTACTTCTGTGCCGTCGTTCATCGCGCTCTCTACGACGGCGAGTCCTCCACTGTTCGGGTCTCTGCACCATTCTTCATAAAGAGCAATGGCACTCTCAACTTGAGGGGCATGGCTTGAACCATTCTCATCGTCGTCTTCGGGATCAGGTAATGCCATGCTTGGGGGAGCGGCCCCAAGGGGTAGCTTGATATCCTCGGACCAGTATTGAGATACCTTTTCTGTGTCAAATGAGCCGCCAAGAACTCTAATCTTGCCCCACGAGTCCCAGTTTGGCGGCACAACAATCTTATCTCGGTCAATCACATTGTGTTTTAGGGGCTGGCGCTTTAGGAGAGATGTAATGCCGAGGGTGGAGTGGATGAGAATAGGCAGCTGAGAGGTCGTGCTCTGTGAGGTGTAAATGAGAGAAGCACCATCTAAGCTATGATTAGATACTGAGAGAACAAGGTGTAGTTGACCGAGCGAATAAAATACTTACGTCGCAATAACACTGTCCGTAAATTCTGTAGCACAGCATCGAAGTCTGGTTCTTTCCACCCTTTGCTCTTTTCTAGAAAATCGATTTTTTGTGACTAGAGTCTGTTAGGATGAAGAGCATCAAAAAAAGTAAAGTGACCCAACGTACATTCTGGCACACTACGCATAACGGCAGGCCAAGGGGCTCAGTCCACTCGCCCGGACCAAGCGGTAGTGAGCCATCGCTATCGCCGTTTGCGACGGTGGCGGAGGGAGTACCGTCCAGATTGACCGAAGAGCTTCCTCTTCCTCTCTCCTTCCATGCGTTCATGACATCTTCCATTTCAGTCTGCACATCTCTACTTAGATGTTCCAAGACCTCTTGGAATACTTGTAGCCATGTCCAGATTTGACGGAGCCACAAATGCGGTTGCGACCAATCCAGGAGTATTACCAGCGCGGTATGTGGTATCGTTTCGGGCGTGAGCAATGGGGCAACGAGTGAAGCGAATTCGCCCGATGGCTGGGAAAGAAGATAGAGAGACACTCGAGCAAGCGTATCTATCACACCGTTAGTCACCAATGGCATACCTGCAATGCGGCGGCTCGAGGCCGACTAACCATCCTGATCTGCGTCGAGAACATCATAGTACGTATAACCCAAAGCATAATTGTTCGCGATCGGCGGAATCTTTTGTCGGTCAAAGTTGCGCTTCGGTTCAGATCCTGCCAGTGACTCCAAGAACTCTCGCTGCGATTCCGGAGTGCCTCCTGAGTGTACGGTCAGCTACCACCCGCAAGCTGGAGCTATCTCTGTGAGAAGGGCGCTTCCATACCCATGACTAAAAGGTTCTTTTCCGGTAATCGCTTGCCGCTGGCAACTGACTCTAGCATGGAAGTCCATAAGTTCCTCTTTGGCTCGCCATTCTGACTATCCCCGTCCCTTGATGTCATTGTATATGTTGATATCCTGTTCGCCATGGTCACAGCCCCCGCACCTCGGAGATGGCAGCTTCGCTAAACCAGAAATGCTCGCAAGAAAAATATGAAACGTCGCCGAGTCAAAGCATATGCGTACTCGTCCGTGCCGAACGCGTTGATTTGGTAGCCGAGAATATTATAGGGGCAAGTCGCGCGCTTGCTGTCGTTGTAGTCCTAAGGTGGGATGATGGAGATCTAGGGATGTTGGTGGAGCATCTTGCTGCTGAAGATACCAACGGTGATGCGACGTGGCGGAGAAAAGCCTCTGCGCTGGTAGAATGCTCGTTAGTATCTCGTCTAGCTCCGACTTGAATATCAGGATGAGGACGACACAAGTCCTGGAGGCGAGATATTTCCCGAGAGCTACGGCAGAAGCACTTCGTTCAGGGTCGCTGCTTGGGGAAGCTTGTCGGTCCGGGAGATGACCCGGCACAGTACAGCTCACAGCGCTAACGAAAGCCCGAATAGCGGTGGCCTTCAGGTGTTATTGCAGCCCGTAGCCTTGCAAGTTAGCAGCCACTGCAGATCATTACATTTCAGCCTTGCATGACCTCTCCGATCAATCACTACAATACAGCACGACGTCTTTTTTGGTAATATTTGTTGGAAAAAGTCTTGCCTATTGAATCAATCACCATGAATCAGATACGCGCCATTCAGGCGCTTAACAAAAAAGAGATTGAAAATGGAATGTAAGTCTGCTGTACTTGCACTCGCACTCGCCCAATCTTCAATTGCGAAGCGCAAAGCTGACTTGCCTCAAGTTCACCAGACGCGTCATGGCATGTAGATTATCGCGACACAGCCTTCGTCTACTTTGGCGGCCTCCCATATGAACTTTCAGAAGGCGATATAATCACAATATTCTCGCAATTCGGTGAACCGGTATTCCTGAAACTCGTGCGCGACAAGGAAACGGGAAAATCCAAGGGTTTCGGCTGGCTGAAATACGAAGACCAAAGAAGCACCGATCTGGCAGTGGACAATCTAGGCGGCGCTGAGATTGGCGGTCGGCTATTACGAGTCGACCACGCTCGATACCAAGCACGAGACGACGAAGACCAAGATGAATACAAGATCGGTTGGGAAGATGTCCAACGCAGAGAGGGCAAGCCTGTATCCGATGACGAGATGAGCGAAGAGGAAGTCCAGAGACCAATGCTACCAGAGGAGAGGGAGCTGGCTCTGCTAATGCGAGATCACGACGACGACGACCCTATGAAAGGCTTCTTAATTGACGAGAAGAAGAAGGAGGTGGAAGAAGCTCGGCGGAGAGCTGATAGGAAAGAGAAATCAGACAGGCACAGACATCACAGATCCCACAGATCAAGAAGAGAGAAAGTAGATGATAGCCGACATGAGAGATCTCGGAGAGACGAGGGATCAGAGAAAGAAAAAAGACTCCCAGAGGGTGAATCACGACGAGAAAGATATCGAGATGAGTCGAGAGAGCGCCATAGACGACACAGAGATACATCTCGGGGAAATTCACAAGAGCGACAAAGACGACGGGAAAAGAAATCTGAGGATAGGAGGTCACATAGAAGAGATGATGACAGAAGAGATGATGACCGGGATAGACGTAGGAAAAGAAGAGAAGACGACAGTGAGGGGCATAGGAGAAATAGAAGCCGATCTCCTCGGCGTCGTCAAGATTAGTTTCTAGTCCAAAGCTACGATTATAGTACCTAACAGGGCAGTAACCCAAACTCTTCCCACGACTCTTTCAAATACAACTAGTATGCTGCCCATCCAAAACGCCATGTCTCCGCCACATCCGAGTCAAACCATTCATTACCCTTGGATATTTCTCCTTCTTCCTTGCCGTCTTTCATGAATTTCCTAGATATCGCTTCCAGCCTTCGCGGACGCAATGCCGCTTTCCGTCGTCGCCATCAACTAATGTGAATTTCTCCCATCTTGCGTCTTGGCCTGCGCCGATAACCGCAAGGCTATCTTCGCTAATCCACCCAATGACTCCCTTGGGAGGCCTTGTAGTTCCCAATACGGTGCCCTCTGTAAATGGTATACCGCCAATCATAGACTCGTTACCGGCCTCGAAGGGCACCGAAGCAAAAGAGTAGACATCGGAAAACATTCGAGGCATGAGTGGAATTTTACTGAGAATGCCCCATTTTCCTACATCTGCGTCTGCTCCTGCACTGCCAGGCTGTGGGCTACGATGAGCACTCGGCCGCCGGGGATGGGGTACGTCGAAGATGTGAAGTGTAGATTTGTCAGACGTGCAGGCAAGTAATGACCCAGACGGCGAGAAGGCGAGAGAAAATATAGTCGCCGGGTCGATACCTCTGCGAAGCTCCGCTAACCGGGCGCAGTTGCTCGTTGAGTAAACACGGATAAGAGTTCCAGTTTCACTGGCGCTGGCTAGTAACTCTCCGTCTGCGCTAAGCTGAATAGCTTTCAGAGCAGATGAGTGAGCCGGAATGATGCTAACATTGCCTGTGCCAAGCTCTACAAGCTGGATCTGTCCCGTTGTGCGGCCTGGGAAGGCAAGCTTCTTATCTGAGAGACAGCACAGGCCGAGAACGTTATCGGCGGTCTCGTATACGTGAAGCAGCTCTGGAGGTTTAGCGAACGAGTAGACACGCACACTATTCTGGAGGACGACGACGATGCGATCTCTACTCAGCTGGACACCGCGGATAGCACTGAGAGCTGAGATTTCTAGCGCAACTTTGCCTTTCATATCGTCCCATATAATGGCCTGAGCAAATGCCGAATCAGCAGTTCGTTCATCACAACAACGCTTCTGGGTAAACATGAATGTATACCTTGTTCATAGCGAACTTTGGAGATTTACCGCCGCCAACAAGAGCGAGATAATTTGTCGTTCCCATCATCCGTACAAGGCCGATGCCGGCATTGAAGTCTCATCAGATGTTAGCTTCCTTGTGTATAGACAGCTAGTATGTGCTATGATCATCACTCACCTCTGGATGCCTTGAGCAGACATGATTTGGTATGAAAGACTATATATGATGATAGCGTTCTCTTGGTTAGCTAGCTGCAGAGTCAAGGTTTCATCAAATGGCCCTCTATTTGGCGTCTTACCGCATATCCCTGATTCCAAACCCACGGAAAAACAGCTGGAGTCTTTGTTGAAGGCCACAGATAGAACCGCCGTGGGAGAGGACGACTCTATAGGCGGTCGTACATTCATCGCGGTGAGAGCGATTTCACCCGAAAGGAATAGGCAACAAAGAGAGACTAAGAAGGAGAAAATCAACCAAGGCTTGAGCAGGATAGTTTCTGGTATCACTCGTGCTCTAGATGGAGAAAAAGCTTCTGCTTCACTTCGTCTAAAAGGCCTTCGCGATGGGATATCACTGGGTATGTTCGGATGTTGTTGATGGCGATGCCCAGTAGCTCGGCAATCTTGGGTGGGCTCTGCGGCGCTCGGCGGTCGGCCACAGTAACTGGGGTTCCGCCAGCTATCCCGCTTTGGAGAACCAGCAAGCTTGAGCGCTGGCCGTCAGCAAAGTAAACATGAATGCATCTGCTGCACCGGCGCTGAGAAGTGCATGAACACACGAGGATGCAGAAGGGAGAAATGGTGAATAATAGGGATGCAGATGCTGCGGGAAGGGCACATGCACCTCTCAAAGCTTATAGCGATTCTACAGAGCGATACACGGGTGCACTATTTTGCACGTTGAGCGTTGCTGCTAAGCTTAGGCTGCTCAGCAGGTATAACTGCAGTGCGGCTACTAATTGCAGAGCTGATGCGGAGGCGACCGCCGTGGGGGAGCCGCCGGGCGCGTGGCCTTGTAGCGGGACAGCACGCTAGAATTGAGTGGCCCAGCTGCCCCTTTCAATCTTGGGTCGCGATATGCATCGTGATGTATTTTGAAGTACACCACCTCTTGGAGCTGCGTGCTCCTTGTTTCTGGGCAGATATAGGTATTGAACACAATACTGAATATGAGCGTATGTGAAGTGGAAATCTATTGCATGGAAAAACATTGGGAGGTATAGAGAGCCAATGTATCACTGAATGGACAGAGATGCGCACCTAGTTGGGCAGATAACAAGTCTCGGACGCTCTGTGCAGACGGTAATACGAGTTGGAGCACCATATTGCAGTATTTGGCGTAATTGCTGCGTAGCATTGGAATACGAGGCGGCTCAGTACCGTCTAGTACAATGTAATTTTCTGGGGAACAGGGCCAGGTGCCTAATACAGGTAGGCCCCTACCTAGGTAGGTATAAAAGGCCACTTTCATCTCCAAGCATAATCTTCGCTTGCTCGTATTACTTTATGCCCAATCAGCCAGACAGTTAATCAGCGGCTGTCTCTAAAAAACAAGACAGAACGAGACCATGTTAAGCAGATAGATAATGGCGAGATTCACTTATCAGTTCCATTTTCTTCTAGCAGTTGCACATCTCCTTCTCCATGCTGTGTTTCCCGGTGAATTTCCGGAGCCTCGCACACTGCTATTTCTCTGTCCAGGTTGCATCTGTTAGTGTGTTTTGGGATTGCATGATTTCCAGCTCAAGTACTCTGGCAGTACCTTGTTGAGAGCCGGCACTGCTGCTACTGGGGCGGCGCTAGCAGCAGTACCTCCGCAGTACCTGGCGCCAAGTGCTACCACCACCTATTTTCGTTCGTAGTAGGGAGCTACAGGCCCGGACGTGGGTAGGGGCGGTCTGCTCTTCTGGGCTTAGCTGGCAGCCCCCCTGAACTGAAGGTCCAACCCGACAGCTCTGCAGGCGTGAAATTGGACTCGCAAACGCCAGATACAACGCCTTCTTCCCCTTTAGCTAGACTTCCCCTGGCCTCTAATCACCGCCACCAAACCGCCCCAATTCTTCCCATCTTTTTCCCCCATCAAGAGCTTCATCTTGACCCATTCCTCTCTCTTCACTCTCGTTGCTTCTGCAAACCCTCTCCCACCGTTCTAAGGTCCCTCTCCCTCTTTACAGTCGCCTCTCATGATGTCCTCCGTACGTCCAATCTCCCGTCACCCGCAAATCTTTTTGGCGTGTCAGTCAAAGAATAGGGATACACATGCGTCGCTCCCAGGACATGCTCTCCGGGGCGATGCTGTGGCCCACGCCACGACTATCGGCACAAGAACGCGAGGAAACTAACCGCTATTGACACTCTAGAAGGTTATCCGCCGGAAGAAGAATGTCAAGAAGGGCATTCAGTTTTGCCTGATGGTGTGTGGTGCCTCTGGCACTGGTACGTCGCTGCCCTACCCATTCGCGATGCAATTCGCCCGCCCGCCGCTTGAAAGGAGAATGTCCAGACTCACGTTACGCCTCTGCAGGCCGAACCACCTTCGTCAACACGCTCTGCGGCAAGTCTGTTCTCGAGCATAAGGAAGCCGACGATGCTTCCAACGCGCACATTGAGGAGGGCGTCAAGATCAAGCCCCTTACGGTTGGTACGTGATTTTCGGACTACAAATGCTCTGATTTTTTGTGTGCGTTTCGCTAATTGCGCCATCAGAGCTTGAGCTTGACGAGGAAGGCACCCGAATCTCGCTGACCATTGTCGATACCCCTGGATTTGGCGACCAGATTGACAACGAGGCCAGGTTAGCCCCGCCCGAACATCCTTCACCCATATCTCGACGCATGCACGCTAAACCATCAATTACAGCTTCTCAGAAATCGTTGGCTATCTCGAGCGACAATACGATGACATTTTGGCCGAAGAGTCTCGTATCAAGCGTAACCCTCGCTTCAGGGACAACCGTGTCCACGCCATGCTTTACTTCATCACCCCTACCGGTCACGGGTAAGCTTCTTCCTTCTGTTACCCCAGTTACTTATCCGCTAACACGCGTCATCGCCAGTCTCCGAGAGCTCGATATCGAATTGATGAAGCGTCTTGCGCCCCGTGTCAACGTTATTCCCGTTATTGGCCGAGCCGATACTCTGACCCCTCAGGAGCTAGCAGAGTCGAAGAAGCTGGTCATGGAGGACATTGAGCACTACAGAATCCCCGTTTACAACTTCCCTTACGACATTGAGGAGGACGATGAAGATACCGTTGAGGAGAACGCCGAGCTGAGAGGCCTTATGCCCTTTGCCATTGTTGGCTCAGAAGACGTGGTTGAGATTGGTGGCCGCAAGGTCCGTGCCCGCCAGTACCCATGGGGTGTTGTTGAAGTCGAGAACCCTCGCCACTCAGACTTCCTGGCCATTCGATCAGCCCTTCTGCACAGCCACCTGGCTGATTTGAAAGAAATCACCCACGACTTTTTGTATGAGAACTACCGTACCGAGAAACTGTCTAAGAGTGTGGATGGCGGTGCCTCTGGGTAAGTATACTTGCAGCCCGCTTTGTATCTTCGTAAACTAATGTGAGAAACAGACTTGATAGCTCCATGAACCCTGAGGACTTGGCTTCCCAGTCTGTCCGCCTCAAGGAAGAGCAGCTCCGACGAGAGGAGGAGAAGCTGCGCGAGATCGAGCTCAAGGTCCAGCGCGAGATCAACGAGAAGCGACAAGAGCTGCTGGCGCGCGAATCGCAGCTTCGCGAGATAGAGGCCCGCATGCAGCGCGAGACTGCCGCCGCCCAGGCATCCCCAGCGCTGGAAACCAGTGTCAACGAGGAGTAGATTCTCTCGAATCACATGTTAGGTCTTTCTTCGGCATTATAAAAGTAAATTGCGACGTTGGTCTATTTATCGCTGCCGGCGTTGGGTTTTACCTCTCCTACACAAACTGAAGAGCAAAGAGATGAGAGCACCCGTCCCAGCTGCTGCAGAATCGAGTTTGATTTTCACTTTTTCTATTTATTTATTTTATTGCGACCTACGACAACTCGAGAAGTGACCTTAGCGGTTGAGTTGGGGAACAGGGGCTGCGGGAAGGGGGAGTTTCATGGTGGAGTATACGGAGAGGATGAATGCCGTTGGAACTAAGACGACGTATACCCCGACGAAGGAGGGTCTCTCGGAGTGGCAAAGGTGGAAATATGCGGCTACTCAGCATGATAATATGCGAAGCAGAGCTATATGTGTGTGCTTCGGCATCTTTTGGGAGTTTCATATGCTGCCCAGCCTCTTTCTGTACACCCTCGCAAGGTATCCTAATTTTTTTTTAAAGCTGCATCAGTAGCCATCTGTTGTTAAATGGTACCCCTGTTTTTTTAACTGCCTTTATTTATTTATTTCTAGCTACTGTAGTGGACTTCTAATGCAGATATCAAATACATTCAAACCTTCACGTTTAACAGGCTTGTTTTGGCGGGGTATTAGGGGGAAGGCAAATTGGTCAACCCGCATGTTTGATGAGGTGAAAGAAGCTCTTTATTTTATTTAGTAAGCTGAGAACTGTTGCGCTACAAGCTGGAGAGAGACTAAAGGCAACTGTGAAAGAGAAGAGATGAAGAAAGAGAAACGAAAACAGAAGGAGGGGGAAAGAAAAAAAAGAAAGAAAAAAGAATAGCAATAATTGTCCGATACACTCCTGTCACACTTTAACCCATTATCCTACATTTGCAAGAAAAAGAAAAATCACGATAAAACAGTCGACGGCTCGTTTGAGCTTTAATCACAATCTTGGAGCTCCTGTATGAAATACTAGCAGAATTATAACAGCTCGTCACCACCAGTTGTGGGCCTCAACATAGACATCTTAGTTGTTAGACTGGCTGTTGAGAATACGCAGAATGGCGAGGAACAGGTTGATGATATCTAGGTACAGGCTGATGGCGGCGGCAATCTCCTCCTCAACGTGGTGGTGGCGCATAATCATCTGCGTATCGACGAGGATGTAGCCGCTGAAGATGAGGGCTGCGAGTCCGCCGTAGATGAGCTCGCCGGTGGAGCTGTAAGGGAAGAACATGGCCATGAAGCCGAAGATGACGAGGCCCCAGAGGGCTCCGAAGAGGTAGGGCATCCATGATGTGAAGTCGTACTTGGACTGGCTGGCGAAAGCCGTGAGGAAGACGAAGATGCCGGCGGTGATGATGGTTGCGCTGAGGACGATTCGGGTGTTGTAGAACGAGACGATGACGGAGATTGAGTAGGCTTCGGTGAGGGTGAAGAGGGAGAGGAAGAGGAGATTGGTCGGGTAGGACTTGCGCTTCCAGTAGGTGAGACCCATGAAGATCATGGCGCCGAAGAGCTAGAGAAGCATTCTCGAGTTAGCTTTTGTGTCTGCTGTTGTTGTGATGGTAAGGTGGAACATACCGATGCCCAGACAAGGCCCGGGTGGCTTTGGATCCAGTTCTTGTATGCATCGCTGAAGAAGCTGACGGAACCCAGGGCTGCGGTAGCGATGAGCTGGACGGTGAGAATGCTGTAGACCTTGCGGACGAATTGGTTGCGGATATCGACTGTGGCTTCAGCGACAGAGCCTCCAAACTAGAAGGAAACAAGTGACGTCAGCAAGAGAGACCCTTTTCTCTTTCTATAGAGCAAAAAAGGAGATTTGGAAATGTTGGATATGAATATTAAAGGGGGGAGAGAACAATAACGCAGTGAGGAAATGGCATTCCTGCGACTTACCTTGAAGTCGTCGGGGATGTTGTCATCGCTGCTGCGCGGCTGGGCAAACAAGCCAGGATCGTGCGCCGACGACGACTCAGCTGCGGTGCCGTACGCGGGCGGTGCGTGGGTGTAGTCGTCGTCGGGCTCCTGCTGGGCGGCGGGCTGGTATTTCGCGGTGGACGCCATGGCTGGGGAGGGTGTTTTCGCGTGTGTTTGCTCTCTCTCTTTATTTTTTTTTCGTCCTCAGGGAAAAGTTTTGTATGTTGAAAGGGAAGTTGTTGTTGAAGATCCAAAAGGACACAAAAGGGCGATCGCTGTGGCGGAATGGATGATGCAGGAATCACTGGGTCGGGTGGGGAAAGGGAAGAGTGGCTGATGTGCTCTGGGTGCCTGGAGATTCAGTGTGGCTGTGCAGAGATTGCGGCAGCCCGTACGATGGGATTGGCTGAGGAGGAGCTCCAAGCTTCTAGAGCTTTGGTCCCCTAAAGAAGAAGCCAATATTGGTAGAAGCTCTGGCTAGCACTTTGCCGAGATGCCTGTTAGTGTCGGCTGCAGCGCTGTGAAATTACGTGCTGGCACGGAACCCATAGAATAGGGTACTTCAAGTAGATTCCGTCTTGGGCCCGCGCGGGCATGCAAGATGAAATTCCGTATGGGGCCTGTATGGAGCAGCAGCTATATGCGCAGGAGGCCATGAGTGATTGCTTTTCAAGTGCTACCGCCAAGCACCTTGTTCCCCGCCTCGTGCGCGGTAATAGTCGCGGACCTGAGTAAGCGATGGCAGAAGACAAAAGGCCTTGCGTAAGCCAGAGTCTGCATTTGGCTGTGGAGGGATCGACGATTACTATGTAGATGTGGTTTTTGGGGTGTGCGAAGTAAGCTGAAAGGAAATATAATTCTTTTCAGCTGGTACGAGATCACGTTTGTCCTGAATCCGGCTGCTACGAGGTTACGGGCTATTGAGCGTTGCGGAAGCGTATCTGAGATTGTGTTCAAATCCGAGCGCTGCATGTTCATATGTAGCATCCAGGTATAAATGATCAGAGAGTCTTTGATCCGGGGATAGATGCTGCTAGCAACTTCTCTCCGAGGGATCAGAAATCGAAGTACTGCTCGACCTCGCTTATTTCAGTTTGATCGGCCTATGCAGATGTCAAAAAAAAAAAAAAAGAAGAAGAAGAAAAAGACTTTAGCCTGCTGTCTAAAGATGGCTTGAGCCATTTGTAGACCCTTCAAGCATCCATACAATATGAATGGTCAGATGACAGCGGAATAGAAATATACATGCGTTGTTAATCATGTCATGGACGCACATTTAGGCCCCGCCCCCACTTGATCTAGGTTGACTAAGATCAGATTTATTTAGATGCTCCAAAAGGTTCTTTCTTAAGCAATAGTCTTGGGAATAGTAGCACTACTCAGATTATTGCTACACTACAGAAACTAACACATTATCGCGAGACCTCCCTACAGCGGCAGCAGTTTCCCTCTATTTATCAAAGTTATCAAGAACGTTATGAGAAATTGAAAGACGTAGACCATGGGAAACATACGCAGAGGCAAGCTCGTATGTATGAGAAGAATCGTTGTTTTTCTTTCAACTCAACAGCCTATGCTCGGCCCACGTGTGCGGGGATGCTTGGCTCTCTGTCCTCGTGTGCTCCAGAGGACATACGGAAAAGGTACCCACAAGGAACATGACATCCTAGGCAGTTTCTTGAAAGGACAATGAACGGCAATATGTAGGACCTAGCATGTAGATCACAGAGCAATTACATTCCCTGTCGTCGCAATGTAAGAGGAGTCAAGGAGCATCACTACCCAGTACTTGCCCTACTCACTACAACCTACGGCCGTATGACACGACGAAAAAGCTCGACTCGCACGGGCCTTATAGAACGGTTTCAAAAGAGGAGAAATAGGAAAGTCACCATTGGTGCCCACCACGCAGCCGCGAGGGCTGAGGTTAATTCAGGGAGCGAATCAGCCCGAGGCTTCACCCGCTGAGGGCGCATCGCACTTGTTGAGCCCAGGGGCGCCGGGGCCCTTAGCGAGGCCCCAAAGAGCGCTTCAGCACGCCTCTGCAGCGCCTATTCTGCTAGCGGGTCGCGCAAGGTGCCCTGTAGGTGCTAGCACATGCGGCCGACGCACCACAATGGCCCCCTCACCGCCTAAGAGTTGGCGTTTTTTTTGTTGCTTGCATGCTGTGTGCAATAAGAGCACGGCCTTGTGGTCGTTATAGTGGGACTTTTGAGAAACGTCATTTGAGCCGGGGGTGCCTGAAGACGAAACACCAAACGAGGTGCATCAAAAAGTTGGAGAGCCAGGGTTCAGGCTGAGTCTGTTGGATGTGATGTGCACGGCGAGTTGACTGCTCATATTTTGCCGGCACCAACCAACTTGCAACAGCTGCTCCTATAAGTTGGTTCAGCAGAATAACAAGAAGAAGCTGGGAAATCAAGTCAAAGTCTACAAAGGCTGCCTGCCTTAATCTAATACGAGGACAAAGAGACGTAAACGCCACGGCCAATACGATACATGCCCTCATCAGTTAGTACCAACGGTACCTGCTGAGCTGTGCGAGGTACCTACATGCAGCAGCAGGCTTTGGCCTCGTTTGACTTACTCGCATCGACTGCTGATCCCTCTGATCTGGCGCTCCACCGCCTTATCTGTCCTTTCTCGCTTGCTTGTTTTTCCGGGTCCCAGCCTGTGTCTCATCTCTCGCCTGTCTCTGTCCAGCCCCGGCAAGCGTCAATGTCAATGGGTCTTTAAAGCGTCTCGTCCCCTCGCCTCCCCAGCAGAGCAGCCCTTTGATACACGCTGTTTACCGAAGCAATTGCGCCGGCTGAGCGGTCCTTTGCACCGAATCCTTCGACAGCTGCTTTAGGGGAGCTAGCCTGCAAGCTTTGGGCGCCACTCCGCTGCTGGCGCGCCTGCAAGTGTGGGAGGAAAAAAAAAGTTGCCCAACCAGTAGCCCACAGCGAGACATCCCACCACCCCCACCACACCCTCTGGACTGGCTTCCAGCTCGAACCTGGGTGGTCGCAGCAATCTGGACTCACCTCCGCCGTCTCATCCCTATTTTATTCTTGTCATTCGTATTTGCGCTGGTGCAGGGAGTCCCGAGTTGCTCTTTCGCGACCGCTACTTTCTTTCTTTTCCCTTTTTTTATTCGTTCTTTTCTTTCTCCCAAAGAGCCGTCGACAACATGGGCGACTCAAATGGCCTTGCGACCAAGGCTGCTGGCGAGAAACCGGCCGCCAGCTCCTCTACAGCTCCCCACGGCTCTCGACTCGCCAACGGTTCCGCGAACGGGCAACGGTATATGCAGACCAATGGCCACAATGTTGTTCTCGTCCGTCGGGTGAGGCGCAAGGATGAAGGGCTCTGGAAGCCTCTCGCTCGCTGGTTCGTTGAGCACCAAGTCGGTATGTTGGATTCCTTGCTTCCAGTTCCCCGCATGTAGCCGCGCAATTGAGTTGCGCACCAGAATGTCGCAGCCTTGTTCGGTGCCAAACATTGCGCTTTTCCTCTCTATGCTGTATATAATCTACAGTGTCTACTACCGTGGTGCATTTGCTGACTTGTTGCGTCTCAATGGATATAGGCCTGTCGCTCAACCTGCTCTCTCTTCTTGTCCTTGCCCACGCCTGTATCCCCAGAGCTAGAATACACACGAGAAAGTTCTTCCACCTCTCTTATTTCAATGAAGCGACTGGCAAGTATGCCACCGGACAGGATGATCTCTGCTTGATTGCCGCTTTCATTGTTCTTTTTACTGGTCTCCGAGCTGGCACCATGGATTATATTCTGGCGCCCTTTGCTAGACTCAATGGCATCACCAACCGAAAAGACATGACCCGGTTTAGCGAACAGGCCTGGCTGCTGATTTACTACATGATCTTTTGGCCTACCGGAGTGGTACGTGGTGGAGAAGCCGCCTTCTTTGTATGTCACTGACTGACTGTAACTGTAGTATCTGTATGTCAACTCTCCCGCCTGGCTGAACATGAAAGAGCTATGGACCGACTGGCCGAATCGCGAAATGGGCGGCCTCCTGAAGGTCTATATGCTTGCTCAGTGGGCATTCTGGCTGCAGCAAATTGTTGTCATCAACATTGAGGATCGCCGCAAGGACCACTGGCAAATGTTTAGCCACCACCTTATCACGACGGCCCTGATTTCGTCTTGCTACTGCTACCACCACACCCGTGTTGGACTGTTCATCCTGGTCATCATGGATGTGGTGGATCTCTTCCTTCCTGTAGGTTACCTCCTGATTGTTCAAGTTGGCCCTAAATCTGATTACTGACTCGACAATTGCTTCTAGGTCGCCAAATGTCTGAAATACTGCGGATACAAGACGCTATGCGACTTGACTTTTGTTCTCTTCATGGTATCATGGTTCGTTGCTCGACATGTCTTTTATATCATGGTGTGCTGGTCCATCTACGCCGATACTCCTGTAATTATGCCTACTGGATGCTTTGCTGGACCGAATGACTCTTTGGTTGGACCTATGGAAGCCCCTGCCGGCTTTGCTTACCTGATTGAGCCATTCTTCAGCTCGACCGGGCGTGTTTGCTACAACGAAACGGTTAAATGGGCCTTCCTCACGCCTCTCCTCCTCCTCCAGGGCATTACGATTTTCTGGTTTACCATGATTATCCGGGTTGCCATCAAGGTCGTACGCGGAGATGGTGCGGAAGATTCTCGAAGTGACGACGAGTATGAAGAGAACGAAGACGAAGAGGAGCTCATCTACGAGGAAATCCAGCCGCTCGAGCAAGAGGTGGGCGTGGAAGACCTGGATCTGAAGAGCTGGGAGCGACGCAACGGGCTTAAGAAGCAGGCTTCTGCTAGCGGAGTTAGCTTACCGGGACACAGCGATCGCAAGGAACTCCTTGGCCGTATTGGCTGTGAGAAACAGGTGGAATGATTTCAGCTTCCAGCTTGGGAAAGAGAGAGAAAGGAAAGGGAAGGGAAGGGAAGAAGTTTTATTTCTTGGGACGATGGCGTTGAGGAGTTGCAACTGCCCTTTGTCGATTTTCGATTCAAGTTTCTCATCCCGTTAATGGGAGGGCACGTTGTTTGTTTCGTTTCTTTTTTTTTCTTGTCAACATGAAACTTTTTTTTTTTTTTGGGATATCGGGTTGCTATGTTCAACTGGTAGGGTTTTGTACCACTGAAAGGGGCTCAGATAGAGCAAGACGGACGGGTTGTACAGATGAGATGATGCTGGACGCCCTGATTGATACCATATGTTATGAAAACTGGCCGATGGGAATGCCAATGGAAAAAAGATGCTGTTATAGACTCATAGAGAGTTGATATATCATGGTTGTTATATATATATGTATGGGCACACACACATATATTTTTATGTATATGCGGGAAACTCGTTTGCCCTGTTGTTTGCTTTTGAAGAGTACAGCTACTACTACTACACCTTGTGCATCATCATTTAGTAATTGCAAAATGTAACATTAACAAAACTAACAATAGGCTAATACCCCATCATAAATAACCATATCTCATTCCCCTAGCTAAATGCTCTTAGCTCCCAAAAGTTCCAAAAAAGATGCTATATATATGTCATATGATTAGATGCTTCGACCAAAAAGAAAAAAAAAAGCAATAATTACAGTTTTTTTTTTTCTTGTCAGATTTTTTTTAAATCCCTTTTTACTCTTGTTAAAATATTCATCCTCATCTTCATAGCCCCTCCTCAAGCATCTCCTTGGCCATATCCTGCAGCTTAAACTTCTGAATCTTGCCGCTCGCCGTCTTGGGATAGTCCGTCACCCAAAAGACATACTTTGGCACAAGATGGCTTGACAAGTTGGTGCGCACCCACTGCCGCACATTCTCCTTTGTCAGCCTCTTGGCAGCCTCGTCACCGTTGTTGTTGTTGTTGTTGTCGCCGCTGCTGCTGCTATTCGCATCGGCCGTCGTCCAGCCCTCGCTGGGGATGACAAAGGCCGCGACAGCCTCGCCCAGCCTCTCGTCCGGCACGCCCGCCACGCTGACCTCTTGCACGCCGGGCAGCTGGAACAGGCAGTTCTCGACCTCGAGCGGGTGGATGTTCTCGCCGCCGCGGATGATGAGGTCCTTGATGCGGCCCGTGATGCGCACGAAGCCCTGGCCGTCCATCTCGGCCTCGTCGCCAGAGTACATCCACGTGCGGCCGTCGCTTTCCTCGCGCCTCACCTGGGCGGTGCGCTCCGGGTCGCCAAAGTAGCCCTTCATGACGAGGTAGCCCGAGGCGGCGAGCTCGCCGCGCTCGCCCAGCGGGAGGACCCTGCTGCGGTCGAGCGGGTCGACAATCTTGACGGTGGTGTGCGGCATGGGCGTGCCGACGGACGAGGTGCGCTGCGTAAAGGGGTCCGACGGCCGGGTCATGCAGCTGACGGGCGCGGTCTCGGTCATGCCATAGCAGATGACCAGGTCCTCCAGGCCGAGGCGGCGGTAGATTCTGCGCATCAGCGACTCGGGCACGCTGCTGCCGGCGACGATGCCCTTGCGCAGGTGCTGCGGCACGGGCAGGTTGTTGGCCTGGTGGTCCATGGCCTCGAAGACGGAGACGAGCATGGTGCTGACGCCGTAGAGGCCCGTGGCCTGGTGCTCGGCGGCCATGCGCACGGTGGCGATGGGATCAAAGGCCGGCGAGGGGAACAGGATGGCCGAGCCGGTCGTGGCCGTGGCCATGTAGCCGAGCACGGAGCCGAAGCAGTGGAACAAGGGGGGCGGCACGACGATGCGGTCCGAAGGGTCCAGGCCCATGCGGTCGGCGATGAAGGCGCCGTTGTTGAGGATGGCGGTGTGCGAGAGCTGCGCCGCCTTGGGGGCAGAGGTGGTGCCGGACGTGAACTGGATGTTGATGGTGTCCAGCGCATGCAGGGGCGAGTCTGGCGTGACGGCGCGGTCCGAGCCCTCGAGGAGCGTCCTGTACGAGCCGAGCGCGCGGTACTGCTCGAGCTTGAAGTCGTCGACGATGCTGCCGTCGTGGCTGGCGCGGTTGTCCACCACGATGACCCGTCTCAGCGAGGGCACAGACTCGCTCTGGATGTCGCCATCCTGGCGCTGGACGTCGCCGATGATCTTCTCCAGCAGGGCCTTGTTGCTGCGCCCTTTCCCAGGCCGGTAGGCCAGATCGGTGACGGCGCCGATGATGAGGACCTCTGCGCCGAGGTGGCCCAGCGCGGACTCGACCTGCTGGGCGTTGAAGCTCGGGTTCAGGGGCACCAGCACGGCGCCGAGCTTGAAGAGCGCGTAGGTCAGGGCGGCGAACTCGGCCGTGTTGCCGAGGGAGACGGCCACGCGGTCGCCTTTGCGGACGCCGAGCGAGGCGAGAGAGGAGGCGAGGCGGTTGGAGGTGAGGTCGAGGTCATGGTAGGTGAGGGTTGTCTCGAGGGGGGAAGAAGACTGAGTTGGTGAGCGGGCGATGACGGCGGGACGGTCGCCGTGGCGGGAGACGACGGAGGCGAAGTGGTCGGGGATGGTGCCTGTGAAGAGAGCGGGCTAGGAAAAAGAGCCGTGTTAGTATATATGTGTATATGGAGCTTGAAAATAGGGGATTTTGTTGGTGTTGAGAGAGAGAGAGAGAGACAGAGCGAGGGGAGAGTAATGGTTGACGAGCAGACACTTTGAAGCCTTTCGCTGGTATATTGCTGTGCCCAACAACAACAACAACAACAACAACAACAACAAGGTATCTGTCTCTTTCACTTGAAAGTCGACATCATCATCCTTCACTCCTACTCGCTTCCCCCCCGCATAGCTCCCCCAGCATTCACATGCCACTCACCTCCATCGGTCCCGTCCGTATACTCAACCCCTCAGTGCCCAGAAGCCGCGCCGGCTGCTGCCACTCTGCTCGGCCCTGCAGCAAACTCTCATCAAACCCGGGCGTGCTCGTCGCTGTCGCTGTCGCCGCCCCTGCTGCTGCCGAGCTCAAGCCAGCAGCTCTTCTTCTCAACGCAGCTCGCACTGCGGTTCTGGAGCTCCGGCCAAGGAGAGGGCCAGAGCAGGTCCGAGTGTAGATGGACATGATGGCGGAGTTTTGTTTGATGATGATGGGTGTCGTCGTCCGTGGATATCAATATGTAGTAGGCGCTCTCCTCGCCAACGTCATAGCATGAGACGGAACGTCGCAAGAAAAAAAAAAAAGTGATGCTATCGTATCGCCAAACCACAATCACACAGAGAAAAGAGAAAAAAGGGAATCTTTACAGGCAAAGGGAGGGATGAGGCTGAGGATGAGACAAACAGTAGGAATAAGAAAAGGGAAAAAGCAAACAATCTCCCATTCCAATTTAAAAAAAAAAAAAAATACACAAAAATACTTGTTAACACATCCAACACATACATGCGGCACGCACGCACACACACCAGCTTCCTCGCTTTATAACAAAAGACAACACACCTACACTTATTTTTTTTTTAAGACCGAGGGACCAGAAATTCACAGCATCCGCAGGCGGCGGCGGCATATCGATATCCACCCGAGAAAGCAACGAACGCTTTTTCCCCAGAAAAAAAAACAAATAGGTAATAGGAACACGGATAGAGATCCAAAGGGAATTCTCCACCGCCCACTTCGGACCGTGTTCACGAGCTGAGTCTACGGAAGCACCCAGCACCCAGTTAGAATGTACAGTACAGTGTAGCAATTAACCAAGCCACAAAAGAGCCTTTTTGTCTTCTCCACAAATCACCGCGAAGCTGTCTCTCGTTGGCCTCGGTACTCAAAAGCTCATCCAAATAGGAAAAAACAGGAGAACTAAACCCAGCGCGTTTCCTTAATGTTTTGCGCCCCTCATTCGCTTCCCCCGCGAGAGAGAGAGAGGGGGGGATTTTAATAAAAGCCCCGATTCCTAAAATGGAGGAGCGCTCCGTATGGAGATTATTTTTTGGTTTTCCCCGCAGAGATGCGGTCCGGTTCGGGCTGCAGGGGCAAAGAATATGCTGCCTTTTTTTTTCTTTTTCTTTTTGTTATACAACAGTTACTTAGCTGAGCGGCTGATGTTCGCGTTCTAGCCGATGGCCCTGCCGTATCTGCAGACGTGGCCATTTTTCTCGAATTCCAGGATTGTAGATGGATAGCTACAAGGGAGAATGCACGCTGACTCGGTCTATTCTTATTATTTCTTATCTTAGTATTGTTAAGTAGCATCTTCACAAAAACGAATTGTGCAACTATCCTATCATGGTCACCAGCTGTATGAAACAGACATGCTGGCTTACACAAAAACCAAACCAAGCTCAGCACTGTCTACAAGCGGCAATATCTAGGTGCATGGCCACGCATCAAGCCGTGTATATGCGGCAGTCGGTACGAAAAAAAAAAAAAAAAAAAAAAAAAGAGCCAAACAAGATGCCCATCCATCTTACACGGACAGCGCGGATAAAGCTCCGTGCATGCAGAGGCAGCGATTCCTTCTTACACCGCGGTCAATGCAACCCCGTCGACGGAGCGGCCTCTGCGGGTCCCGGAGCGCGCATGCTGACACTGTGTTTAACGACGGGATTTAGTGACCTCGGCTCTAATCTGCAGGCTAGATTGCGGTAGCAGCGCCAACGGCTATATCTGCATTGCGGCACCTGGTGGCGGGCTGCGCGATTGTGCAACTACCAACAGCAGAAAACCACACAAAAAGATAACGATAGTTCTGCTGTGACGCCCCGGAGTGCCGTCGAGACTCGCTTAGCCACACCTACATGACCCGATCTAGCTGCGTCATCTTGATCTGGCTAGATGGCCGCGATCCAAGCTAACATGTCACTTGTCAACTCAACGAACTTCAGCAAAAAAGAACCTTGCAAGAAAATAATTCGCAAACCGCCGATAATATTGATATATATGCGTATATATGCTAATCGCAAATCAAATCAAACTCCATCCGGCATCTATTCTCCCCTCCGAAAAAAAAAAGTCAAAAAAACACAACCCGGAAAATACATGAGTCTTGAGCTTGTCCCAATGCTTGATGCTACCTCAAATGTTGTAAAAGCCTCCTTTTTGCCTCCCCCTACCGACATACAGCCGCGCAACACCTATACGCAGAGCTGCGAGAAACGAAAACGATGAAAAAAGAGAAAATATTACCCGAATATAGATGATAAACCGATGCGGAATCCAGCCCACCGCAGTCGAAGCGAAGAGGATGAAAAAAAATATACAGGTGCTGTTACAAAAAGGAAAAAAAAAAGGAGATAACGTGTCCTCCATTTAGTCATGCAGTTATAGGATTTTTTGCGAGAGCTTATTGTTGCTGTCCGTCTTCCACCAATCCGCCAAGCTCCTGTTGGACTTCGCCAATGTGTCTTTCGCTTTCGGGCTTCCATGTTCCTGGGAAATCGCAGTGTTAGCTTACATCGATTACGCTCCAGGTATCTCATCCGACGACTTACCCTCAAAATCGTGTTTTACAAACGCCATAGGATCATCATAATCCTTAGCACCCATCTGGCCAACACCAGGCGAGAAGCTTGTGATGGGCAGAACCACAACGTCTCCAACGCGCTTGCTCGTCTCCATGCCAGTAAAGTTGCGATAGTCAATCTTGCCCTTGCTATGCTCCATATCGAAGAAGCGCTCGTCGTTGAAGTAGTCCATGATGGTGTCCGTCCAGACGGCTGGTCCAGTCAAGTCCACAACGTTGTTGCCCTTGAAGCTCGAGAGCTTGCCGGCCTTCTTCAAAGCCAGCGTCGAGTTGGTAATCCGGCTAATGATGTCGCGCAGCACGGGATGGCCGGGCTTGGCTTGGATGGTCCATTGGCAGAATTGGATGCGACGGCTGTACCAGTCAGCCCAATCGGCGCGATCGGGGTCCGCCTCGATGCCAATAACCAAGCCAACAGTCTCCTTGGGAATCTGCGCGGGAATCCATTCAAGGGCACTGCGTATAGCGTAGGTATCAATGTCAGAGTAGATGCCGCCGCGCGCGTACAGAATGAGGTAGCGGAAGAAGTCGGCCTTGAGGACGGGCAATGGCAGAGCGTGATATGTCTCCAGCACCTCGGGGATGCTCGCATACAGCAGCTGGAGCAGAGTGGCGGCAACAGAGTCGGTGATGACCTCGTGGATGAAGCCTGGGTGCTCAATTGACCACGAAGCCTCCTGCTCGCGGAACTCGAACTCGCCATCGCCGGGAGTGTGCTTCCATGTTTGCCAGATGTAGGCGGGGAACTTGGATTCGATGTCGTAGGAATATGTGTAGTCGAGCTTCTCGTATGTAGACATGCCCGACATGTCAATCATGGGCTTCTGCGGAGGAGGCGGCGGGACCGCTCGTTGCTGGCTGGCGGCTGCAGCCGCTGCCGCTGCGGCCTCTGTCTCTGTGTCATGCTTCTCGGATGAGCTGGGAGCGCTAGGGCCGGAAGAAGTGTGTGATCGGGAGACGAGGAAAAAGACGGTTAACAGGAATGCCGCAGCAATGAAGGCGCGGCGTGGATTCAGCATTGTGGCGTTTGTCTGGCGTTCGCTTCGGCTCCAAGATTACGTCAATAAGGGTAAGGTGACGCGAGGGCGAAAATATATGTCGATGCAGTAGTTACCCAGTACGGACTGGATAGAATTCAAGCTATAACCGGATCATGGAATAGCTATCTCGTCGGATACCGCAATATTTCCTGGCGAGGGAAGACCACGGGAGAGTGAACGAGGAAATAGTAGTTGAAGAACAAGGACGCGAAGAAGACAAGTTTCTCGCTTGCTTCCGCTTGGCAGGGGGGCAAGATGTGGGTTCTCGTTTTCGATATCTCTCTTCTTTCTTCGCTCGATTAGGCGTCGACGGGGGACAGAAGATACGAGATGGGCAAAAATACGGAGACCCAATGCAGAAGAAGGAGGAATTAGAGGGGATTGCGAAAGGGGGGCTGAGATGCCACAATGACGGGGACACAATCTTAAGGTTAAAAGAAATAAACGATTGACGGGAGAAGGAAGGAAAAAAAAGAAGCCGTCGAGATGCAAGGGCCGTCAACGAGGAATTAGAGCAACGAGGGGGAAAGGAAGAGGTGGTTGATGGAAGAAGGATAAAAAATGAAGAGATACGGCTCGAGGCGAGGATGGGGCGGATGCATGCATCGATTTGATGTCACTTTTTTTCTGGCCTCGTTCCGCCTTGCGACGCTGGTGGGAGGGGAGGCTTCCGAGCTAAAAATTGGCAAACACGCAGAAAAATAGGGGCGCTTCAGCTAGCAGCGCAGCACTGCCAGAAGCCGTTTTTGGTGGCGTTTTGGGGCCGCTAATCTCATCGTCGCCTAGCACGAGTTTACCACGCTGTCGATGTGTGTAGCTGCGTTGCATGGGCTGTTGTTGCCGCCGGCCTGGCCGTACGAGGAGACTATTCCGCTGCAGATACATGCTATATCGCTGCGTGGCCGATTGCAATGCCTTGCTCTATTTTTTCGACCCGGCGGGAACCTGGTGGTGTTGCCGTGGCGCTGCTCTCCCTCCCTCGACAAGTGACGTTGCCGTGTCTAAGAATAGCCCCGGGATATCGCCTCGCCTGCCTCAATCGCATCTCTGACGCTGATCAAACAGGCTCAATGGCACTCCAGCAGCGGGGGGATGCAGCAGCCTCGACCAAACTGACGTGATGCTTCGGCGATTTGCGCGCGCACCTGCTCCTCGCGGCCGGGCTGCTGGTGCCCAGCACATACCATGTACGCAAGATGCGACTCGCTGCCGCACCGCGAGTGTCAGAAAATAAGGGATCAGATATATGGAGCTGCTGGGTCTGACAAGGCGCAAGCATGAAACGCCAGACTGCCTAGCGCGGAGATCTGTTGGTCGTTTGCAGAGAGATCGGCCACCCTTGGCGCGACGCTACAGCACAGCGTGCCTGAAGGATAGAGAATGACCCGAGGATTTGCACGTTGCTTATCCATCTATATTTACTTATTTATTTGGCTTCTATACATGCCAGTTGATATGCATTGGTATGTGATCACGCAACCATGTCTGTTCTCTATTTTGGCACGTCAAGACTCGCATAAATCCGTCTTGCACAGTTCATCTCGCTGCTGACATCAACGCAACACAGCTGTGGAGCGACGTCATTTCCTCCGCGGGGACCCCTAAAAGCCAGAAAAATTCGCGCTATGGGGGCATCTCGTAAAAAACAGCTTGGAACAAAGTACTGTACATACTTCTAGCAAGTTAGTAGGTTAGCAGTAGCGCATGTCAAGTGCAAGGACACCTCTGTCTCGAACGATGTATTCTTTATTCTTGCCATTTCTGCCTCTCCCATAGGTTGGTCGCATTGCATTGCATGCAGCCAAGCAAAACAGTCGTGTTTAAAGTTGATTGTCTCGTTCCAACCTTAATACTACTATTATCCAACAGCCGAAACTGCACCGGCTCTTTTTTTTTCCCTTCCTTTAAAGGGGAAGCGCCACGGTTACATCCCATGGGCCTTATCAACTCGCAGCACACTATAATTAGGCATTTTTTTTTCTTCCTCTCTTCTTTTTCGGCGGACAGGCCACCCCTGCAATCCATCATTTCCGAACATTCATTTCTAGCTAATTTCACACGAGGTCCCTGATAAGCGACGTTTTTTTTTTCCTCGCTGGGGCACGTAGATGCGGGCGAATAAGAAGTGCTGATCATAACGTGCAGTGCTTGATATACTCAATTTATCGTATCATTCTCACATGATGAAAAAAGCAGGGCTAATGCACAGCTTATCTGATTCACTAGGACTCGACATCCAACAGAAAGCAAGCAGCTCCAAGAACACGCGAGAAAGAAAAATACAAGCTTTCCTTGGCGAGATTAGTGGCTCGTAATCGTGCATGGCGCTATCAACTCACACACCGTAGCTAGAACCTCATCAGTTCGTATTCTGCATCTTATAGGCTATATGGAAGCCTCGGAAACGCTTCCCTTGCGCAGCTGAAAAAAGGCTCCATCAGTCATATATTGCACTTGGCCAATGAGCTTATTCGTCAAAGAGGCATGCATGCGATGGAATGTAAAAACTTACGAGTCCCACAGTCGACATCCTTGCCATGGCGATTACCGAAGTCACAGCAGGGAGCATCGCTGTTACGAAAGCAGAGACCGGCGAGAGCGCTGACGGCGAAGAGGGTGACTATAGAGAACTACATGCTAAAAGCCGTTATAGATTTTTGTCCCAGAACAAATTGTTAAATAAATAAGAGTGTTCAATGTAGTTACGAAGAGACGGGCTAACGCCAGGAAAGGTGGCATACATATATATATGTATATATATAGAGAGAGAGAGCCTGTTACAATCCCACTCACGGTGCATGGAACCGAATATGTAGTGAGGCTGAATCTAGCATGGTCAAATTTCAGAATACCGACAGCTTGGGACAACTATGAATAATATTTAATGATCCGTAGAATGGTATAGTGGTATACCTAAAGAGGGCTAATAATACAAACAGCTACGTATTGTAGCTAGAGAAAATACTGTCTAAACTTAGATGCTTTCACCCAGGGTCATCTATATAAAATTAATATTGTAGTTTACTGTACAACACAGCTATGCACAAAAATAAAAGAAACGAGCTTTCTTGGCGAGATGAGTGCTTCATACTCATGCCTGGCTCTATGATCCAACACGCCGTAGCCGAAACCTCGTCTCTTCGTTTTACACCATGCATACAAGACTCAGAAAATCCTCCTCGTGGGACCGTAACCAACAATTGTTTCTACTTGTTCAGGAGCACCGTAACGCGTGCTGCCCGAGATGAGAGTTTCAATAGTCGGCTGTAACGTACTGTATAGGGTCTGCAAGCTTCAAATTGATTCGATTTCGGCTCGCCTATCGTTTCTGATAGAGTCCCATTCGGCACCAGCTTCCGGTGTACAACTAGTATTTCTAAAAATTGTGTAATCAGTCTTGAATTAGAGTTAAAAAAAAAAAAAAAAAGGATGCTTCCTTTTTCCATGCTCCCATTCTACTTTTCAATTTTTTTCTCCACCCCAATTCACCTACCTACATAATACGAGCTTTTCAAAGTGTCCACTAATCTTCGTATTCCACCACAAATCTAGATCTTTTCTCTCTCTCGCTCGCCGCACGGGCCGAAGAGAGGGCGGAGCTTGGGCAAGGCTAATTGATGACAACATCCGCGAATGATATGACTGAAAGAAAGGAGCGGCGGCGGCCCATGCCAAGCGCCGTCGCTTCTACGATGCCGAATAGGGCTGAAGTGCTGACTTCCAGTTCCAATGGTCTATTTCTCTCTCTCTCTTTTTTTTTTTTTTTTAACCCCCTTCTCATGTGTTTGCTTACTTACCTATACAAGCTGAGCTGAGCTATAGACTGGCTGTGAGATTCGTCTAATCGTGCGAGATGTCATTAGCGGCGTCTACGTGGCAGCCAATAATTGACCCATACCTTGAGCTGAAAGAAGGTCGCACAACGAAATTAAGTGTTCAGCGTAGGCTATGGAAACATGACGCACGCATACATGTAGGTGACCAAGATAGAATATATCCAACATATCAAGGCCACCTAGATATTGGATGGAATCGGATGCATGCAGTACATATCGCCTTTACCTAAATCGCTTTCTTTTCTTAATCTACGCTCTTTTGTCTATCCTATGCCCTCTCTTTCAGCTAATTCATTTCTGACAACTTAATTTTCCTTCATTCGCTGCGTTCGTGCATTTGCTTTGACTCTCCATTCTCTTGCAAGTTTTCACAAGTGCCCTTGATCTTATATCTTCCGTAGCCCAGCCTCTTTGTGGCTAGATGCTGATATCTTCCAAAGACCGTACGGTATTCGCCAACGCCGATCCACGGGTTTGCACGGGTAAAAGTGGCCCAGGCAAATCGTGCAAATAGATTCGGTCTTGAATCTTCAGAGAGCTGGAGGGCAACACTGCCGTGGTATTTCGGCCAGATTTCCTCAGCGCTTGTCGAGAGAAAATTCATCACATATTGCATACCCATCGGGGTTAATTTGGGTACGATAGCAAAACACTCGCCGTTGAAACATTTGCACACGTCTTCCCGCAAGGGGAAAACAATACAGTCACCGTAGATTGGTAGTCTGGGAATTGCCGATCGGTCGTGATCCATTCCATTGGTTGAATACCATTGGGCTTCCCTTAACGGGACAAGATGTGCTTCAACAGCCTTACAGCATGTGATGCTGCAGACCTGACGATCGATCGCCCTATTGAGGGTGATTTCCGGCCATATATACTTCAAACAATCGTGAGGAAATATCCAGTCTTGGAAGATGCCACCATGGGATAAAAATCTGAAGGGAAGGTGTCATCATGCGATATAAAACAAGTAAAGGAGGGTAGAGTGCGTGGACTAACTGCATCCTGGAATGATAAAGTAATATTTGTCCTCTGTCAGAAGATTCTCTGGTCCCAAGCTGGTATTATAGGCCTCTTTCCGGTCGAGGGAGAAGTAACCGTGATAAAAATGATTGCCAGTCAGAATCCCACAGGCTATGCGAGCTGTGTAATGAGGCACTCCAAAGGTGATTTCACCAGAGCCCTGAGATATTTGAAAGTCGGTTTTTGGGAGAGATAGAAAGCAATTGTACGATTCTGAATAGACAGGGTGAATGAATTTGACGACAAAGCTCCCCTGAGGATCACGTACAGGCTGAGGAACAGCCTGTGTCTCCACGATCGCTGGGTTAGGGACTTCTGCACCCATCGTGAAAAGACTGGGAGTAGTCAACTAGGAATAGACGGCTAGTACGATAATACACTAGTGAATTTGAATACAGAGAAATAAGCCTATTGTGGTAGAGTGAGAAGAAAACGATGCCGCGTTGGCAATCGAGCAGGAATAGTAGATGAAATGAAACCATGACTAGAGAAGCGGCAAAGAGATGGTCTGCATGGCCGCTTCCATTGTGATGGATTCAACTCTGGACAAGTAAACCTCTGCCCAAGTACGACTTTCTTTCGTAGACAAGGCAAATAAGACTGTCAGATACGGTGATATGGAGTGGACGATCTGTAAGGGTCGTGCTCTCTATCTCTTTCCCTCCAAACCTCATACGCTTCAAATCGAAATGTTGAGCCATCCTCTCCTGCCATAACATAGCTATTTCTACACATTTGCAGATTTGAGAAAAAAGGAAAGTAGGAGATTAAGAAGGATGGACAAATATAAATAGATATACAATACGTGTATACTCACTGCGCTCAACTCCCTGTGATGGTGCTCCTATTATCTTGGGAGGTTTTTCTTGTGAACCATTTGCTAGTCCCTCTCTTTTCTTTGTCTGTTCTATTTCTGGAACCTGCCAACACTTTAGACAAATTCCCCAAGCAGACGATTTGGATGCCAACCGTGTGGTTTTACTTCCGTTTCTGGTGCTGGCCCGCGGCTCCGCGTTCTAGCACAAAATAAGAATAAAAGACGGCGCAAGCGGCTCCGTAGCGGGGCAGCCGCAGATAGGAATAAAATGGAGAGATAACAACGGATTTGAAGATATGGATGGGGAATTGCATGTCTGTTTATCTCAGGATAACTACGGAGCATTTACTGGTACGTAAAATAAACCGCAATGCTGAACAGTCTGAACCTGCCATTAAAGACTGGAAGTGCTATTCTGTTGCCTTTGGCATGTACGGAAGTACATTCCCTCTTATAATCTGTGTGTAACATGAAAGAGACAATCAATCACGCGCAGCAAGATGTGGCATCTCTGTGTCACAAGCCGTCATGAATGGAATGGCCAAGCAAATGACGAGGATTCCAAGCCATACTGCACCACCCTCAGTCAGTCCTATGCAATCAGTTGTGCGCCCTTTGCGCTGGAGCAAACGCCATCAGAAGTAAGTTACAAAAAATTGCCTAATCAGGCAACTATTTGCCAGCTCCCAACACAGTCTTTCATCTTTGCCGCAACCCCTCACTCAGTTCCCAAAATTGGCCGCAAAAGCTGCTTGACGTCTCCGATTTCCGTTTGCCCATTGACGCAACAGATCCAAAAGCAGGCAATAACCTTCACATGAGCCAGGATGCAATGCGTACCTGCTTATAGACCTAATGCAGCTGGGCAATCAGATCATGCCACAACGTGCGAGACCCGGCCCGGCGCCGGTGAACTATCACGGCCATTGCCTTGAACCTCATGCACGGCCAGCATAGTATCGCCCCGAACGGGAATGGTCGGGGTCATGTGCCGAAGCGGGATCTTTAACGTTTTGGGGGGTTCAGGAAGAAAGCCAAACGTTGACCAAACAATGCTTGGCCCGTAGATCGGCGAAAGCCCATTCTCGCTGTGGCCACGGGCTCTTGTTATCAAAGGTGTGGGCACCAAGACGGCGTCAACAGCGTTAACAGCCTCTCTGATACCGCGCCGCCGGCCGTGCTATTGGCTGCTCTGTGGCGAATAAAACGCGGGGCAAGGCGCTAAGACCGTTAAAACCCCCAAATTTGGAGGGGCGCTGTGGCTGCCCCGCCTCCGCTTTCCAGGCCCAATCGCTGGAGTTGAAGCTGCGACTTGACTCAACGATGCAGCATCTGGGCGTTGAGGCTTCGATTTGCCAGAGATCGATCATCCATCGCCGGCTTCTATCGCACCGTATGGAAGATGGATTGCCCCCCGCTCCAATCTTTCGGCCTCGGAAGCCCGCGGGATCCTTTGCATCCTTTGGCAGTGACACGATTTGATAATGACAACCTCTGAGCATCTACTTAAACATCGCGGTCCGCCAAACGGGGAGAGACTTGCAGAACCGATCATCTTCATCCTCTCTCAACTCCCATACACAAGCATCGGGTTCAGTCTAACAATTAGACTTAAGTTCTTTTTTCCCTTTATCTCAGCCACATTGTTGTCATTAACGCTATCTGCTGAGCACTAAGCATACACCAGCTCAACCTTGTCTTTCGTCTTAGGTGATATTGCACAGCGAGACAAAAGTACAAGTTATTTCATAAAACCTAGGAGCATCTTACGTCCTGCCTTTTCCCTTTTATCATCATTATTTACTGCTTCTCAATCGTTGCTTCTCACAATGGCCGTCATCACCGCTCCTCGGCCGCATCCGCTGGCTCCACTCTCGGCAGCCGAGCATACCCAGGCCCGCGATGCTGTTGCGAAGCTTCACGGCCCCTCTGAGACCATCTTTTTCAGAGCAATCCACCTGCAGGAGCCCAAAAAGGCTGAGCTGCAGCCGTTCCTCGAGGCCGAGCACACCGGCGCTCTGACAGAAGACACCCCGCGACCTGCCAGAGAAGCCATTGTCGAGCACGATGTGATCCGCGCTGATCGTGCCGAGTACATCAACGCCGTGGTGAACTTGGACAACGGAAAGGTGTCGACAGTGTCTGCCCCTGTGCCTCATCAGCCATATTTTACTCCGTAAGTCCTTTTTTTTTTTCGTTTCTGAGAAGCATGCACAAAGCAGCTTAGCGAATCTTACACGATGCTTAGTGGCGAGTTTGATCTTTTCAACGATCATTGCATCAACTCGGATCTGTTCAAGGACGCAATGTCTGAGTTTACGCTTCCAGAAGGATTTGAAGTCTGCGTTGAGCCATGGCCCTATGGCCCTCCCAACGCCGATGAGGAAAACATCCCGCGACTGATGCAGGGATTGGTCTATGCCAAGGACGCTCGCAACGGGAACCCGGATTCCAACCACTACGGCTATCCCATTCCCATTGTCCCCATCATGGACTGGCACACCAAGAAGATCACCAAGGTTGAGAGAATTGCAACTGGCGGCATTGGCGATGAGCTAGAGGCCAAGGTCCGAAGTGATAAGCCCGTCAAGCTGTTTGAGAACCACAAGGGCTGCGAGTATGTTCCCGAACTGCTTGACGTTCCCCTGAGGACGGACCTGAAGCCCATCAACATCACCCAGCCAGAGGGAGCCTCCTTCACCGTTCAAGACGATGGTCTGATTGAGTGGCAAAAGTGGAGGTTCCGTCTTGGATTCACCCCCCGCGAGGGAGCCGTCCTGCACGATGTTCACTACGACAACCGCTCAGTCATGTACCGCGTCAGCTTCAGCGAGATGACAGTTCCTTACGCAGACCCTCGACCTCCTTTCCACAGGAAGCAGGCCTTTGATTTTGGCGATGGTGGCATGGGCCGCGCAGCCAACAACCTGGAGCTGGGATGTGACTGTCTTGGCGCAATTCATTATGTCGACGCTCTTATGACTGAGCCTGATGGCTCACCATCTCCCGGCAAGGCTGTGGTGTGCCTCCACGAGCAGGACAACGGCATTCTGTGGAAGCACACCAACTTCCGCACCAGCCGAGCTGTTGTGACTCGCAACCGTGAATTCGTGGTCCAGTTCATTACCACTCTGGCCAACTACGAGTATATTCTGATGTTCAAGCTGGATCTTGCCGGTACAATTACACTCGAGACCCGTGCCACTGGCATTGTCAGCGTCACAGGCATCGACGAGGGAAAGACCAGCGCCTATGGCAACATCATGACTCCCGGAGTCATGGCCCAGAACCACCAGCACGTCTTCGCCGTGCGAATCGATCCCGCCATCGACTCTTACAACCCCGCCGATTCGCAAGTCATCATTGAGGAGTCACACAGCCAAAAGATTGATCCCAAGACGAACCCATACGGCAACTTCTACAAGGTACAGCGCCAAAAGGTCGAGGAAGCTACCTGGGTCGACGCCGAGCCGCGCATCAACAGACTGCTCAAGTTTGAAAACGCCAACAAGAAGAACCCCATCTCTGGCAAGAATCTCGGCTACAAGCTCGTCGCGCCGACGACTGCCATGCTGCTCGCCGAGCCGGAGGCCCTGGCGGCGCGACGTGCGCTGTTTGCCCATCACAATGCCTGGGTGACGGGATACCGAGATGGTGAGCTTTGGGCTGCTGGCGAGTTTACAAACCAGAGCACGCACGAGGTTGGTGGCGTGGCTGATATGGTTAAGCGAGGAGATTGGTTCACAGATCGAGAGTCGAACGGAGCCAACGGCACAAACGGACACGCTGAGGACGAGGGCAAGAGAAGCAGCCCTGTTGTATGGAGTGTGTTTGGCCTCACACACAACGTCCGAGTAGAGGACTGGCCCGTCATGTAAGTTCAACAATCAAACCGTGCTGCTGCTCTTCTGTTTCAGAGGAAACCATTTACTAACAAAAAGTCAATACAGGCCAGTTGAGATCTTCCAGCTTCACATCCGCCCTACCGACTTCTTCACAGCCAACCCCGCGCTGGACGTTCCCGGAACCAGGAACAACGCCAGCGTTCTCCTCGGAGGATCCTGCTGCACGTCGTCTGGCGACAAGAACAACGCGGCGATGGCGCAGAACAATCCGGTGACGCATCTGCAGGGCAGCGGTGCTGCAGTTCCTGCCAAGGATGCTGGCGCAAACGTTGACGAGAAGTTGGGCAAGAGGCTGAGCAAGACGTTTAACGGCATCTTTGGATCGAAGAAGGAGGTCAAGGAGGTTAACTGAGGGATTGGAAGAAAAAATAGCTTCATTTGATTTGTAGATTTTGTGCATACTTTTTTTCTTTTCCTTGTATTTTATGTATAGCCTTTTTTTTTTTTTTTTTTTTGCATTCAAGTTGTATTAAACAAGAGATGAATCAATTCCAATAAAGCCACCCAAGCTGCATTTATTTTTTTAATATCCTCATAATATACCAATACATACGTACGTTATACACATAAAATACACTTGTATCTCTAATCATCCATTCATCGAAAAAAAAAAACTTAGTGGTTGATCTTGAGCGAGAAATCCACATGAGGGACTCCCTGATGGATCGAGCTTGTAGAGATAATGTCCACATCTATTAAGTTATCAGCAACCAATAACGCACATTCACATAGTGAAAGAAAAAAAAAAAAGACTCACCATTGCACACATATGGCTCAACGTTATCCTCCCTCAAACCCCCAGACACCTCCAGCAAAAACTGCTTCTTGCCAGCCCACCTCTCCTTCAGGCTCCTCGCCGCAATCTTGACGCCATCACCCGTAAAGTTGTCCAGCATCACCACGTCCGCGCCCGCCGCAATGGCCTCGTCGGCCTCAGCCTCGCTCTGCACCTCGACCTCAATCTTCATGCTGAACCCGGCAACCGCCTTCGCCGCCGCCACCGCCTCGGTGATGCTGCCCCTGCTCCAGACATGGTTGTCCTTGAGCATCACCATCGAGCTCAGGTCCATTCTGTGCCCGTCCGCGCCGCCAACCAGCATGCCGTACTTCTCCACCAGCCGAAAGCCGGGCGTCGTCTTGCGCGTGCCCGCCAGCACGCCCCGATATCCCGCCGCCCGCAGCTTCGACACCAGCAGCTCGCTCTGCGTCGCTATGCCGGAGCACCGCGCAAGCATGTTGAGCGCAACCCGCTCGCCGAGCAGCAGGCCGCGCGCAGGGCCCGTGACGGTGGCGACCTTCATCTTGCCGCCGTTGCCGCTCAGGTCGAGATGCGAGCCTTCATCGGCGTGCCACTCGACGGTGCAGCCGCACTGGTGGAAGACCTCGTCGAAGAAGGGCCGGCCGGCGATGATGCCGGCGGATTTGCCCCAGAGGGTGGCGGTGCGGGGCTGTTCGCCGACGACGAAGCCGGCATAGTCGAGCGAGGGCGTGTCTTCGGCGAGCCAGGCGGTGACTTGGGGCTTCCAGCTGGGGGGGAGGAGGTTGGCGAGGGATGGTGGTGATGCCGAGGCAGACATGGCTGTGGTGATGATGGTGATGATGCTGCGGATGCTGTAAGAGTCGATAGTTTGAATGGTGAGGAGAGAATGGAAGAGTATTAGGAGGCGTGGGTGAAGGAGTGAGTGGCAGTCAGAGGCGAGAGAGAGAGAGAGAAGATGGCGACGAATTACGGGACGAAGTTGTCAAGAGGTCTGGTGTTTGTCATATGGTGCTTGACTATGTTTGCGACTACGGAGCTGCGACGCTGGAGCGAGCGGCTTCCAGCGGATAGCCGGCGTTCGGAAGAGGTGGGGGCGGGCCGAGTCCAGCTGCTGATCCCGTGCTATTGATTGAAGGTGCGTTATCCGAAAGCCTCTCTATTAGGTGTCCGCATTGCATGTGATGAGTGGTATAAAGAACACCAATAGCTTCTTCTTTTTTTTTTAACTATTGTATTATTGTTCAATGCCTTATATCGACGTCGCTCTTCATTGACAACAGCACTGACAGTGTGTCGTCTTGTTCCACATATGGAATTACGCTGAGACCGATCATGTCCCTCTTCCATCAACGGCCTCTTCAATCTTTGGCAATACTTTTTTGATCGTTTTTGTTTCCAAGGAACCAATAGGCCCCGAGACATTGCGACTGGGCATGGAGGTAAATGGAAGACTTCATTTATGTGTTTTGTTTCAAGAGAGTCGTGTCTGGGTCGATGGCAATAACACGCTCGTACTGAGTCTGGTTAAAAGCCAGCAGCTTGGTATATGAGTTGGCCCATGTATCTTGGAAAATAATAGTAGCGAATTCACTTGCTCATTTATTTGCCATCCGGAAAGTTCCGACAGGATCCTTATACTGTATCTGGCTCGGCACCACTTTGATTCCGTATTCATCTCGCGCCTTGACCAACAATTCTACTTCTTGGGAACCTCCGCCATTTAGGTATTCGGGGATGATTAGAGGTTGTTGGTAGGCACGATCTGTGGTGTTTATGAGCGTGGAGAGGGGCGCTATTGTAAAAAAAAAATATAATAAGAATGACGCGGCCTCGGCGAGTGGTTACAAGAGCGATGTAGTACACAGTAATATTCTCCAAACTGACATGCATAGCTATAGCACGATGTTATTACATAGTCAAACGTAGCATTATCAAAGGGGCTAGAATGGATTGACCTAGGATGATATTATCTCAGGTCATCAATACGAGGTTCGTATCTGAGACAGTCTGACTTTTGAATCTAAACAAGCACGCGGTTGATGATATCATTTCAACCAACTCTCTTGTTGTCTAAGAAGTAGATGTTAACTACCGTCTTTGCCATGGCGCAGGATTCACGGATACAACTTATAAGGCACGGCAAGCTCAGGTCGGTAAGATGGGTAAGCCAAGGGACGTTCAGATAGTAGGGATGCTCAATCAAAGGATCACAGTATTAAATATGAGGTTACTAACTAATTCATATGTCTCTTCATGTTTGGGAGATCCGTTGATCACAACCATCAGAGATATTGAGGGTTGTCACTTATCAGTGAAAGACACCGTCAGTCTCCAGTTGCGAACAGTTAATCAGGGGTTGCTGTCGAATTTAGTCTCTAAAGATACTCATGGTCAGATTTCAAATATTGTTCAATCACCAAACTACTATACACCAAATCAAAAATCTCATGAGCCCATGCAGCCGAGGTCGGCAGAATACGTCTAGGTACGTACATGTAGTATTGGGCATCTCAGTGCCCCTCCACGTTTGGTCTGGCGGGGCATTCCAGATCCGCGCCGATCTCCGTGAGCATTGGATCAGTAACAGCCATTGACTCTCTCTCTATATATCATCTCTACATGATCTAAACATCATGCACATCACCACAAGCTTCTCTTCCTTATCTGAAGCTGCTCTCCTTCTCTCCTCCATCCTCTCCTCCTTCCCTTGCTTACAAGGTTTCGGATGGTCGCGCCGACTACCGGCCTTCTGACGCCACCGATTGGAAGCTCCAAGCCATCTCCACTGACCTAATCCTAGATCCAGATTATTTATTACATACGTGCATCCGTTCGGGCTTGAGCCGGTGCCAGCCTGCGTTAGACGATGACATCCCCTGCCCGAAACTCGATTTCGCTGGGAAACGAGAACAATTCGCCTCTCACGATAACTCGGCGGCCTCTCTTTTGATACTGCAAAGGAAGCTTTAATCAATAGCTCGAGATGGGAGAGACGGCAGAGAAAGCGGCTTGCAGAACGGCTGGCAACAGACCAGGCCTGGACGCCGAATACTACCATCTCGGCGACCTGCATCGCCCAGTTTCCACCAACAGTCCCATCGCCCAGACATGGTTCAACCGAGGCCTCATCTGGTGCTACGGCTTCAACCACGAAGAGGCGGCAAAATGCTTCGAACGCGCCATTGCCCACGACCCCGGCTGCGCCATGGCCTACTGGGGCCTCGCATACTCCCTGGGGCCAAACTACAACAAGCCGTGGGACCTGTTTGGCCGGAGAGAGATTCAAAACGCTGCCGGCCGAACGCATCACGCCATCGAAAAGGCCAAGGCCTGCGCCGATTCTGCGACGCCCGTTGAAAGAGCTCTGGTTGACGCTCTTCGGTACAGATATCCAAGGGCCGACGCGCCAACCAAGACTGACCGCCCGATATGGAATCGAGAATACGCCGATGCCATGGCTTCGGTTGCGGCCCAGTTTCCCGACGACCTGGACGTTGCCACCTTGTACGCCGATTCCATGATGAACCTCACGCCCTGGGCGCTATGGGACATCCGGACCGGCAATCCAGCCTCGGATGCCCGCACACTGGAAGTGAAGCGAGTCCTGGACCGTGGCATGTCTCTCGAGGGCGGCAACCGACATCCCGGCCTGCTCCATCTGTACATCCACCTCATGGAAATGTCCAACACGCCAGAGGCAGCCATGCCGGCAGCCAACAACCTTCGTGGCCTCGTCCCAGACTCGGGCCACCTCAACCACATGCCCAGCCATCTGGACATTCTCGTAGGCGACTACTCCAGAGCCGTCGTCGCCAACTCGGATGCCGTCCGCGCAGACGAAAAGTTTCTGAAGCGTGAAGGCCCCATGAACTTTTACACGCTCTATCGAAGTCACGATTATCACTTCCGCTTATACTCTGCCATGTTCTCGGGCCAGTCCAAGGTGGCCCTCGAGACGGTAGAGCAGCTCGAGGCAAGCTTCTCAGAGGAGCTTCTCCGCGTCGAGACGCCGCCCATGGCAGACTGGCTGGAGGCATTCCTCGCCATGCGCGTACACGTCCTCATCCGCTTCGGCAGGTGGAAAGACATCCTGGCGCTGAAGATACCCGAAGACCAGGATCTCTACTGCGTGACAACGGCTCTGACACACTATGCAAAGGGCATGGCCTTTGCAGCATTAGGTCAGGTAGATGAAGCCCGCGAGCAGCGCCAGCTATTCGCCGAGTCTGTTCCCCGCGTCAAGCCCAGTCGCACCCTCTTCAACAACAAATGCATCGACATCCTCTGCGTCGCAGAAGCCATGCTCGACGGCGAAATCGAATATCGGTCTGCCAATTACCACGCCGCCTTTGCCCATCTCCGCGAATCCATTGTCAGATACGACGGTCTCCCCTTTGACGAGCCCTGGGGTTGGATGCAGCCTGCGAGACATGCCTATGGCGCACTTCTCCTCGAGCAGGGCCATGTCAGCAAAGCACTCAGTGTATACAGCGCAGATCTGGGCATTGACGATTCTTTACCGCGGGTTCATCGCCACCCGAATAACGTCTGGTCACTGCACGGCTATCATGAGTGTCTGGTGAAACTGGGCAGGATAGCAGAGGCGAAGGAAGTGGAGGGCCCGTTGAGGAAAGCCATGGCTGTGGCCGATGTGCCTATTACGTCTTCGTGCTTTTGTAGATTAAGGACGGCCAAGATATGATGTAATGATGCGAATGCGAATGCGAATGTAATGTATTGATTGATTGATTGATTTAGTTAGCCTAGCCAGCATGTAGTTTACAGAATTTTACTTGAGGTCGATATATATATATATATATATATATATGGTTACTGGTTACACATCAAATCACACGCCTAGATGTTGCAAGGAAATGGAAGTAGCCTTACCTCACCAAAGCCTACACAGCAATCTACAATCAATGAAGGCCGTGACAGGATTCACAGGCTTCAATGCTACGGCCAAAAACACGAACGGCGCGGGCGGGGGCATGCGCATCTGCTGCTCGACAGCAGAGCGAGATCATTGCTAGATAAAAAGCGTTGCAACCATCGTCAGCAACTTGTATCGGGACAGCCAAAAAAGAAACAGTCCATAACCAAAAGCCAAAGAAAAAAAAAAGAAAAGAAAACAATCATTCCAAAAAAAACAAATCATACGCCATCCTGGTCCTGTTCGGTTGATTTGCTGGTCATCACGTCATTACCCATAATCCTCGCCTTCTCCTGCGCCAAGAACGCCTCCTGCTCCCTAGCACTCTTATCCAAGTCGAGGAACGTCCAGATGCCTCCCGTGCTAACAATGGTCAGGGCAAACAAAAAGTAAAAAGGAGCGCTGTTGTTGCTGCTGTTGGGCGTGGCATCGATGATGGCGCTGCTGATGAGGGGGCCGATGAAACTCGATGATTTGCCAATGATGTTGAAGATGGAGAAGAAGAGAAATTCGTGGCCGCGGGGGGTTACGGAGCTGATCATGATCTGCGAGTAGCTGTACCACGGGCACACGAAGAGTCCGTAGAAGGCTTGGTACACCCAGACTTCCCATTCGTTGTGGAAGCCGAACTTATCAGTCCAGTTGCCGACCATGCCCCAGCCGTCGAGCAGGATGATGGATACCATGACGGCGTTGAACATGGTCTTGGCACTGAGGTTGAACTTCTTCTGGATAAGCCAAAAGCCACCAATGCCAACGGCCTGGGCGACAATGCCCACGATGAGGAGGTAGGTCAACTTCAGCGTGTCGTAAGCGACGACTTGATTCTGCAGGGTGGAGATGACGGTAACTGTTGTGTTTAGTGAGTCTCCAATGAGGAAATATCCAGCGAGGAAGATTAGACTCTGCTTCAACTGTCGGATCTGCGTCATTGCTTCATAGAGCTGCCAAAAGCCGACTGTAACAATATTATAGCCAGGCGGGATCTGCATGCCTGGGCGCTTCTTTTCAACAAAAAACCACGGAAGCGAGAGGACCAGCCAGACAGCAGTCGCGAAAGCGATGAGCACAGACAAGCCCCAGTTATTGTTTTCGGTGCTGTCGTCCACTTTGACGCCAAACATGATGCCCACGATGATGGCTAGGATTACAACCTCGCCAACCGACTGGATGTAGAAAGACACGTTGCTAAGCCGGCTCCGCTCCATCTCATCGCGGCGATCCAGCTCTTCCAGCGTGATGTCTCCAGATTCATATTGCAACCGTGAGTCTTTGAGCTTCGTGGTGTTGCGGGCTAGAGATGGGAAAGCGGCAGTCCAATATGTCAAGGTTAGCTGATACGCAATCAAACCGACAATGTATAGCGCGGTAGCAATCTTCCACTGCTCGGGTTTGTGGACGCCGAGCCAGCCAAATCCAATACCATAGGCAATGACAGACCAGACAATCAAAATCCATCGACGGCCAGTGCCAAAATCGGCGTAGGCACCAATAATCAGAAACAGAGCGGCTTGCAGAGCAAAAGAAATGCCGTTGGCGAGCAAAACAATGCTATTCACATCGCGATATCGGCCAGCAAATTCGAGGAGGCCAGATTCGGGAGCAGCCTGAGAAAGCAGGTTTTGGAAGGCCGTAGGGCCAAAGTTGAAAAGGGACAGGCCATTGGCGCCGATGTAATAAGCGTACCACGTCCAAATTTCCCACTTGGTCGTCGTAGGTATGTCGCCTTCAGCCAAGGCCGGCATCACTGTCCCTGAAAGCTCATCGGCGACTTCTATAGTTCTTGATGGCTCAGAAAGATCTTTTTTTTGTGCATCATCGTCTCGATTCTGAGCAGGATTCGAGCTGTCGTCGGGGTGTGGCTCCAAGGCCACTTTACTCGGAGAATTTAGAGACATCTTGTATAACAACACTGCTCCCAAAGCCGAACAGGGAGACAATGGATGAGGTATTAACAACGCAGAAAACACATGAAAAGTGGACAAGACGATGGCTTTTTATTCTCTTTTTTTTTTCCTAAAACTTTTTTTTTTTTCCGATAACGAGCCAACGGGAGGCATGAGGGGTTTTAGCTCATTCAATCAGCCAGCGCGCGCTCAGAGCTCCTCTTCTTATCCCCCAAATGCCACTCTGGGAGTTGTGAAACTCTGGTTACATTGTGGATGTCTCGGCCCCATATGGCTTAGGCCTCTTTTTCCTGATTATATGAGTGCCTGTATAGTTTGAATATGGCGCCGGTTAAGACGGATTAATGATAGCAGACGACGGCGTTCGTGTTGTACAAACTCGACGAGCGTGGATGTTAGCCACATGGATCCTGGCACACCTACGTCACCGTGGGTGAGCATCCCTGCAAGGCTTGCTCTAGCCCCGTAGCACAGGTCAGCCGTTCGCGGTATTTGCTCCGTGGTTTTATCTCGCAACCGGCACGAGCAGAACGATGGGAACGATGGCAGCAACAAGCCCACGATGGGAGCGGCAGGGCGCGGTGGGAGCAGAACAATCTGGAAGCCAGCCATCGGGAGTCTAAATAAAGTTGACCAGCAGCATGTCCTTGCTGGCGGGAGGGAGGTAGCGTTAAGAGATCCGACGAGCGTAAGGGCTGGAGCGCCAACCCAGAGCAGCAAGATTCAGGGCCAGAGGCTGCATCTCCAATCCCACCACCTAAAATATCCCCCGCCACTTTCTCCGCCCAGGCTAGGCCAATTCAAACCGCTCGTCCGTCCGCTGCTGGCGAGCCCACAGAGCCAAAAAGCGAGGCGATCTCACGATCTTCCCCCGCATGAGCCTCCACGTGGATGTGATGTGCAGATGGCGAGACGCCGGGCTTTTGCGTTTCCAGAAACAGAGCAAATTGCTCCCACAGCCAAGCTTTCCCAAAGTCTTTGCGCGTCGTCGCCGAGCGATTTTCCGCGGCTCCCTCAGGCCATCTGCTAGCAACATCAGCACGAGCATAACGAGTGGCGCCCACAGATACCCTTGCAGCAGGCCATAACCCACCGAACCCCATGTGGATGCAGGCAGATGGTCGTGTTAGCACCGGCGTGGATCCAGTTCAGCCTACATGATGCTGCAAGCGTGCGATTCAGGCCAGGCTGATAGGACGGTTGTGCGTTTTGGAGGCCTGTCATTGGCCACCTTGTCTCGTGTTTCTCACCGAGTTTGTGAAGCACATGCGGAATCCGGTAAGAATCGCCCAAAGATGCAGACCTGTCGTATTTTGACTCGCGGTGGAAGAATGCGCATTCTAAAATGAAGCCAATGCGTGCGTTAAATTGCGCATTGCCTGCTGCCTGAGGAAAGGTATCTCGCAGGAAAGGGCAAAGTACGTATCTTTGCCATTGCGCACCTTACTAGCGGCAAAAAAAAAAAAAAAAAAAAAAACACCGGCAGAATATTTCAATCCTCTCGTTCACGCATTCTTTTGCTCTGATTTCTCTTGTTTCACCTTTTTCCCATTTTAGTCTCAAAGATCAAGTCAATGTGGCCAAAGAGGGTCAGTTTAGCCCCGGCGTCCCCTCTTTTGTATAAGGAATCATTATTTTAGATCGCTCTAGTGGCATGGAACTGAGCAGAGAGGCAAATTGATTCGGCCCTGCTATCAATCCACTGTAATGCTGGCTGGTTACATGCGGGTTCTCCTGCCGCATAACATTATACCGAAGGCCCTCGGCGAACTCCATCCACTGATACTGTAGCTGAATCACTTAACTTGGCGCATTGTATGGAGTTGGTCCAATGGCCCGCTATATCGTCGTGAATTGCTCATATATACGCTTGCGTACCCAGATTCACAGGACTTGGCACATAGATAGCAAACAATTACATGTATATTTCAACTGATAGAAAATAATGATCAAGGAGGAGTCGATCCATTTAAGAAAAAGGAAGCGTGAATATAACATGTGCAAAGCAATTGACCTACACGACTTTGTCATGAAAAGGATGTGAGAGACTGAAATCTATCTTACTATTACATCTGTTGAGATCTAGTAGACACATTTAGCAAGGAGGATATATCTCAGGACCTGTATTGGATGCCATTGGAGCGATATTCCAGTCTTACATTAACGGTCAAAACATTTGCACGCATAATACTCAATCATGTAGACACCTACGCCGGCATGGTTGGACGGTGGCAAGTACAATTTTTGGTCTGGATTTCGCTACAACAGAGAAATCATTGTGATTGGTTAAATTGCTGGCCCGAGAGTCTACTCACTCGCTTCTTCCTCTGATCATCTCCACGTGGTTCCATCTGATCTGATACACTCGTTCCCATTGAAGCGAATAAACGTCAGGATTTAAGCTTAGATTTGCGAAGTCCGCTTAATCAACTCTATAAACAGACAATTCATGCCGTTTCGTTTTCCATACGCTTCAAATCTAAGCCTTGTCATCTCCAAAAACTCCTACCCAAGCTCTTTGCGCTACACATTAAGCCGCAATGCTATTATCCCCTCAAATTATAATATGACGGTTTGACGGTTAACATAATCCAATACATGATGAAACCGATATATTCAAATAGACACAACAAAATTATAATTATGTTTAGTGGAATATACGCCTTGAAAATACAGGGTCAGATATAGCCAGACAAATTACAGAATGCCAACATCTTTGAATGGGATCTTATCTCAATTTCTTAGAATGAAAGATACAGTTCAACCAAGCTAGCTGCAGTAGGAGTGCAGATACTACAATAGCTATCAAATCGAATCAAAGTCATACACAGTATATCGCTTGTTTACATATATTCCAAGTGTACACATCGTGCAAATTGAGTCTCGTGAGAATGACGTTCTCATAGTTGAATGGCAGAATTTGACTGCAGATCAGCACCCACTGATTCCTTTAGTGACATGCATGACGATGTAACCACATGGTTGAGAGGCAGACACATTGAATTGGCCGAGTGGCGCCAGCCTTGCAACAACTCTGTTCACCTCGCCAATCACGTCGATCAGAGCACCAAAGTGATTATACACGGATGTGAGTCCGTGGAGGGGCTACAGTGTGTGGATAGATAATGCTTGGGTACGAGGTGCTGCTGTTCCTGTATATACCAAGTCGTCATCGCGTATTGATTTATTGGGCAAAACAGGGTCAATCGCAACAACGCAAGTCGCCGTAGATCTGCAATAGATTAAAATCGACACTTGGATACATCATACCAGGAATGGGGTGCTGATATGATACCCTTAACTCCGGGTAAGCCACAGTTTGCTAAGTAAATGACATTCCAAAGTAAAAGAAGCTTTGCATAGCACGGCCAACCCCGCGGAACCTGCAAGTGATCTGTAGGAAGTTCTAAAGCACAGCTGCATATGTATAGTGATAGGCAGCAGAATTGTTTTGCTGACAGTTCCACCATCGATGACCGCGGCATAAAGCTGAAAGGCACATGATAATGCCTGCTCCAATAGAAGATCATCTGCGCTGATCAGGGTCCCTGCAGTTCGCATTCTCGCTGAGACTTGAGATTGAAATCAGGCACATAATTATTGCAGCGTCGTGTCATTGCTCTCCAGAATGTTTCACCATGTGGAAAAGAGGGCATCTGGAGCATTGGGGCGCCGAAAATCCGGGGAAACTGGAGCATGGGAAGAGCCGACTCCAAAAAAATATGGCGACATGCAACGCATTGATCAATTCACAGTAGATGTCACCGCTCGTGACTTTGTTCAGCGGATGGAGTGACTGCGGGGAATTTTGCGGAGAATTGGGCCATGCTTGGATGCTGATGCTTTGTTACTGCAGAGTAAAGCGAGCATTAGTAAAGGCCGGCATCGTCATTGTGCTCTCGTCTTGGAAAATCCGACGCCGATCCGCTTCATTGCCATCGCAAGATGTGCGCAGGAGCTTTCTTAATGACGTCGGAACATGGCCGGAAATAGCTGATGGCTTGGCTGGTGGTTGTTGGGAAGCATCGGGAGAATCCAGCCAGAGCCGGGCTAGGCTCAGAAGGATGGCTTCTTGCGCAAATCATGTTGTAGGAGTCGCTGTGGCACCGGCATAGAAGATATTATGGTTATTACATCACCGGCTAGGCGCCACGATTACCATCTTTGGCAACCCCGATGGAAAGTAGGGTAGCCAGAAGTTAAGAGACGGCTCCGAATTCCTCATGAGAATTCGGCGGGCGAAACCATATTCTCCGAAAAAAGGAGCCCGTTTTGATGCCGGCCATTTTGAACAAGTGCGGAGGGAGCAAACAGCCGTTTAGCAGCGGCCACTCGCCTTTTTGTGCATATAATGTCACATCATATTGTGTGTACTTCATGTATCCACGACCCTGTCTTCTCCAGTTCTCCAGTTCCCGAGGTGGGTCAAGATGCTTCGTGGAGCTCCAGTATTGAACCGGGAGGATACAAAGAAAACAATAAAAAGATCCGCTTTTTCTCCAGGCAACGAGATTCCCAGACAAAGCAGCCTATAAGTGATGATGGCCCCCCTACAGTACGCAGCCTCGGGACGGAATACCGTGCTGTGTGTGCAGGAGAACCAAGGTTTGGGATCCTGGGACGCCTTCTCGCGAGGTGATCGGCGTTGATGGCGGACAATGCCTGTTGGTGCCGGCCCTTAGAAATCACAAGAGCCAAGCGGCATTCAAGCATTGCTGATGATTAGGTTGGTGGCTGACGCCTCCAATTGGGGAAGTTGGAGGAAGATGGAGGGCGACTTACATGCAAGATGCGATAAGGGGAGCATGTTATAACAGTCAAGAGTCTCCTTCGTGTCGACAATGACTTTTTGGAGAGCTCCTTTTATCATATGTCATGAATATAATGCTCCCAAGTCCCCTTGAAGCAGTCCAAGTATCTGGAGCATCTATTTAAGCTCAATCTTCTACCTAGACATAGGGATGCAGGTGCAGCTTGTCCTCTTGCCCATGCAATCTCACTTACACGTATCTGTGCTCCCTGACTACCAAGTGCTACGCGTGTCAACAACTCCATCGTTGACTTAAACCCCTCGCCCATCCCATCTTCACCATTGATTATTGGAACCAAGCATCTGTGCACATCATGGAGAAAAAAGACAGTATTAGCTCTCATGATGGCACTGAGAACGTGGAAGATGTGCCTCGGCGTGGCTCCTTTGCCAACATAGAGAATCTCTCTGCCGTTTTCGAAAATCCTCTCAAGCAACGCACCAAAGAGGAGCTTCTAAAAGACGTTGGGGAGTTCTGCCGAATCCACGATCTCAACGACTATCTCGATGACTTCCGCAAAGGCGCCCTGGCCGCCCAGAGTCCAGAGTCCCTCCAGTCCCTGTCAGAACTCACCGCAGAGGACAAAACTATCATCGAACGCGAGCAGACTCACCGTTGGTCCCATCCATTTATGCTCTACTGGCTTTGTTGCATGTGCTCCATGGCCGCTGCAGTGCAGGGAATGGACGAGACGGTCAACAATGGTGCTCAGGCGCTGTACTTGGCGGATCTCGATATCGCGGGCCCAAACGTCACTCGATTCTCTCCATCCATGCAGGACAATATTACTGGCCTCGTCGTCGGCGCTCCGTATCTCTGCTGCGCCATCCTTGGCTGCTGGCTGACTGAGCCCCTGAACAAAGTTCTCGGGCGGAGAGGAACCATCTTTATCTCTTGCTTCATCGCTGCTGTTGCGTCGATTTGGGAGGGTGTTGCCAACTCTTGGGTGAACCTCTTCCTTGCTCGATTTGTCCTTGGACTCGGAATTGGCCCCAAGTCATCGACAGTACCCGTATACGCCGCCGAGTGCAGCCCAGCGCCGATTCGAGGTGCCTTGGTTATGCGTAAGTCTCCATAGTGCTACTTATCCTTTCGACAATACAGTGTAGAGCTAACTGAGAATCTTCAACAGAGTGGCAGATGTGGACAGCTTTTGGCATCATGCTTGGCAACATAATGGGTGTCGCCTTTGGTCCATCAACTGGCATCAAGCCAAGTCTCGGCTGGCGTCTCATGCTTGGCAGCACCGTCGTTTTGCCCCTAATTGTCTGTGTCCAAGTTTATTTCTGCCCAGAATCCCCTCGGTATGTTTCTGTTGCCATGTGTGCATTATATAGCTTAACGCTGACTTTTTTTGCAGTTGGTATATTCAGCATAATAAAGTTAAGAAGGCTTTTCGGTCATTCCAACGCCTTCGACACTCCAACATCCAGGCCGCCCGTGACACTTATTACACCTATGTCGGAGTAGAGCTCGAGAGAGAAGTTAATAGGGGCAAGAATCTCTTCACGCAATTTATTGAGCTTTTTACTGTCCCTCGTAACCGTCGTGCCACATGGGCCACTTGGATTCTTATGTTTGGGTAAGTAAAAGCGACCACTATCTTAATTATTCGAAATCCATACTGATTGACATCTTTTCTTTTATATAGCCAACAATTCTGTGGAGGTAAGGGATATTATTATGATTCTCTTGATTAATTTTTTTTCTTTCTTTGACATTGTAGATACTAACTTACAACGCAGTGAATGTCATCGCATACTACAGCACCACTATCTTTGTGAACTCTGGCTACTCCACCAACTCAGCTTTACTTGCATCGATGGGTACTGGTATCCTCAATTTTGTATTCGCTATTCCCGCAATCTTCACCATTGATAGGTGGGGTCGCCGAAACCTTTTACTCTTTACCTTTCCTTTCCTATGCATCTTTTTGCTCTGGACCGGAATGTCCTTTTTCATCCCTGATGACCCAAGCAACATCAAAAAGAGAGTCGGCATGGTTACAACTGGCATGTATCTTTTCGAAGTCTTTTATTCTCCAGGTGAAGGCCCGGTGCCTTTTACATACTCGGCAGAGGCGTTCCCAGTCCATGTCCGTGATGTGGGTATGTCGTGGGCTACCGCAACAACTTGGTGCTTCAACTTCATTCTATCGTTTACCTGGCCATCGCTCCAGAGAGCATTTACCTCTCAGGGTGCATTTGGGTGGTACGCAGCTTGGTGTGCCGTTCTTTGGTTCCTCATCCTCCTCTTTGTTCCCGAGACCAAGGCACTTACCCTTGAAGAGCTGGATCAAGTGTTTGGTGTCAGTACACGCAAACACATGAGCTACCAGATCAAAAATGCTTTGTGGCATTTCAGAGTTTGGGTTTTGCGTCAGAAATTGGAGCCTCTTCCTCCATTTTATCGCCAAGCTGAGAGGCTGCACAAGTAGAGACAAAATGGGACAACACAGTTTATAGACTGATGTTCTTACAGAAGCATGACACACGCTTCACTGATGTTTTTTGGTGGGAGGTGAGAAAAGACGGTAGATGATGCCGCATGTTTTGTTGCGTGTTTGGGTAATGGGTTTTTTGTATTGTTATGATACCGAGTGCACTCATGAGTGTCACATTGTTAGCTGTATAGTAGCCGCAATGAATGAGATTTGAGTATTGTATATGTAACCAGTTGTATCTCTTTAGCCGTCGCACATCTGCTGTTTGGTGTATTCTAAGCCTTGATGTAGATCGCTGATGTAGTGAAAAATCTATAAAAAAAATAGTTGACTGGAGCTTGCACTTCATAATCTAGATCCTATTCTAATAAAACGACAAGCATGCATGAAATGGCGCCGTAGGTGACTCACCGGCGGTGAAGTTGGGGCTTAGGAGCGGCTGTGCAGATCTAGGCTCAATTCAACAGATGGTGCCCAGAGTATCAGATAATACCAAAGAAACGCCCATCGCATAAATTATAATAATGCCTTACAAACTTCATCTCAAGAGCAATTTTTGTCTTCTCCTGATAGCAAATTCGTCAAAGAGAAAACAGCAGGTCCCATCTTACCTCTCGTAGGGCTGCAACACTTGTGCACTTACACCACAGCAAGCCCCACGCTACGTGGGAGAATCACATCCAACCATCTCATACTCAAAGACACGAACGCAGTTCTATATTTTCGTGCGATGAAGCCAATTTTACTTGAGGGCCGCACTGGTGAAGGTGGAGGCCAGCTCGTCCGTCTTGCTGTGGCGCTGGCAGCAATCACTTCACAGCCAGTCAAGATAGCCAACGTGAGAGGCAATCGGCCAAAAGGTGGAGGTTAGTAGGATCAATGTCAAGCTACATGTGAAATCACCGCCATGATGAGGTGCTAAATATCAAATCACTAGGCCTCAAGAACCAGCACGTGGCAGCCATCGGATGGCTGGCCCAAGTCACCGAAGCGGATGTTGAAGGTCTCAGCGTCGGCTCAAAAACGGTGACTTTCATACCCAGACGGCCACCGACAGAGCTACTCCAGCGCAACATATCCATTAGGACTGAATCGGGGGCTGCGAGTACGATGCTGGTCCTTCAAGCGATGCTACCGTTCCTGATTTTCGCGAGTAACGATACAGACGAGCCTGTGGCAGTGGAACTTTCGGGAGGCACAAATGTTGCCTTTTCGCCGAGTTACGAATACTTTGATCAAGTGCTGGCGCCCACGCTGGAAGAGCGGTTCGGTGTGAAAATCGAGCGGGAGCTGAAAGCTCGGGGATGGAGTCTAGGGCGACAGTCCTGGGGGTCCATCTCGCTCAAGTTGTATCCAATAGCCAAGGGCGAGAAGCTCAAGTATGTGCCTCCGCCGCAGTACAGCTTCCCAGAGTCGTTTGAGGTGAAGAGCATCGACATCAGCATCATCACGCCGATGCATTCGCATAACAAGCTTCAAGAGAGCATAGTAGAAGACATTGGCGTTCTCTGGCCAGGCGCCGACATCAACTTCAAAGTAATCGAGGATTCATGCAGCGACAGCCGCTGGTCGGTGCTTCTAGTCGCGCATTCTGCGGACGGTATTCGCTGGGCAAGCGACGTTCTCACATCTGCGCCGAAGAATATCAAGGGATACGATCGCTTTGTCTCAATGCTGTCCAAGAAGCTGTGCAAAGGCTTATATGAGGAGGTGTCTCTGGGTGGAGTCGTGGATGAGCATCTCCAGGACCAGCTGATCTGCTTCCAGGCGCTCTGCGATGGCCCATCGGCGTTTCCCAGGGGAGACGATGCCGCGCTGGACGGTCCGCTCGGGCCGTTGATTGACTCGATGGGGAACCTGCAGCTTGGAGACGGCAAGATGAGGAGGGAGAAGACGCTGGAGCCCTTTGGCCATGGCTCGAAGCACGCAAGGACGGCGCGCTGGGTTGTTGGCGAGCTTCTCCCTGGCGCGGAGTTTTACAACAGGGGAGATTTGGTCAAGGGGATTGGCTTCTCAGCGCAGTGAGTCATGCAGCAAAACGCTGCATGGTTAGCGCTTATGAATGAATATGAATGTGTGGCGATATCTCATGTATACCTATAATACCCTTTGTTCTTGATTCTTTCGTGGTGTTTTGGAAGAGACAGATGTATATAAAAACTGGTAGACAGAGCATATACTAATCAGAGAAGCGTCAAGTCATGCACAACATGTCTAGAAAGAGGATCAATTTCAAAACCCCGGGTTTCTTTACTTGTTTGAACCAAGGCGCAAAGAAATACACCGTCTCCAACCGACAGAAAAAAGGTAGCAAGGGAAAATACCTACCTACCTACCTATTCCCTCGAACCCACTTTACGGGCTAGACGTGTCTCGCTAAGATCTCCAGATCTGACCGCGTGCATGGGCCAAATTTTTCTTGTTGCCAGATCTGCCTTCTGGAGGATTCTACGTATCTGTCCGAGCCGCGCGCGTTGCTATATAATCAAAAAAGTCTCCTTACTACTTTCATTATCAACCCCAGCCCAAGCCCGTGTCCAAGGGCATCCGCGCCGTATGTAGTATCAGCCCTCGCTATTATGCAGCTAATGGTTCAGTAGCAACAATGTCGTAAGAAATAGCCTCGGAATTGATCAGCAAAACCCCGGAGCTACACATGTGCCTCCATAATTGTAATTGCCGTGATAAGCAATCAAATGTCCAAGGATGGGGGGGCCGGCCTCGGGAGTCGATTCAGGACCCGCCACGGAAGTAGTACTAATATGCGACCTCGGCCGAGGGTCAAAAGGCCAAAAGTCCTAGCTAGATAGGTCGAAATGGCCGTCAATATCGTCCAGTAGCCGTTGGTCCTGCGCGTTCATGAGTCAGATGAGACAGAGTCTCAACTTCGCTGCATAGAGACTATTGAGGCGGCTGGATGTTATACCGTCGCTTACTTCTCTCGGTTGCTCGAGTTGGTATTTGAAATATTCATCTTTTCTACAATACTTCATTTTTCACAACTACCTCTCTCTTCTTGCGGCAAGTGAGTTGTGATCAACTAGGTGCTCACAACCATGGAGACAACGATACCGCCGATTTCTGAACCCGCGGCGGTTGCTGCCGCTGTCGCCAGCGCTAATAGAGATGAGCATGCGACCACGGTCGGCCAAGCGCTGAAGCGGTATCCCAGCGCCATCTTCTGGGCAATTGCAATGTCCTTTACAATTGGTAAGAGTTGTTGGTCGATCAATCTTGATGTTGTCAGAGCGTAGGTTTGAAAATGTTCTGTTTAACTGATTGCCATGTAAATAGTCATGGTTGGCTACGACACAATCCTGATGGGCAGCCTCATGGCATACCCCTCATTTGTTGAGAAATACGGCACATATCACCCTGAGCTTGGCGTCAAGGTGATATCAGGGCCGTGGCAAGTTGGCCTCAGTACCGCGGGCTCCTGTGGAGGCGTCTTTGGCATGATTATCAATGGCTTCGTTACCGAGCGGTTCGGCCACCGCAGAGTCACCATGGTTGCTCTCGCCATCATGACGGGATTGATCTTCATACCCTTCTTTGCGCCCAACGTGCACGTCTTACTCGCCGGACAGTGCCTTCTTGGGGCGATTTGGGGCATCTTCTCCATCATGGGAGCAATGTATTCGTCCGAGATATGTCCCCTCGCGCTACGAGGCTACATGACCTCCTTCATCAACATCTGCTGGGTTATCGGCCAGCTGATTATCGCTGGAATTTTGCAAGGACTTGTCAACAACACTACCAAATGGGCTTACAAAATCCCCTTTGCCGTTGAGTGGGTTTGGCCGGTCCCCCTGTTCTTCCTCGCATGGCTGGCCCCTGATTCTCCGTGGTGGCTTGTCCGACAGGGCCGGATTGAGGATGCAGCATACTCTTTGAAGCGGCTTTCTCGAGGTCTTACTGATGAGCAGATTTGCCAAAAGGTCCTCATGATGAACGACACAAACAGGCTCGAGCAGAAGTTGAAAGCCGACGCAAGCTACTGGGACTGTCTCAGGGGCGCCAACTTGAGGCGCACAGAAATCGCATGTTTGTCCCTTTCATCCCAGAGTCTGATTGGGCAATCTTTGGCGTACAATGCCACGTACTTCTTTGTACAAGCTGGCTTGTCAGCCTCCGATGCTTACAAAATGAACTTTGGCAACATGGGCATCGCTTTCGTCGCGACCTGTTTCTCATGGGTGTTGATGACACATTTTGGCCGGCGAACGGTGCTCTTGTGCGGCTACACTTTCCTGACACTTGATCTCCTCCTTATTGGCGTTTTATCCTATGCCTCGAATAACTCGGCGGCGAAATGGGGCCAGTCTGCTTTGGCACTCGTCTGGCTGGCTGTGTATTCGGCCACTATCGGACCGCAGACATGGGCAGTCGCCGCCGAAGTCTCATCGACGAGGTTGCGGGCCAAGACCCTTTCTATTGCCGGTGTCATTTACAACATTGTCAACATTGTCGACAATACGATCGAGCCATATCTTATCAACCCCACGGAAGCGAACTTGAAGGGCAAGACGGCGTTTGTTTGGTTTGGCATTAGCTTCTTGGTGACTTTATGGGCTATTTTCCGCATCCCTGAGACGCGCGGAAGAACGTATGGAGAGCTCGACGTGTTGTTTGAGAAGAAGATTCCTGCGTGGAGATTTGGAACAGCCGAAGTGGAGGATGATATTACCATTATTGGGGACGACGAGTCTCAGGTGAGGGAAGAAGATGAGAAGCGAGATGTGGTAGAGCAGCAGGCGGTGGCCACGATATCATGAGTTATGACTTCTATGACATTGACTAGTTCAGATTACGCGTATACCCATCTCCTATTAATATAGTAATTTCTAGCTAATCGCTGCTAATTAGACTTATCGTTATGGAACAGATGTGCTCTATGTATAACTCTAGCAAGAATCACTCCAATCAAGGTTCAGCTTAGTGTGTAAAATAATTGATTCATTTCCAAAAGATGTACAATATATATCCAATTCGTATATAAACCGTTCCTCGGTGTTCCTATTCACCCATATCATGACTCCATATAAACACATATATCCAAATCCTAAATCGTTAAACTTATTTGCATAAAAAATCGGTTACACCAGAGTGGTAAAACATCCTACCACAGTCGCCTCTGGTAATAGACAGGCTTGTCGGACTGTGACAATCTCAAAATCTCATCCTTGATCATCTTTCTGCGCTGTGCTCTCGATATCGGAGCCTTGTTTTTAGATAGCGGATCCGGGTTCTCGACGGCCCATGACTTATCAGCCACAGTCTGCTGAATCTTTTCCAGCATTTCAAGCTGCTTCTTTGTGGGCTCTCCATCAGGGATGGCTGCGGGAGCCTCTTTCTGTCCCTCCTCTTTCTGCTCTGCCTTTAGCTCAGGCTTAGACTCAGACTCAGGCTCTACCGGCGTCTCTTCGACCTGAATCTCTGCATCCGACACCCGAGCCTGAGGCCCCATACTGCGAGCTTCTCTCGACCATCTCTGGCCCTCAGTTTCCAAAACGATCAATTCGCTCTCTTCTATATCCGCGAGTGCGCCTCTAAATTCTTCGGGCAGATGCGCTTTCGGCGATTGGCGGGGCCGGATAGCTGCTCGCAGGTCTCGCAGGGTACGCTGCTGGATTGCGTAGCCGCTCAGAAAGAGGGCACTTGTGCAAAGCATGACTGTACACAGTGAAAAATTAGACATTTATTGCTGTTTGGATAGAAGCAGCCTTCGGGGAGAAAGCCGTGGCGTACTCATAGTGGCTGTGGCCAGCATAGACACCTGACCGGAGGTAAGGAGAATACGACGCATATTTGAAGCTATTATGACGACAACAAAATTTTCGTGTAATTTGTACAACTTGAAAACAATAATAATACTAACACGCGATAAAAACTCGCTTTATTTGATGCAATTCAAGGCTTGAATGATCTGGATACACAAAAGACGGCAGCCCGCGTATACAACGGCTGAGGATCTGCAGAGGTGCATGATCACGCTGTTGACCCAGCAACTATCTTATCGCACCCCCGGACACCGAAATCTAGGCGCCTTTACGCGACAGAGCTGCGATTGCGAAGTCCATCCGACGTCATCGCCCCAATCCCTCTCTTGCAGCATCCTCAGCAATGTCGAAATCCAAAGGCGATACCGTCCAGGCCGATGCGCGGCGCTTCCTTGATGAGCGCGGCTCCAATGCTGCGCTCGCGCCAAACGGCCTCAACCCCGCGACCATTATGGAAAAGGCAGTCAAGGACCGCATCGTCGACTCATACTTTTACAAAGAGCAATGCTTCGCTCTAAACGAAGCCGATATCATCGATCGAGTCGTCGAGCATGTCAATTTCATAGGAGGCACACACGGCGCCTCGCAAAAACCTAGTCCTTTTCTGTGTCTGGCGTTCAAGCTGCTCGAACTGGCACCCAGCGACGCCATTATCCAAGAATACCTGTCTTATGGAGGAGAACACTTCAAATACCTGCGCGCGCTAGCATGCTTCTACGTACGAATGACGAGACAGGCCAAGGATGTATATACGACTCTGGAGCCCTTTTTAGAAGACAGACGGAAATTGAGACGGAAGGCCAGGGCGGGCACTTCGCTTACGTTTGTGGATGAGTTTGTGGACGACCTGCTTACCAAGGACAGAGTGTGCGCGACGAGTCTGTGGAAGATGCCGAAGAGAGAAGTTCTTGAGGATTTGGAAATACTGGATCCGAGAGTGAGTCCGTTGGGAGACATTGAGGATTTACTGGAAGAAGATGACGAGGGAGAGGGTGAAGACAAGGCAAATGGAGAACGAGAGGAATCCGGAGAAATATCAGAAAAAGACGAGATGGAAATGGAGAGAGACGAAGACCGGAGAAGCCGCAGCAGATCACCTTGAAGTTGGCCATCGACATTTAGAAAGCGTTTCCCAACTCGAGCACCAAGGCGGCCCTATCTAATCCAGTCCAATGTCAGGATACCCAATTACAGCTACCAACTCGATGGTTTGATACAAGGACCACAGATCGAAAGCATGTAGCATCTCGGTCTTTGTTCGGGAGACACTTATGGGAAATAGAAAACCCTGTTCATCTCAGAACCCATGGGGCTGGTAACAGGTTCGGCACTATGCAGAAAAGGACTATGGGGGCAATCCTACAGCCTCGTTCAGAAGCTATCACGAACCAGAAGAGATTCAAAATACCCATTCAGTATATGTAAGGGGCGAAATTGAGCCTCCAAAATAATAAATAGTATAGATGAGTCGTCAAATCATCATGGATATATATAATACAAGTCAAATCTATCAACCACCGTTTTCCTTTCGCCACTGTATGCAAAACTTTATACATATTCCCACGTTCACTCATGCTGCCATCAACTTCACCACCTTATCCGCCAACGCCAATAGCCTCCTGTCATCCCAATATTGCGCAATTAACTGAATACCGGCAGGGAACTGGTGGCCTTGTTCGGCTTTTACCGGAACGCTAATGGCAGGCAGACCAGCAAGACTGGCTGGAACAGTGAGGACATCATTCATATAAACGTCGACACTGCTTCGCTTTTGAATGTCGCTCAATTTTGGTGGGTATGTTGGGGCAGTTGGGGATAGCAAGAAATCCACCTGAGCGGGACCTTGTTTGTCTTCCAGAGCTGTATCGGCGGACATTTCGCTCAGATCAAATTGTCTCGGTTCGTAGAGCGGATTATCCAGCTTGAAAACTCTGTCAAAGTCTTGCTGAATCAATCGGCGAATCTTTTGAGCCTGGATAAAGTAATTATCCATGGCCTCAGAGCTCAGGCTATACGTTCCCAGAAGAATTCGGCGTTTGACTTCGGCGCCGAAGCCAGCACCTCGAGCTTCTGAATAGAGTGTCTCACCAGCTGCATCTCCTCCGGGACCGCGAACACCGTATCGTACTCCGTCATATTTGGCCAAGTTAGATGAGGCCTCAGCCGGGGCAAGGATATAGTATGCGCAAAGAGCTTCCTTTATGGACGGTAGAGATACAGGAACTACACGAGCGCCCTGTGACTCTAACACAGAAGCAGTAGCAACCCAAGCTGCACGAATGGAAGGGTCCAGCTCATCAATGTTGTATTCGACTGGTATGCCAATAGTAAGCTGAGAGAGACTTGGTAGCGTTGGAGGACAAGCCTTTGAACAGCGTTGACGGGCTTCAACGTTCAACGACGTGGGATCATGAGGATCATGCTCCTGATATAGTCCAGTATCGAATACAAGTTCTCGGATCGGTTCCACATCTCGTGCAAGCAGGCCGACGGTGTCTAAGGAGTTTGCATACGGGACGACGCCAAATCTCGAGAGCATGCCATAGCTAGGCTTATACCCAGTGATGCCGGTATAAGCTGCTGGAAGCCTGACTGAGCCACCCGTGTCGGTACCAAGCGCAATATCCGCCTCGTCAAGTGCCACTGCAACTGCGCTGCCTCCAGAGCTGCCTCCCGCAGACACATCCTCGCCAGTTGCTGCTAGGGGGTTGCGAACCGGTCCGTGGATAGAGTTGACAGAGTGCGACCCCATACCAAATTCATCCATATTGGTCTTACCAACAACATTTGCTCCGCGAAGCCGTAGCTGGCGAACAATGGTGGCCTCAAAGGGAGACGCATGCTCGCCCAGGATAGCCGAGGCGCATTGCGTCGGGAACTCCTCGGTGGCGATGTTGTCCTTCACAGCAAGTCTGAAAGGCTTCGCATTGGGTAACAGTGGCGGCAGCGGTGACTTTGGCTCAACCTTGGCTGCATTTTCGCAATCTTGTCAGTAAGGCTGAGACTCTGCATATGTTTGAAGCTACTAACTGCTTGCCACAAAATGATTGAACGTGCTCAGCGAGCGCCGCAAAGGCACCTGGCCAATGGATGGCTGGCTGTAGGCCTCACGCCATGTCGTCCTTATTAGAGCCCTACGGCGAACGATTGCCGCCGTCATTGTGGACTCCAAACCATCAACGGCGCAGTCGTCAAAAGCTGCAAATGCCTGAATCAAGATTCAAATTCGACGGTCGAATGGCATGACTGCTAGTTTAGCAGTAGTAACGGCACATCTTAGTGGGTTGGTGGGGTTTGTGCCAGGGAAGCTCCCCGCCGCTGTTAGTGCCAGGCACTAGCAATCCTCCCTGTGCTCTCCAGCTGAGAAGTCCGCTATAATTCTCTGAATCTCGTGCTTCCACTTTCATAATCTTCAATTCTCGCTACACGCACCAGGAGACAGCAGCGTGTTGTTCGAAGAGTACTTCCAATGTCCTTCCAGAACCCATCTTATCGGTAGCGATCATGGCTACCAAGAGAGAAATTGATGATCAGGAGAGCGATGCACCTGAGCCGCAGACGAAACGCGCAAAGACGCATAGCTCCAAAACGCGACAACACCAGAACTCGGGCATTGATCCGACGTGGGGGCAGAAATATGTCTTCTCCGGCAGTAAAGACGCCACTACCATTCCAGAAGGAGAAGAGTCGGAGTTCGAGGACGATTCTGACGCCATGGCATACTTGATGTCTGTAAGGTAAGACGAGACCATTCCCTGTATGCAGCCGTGTGGTTTGCTTCCCGAGATTGCATCTGCTGAACAATAATTTGATTTCTCAGACCGCATTTGCTGATATGGTGAGTACTTAGACAAGAAGCTTCCTCTATTCCCCATCTCCTGGTCGCTCCAAAAGTCCAGATTGGCCCCCAACTTCCGCCAGAATTCGATGTAGAAGGCGCCGGCGACGACTCCGATGCAGAAGAGGGTGAAGTCGCCCAAAGCTTCGATGCTAACGACGCCCTTGCCGCACCTGATTCCAAGGGATTTTATGAAGATGGCGCCTATATAGGGATATCAGAAGGCTGGGGAGACGACGATATCGGGCAAGACGAGGAGCCTAATGAAGAGGACCCTGAGGTTGTTCAGAAGGCACTTAATGAAGCATATTTTGCTTCCATACTGGGGCAGTACCGTCGAACTCGCAAAGTACTTCACTCAAGACTGCCTGATAATGCTGCCAGCCGGCTGTCCAGTTCCCAGGCTACAGAAGCAGCTCCCTTTGGACGCCATTCTCCTACCACTAGGCTGTGGACCCGGCTCCTACAAACTACCGACCCTCATCCTATCCAGGTGGCACTCATGTCAAAAGACACCATCATTCGGATTTTGCGTGTAATGATAGGCGGCAAATTTCTTCGTAGTGGACACAGCATCCCTCAGAGGACTAGTCAATGGCTCTGGGCCTTGCTTGCCAGGCTGCCTGAACTGGGGGAGCTCAACCACACAGAAGTTGGCTGGATACGTGACTTGGGCCGACGAGCAGTGCTTCTGGGAAGAAGTCTAGCAGAGATGGCGGCCCTGCGAGACGAACTTGCAGACGATGGATTTGGCGTGAACGATAATGTCGATGCCAGCAGCAGTGACGAAGAAGTGGTGGCAGAGGCTGTTGAAGAAGAAGACGATGGTGATGAAGACCACGACATTCTTCCTACATCTGAAAACAAGACAAATGTCACGAATGGGATCCTGAACTCATCTTTTCCAATTCCTAATGCTATCCCTGAAGATGAAAGCGGGGTGCCAATTGGAAATGATAACGATGATGCAGATGATGGAGAGATCAAGCAGACCAATGACGATAGCGAGGATGAGGACGTGGCTATGGATATCGCCTCCGATTCTGAAGCTGACGAGGGTGAGATAGTCGAGCAAAACGACGATGCCGCAGCTCTAGAGGAAGCGAAGCGCAATCTTCTAGCCAGACTGGCCGAAAGCGAGAACGAACGTCGTCAGGAAGAGGAAGAAAGGGATGCGAGGATGAACATGAGAGCAACCCTTACCATGATCCTCACAGTTGCTGGTGAATTTTATGGCCAGCGAGATCTCCTCGAATTCCGAGGGCCATTTGTTGGCATGTGAATGTAGATTTTTTGTAAATTCTTTGTATTTAATGAGCACATCTAGAGCATGTGCCACCTTGAGGTAATAACTAACACCCCTACATTGATGATAATACAACCCAAGAGTACAAGAATATTCCATGGTCCATCTTCCTTTGGTAGTCCATATACAAAACTAAAACAAAACAAATTAACAGCCTCCCTGTTTGAGCGGCCACAGCACCTATAAAAGCTGTGCCTTGATAACGCCGATACGCCAAAGCTCACCCCCCTATGCAATTACAAACTTCTTGGTACAGCTGTGCCCAATGACACTTTTTTGCAGATAGTCTGCTCTAGAAAGCCATGTCCATGGCCTGTCCTCCTTCAAAGCCCAGAAAGCTAGCATCCTCAAAATCATCATCACCGTCGACAGCCATATTCTCCTGGCCAGTGCCCTTGAGCGCAGCGCTCTTCTTGATGCGAGAGTGCGGGACGGCAATAGCCCGGATGCTGCCGGCGTCGTCTGCATCCCAGCTCCGGACCTGCAGGTCATCCTGCTCATCAAAGAATCGCTTCCGAGAAGGCCCGCTCTCGACGCTATCGGTGCTTTCTTGCGACATGCTCAGCTCGGGAACCTCGTCCAGGGCGGGAACCTCGCCGTCATCGTAGACGAATTCGGGCTGCGTATCCAGTCCGCCGACTTTGTTGATGCCGCAGAACGGCAGCAGCTCTCTCGATGCGGGCTTCGCCGCGACCATTTGTGCCGCCTTCGCCTCGCCGGGCCGGGTGTTGTCTGTCCACAGCTTGAAGGCGCTGGGGCCGGCGGTCTTGTAGCCTTCGGGCACGGACTTGCGCACCCGCATGCCGACGCTCAGCAGGTTTGCCTGGACATTGGCGGGCAATGGGACTCGCTGGGAGGAGGAGGAGGCGTCGGCGGCAGTTGCGGGTGAGGAGGTGCTGCTGCTGTTGGGCGACTGAGCTGCGAAGAAGGATGTGATTTGGCGTTGGGCAGGATCGGCTGCGGCGCCGGCGAATTGGCGCTTGTTGCGGGGAGTCGACATGATGAGCGGGTGATGAGTGGTGGTGGATGAAGATGGTTGTGGTGATGCGATAGAAGGAAGCGCAGCGCAGGAATAAGAATCGTTGTCGTCGGACGAGGTGGCGGCGGTTCAAGTTGCAATGACGAAGATGACGTTGCGTCGTTTTCGAAAAAATCCAAGACAAGGGGTCTCGCTCTGTCTGTCTCACTGCAGCAGCGGCAATAAATCCCAATTCCGGCTCAACAAAAAGAAAAACAAGCTTCCGTTTTCGTCAAGAGTGATCAGCTGATTTGCACAAAAGAAACAATTGTGCAGCAAGAGTGGAGAGTGTTCTTTTTTTTGGTCTTTTCTTTTCTTGTTTTGATTCACAAAAGGGAAGAAGGGGAGTTTAGGCCGGGATGGATGTTTCTGGAGCAAAAAGCAGGGCTGAGAGGAATCGCTGGGGTAACGAGATTAGAACCCTTTTTGACTAGGGCCCTGCAGAAGAGCAGCAGCGGGGCTTAGCCTTTTTGGGGCTGGAGCTTGAGGCGCGTCGTGGCGCGACTGTTTCGCGTTAAGTGGTTTTTTGGGGGGGAGGCTCCGATAGCACAGTATAGAGGTTTGTTCAAACGGTGGTTAGTCATCTACTGTACAAAAGTAGTCATGCAGCTTATATGGAGCTAGGTCGTGCAGTAAGACGAAGGAAGCAGGGCGTAAGATGCGTGGCGTGCTGCTGCATATGTAATGGAAAAGTCCTTTTCCTGCTATGCCTTCTAGAATCTCGAAATCTGAGCAAACTATGAACTCAATTCTACAGTATTTTAACTAAAAGTGTATATACATCGAAAGCTCAAAACCATGCCTCCTCACGATATAGCGACAAGGGCTCAAGCTCTAACCCTCAAGCTGCTTGGCGTATCGAACCAGGATATCCAACGGCTAACTGGGATCCACCCCAGAACCGTCCATAACATCATGGACCGGGCGATCGAACGAGGCCTCGATCTAAACAATCCGGTGATCCTAGAAGTGCATGTTAGAGACGGCCCGAGGCCAGGACGACCAAAGAAAAAAAGAGAACAGCTGGTGGAACAGAATACAGTTGTTGGGGAACACAGATCGCTTATTGCTCTTCCGTCTGTTGGTATGAGGAATTGCCAAATTGACCATGTATCTTCACGGCTGCTTTGCTAATGTTGAAATTGCGGTTTTGTCCTAGATTTAGAGAAATAGTAAGCTTGAACGCTGCTATTACGAGCCGAAGTTGCATTTCTCTTCTAGGAACGATATATCATAATGACACCACAACTTGACGATGATAACTGATACATATATAATGATAATAGAATCTTTGGATTTGAAATGGCGGGCTATGTCGTTTTATGCATACCAGGCATCAATACAAACTTGTATTGGCTTCAATAATACATATTCATGCTCCCTGTTGCTCCTACATTCTCGGCGTTGTGTCCTATACAGCCGTATCAAGTGCAACAAGCACCTCATCAAACGTCGGACGAATCGCTCGTGACTTCTGCCAAGGCATAGTGATATTATACAAATAGGCAAAAGCTGCCTGGTTAACACGTCCCATCAGACTGCAGATCCCTTGAGCGCTGGCAGCGGCTATGGTTGTAGTCGACGGTTTAATAATCAAAGATATTGCGTCACTTCAGAACTCCAGTAGCCTTGTATGAAACGTCGGGCTGTTTTTAATATGTTAGGTCATTAACCACAAGGTCTAGTTAGTGAACCAAGTAATCATTGTCGTTCATACAGTTGCAATATGCTCGAGCAAGTTTTATACACACAAAGTACATTTACGGAAATGGGTCCATTCGACGTCTTCTAAGGCGCAACGCGCGCCCAGACTTGGGACGACTAGCCGTATACATGCCACATCACAGGAATCACAGGAATCACATTGGGCGACAAAGACGACAATATTCGTGGAAACCTTTGAATTTCGCAAAAGCACAGTGCTACCCTCCGCTACCCACTGCACCCCGGGTATGAAGCGATCCTCAAAATCAGCGGTTCCACGTCATCGCGCCTAGTCAGTTCATCCAAAGATCCATCTAGACACTCATGTGAATGCTTTCTCCAGCTGTACACCCATGCAGTGCTTTATTTTTTTGTTCCTGCCTCAAGAAATCGACTCTGTGGTACAAGGCGCGTAAACGGAAAAACGAGAAGAATGATGTGCCATGCAAGATATCCGGAGACCCCCAAACGCCCCTGTGTTGGGTGTTCCATCTTCTATCTGCAAAGAGATTTGATTAAAGTCGCAAGGTAATGTTGTCTATCCCCCACGTCGATGAATGTTTGTTTTGCAGATCCGAGATGATCACCACCATATAGCCATAAGAGTCATGAGTACCCAAGGAAAGAAAACCACCCCGCGGGCAGTTTACTTTCTTCGGAAAGAGCAGCCCTCGGTTAATCTGGCCTTACCACCGGTGGGCTGGCACAGAACAGTGGTGCAACCCTGGCAGATGACAACGGTCTGGGCGTGAGAGAAGACGGTGGTGATGGTGAAGCAGCCGGGGCACTTGACGTCCATGAAGAAGGATCGGGGCTGGGGAACAAGGGTCTAGATGGACAAGTCATGTTAGATATCGATGGTCAATTTGGCTATTTCGGGATGATGACTTCGTCTTCGATTCGTACCTTGAGCTTGTGCTTCTTGGCCTCAGCGGCCGCTGAAGGGTTGAGAAGGTCAACAGCGAGAACCTATGGCAAAATTTGGTCAGCAATTCTGTTTTCCCGTTTGCATATTCTCGAGTCCATCATTCATAATGTCCCATCGTGCCATCGACGCCGTGCAACGCAAATTCTCTCGATGGTTTCGGCCCAGGAAAAAAAGTTTTGATGCCCTCGTCAGGTGACGCATCATCATCATTCCTCCGCCATTCCGGTGTTCCCATAGCATCGCATAGACTCCATCCTCCAGAGGTAGTGAATGACAATTGTCGCTTACCATCTTGACTGATTATATCTCGAACAGAAATTTGCCGTCGGAGGTCTTGCGAGGGTCGAGGTACTTGACGAAATCTGGCGACGGATTTGAGGCTCGCAAGCTGGAGTGAGAGGAGTTAAGCGAGGAAAAGTTCGGTGCACATTGAGGGGGCGATTCTCGTTCGCTGGCAACTCAAAATTTTTGTCAAAAGCAGAATAGCGTGATAGGGTTTGGTCGCCCATGCACACGTGACAGCAATTTGCCGCCTGGTGATTGGGCCAAGCTGGAGCAGCTCCATGGCGCTAAAAATTGTGAATCGGCGACTAGGGAAATATGGGGACTTATGCACCGTTTGTGTGCACAAAGCAGAGCGATGTGGGCGAGTCTGGCTCGGTAGGCAGCCAAAAAGATGGCTGCTATTTCTGTCTGCCTGGCGATTTGCGCGGCCCCCCACGACGCCAGCTGCAGATGATGCCGTGGAAGCTACTCTGCTGCATGCAGCTATCCAGACGCTTCTTTTGACATTCTTTCAAACAACCACCATATCTACAAGCCGCCATTTCAAACAGCTGCGTATAGCACTCGGCTCACCATGGCTGCACCCTCAGAACAAAGAATTGCGGTTCCAATCGACGACCCCAATGCCGATACCGAATGGCAAGCTGCCCCGCGATCTTGGTGATGCGCAACACTCTGACCCCTCCATAGGAATGACATTCTGCGCAAGCATGGCGTTATCCCCGAGAAACCCCCCAGCCCTACTCCCATGATCGAGGAAGCCATTCTCGAGGCGAGAAGGCTTGCGCATGAGAATCGACTTGAGGGAAAAGAGCTGGATGAGCTTGACGAGTTGGAAGACGACGAAGACGATGACTTTTTAGAGCAGTACCGCCAGAAGCGCATGGCCGAGCTAAGCAATCTGCAACAAAAGTCCATCCATGGCTCCGTATACCCCATATCGAAGCCCGACTATCAGCGCGAAATTACAGAAGCGTCCAACAACGGTCCTGTCTTCGTGAACCTCACATCAGCCTCAGGGGCAACGAATGTGGAGTCGAGAGTACTATCAGACCTCTGGAGGCAAGCTGCGAAGGAGTATGGCGACATAAAGTTTTGCGAAATCAGAGCCAATCAGGCCATCGAAAACTACCCAGACCGAAACTGCCCTACAATCTTGGTGTACAACAAAGGAGATATTGTAAAGCAGATCGTGACCCTCTTGACCTTGGGAGGCGTTCGGACCAACATGAGACATATCGACGACATACTCGTTGAGGTTGGCGCCGTGCCTAACTCTGATATGCGAGTAGTCAAGAGGAGAAGAGCGGCGGAGGAGGCTGAGGAGGAACGACTAGCCGGCGGCAAAACTATCAAGACAAGTAATATTGGGCGAGCGCAGGTTGACTCGGATGACGATGATTGGGACTGAGAAGATTCGAGCTTTAGCCCATCTCGACGCCCCATTTCGAATCCAAAAGCCGCCACGAGCTCGTTTTGATGCCACCCTTGACTCTACCTGCTCAGCAAGGTTTACTTCGAATGTGAAGGTTAGCTCAACGGAAGAGCTATAGACCCCATTCGAAAACTTATTTACTCGTTGTGCCACTTATTCCTCATATACTCTCTCCTCGTTCCAACTCTGGCAGGCTAGCGATTTTTGTTGGGCTCTGTTTCTCCTAGTGTATTAGCTATCATCCTTAGATAGGCTACCATCCTTACACACAACAGTAAGGGGTACCTCTACACTATACAATGTTCATACACAGGTTGTCATCTCTACGCAACAGGAGAACTTGCCTGTATCACCCCTGCACGAAATCTCACAGTACTTTTAACATCTACGACCATAATGCTGCAACCCCTGAGGCTGATGGCCACTAGCATTTCATGCCGCCTAGAAAAATGCGGGGGCTAGACTTGACTGGGACCAGCAGCTAGTCGAGCCGCCACTCCAACCCGTTTTGCCCACCGCGAGAGCTAAAAAGTTTATGAATGAAACTCTGAAGTATATATGGAAAGTAACGCCAAAAAATAAAAGACAATTCTAAGTATAAAAAAGATGTATATAAAGATCAAGCTCCCCGGGCTTTACATGGACGAAAATTACTTTATCTTGAACCACGTACACCGAACGATCCCCCTATTTTATATCGGCGTCTTCTCCTATCCAAAAGCTACTATTTACTACTGCTACCACACGCGACAGGGCTTGTGGAGTTGACCGGCGTGGGGCCTTTATTGCTAAGCGCTGCAAGTTATTTACTTATACGCGTTGAGCGCGTCTACCGCTGCTACACGATGTATCCCAGATTTTCCCTTTTGCAACTTTCCCGTTTCAGAGACGAGGACTATTCCACCCCTCTGTCCTTATCCATCCAAATGTCTGATGACCTGTCGTTGCCTCCGCTTCCCGCAGTATCGTGGGACGAGCAATCTCAGAGCTTCTCTAAGCGTTCCCGCAAGCGTGGCCGTAATAACTATCAAGCGGGAAATTCGTCGCCGCTGCGGTTTAATTCGAGTGATCCCGCAATTTTCTCTAGTGATGACGACCCGGGATTGGACAATTATGTAGAGGGACGGCCGAAGAAACGCTATGTTGGCACCTGGTTTCAGCAGCGCCCTGCGACAGACGCCGATGCGCCCAACGCACTACTCCAGCAGAGGAAACGCACCTTGACAAGGGACTATGACAGCGGCGTTTTCCTGGGCAGTGATGTCACCACGGATAGCGAAGATGTCTTGGACGGCCTAGAGATGCCAGTTCTGCCAAGGCTGCCGCATCTAGATAAACGGATCCCATTGTCGCAGGCTGAGATGGCGGCCAGGCAGAAGATTGAAGAATGCCTTGACAGGGGTAACGAATCGGTTGATCTATGGTCCATGGGACTAGAACAGCTCTCCAACGACACCGTTGAACGCCTTGGCCAAATTGCCAGCATACCAGTTGTGGCCAAGGATGTGGCCTTTCTGCCAAAGGAGCCCGAGCTGAGGTTGTTCCTCTCATTAAACAGGCTATCAAATTTACCCGGCAATATCTTTGATCTCACACATCTTACGGTTCTCAGTCTTCGTGGAAACCTACTGGCGGAACTGCCCCCCGCGATATGCAAGCTGCGCAACCTGAAGCAGCTCAATTTGTCTCAGAACCATTTCCTCGCCCTGCCTGCCGAGTTTCTTGATTTAATGCAGCCGGGAGGAAAGCTCCGCGACCTGGCCCTGTTTGTCAATCCGTTCATTCTACCAGAAGGCTGCACAAAATCCAAGGCAGATGGCGAGGACGAGACTTCTCTGAGCCCTGGTCCCCGCACAGCACACAGGTATATAGGGCAAGTGGACGGTTCTAAAATTCCACGATACCTGACCCAATGGCTTGGTCGAAGTCCGGTGCAAATCTCTGACTCCCGGGGTGAGGTCCTCTCAGATTTTGAGCTTTTGCTAGAGTCAGAAACACGAACAACGCTGCCTGTAGAGGTATCCAGTGACCAGTTCGGCCTCGCGGCCTCATACGCCCCACGGGCAGCATCAATGGGTTTCCGAAAGCAAGAGACGAAGCCGAGCGGCGTGCCCAGCTTGCTCGAGATGGCTCTGCGGGCTTGCTATCGGAGCAGTCAAATCCGTGGGCTCGAGGCTTACATCCCAGAAGGGCCGGCGCACCTCCGAGAACTGCTTCAGCGCGCCTCTACGCAGAAAGACATGGGCGGCCTGACTTGTTCAAAGTGCCGAAAGACGCTGGTTGTACCCCCGATGGAGTGGATCGAATGGCGAGAGTTGAGGACCAGCACCATCATGCACAGGCCGGAGCAAGACGTTACGGATGTCGTCACGAAGCCGTTTACCAATGATGTGAGGGAGATGCCGGTGCCTTTTCTTCATCGGGCGTGCTCGTGGAATTGTGGTCCGAAGGACTTGGAGAAGAATAGGAGGTGGTTTTTGCCAGAGGGGTATGTGAGCGTGGAACAAGTTGGACCAGAGGCTGAGATTGAGTAGGTGAGGAATTTGTTATGAGAGATGGACAGAATGTATACGTGTGTAAAGCATTGCACAGGCGTTATTGGAAAGTCGGATATTTTTGTGAATGCTTTTTCAAAATTGCAAGGGTTTGTATGAATGGTAATTTGGGTTCAGGATGTTTGTATTTTTGGGTATATAGGTAGATAAATACATGGGCGGCGTCGGTAAGGGTGGGAATTCAAGATATTTTATTGTGTTTCCTTTTTCTGGTGTTCGTGTAATTGAGCGGTCCTTTGATGAGCATATTCGGCTGGTTTCAATTACCATCTCATTGCACAAAATTTCCTGTTATTTAATACAATTCCTTCTTCTTTGCTTTTTTTTCCTTTTTTCCTTTTTTTTTCCTTTTTGGATAAGTTCATTTAAAGAAGAAAAACAATAAATTGTATAACACAAATGCCTAGCTTGATCGTCTCACAGAGCAAAGGTGTAGAAAGGTCTAGACAGCTCCCCCCGTAGCTTACAGCCGGGAGAATCTCGGCCTAACCCTTCCCCACGCCCCATTTGAGGCGAGGTGGCATTTTACTAGACAATGCTGGCCACTACTCCAGGCACGGCGAGCTTTCCCACTTATTTTGCTTGCCAATCCTGTTGCGACACCTGAATCCCTTCTCTTCTCTCTCTCCAACTCACGCGACTCTTTCGCCCAACTGCATTGATCCCATACGCCGCTTCGCGCCTCTACTCCCACATCCATCACAATGGCCGATCAAGTTGAGGAGATCCTCGATGTTCCCCGCGAGTTCTTCAAGGACGGCGTGCAGTTCATCAACCGCTGCCAGAAGCGTACGAAGAGTTTCCTACCTACCACGTGGTTCCATCGTCGATGTGGTTTTTTTTTACTGACATGTTTGACTGTTTCTAGCCGACCAGAAGGAGTTCCTCAAGCTGTGCCAGGCCGTCGGCATCGGCTTCGGCGTGATGGGCGCAGTCGGATTCGTCGTCAAGCTGAGTGCGTTTTTTGCCTCCCCCAAAGTCGAAATGTCGTCAAATCTAACTTGTTACTTTTTTTGCAGTACACATTCCCCTTAACGGCCTCCTCGTCGGCTCAGCATAAAATGTCTACTCTTCTCGACGGCGTTCTTTTTTTATTGGGAAAGGGATATCCGGGCTGTGAAATGATGCAGTTTTTTGAATGAAATGGACGGAGAAGGGATTTGAAGCGATGAGGAAGAATATCGCTGTGTACATTTTTTTCTAGTTTCCTTCTTATTTCACGGATATGAGTGGGATGCAATAGCATGTTTAATTGATTGGTTTCTGGGATACGATGAGGGGCGTTGAAAAGCATGTTCGTGGGAAGTGCTGATCTTGCGCTAGGCTGGCTTGGTGATGCGTGATATGTGCGACCTGTGTTTTTTGCGTCTTCGTGGCTCTTATATTGGAACTGCAATGGTAGTTGAGAAGTGAAAAGGAATTCGATACTCATTGAGGCGTGAATATATTCTTACCAATGGCTTGTCACGACGCAGGGAGGTGGAAGAGCTCAGACCAGCGGGCCACCTGCACAGACGATAGGGTGTATCTTTATCTGCAACGCATACAGAAACGATTAGAGGGCTTATAAACTCTTTTGGCGTATCCTGTTCCTGTTCTATCGTTTACATGTGTCTTGTGGACTGTCCATAGTGTAGCGCAACCATCAGCTACGCTATATGAATCCATGGCCATGCAATTTACAAGCAGGGCCTGTCTCTACAACATGCCTCACTCGGGCATTTCAATCGAGCAATCGTAATAGATAACGAGCTAAAGTAAAGCTAAACTCCGGCTCGTGCCATGCTATTGATGCCTCGCCAGCGTTTTGGCTAGCTGCAAGGGAGTTACCCTGCACAGCTTGACTGGCGGTTGTCATGCAGAACACACAAGGCTGTCTAAGACATTCATGAGGAGTCATTGCCAGCTGGCATTGGAAAACTCTTTATAAATGAGAGAGGGATGTCAATCGTTCTGGATACTCTCCCTCCAATTCCTTGATTTGGTTGTTTTAGTATTAAGATCATTAGTGTTGTAACGTTGGTGCGTGACGGTAACAAATAAACCTTGACCTTGATCGCAGATTTGAACGGGGCAATTAGATTACATTGTTTTAAAATTATGGACAAGGAAATTTCCATTTCTGTTCGACCGGATCCTGACGTCGCTGAACCTTTGGCCGAGCATACGGCAACCATCATCTTCATCCACGGTCTTGGTGACAAGCCAGAAACGCTACATGAGCCCATCAACCAGTGGAGGAGCAATGGCCATGTTGATAACATTAAATTCGTGCTACCTCATGCGCCAATAATCTCATTTACAGCGGTGATTTATACTTTACAGCTCGTTTTGAGATTCAAAGTGGGCTAACGGGAACATCAGAAAGCGAGTGCTTATATGCCTGCATGGTTTGATATTGTAAGCCTCCCGCTTCTAATCAGACTGATGATGCTGACCAGGGCTGTAGAAAGTTTACGATGGCTCGCCAGATGCGCTTCGGACAGATGAGGACGTGGATGGCATTCTTGCCAGTAGAGACTACATCCATAGCCTCATCCAAGAAGAAATCAGGGCTGGGATTCCGTCCAAGCGTATCATGATTGCCGGGTTTTCCCAAGGCGGAGTGATAGCCGTGGCTGCTGGGTTAACTTTTCCGCAGCCTCTTGCAGGAATTGCTTTGCTTTCCGCATGGCTACCGTTGGCTCAGAAATTCATGGAATACGTCCCCGAGGAGAATCCAAACAAAGAAACTCCCATATTCCAGGGCCACGGCGTCGACGACCGCTTGGTGCCGGTGGGATTTGCGAAGAAGAGCCGAGAAGCCCTGACGGCGATGGGATTTTCAGTTTCTTGGAACGTGTACGGGTGAATTGGGCCCTTTTCTTGGACTATTTGTTCTCTCGACATTTAAATATCTCGGAATTTACTATAGTCGGTCATGCTAACTAGTGGTGGTGGGCAGCCGACTGGGTCATGAGACTTGCGAGGACGAGCTGGACGATGTAGAGGCCTTTATTGAAGAAAAGCTGCTGTAGCTGGAGCTTGGAAACAGGGACTTTTTGACTTGATGATGGAGCTGGATGGGCAAGTTTACAGGTTACGGGTATGAAATCGGGAGTTGCGAAATCTGTGTTTCTTTTTTTGAAACGCCAAGCAAGATGCGGGCGGTTTGACGACTGCCATGCCTGTGCTCCATATCAGATTGGAAATGGAAGCCAAAGAGTGGAAACGGAGGGACGTGTTCGTTGGCGCTTAGGCCGGGCCAAATGCAAGAAACTGAGGGCCATTGCGCCACTAAAGCTACCTAAAGGCTATGTATGGGGGGGATGATCCGCTGGCATACAGATTGATCACCAACATTGCACGCCATGCAGATAATAAATGCCTCCAGACTTTCTATGCCAGCCAGTTCTATTGAATGTTTGTTTGTCCAGCAGGAGCTGTAACTGAGCCTTCAATCACGGCGCATCTGTAGCTAAACAGAACGATTCTAGCTCGTGTTCGTGGCCTTGCATATGCCCCTAAAACCACGTCACCCCCCCCAACAAGGCTGCCTGCATCGGCTGCCCTACCCGCATCACAAGGGAGCGATGAAGAAACAGCGCTGCGCAGAAGGGCACAAACGGCCCAGATAAGGGCGATACTTTGCGTTGACGTCAGGTGTCATGCGTGGCGGCTTATGGATGGCCACGGCGGGCATTGCGCCAACTGATCACGCTACAGGATGAGACGCTGCAAGGCTTGGGGGACGCTGCGGTGGCCCCTGTGCTGTGGGGGAGAGGCCAATGACTGCCCGAGCCGCCAGTGGGTAGGCACCCAGTAGGCACCCAGTAGGCACCCAGTAGGCACCTAACCAGCCGGGCCCCGGTGCTGTACATGGAGGCAGTTGCAGAGCAGGCACAGTATTGGAGGTGTAATACAAGGTAATACAGCCATAAGTCCATGTCCCCATGGGACTGCAAATGCACTAATCGTTAGTTATCTCGTCTCTTGCCATGGCATGACTTGCACCTCTGGCTCTTGTCCTGCCATGTGCTCTCCGGCTGTGCTCCTGTCCAAGTTCTGCAACACAGAGCCGTGCGCTTGATTTGAAGCTTGTTGTGTAGCGCGGGCTGTGTGTGGCTGGCCATTGTTTTTTTTTTTTATCTTTATCTCTTCCCGCCTTGCCTCTTATCAGTCGGTGCAACAACAGACTTTCGTTGCAGGCAGTGCCGAGCCGGCCACTGGGATCCGGCCCAACGAGAACAAGAGAGAAATCAAATCAAACCACAGACGGTTTCTCATCGCTGCCATCGGCGAAATAAACTCATCCCTCTTGCCCATCAGCCGCTGATTCCTCGCTCTTCCGCAAAGCATGGCGACGCCCACCGTTTCTCGTCCCTCCAGTCCCGCGCCCTCTCAACTGCCTCCCATGCCAGAGTCTCCCGTCTATTCTCTCGCCTCAACCGCCCTCCCGCTCTCTCAGTACAACCTGCCGCTGCCGCCACCGCCGCGCCCGCTGCACTCTGTCATAACAAAGGCAGATCTCGAGCGGTCGCAGGAGGCGTATGCGGACCTCTTGACCTCGGCCAAGGCCTATAGGGTTGCTCTCGCTGCTCTCTCCACGGCCGCCTCCACCTTTGGCTCTGCGCTGGAAGCATGTGCGAGGCTCAAGGAGGCTCGCTCCGAGCCCATTGGCCCCGCCGGCACCGCCAACATGACGGCCAGCTTCACCACAAAGGGCCAATGCACCGCCGACACCCTCATGTCGGCGTCGGGCGTGCATCATCTGATTGCCAACCACCAGCAGATCCTGTCCGAGACGGTCTACCGCTCCTTCGAGGTGCCTCTCTTACACGAGCTCGACAAGTGGCAAACCGTCATTGGCGACGAGGAGGAGACGTATCAGCACAACATCAAGGCCCAGAGCAGAGAGGTTAAGCGCCTGGAGAAGGAGGGCCTGAAGCTGCACAAGCAGAGACGCAGGGATGTGGCGCGCTTCAGAGCCCATCTTGTCGAGCTGACCTACAAGCTCGACGGGCTCACCAGCCTGCATGCAGACCATGCAAGGACGCTGTTGAGAGAGAGCCAAGAGACGAGCGGGCGGATAGTCGACGCGAGCTGCAGCCTTGTGCGAGCCGAGGTGGACATATTCGAGAGCTTGGCCAGGAAAGGCTGGAGCGGCGGTGGCTTGGACGACGTCTTGGAAAAGGGCCAAGACTTGTTCGCCATTGAGGATGACCCTTTCCATGGTGCTGGCACGAGCGGCGGCGAGGGGGTTAAGCTCTTCTCTATCCTGCCGCCCAAGAGCATCTTGGCCGACACGGCGTCCGAGCCAAGAAGCGAGAGCTTGTTGGCTGACGGGGAACGATACCAGTCGCTTGCCGCCACGGCCGCAGATGCTAAGCCACAAAGTGCTGATTCCGAGAGCGTCTTCTCGGTTGACTTTAACAAGCCGCGGAATGCTCGCCCTTTTTCGCCACAGCCGATTCGGCGGGCACCTACAGATGTGACGTTTGACTTGTTGGATAATCTTGTAGCATCGCCGTCTCTTAGCCTACAAGATGGCTTGTTTCCATCGTTGAGCGAGAGAATCGGGGAAGAAGAGGAAGATGAAGATGAAGAAGGGGAGCAAGAAAGAAGAGGAGAAGAGGAACATCATGGTTTCGATTATGTTGACCACAGTCGTAACGAGGACAGTCATAGCAACGGAGAACCTTCTTCTGAGGAAGTGAGGGAACAGACGCTCTCAGATGATGATAGCGGGGAGCTCACCGAACGAGAAACTAGGCGTGAACATGAGGAAGAAGAAGATGATGATGACGAAGATAGCCATGGCGAGCAAGAAGAAGAGGACAGGCTGAGGCTGCTGAACCATGACTACTGATAAGATTCAAATTCCGTGACCAGCGGCATAGGAGAGGCATCTTTGACATGTATGGATCTCCTCTTTTCTTCTTCTTCTTCTTCTTCTTCTTCTTCTTCCTCTCTTCTTTTTTCCTTGTGTCACAAGCATTGTTTGGTGTTTGGCTCTCTTGATCCAGCGATATGACTGAATGGCTTTACGAAATGATTTACCAGATTGTCTTTTTTTTCTTTTCTTTCTTTTTCCTTTATTGTTTGAAGAGCATGCATCACCTTTTTTGGAAGGCGGCGAAATAGGTTATTTTTTTTTCTTGTTACTTTTTTTTTTTTGGCATAACTAGATGTCTCAAAGCAAAAGATCAATATTCAAAAGAGTCGGGCGTCTCACAGAGAGGAAAATGGTATAAACTGTAGACAAAATCCCAAGGATTTATTCCCATTTACAGAAAGAAAAAAATTCATCTAACATACATCCGCCCCCTCCTCTCCTCCTTTTTGTGTAACATCCAGTGGAAACGCCTACAAAAGAGTCCATGATTACCTATGTACCCTACTAAAATGCTCATGATGTGAAAATCTCCCTCGAATCCAAGTATGCAGCTGCCCCCTTCACTCCTCCGCGTCGAATATATGCGCTGCTTTGCCATCAACGAAACGCTGTTTGGATGTCTTGCTGTCGTCTATTTCTTTCCATCCATTCGTGTCATAAAATATCCCATCCAGCTTTGAGCTCAAAAAAAAGTAAAAAAATCAAAACCGCAGAGATAACAAATGTCAACCAGTATTAAACAGTTGAACAACTCAAAAGAAAAAGAAAAAAAAAAAAAAGTCTCTTTAATCATCCTTATCAACGCTATACACATCACCCCTGAACAGACTAAACGTTGCGTCGAGCCACCATATAATCTTCCAGTAGAGGCTTGCACGACCCCAGTCAAACTCGCCAGTCTCGGTTCGCGGCACCTCGTTGCCAATCATGCTGCCGGAGAACCATTTGATGATGGGAAGTGCGTTGAGAACGCGCTGCACGACGGACTGTTGTGGCAAGAGGGCTTGCTCGGCGGGGAGGAGGCGAGCTTTGCGCGCGGTGGGGATGCGTCGGCAGAAGATGCTGTCCTCCTGGCCGATTTCCATGGGCTCGATGCTTGTTGTTAATCCGAGAGGCAAAGGTTCGGTGATGGTGGCGCTTGAGCCGTGAGAGATGCTTGTCAGAGTGGCGCTGTTCATGGTTTGGCTAGACTCCCTCGATTCGGCAGGGGACAGGTCGAGTAGACGGCTGTTAAACGTCGTGGGGAGACCTGATACAGATTTCCTCTTGGGTTGTCCGAAAGTCGGGGGCGCAAAGCTGGGCACGCTCTTGGATCGCTCCTCTTCCAGCTGTTCAATGTCCGGGCAGGCCTCGTCTTTGGCCGGTGCTAATCCCCGGTAGGGCTCAGCATAGACGAGGTGTCCCAGTATCCTCTGCGGGCTGGAATACACGGCGGCATTGCCAGCCTCTGCGCTCGCAAAAGTGACCTTGACCCAGTGCTCACCGCCATCGGCGCGGTTCACCAGGGCGCGCTCTTCGGCTGAGAGGTTTCGGCGGCGCGTAAAGGCGGGATCGCGCAGCTCCGACTTGTATCGTCTCTGAGAAGAGGGCGGCTCGCGGGGATAGTCTTCGAGGATGAGGCCGGCGAGCGATTCGTAGTGGGCGATGGCGGCGTACTGCTGCGTCGATGAGCGGTAGCCTCTCAGGATGAGCTCGACGGGCGAGGACTTGACGGCGGCGCGTTGCGGCACGGCATCCTCCTGGGCCCCTGAGGCGGCGCCGGCGGTGGTCTTGCGCTGGTTGGAGGTGGAGGGCGGGTTGGCGCTCGACTGGTTCTGGACCCAGTCGTAGAAGAGCTTGTCGGCGGCGGCGAGCGTGGGATTTTCTCGACCGCGAGCGGGAGTGCCTGTTTTGGAGCGAGACCGTCTTGTTGACTTGCCAAAGGAGCCCGTTTCTGCGATGCTCCGTCGTGTTCTGGTTGTGCCTTCGTGTCTAGAAAGGGAGAGACGATTGTTAGTTGCTTTCTTGGAGAAAGGGATGCGAAGAGGAGCGTACGGGTAGATCATGGCATATGGTCTCTTGATGCCGTCCTCGCCGACGTAGCATTCTTCGTCGGGGACGTTGTGCAGGATGAGAGGCGCCATGGCGGGCGAGGAGAAGAGACAAAATGAATCGTTGCCTGAGACGCGCGAAGCAGGGTGAAAAAGGGCGCTGGTCAAGCTGTAGACGGCGGCCCAATGATGTCGCGACGTGCGACTCAGTGATTGGTGAGGTGGTTGGCGAGATGCAATGCAGAAGCCTGGGGTTTTGATGCCAAAATTCTGGAAAGCGAGCTTTGGAGAAAAAAACCCTGGCATAGCAACACCGCGAAGGCCGATTCACTAGCCACAGGCTTGGTTCTGCGGGGCGCCACAAATACCCGCTCCAAGCCTCAGGTTTGTCAATGACCAACGCTGCAGCTTAGAGTGAGCTTTTGCACTACATGGAACTCCGTGCCACATCTTTTCTTTTCTTTTTTTGGGCGAAGAGGGAGTGGATTGTTCTTTTCTTGGAAGATGCATCGACATGCTGATTCTGCAATAGAGTCTGTGTTGGGGTTGAAGTGCTTTGTTTCCAAGCAAGCTAATTGGCCTATGTGCTCTTTTAGGCGTCTCAATCCAGAGCCGTATGAGAGCACAATTTTTTACATGTACACACAAAAAGAAAGGCATCGACTGCTATATTGATTTTGAAGCTGCTCTCTGAGTCAGAATAGATATGCAATAGTCTCTGCAAAGAAAAACCTGGGAGTTGTCGTTTTGTTTGTGTTGCACTGTTGCAGGCAATTATCCCTTTGCTATTAGACGACTTATATGCCATGTTGCATAAACTCTTTATGGTTTGTTTAATAACATGAAAACAAAATAATAGTAGGCGGCCGGTTAGTTTCATGGACCTATTAAGTTCTATTATTTATATTACCTGTTAAATCTCCCACTAGTTAGCGGTATGTGCTTAAGTAAATATCATCAATCTCTACTATCTGAGGCAATCATTACCATGCGTTATAATAGAGTTGTAAATAGAAAGCTGCTAAGCTTACTAACATAGATATTAAGTCCATTAGTCTATTAGACTAATAAGTTGCTAAATCATCCTCGATCACTTTTCGCAAGTAACATAATGTTACTATGGGGTGTGCAAATCTCAATTTGGTCCAAAGAAGAAATTCGGTAGAAAGCTCACCAACTTTCTATAATGCTCCCGATTGCCCTCTACCTATGAGATAATTTTATTTCAAGGTCTCCTGTCTGCTGACCGAGATTAAGTCCCCGCTGTTACTCTCTTTCTTCGCCATATAATGACTAAATGTTACACAGACGTAACAACGAAAATGTCCTTGGAAAAGCGACAGTGTATTCATGACCAGCTACCAATGGAAAGGCCAAAGGAGAAAAAAAAAAAAAAAGAAAAAAAGGACAGCCAACCCGAGAGCAGACAGCTTCTGGTACTATTACAGGTGCTCTACAAAGATAGCTTATATAGATACGCAAAAAAATAAATGCTTTGACGAGAGTGGGACTCGAACCCACGCGGATTGCTCCACCAGGAATTGCTGTTAAGGTAGCCTTAACCTGACGCCATAACCAACTCGGCCATCTCGCCAGATGCCGCAAGACGCTGGAAGTCGGCGACTGAGAATGTTTAGGAACTGAGTGAATCACAATTGCACTGGTAATGCGAGAGACGTCTTCCGTATAGCATAGTAGAACTGTCTATAACTCTTAGATACGCGTCCATTGCACAATATAAGGAACATCTAGTGGCAATCGATAACGATACGAAAAGAAAGTTGCTATCCACATCTTTGCTGCTTAGTCTTAATCTAATTGTTAACACACGTCGTGATAGAAGTCCCGGAAGCGATAAATACAAACTTATCTGCTTATATAATACCAATGTTCGTTTTGTATCTTTATGAAGATCGGGCAGCGGTATTCATTCTCCAAGTCTGTTAATAGTAGAACGAACACAAGTCGGCTGCTGGACGAGCAAAGTCGTCACCATATGAATGCATAGGTTTCATGAGCAATTAGGTAACTCGATTAACTATATGCCTTGATACGACAGGAGAATGGTGGAGCACGTCTATTGCTTACTGATTTGCAATAATAAACGTGATCATTATATTTTCCTATTATCTGTAGCGTAGAGTTTTGAAAAAGTTTCGTGACACGAGTGCATTATTACACATCTCTCTCTGGATACATTCGCTGTTGCTGGCTTGCTGGGTAGAAAGGATGTTGTGGCTGTTGCTGAAGTTAGATTCTCTGCCTGGCTCCTATGAGCAAATATTAACAGCTGTTGATATAGCATTTGAAGGAAAAAGCCAAGCTAAACACGAATTGGATATGGGTTTATTCAAGACTGCTACTAACCTATGATAGATGATTAACGCTGAGCCAGAGCTTAAATCTATGTAAACTAATTAATTGAGAAGCTTTACCAGCTGTCCGTCTTTGCATCATCAGAACATGCTTGAAATGCGTCAATAGTTACTACTTGTCAACAAAAGGCTGCTACTAGAATAAGCTGTGCACTATACCCCCCCGGCGTACCACTTTCGAGGCTCATCTAAATATCCGTTGAGTTAAGAGATACCATAAGATTAACTTTAAGCTGAAACACCATCAACTGCGACTTCGGAGTCTCTCGAAAGAGGGGAAACATTACATTTCGCAGCCTATTTTACAAACACCACAGACACAGCAGCGATCTGCGCAACAGATGACGTAGATACAAATCACACCGCTATGCCTTCACTCTCGCCTAATTGCTCCCTGCGTCTCTAGCAGCCGCTCTAGTATGCACAGCGATAGGCCAGCACTTGACAGCTTCAATATCGCTTCGCTTCCTGCTAGGCCCTCGACTAACAAGCTCAATGCCCACCAACAGGTCAATGCACGCACTCTAGCTCCAACAAGGGCAGATCCATCGCAGTTCCCAAACATGAGATGAAAATCGTTTGATCCGAAAACGAGCAAAAAAACACCGCCTCTTTTGGCCTCGAAACACGATCCATCCTCAGCCCTACTTTTATCACGGCAAAGTCCGTCCCCCTAACCAGATTATAGTACATGCTTGTATGTTCACCGCCTCACGTCCCATTCCTCAGCTGTATTTTTGCATGGAGTTGTCTGCATCCCGGTGATGTTACGCGTAGAATATTCTATTTCCTGCCATTCCAGCGCGTCTCACCCAAATCCCAACAATCCATTTTGATTTCTGTCAGTGCTGTTATTACGGGGGGGTTCTGTTTTGATACCATCCCACTGGAATCCTTCTTTCTCCCACCCCACGTGGATCTGACAGGGGGTCAGCAGCACCCCCCATGCTGCATGCTGGGGGCTCTGCAGGGTCCTGGGTCTTACATCATGCTCACCAGCTCTGTTTTGGGGCAGATTCTTCGAAATGAAGCGAACAACAACAAAAAAAAAGAAAAAAAAAAAAAAAAAAAAGCGGCGGTACCGGCAGATTGGCTAAATCCCCCCAACTTTGCTGTCAGTGCGCTCGGATTGGCCAGCTGGCCTGTTGGCTAGCAGCACAAGTTTTTAATTGAAGCTTTGGATAGCTTGGGGGTCTAGCTGGGCTAGCTAGCCATAGACTGGACTACTGAGCGTCAAAGCTCTGGCAATGCCGACACTAGAAAATTTTATCGACCGATTTTTTTTTTTTGCTTTTGCTGTGTTTTTGCTTCCCTTCTAGACGGGAAGTACTAATTTCGTGGACCTGCTAGCTTCTATGCCCCCATCTCCAGATCTCTAGTTGTCAAAAGGAAGGAAAAGGAAAAAAAAGATCTAGATTCGTCTAGCCGGGGTGCAAAGTCGCAACTCGGCATCGCCCAACGCATACGCTTCAGCTAACAACAATGTAACCCCCAATGCTGCCATCCCAATTACACGGCTGCCCCCCCCCCTGAAAAGAAGAAGGAGGAAAAAAAGGAAGGAGTTCCACCGATCTTGCTTATTCTGCTGCTGCAATAAGCTTCAATCTCACCAAAGCTCAGTTACATACATACTTGTACCACACCACTGGATACGGAGTATTTTCATCCCCTCAGCCTTATCTCAGCCACGGGGAATTGGAGAGAGCTGTCACCTCGTAATCTGGTTTCGCCGCTCCATGCCCCCTCCTCAAAACTTACTCCGCACAAAACACTCAGACGCCATCGTTGATTCTTAAATACCACAAGCTGCAAACTTACGCTTCAACCACTCATTGTTTCCGCATTGGACAATCCAAAAGGCTTAAATCGCTTTGCATACGAGCACTTACACGTAACTTTACTTGAAATCCCAAAACCCAATATCACTTACACAATCCACAACTTACTTACCTAAAAAAACGTAATATACATAACATTATAAAACAAAGACAAAAAACAAAAGCAATGCCGCTGATAAGCTTCCTTTCAACTACATACTACTACTAATACGCTCTTGTTCGTGTTTCGTATCCAAATGTCTAAAAACTCCCCTACCCCCCTCCCTTGTTATTAATAGCAGCACCGCCATAGCCGGGGCATCGGCCGCATCCACCCATACTAACATTTTCCTGGTCTGGTCCCTTTTTTTTTTGCACATGGGGCGGTGTTGCCGAGCCTTGCCAAGGTCACGATGTCTATTCAAAGGGAAGAAGAAAAATTCAAAGGTGGAGGGCTGAAAAAAAAAAATCAGTAAAGTACTGTAGCAATGCTAATAGACTAGCCAGGGGCATGTTGCATGGCCCACCAATTCGTAGTACCTTTTTTCCCCTTCTTTTACGCACAACACAGCACACTGACTCTATTGCCGGCGTGCCGGTATGCCGTTGCCCAGAGTCGAGGTGGGGAGCAATGACGATGTATACCCTGTCCAGCTGGAAGGGCCAAGCATTGTGTGCGTGCTGCGGCAGCCAAACCGAGTGCCGAGCTAAGAACGAGAAGAGACGGAAGCGAAAAATTTTCTCAAAAGTCACATCGGAAGCGGGCATCAATGACGTTGGTTGTTTATGCTCTTGTATTGATCAAGTCTTGGAGCAATAGTTTTCAGGGACTAGTGCCCTTGTGAGTAAAGTATGTAGTAGCTAAGCTATGAGAGTGCAGACAAAAGAAGATTGAACATAAAAAAATTCAAATGATAGACATATTGTGTAGTAGTCGTGGTGTTGTTGGGTCCACCCCCCTCGGGTATCCAATTCAATCAAGTTCCTTCCCGGCCGTTGCCTCGTTCCAAAGTCCCAAACATCAGACGTTGATATGAAAATGCAGTGATGCAAACGTCGATTCTCTTTAGTGTGCAGCCATATCCGAGGCTGTGCCAAAATCCATAGTATTCCCTCCCATGAAAGCCAAAACCAAGATAGAAAAAAGAAAAAAAGAAAAAAAGAAAAAAAAAAAAAAAAAAAAAAAAAAAAAAAAAAANAAAAAAAAAAAAAAAAAAAAAAAAAAAAAAAAAAAAAAAAAAAAAAAAAAAAAAAAAAAAAGACAAGATATTGTAGACTCCGAGGTCTTTGTGTGCATAGGATGCTTAAGTGCAGACGCTGAATTTTCGAGTTAAAACGCTTGTAATGATAAAAATATATGCCACGAACTGAAAATAAATACTGATAGGGGATGGTGGTTGTAATGTTGTAGAGCGCTTTCATGCCGATGCATCATCGGGCTTCGAAAGAGTCCATGTCTTCGCTATTGAAGACGATACCTCTTCGCTTCCAGCCCCCACGCCTGATGTAGTCCTCAAAGCTGTCGACAGGCTTATATGTTGGCCTCTTGGGGACGGAAGCGGATGAGGCCAGGGTGCTAGGGGTAGATGCGCCAGCAGCTTCAGCCTCTTCGGCATCGGCAATAGCCGCTGAAGTAGGCTCGGACATGCTTGACACGGGAGTGAGGTCATCCAGTGAGGCGATGGTTGATGCAATGGTAGAATCAGACCAGCGAGACTGGTTTGCTGGCTTCGGTCTGCTTGTGATGTGCATGAAGAAGTAATCCTGTGGCTCATCTGCAGCCTCATAGTCATGGCTGCTCACAGGGCTTGCATGAGGTAGCTCCATGGTGAACTGTGTCTGGTCCTCATCCTCACCATCAAAGTCTCTCTCAGAGGCTTCAAGGTCGCTGCTCTCGGCATCTTCGCTGTCGTAAAATGTGGGCGCTGACTCAAAGTGTTGCCGATCAGACAGGATAAATGGCCGGTCGTGCAGCCTCTTGGGAGGTTGGAAAGTAGAGTGAATGGAGAGTCCATCAAAGCTGGAAGTAGTGCCGGTGCTGGTCGCCAGGCGAGGCGAATGCGCGCGGATAGTGGATGTTGATGAGTCTGAAGAGAATGATCGGTCGGAAGCTGAAGAAAGCGAGCAGCCAGAAAATGAGATTTTTCGGATGTGCAGTTCTCGGGGTTTGGACCCTCGTCGCTGGCCAAGGCCACTGAAGATAGGCATGATTGCAGCGGCTGTTGTATAGGTGCTTTGGTGTGTCGATGTGGGTATGAGTGAGCGGGTGAGTGAGTATGAGCGTTGTGAGTGGGCGGGTGTAAGTCGATTGGGTATAGATGAAAAATAACTGGCAATGGTGTTGATAATATATATGCTGGTCAAATGGCAAACTCAATCGTTCATGCAGCTAAGACGGAACGATCGGGCCAATAAAGTGTAGAGGGAGGTGAGGAGGTGATGTGTATGATGTAGTCGTGCGTATGATGGCGTATCCGGGCACACACAAGTGCAGGAGGTGGCGAAACAGACAATCAGAGGCGGGTGATTCGTCTAGAGTGTAGATGTACCCGAAACGTTGCCGATCGAGTCTCTTTGAAGCCTTCAAGAGCCCGAGTTGGAGGGTCAGCAATGTGATGCACGAAAGCTTGCTTCCGGAGTGCCGAGAGGAGACGGCTTGGTACATATATGTGTAAATCGATCATGATGCGGAGGCGTGGGCGTCGGAGCGAGTGGGCGTGCAGATGCCTGGCGGGCGTGTGAATTGCCGGGGTGGGCTAAAGTCCATGTGCCTCGCATGGGTATCGGATGGAGCCTGGACCGGGCGGTGGCTTTGGCTGGCTCTCGTCTCGTGCCTGCAGAGACTGGAGGTATCTTTCGGTGGCTGCTGAGCAGAGCTCGTGCTTGGCCTTACAGCACCTTGGCTTCTCCACACTGCAACTGCGAGAGCGAGACTAGCCGTGGTGATGACTCCAACTGAGACCCGTCTTGTCCGTGAACCTTGGAGCCGATGGCTGTGCCGATAACTCTCTGCTCGAGACTTGGCACCGCCAAGCCCTGGATCTAGAGCGAGTGGCTTGTCCAGTGTTGTGTCATGGCATCTCGAGTGTTATCGTGAGCCGAGTCCTCTTCCAACCCGTCCCAAAGCCAAGAGGCAGCATGATGGCAGTCAACACGTCGAGATACGTGTGTGTGTGTGCACATTGACGTCTGCTTCAGCCGTAGCGTCGTCCTTTGATTGGGGCGATCCAAACCAAACGAAACAAGTCGCCCTGCACTGCGTCCTAGTCTCCAACTGAACCACGTTGGGGTCCAAGCCAAGCCCTCCAAGGCCACCACCTCGTAATCGTGGGCTGATAGACCCTGGTCGCCAGCACTGCTAGGGCACCCAGTCCGCGTCAAAACCTTGTGCTGGGCTGCTGTTCTCTGTATGGTAGACGTCATGCCGGCCCTCGGGTTGACAGGCTGCGTCTAGCTGCTGCCCTTGAGCCTGTGCAGGACGACGCCCGCCGTGCGACTTGGTTCTGCCCTTGGATTACAGCATCGAGACGACAGCATCCTCGCAGTCAGCACACAGGGAGCCGCATCCAGAACTCGAGCTAGCACTGGCACCTGTCCATGTAGCCATGCAGCGACCTGGCAGGCAGTCATTTCAGCGGCTGGAGTCAATCCGCGCGCGCGCACTCCTCAGCGAGGTCTCGAGAGAGCGATGCGACGCTGTTGGCAGTGGTGCAGTGAAGGCCATGCAAGGGATGCCTTGGCTGCGGACGGCTCAGGCACGAACGCTGCGACGAATGCTGGTAGCGGCATCGTGAAAGTCAAAAGCTGCTAGTGCCCCTCTGGCGTGCCGCGCCCTGGAGCGATCGCTCAGGCACTGGCGTGGATCTTGCAGCGCTATCTGTGACGAGAATTGCTTTTTCCCTCGCCGGTGGAGGTGTTTGGCGGTCAGCTGCACGATTGATTGCAGACGGCGGGGCAGGCACGGCACGGCTATACAGTGAGTGAGTGTTGCGAATGGAGCTGGTGAGAATGCGAATGTCATTGGCCGCCACGGGTCACGATTATGAGTCCATCGTGGCGGGATTCCACGAGTTTGTGCTTGGTGGTTTTAGCGAGGTGCTGGTGTTTAGTCATATCGCGCAATCTGTTGCCATGCTCAAGCCATAGTACCACTTAGTACTGAGCATCCGTCTTGCTCGACTACATATAAACTACTAGCACTTATAAACTACATGCTAACTATATCCCACTAAATAATGTGGTGCATCTTGGCAAACATGTTCGGTTCCTGACCAATAGGTATTTGCCTTGCTCTTGCCGCAACTGCCTCGCACTAGCGCAGCGTAGTGTCTCTGAACCCGTTTATTAACATCTGGATACGCTAATGCACACGGTTTCAAGCTGTTTGCTGCGGAGGGGGGGCAGTATTGCACGATACGTGTAAGGACGGGGTTGTCTCGGGTTTGTGTGTAAGTGGTGCTACAGTGCCGTACGGCGTCTTTCAGAGCACAGCAAATACCATGTAGGCAGATGCCCGAATCCAGCCTGTTTGATGCCGGTCTGCTGCATCAAGCAAATATCTTTGAAATAACATTGAGCCCTCGCCATATCATGCACACGCAGATGGCGCAAAAACAGGCCGAATCCAGCACTCAGCTAATATAATCGAATATGCATACACGCGCGAGGCTCCCACACTATTGGCACAGGGCAGCTCAGCTCAGTCGACGGTATCTCCGTCGCAATCGTGGTCCAGCTGCCGATCGGGGCACCCCGAGGCTGAGGCTCCAGACCGATCGATGCTGCCGGCGGACGAGGGGAGGATCTGCTCCTCACGCAGCTTCACACAGCCGGGGGGCCAATCAGCGGCTGCCCGTCCTCCAGGTGGCTTCATTTGCCTGTTTGCCTATTTGCTTCTCCTCATCTCCCCTCACTGCCCCCCTCAATGCCAATGCTGCTTTTCCCTCAAGCGAGCCCCAGAGACGATGCTGTGATAGAGGGCGCTTCTGGCCTAGCCTTATCGCTTAGGCGGTGGCGTCCAGCCGTGCAGGGGTACTGGGGCTCTGTGGCTTGGCTTGGGCGATCGCTCATTCGCTGCCGTCGAGATCCCCTCAACGCCTCTCAGGAACCATGGCTTGCGCTGCCAAAGTCAAAATATGTTCGAGTTGGCGGAACTGAGTAATGGGCGGGACAAAGTCGTCCGAGCATCTGTAAAATCCCGACGCCCTCTGGTAGTGCTATTGTCATATTCGCAGCGTTTCGGAGATCTCACGGCCCCACGTTTTTGCCTTTGCCCAAGGCCTTCGGGATGCAACCAGTCATCCTGTCAAGACTGCCAAATCTGCGAGGAGGATGCAAGCAAGCATTCAAAGGGGCCTCCTATTGGCCTCCCACACGCACTTAACTCGGCCCTGCGGTGCCTCTGCTGCAGCCTGGGCAGATCAGCCGTACAGGCATCTTGCAGCCGCAATCTCAGCAAATTAGACGTGTGCCAGGGTGCCGCAGCACACACACACCACACCTGTCAAGCGGCGTTGGTCGCTGCATGGCAACGCATTTTGGCATCACAACATCTCGAAGCAGAATGGCCTACTGTATGTGCTTGACCGTCGCCGAACGACTGGAGCCCGAATCTGTGTCCGAAAGCCAGAGATCGTAAGTCCGAGACATGGCTGGCAGTTGTCCTACATCAGTCCGGAGCAGCATGTTGTATAAGTCGCCGGTCGCATAGGGCCATTCCACTACCAAGTGCGACACCTCTCAGTCGATACAACACACCGTTTGCTGGCATGTCTGTAGTCGATTCTTTGCGGAAGACTTGGTGATAGCGTTGCGTTATTCAGGCCGCGACGGACAGACAACATGAAAGACGTCGTGATGCCCGACCACCATGCCCACACCCCCGTCCATCTGGAAATGTCAGCCGCAGCAGATTCATGCATGCAACGCTTCACCGCGCACCAGGCGGTCGGGCCCAGGGGAGCCAACAATATCTTTGATAGATGCAACAGGCAGATATTCCGCCCCCAACTGCGATGCTCTGAGATTGCGGTTCAATTTCTTTTCAGCCATCCCCCACCAACCTGCCCGATATAGCAGCCCATGCATATAATACCTACTGCACGTACATATGTACTCTATCTGGGTGTGCGCCGTACCGTATGCGTATGTATGCATGAATGTGATCACAAGGACAGCGGCTGCAGGTACGGCGCAAGCTAGAGCTGCACGCAAGAAACATGCATGCGTCGCAGCAATGCAGCCGCAGAGTGGTTGCGTCGCATTATGACAAAGCCCTGTCGTGGACTTGGCACAACCCACGCTCCGGGCTCTAATACAACGACCGGCCTTGGAGCTCCCTGCGCACATTGCCGCCGTCAGTGTGCAGCACTTGTAGATGATGTTTACAGTATGTCGCCGATGTTTGTCGCCGTCCTGGTGCAACGGAGCACACACACACTCGGCACGCCCGCTGCAAGGATCGCGTCTAACAAGCGGCAGCCACCGGCCCTAGATGCAGAGGCCATCGCCGCCTGCGTTGCCTGACCCAAGCCCTCGGCGACATCACCAACGCCCATCCGCCGCTGTTTGGCCTTTATTGCGCCTCACACGCCTTGCTACCTAGAGGACTGACGCTGCAAAATCCGGTAGCCCGGTCCCAAAGTCTGCGGACGCCGCGAGCCCCAAGCGCACGGGACCGCGTCAATCCCACCCTCGTCGGTACCATCTTCTGAGGCCCTCGTTGCCCTTGTTCGTCACTTGGCCATTTGGTCATTTGAACAGCTGCTCTGGCCTGCTCCGTGCTCTACACCCCGGCGTCTTGGTCTTTGCAGCCCTTGCATGCCCTCATCAGAAATCACCACTCGACGCCGGGCACCCAGGCTGTTGGGTAGTCCCAACTCCACGGCCTCGTTATCACACACCGTACGCTGCTCGCGCAGAGCCGTCACGACATGCTGTCACTAATCAACGACAGATTCCACTGCTCTGGATTCACTAGCGCCCGCATGCTCTTTCCTTCACCGTCACATCTATCCCGTCGCTTCCACGGCCACGGTAAGCAATTCTCATACTTGTATATTTGTCAGGGCCAGGCTCCGCTTCAATTTGCTAGTGCAATAGCGGCACTTGTACCACCACCACCACATACAAGTGCTGCACATGCTAATTCAGCCCTGGCGCTTTGCCGCTGCTGCTCAATACTGCTTATGGGAGATCCTTCTTGGGCGGGGAGCCTCATCTGAGGTGCCACAAGGCTCAAACAGCTCCGCCGTCTGGTCAGGGTCCCTCCATAAGCACTGGAGCAATATGAGCGCCTCGCTGAGTCGCTGCTCAAACGGCGCGCAACTCTCATTCCATCCGGCTGTCGCTGCTCCACCAGGCCCCGAGACTCTCCGTCCTAGTTCACCCGATGCCGAGGGCAAGGCGCGCCGCTTTCGTCCCGAGGGAAGCTAGTGCTAGTTGTACGCACTTGCTTTTGCTGTGTGTGTACGCTAGTGGCAAGTTGAGATGGCTTGGTGATTTTGAACATGTACTTTCAGAAGACTGGATTAGTGAGCAAAGTACGCGACTTTTGTACAATGAGCTGAGAAAGATCAAACTAGAGCAAAAAGAAGAAGATGTTCAAATACATGATCACTAATAAGCTTGGTTCTGATGCTCCTATGCCGGTACAATTGTCGGGCTAACGACTGTATTAGTAAAACTTCAACAGCTTAAGTTCTGAAACATATGTACATGTGATACTGTATACCGCAGCTTAATAGCCACAGCCCTTCTCAAACTACAAAGTGGCAGACAACGGAAACTTGGAAATAGATACGCGGCAATGAGCTGCATACTGGAGAAGGAATCGATCATGGCAGAGGCCCCTTCATGTGGCTCTCCTATATTCCCTCTTCTATTTACCAATACAGCTATATCAACATGTAACTATTCTTATCTTACAAAGTCCACTCTATTTCTAGAGACTGACAAATATATAGCAGGTATTACTGTTATAATTCCACTTACTTATACATCATCCATCATCTGGATGTTTACAGGCTTCTCCGCACCATTGAGCAAGATTTGGTATCTACGTGCACTATGCACTACCTACGACATGTAGTTAGAATACTAGCAGGGATCGCATGTGCTATGTTTTGGATGTAAATCCCAGCAATTAACAAGAGAAAGCTCGTCTCGTGTCATCGAGAATGAATATCTCCGTTACTGGCCCTTGGAAGTTGCTTAGGAGAGGGTATATATGCGCTGATGGCTACTCCTTGCCCCCCCTTTACCCTAGAGATTCTCCAAGTGATGCCAGCTTCTTTTCGCAGTACTGACTGGCTATCCTGGTACTTGCCCGGTAGGTTTAATTCCAAATTTCAGATTAGTTGATTCGACCAGATAGATATAATCAGGGCTGAAAGAGGTGCCGGGCGAGACTAATCCATGAAGCCTCACTACTCTGCTCTTGGACTGGGTCTTCGTTTTCCAGGGATGAGTATACACATGTCAACCTAATTACACATGCCATGCTTCACTAAAACTCGTATGTAATAGTAGTATATTCCCACTGATAAGGGCAATCAATCATCCAACAATCCATCCATGCCAAAAACGTCTTGAATTAGCGCCAACTCACTGCAAAAGTCCGGCTTTCCAGACGTATTTCGCAAAGCAGCCACAAATACAGCAACACCAATCTCCAGGTACAGCTAGCCACATGACAACATCCATCAGCAGCTCATTTTTTTTTTTTAAGGCTCAGCCCCCCTCCCCCCCCAGCCTGTACCACCTCAGCGGAAGCACACCTTTCACGTAATACCAGGCACAGCACAGGCAGGATTTTTTTTATTGACACATTTCCGAGAGGCGCTCCCTTGTGTACAAGCAGCTAATTTCAGGGAATCGAAAAAGAACCCGACAGCTCGGATTTGCGTAACCCATCCATTTCCGATATGCTATTTCCCTATTCGTCTACTCTGTGTGTGTGCTCGTGACACTGGTGTTGTTCGTGTACGTCGTGTCACACACATCAGTTAAGCAAGGGGAAGGGCCCTTATTCTCGGAAAACATCACTTCCGAAGGGCCAGGGCCTATTTTCCATCTCATCCGGCGTCAATCCGAGAGCTTGGATGACAGCCCGCTCCAATCTCTTTGGCACCCCTCCTCTGTAAGAAACAAAAGAATACAGTATGGAAGAAACAGACGGGAAAAAAGGGCTGATTCCTCTCTTCCCCATGTAAATTTAGTCTATCAAGTACTAGTAGTATACGCTATCGACCATTGCCGCACCCCTGGCGGCACGGCACGCTTCCCTGCTCGCTGGTCAGCACTCCATAGTCCCAAGAATCCTGGCTGGGCTGTTTGTTTTGTCAAGAGAGCGCCCGCAGACTAGTGCTGTCAATCCTGTCACTTATGTGTGTCACGCTAATAGGTATATAAAAAGGAACGGCACGGAGGGTTTTGTGTGGGTGATACGGATGACTAGTGATACTATAACCGTATACACGTCTCATTTTTTTCTTCTTTTCTGTATCTTGTCTAGTTTCCCCTGGGCTAAGATCGGACTTTTCAGAGCTGCGATATCGTACACGCCCCCCTCCCCTCCTTCCCTTCCCTTCCCTCCTCTTGTAAGAGCTCAGCCCAGTGGGTGTTGAAAACGAAAGATAACCTGCAAGGTCCGGGCTTCCGGGGTACAGATAAATGTCCAGGTCTTCGGACCCGGGGTGCAGATGACTATCCCCAGCAACGGTAGGGAGAAAGCGCCCTATTAGGCTTACATCCCATGGGTTTGCTTCCCTTCCGCCATATACTATTTTGACAGGATCCGACGCAGTGCTCATCATCATTCTGTCACTTATGTAGGGCAGAGAGCGCAATCACATGGGTCATCCCACGCTGCAAGGCCCCCCCATGAGACGATGATACCGACACCACGGTCCAGGTGATTGCCAACAGGCAGGAGCAACGACTGTGGAGCGTTTCTCTTGATAAAAATCCCAGCCCTGCTGATAATCCATATGAGTCAACCTCGGGGTTCAAAGGCCTCACTCAGTCCTTCCTGCCTTGACCCATGTTCAACAGAGGCTAGTAGGTAGAAGTATGGGACCGTTTTTCTGAGCCAAGCTGGTCCTTGCATACACAGATACGGTCCCGAAATGGTTTTGCTTCTTTTGGGTTGGTGGTCACTAGTAAAAGTAGTAGTGGTAGAGCTTGTGGCTTTGATTTGATAGTGACGTAAAAACAAATAATTGAGTAGGGCTGAGCGCTGAGGCGACCTGAAAAAAGAAAAGAAAAGGAACAAAAGGAAAATATTAAAATAAAAATATGGTGAGTAGATGCCAAGAAAGAAGGCTTCAGCTGAGCCCTGGCCTCTACCAGACTCTCGGTAGCCAATCGATCGATTTGAAGGCTTGCTTGACCCCCATTGCTCATCGGTGGCGTATTCCCCCTATTTTTTGGTTTCTTTCTTACTCGTTCTTGATGATGATGATGGTAATTTCGTTTTCGTGCTTGCGGCAGGGCAACATTTTGAAATCTTTCTTTTCCTTTTTCTTCGTTTTTTTGGTGGCTTGAACGCCATTAATGCATGCATGTCTCTGCCTGATAAAAATCACGCGAACTTTTGACGCCGTAATAGGTACATGCAAGCTGATCTTTGTCTCAGCCCTTCTTACAGGATGCCGTCGTTCTCTCCAGGCAACCTCTTGACTCTCTGCTGCTCCCAGTTGTCCAGGTCCCTTCCAGCAAGTCTCTGCCGTTCACCCTGCATTAGCCTTAATTTTCGGGTTTCTGCCTGCACCGCTCTGTCTCTCCTTGCATAACGGCTCTCCCTCCCTTGCATGAATAGATGGAAAGACAGGCAGTTATGCAGGGCAAGACAAAAAACGGGGATGACCAAAAAGAAAAAGGTAAAGCCAGAATAGAATTAAAAAAGATTTAGACTCACATAGTATTCCTCCTTCATGTCCACCTTTCGCGCCCCTCTCCTGACATTCAGCTCCTCCTCCTTCGTCATCTGACGCACCCTCCGATCGTGCTTCTCGTATCGAATCGCCGTCGCGGGCGTCAGGACGAAGGAGCCCGCCACGATAACTGCGATGAAGGGCAGCCCGAAAGCCAGGAACGGGTGCTTGGCCATGAGGGCTCGGTACTTCATGCCAATTTTCCCTGCGTCGGCCGACGAGCGGAATGTCTTGTTCTGAAACGTGCCCATGATGTCTTTTGTAGTTTGTGTATAGTATTTTCTTTTTTCTTTTTTTTTTCGGTGGCTCACGTCTCGTTGTCGTTCTCTCTCAATCGTTCATGCGGGTCTCTCTTTTTTTTGCAATTATCTAGTTTCGATTGGTGCAGGATGTAAGGGCTGGCCGTTTTGTTTGTTGCAAACAAGTCTTCGATTGCATCACCAGCCATCGCATGATGTTTCGAGCCGTGGCTGATCGGACCAATGCTTTTTCCCCAGAGCGTCGGATTTTGGTGGGGCCGGCCACCCGCTCTTTGCAAGTAGCCGCAAAGTCACTCGTCCATAATAGGGTAGTTGATAACAGTCACAAATGTCTGCAAGTCTGTTGGTTCTCAAAAGAGGAGCAATGCAAGTTGATCTCTCACAGCATGGATGCAAATAAAATTATTCAGCTCAAGTGTAACCTTAGAAAGAAAGAATATCTCATACCACCCCCTCAAATCTCCTCTGCTTTGTAGTGCGAAGCAGTAACTATCATTCATCTAATCATAATTCATGTACTCTCTTCATAACATCAGAGAGACCGGATCGACAATAGAATTTGTTATTATGCCCCCATTTAACCGCATACTATGCAACCGATATATGGTAAATAAGAAGAAGAAAACTCCATATGCCGCTCTGGCCGAGAACTTGGTCCCCTCCCCTACTCTCTCCTTTGCTTCCGCTGTAACTCGTTCTCATCCGCTGCGGGCCTGTACAAATCTCCAAAAAAGTAATGTGTTCCATACAGCGCATTCGCTGCTTAATAAAAGAAGAAGAAAAAGAAAAAGAAAAGAAGTCTTCACGTTGAAGAAGGGTAAGGTGTATGGCAAAAAGAACAAAAAAGAGCTGACAGAAAATGAAAGTGTGTCGTTGGTACAATAGTGGTAAGCCTAGCCTAGTATACTTAAAAGGAAAAAAAAAAAAAATAAAAAAATAAAAAAAAAAAAGTCCAGTTCTTTTCGAGTGTGCTATTCATAATTGTCTCCATTTTTCTCGTTATCATCTGATAATGATGAAGTATTGATGTCGTGTGTGTGTGCTATGCTGTGCAGCAAAAAGACACCCATCGCGGAATACCATAAGAAGACTTGCGTTGAAAATAAGAAAAAATCACTGCAGAAAACGCCTGTAGGGAACTTGACATTTATCGTTCAACAGTTTGAGGCGGGGATGGCTGCCATCCGTTTATGTATGCCATCAATCCCATGCCAATTAGCACCACGCCAATCATTGAGGCGTAGGGGATGCCGGCTCGCAAGTGCTGGTTTTGTAGAGGGCCTCTGGGTGAGGTTTGAGGCGTAATAGTATTGGCCCTCGATAGAGTTGGGATGTCTCCCGAATCTTGACTAGAATTTGTCAATGATCTCTCTTGTTTAACTGCCGGCATGGCGGTTTCAGAAGTGGGAGAAACAGCACGCTTCTGTGCTGCCCCATTTTGCTCGCGGCGAAGTGATCTTGAGCGCGACCTTCGTCGTTCCTCGGCCGCCACTCGCTTGGCCTCTTCCTCACGTAATTGAATGACCATTTCTTCGAGACTTTTCCTGCCGGAATCGCGTTCTGCCTCGGCAATTTCACATCGACTTCTCCACTGCTCCATCTGTATTCTCAACTCCCGCATCTGCTCATCCATAGTGTCGATACGAGATTGCAGTGCTACCGCAGTCTCCTGGGCAGCCTTGTCCGCTGAAGAGACTTCTTCTAATTCTGGTAACACTGTCTTTGAGTCGTCCACAGCGTCTCCCTCTTGGGTTGATTCTTGAGCTTTATCCAGCTCTTCATTAGATGCAACACCGTTGACCTGATTATGGGCAGACTCTTCAAGTCGCCTAGCTAATTCCTCCGCAAGCTCACGTGCCTCTCGCTCCTTTTGCAGCATTATTTCTAGCTCACGCATACGCGCTGTCTGGGTATCAATATCTCGCTTCGCCATGTTAAGAGCTTCAGTGAGCTGTATGATCTGGTTCAGGTTTTCTTGGCGAATCGGCGATGAGTTTGTAGAGTCTAATCTTGGCCTTTCCAACGAACCTCTTTTAAGGGACGGTACATCTGGCTTTTCGGGAAGAGGCTGCTGAGGCGGTGGTGCAGGAGGATCGGAGAAGCGAGCTTTTGGATCTGCTCGGAAGGAGAGGTTATTACCGTTGACCATGGTCTGGGGTTGTTTGGTTGGTTCTGGGGCTTCGGATTTTTCGAGATCTTTTAGGTCTTCTTTTGACAAAAGGGTGTTGATGAACTGATTCGTACGGCTCAAATCTTGGGCCTGGAGTTTGGCGCTTCTCATTTCATTCTGAATTCCATGTTAGTTGACCCGAAAAAAAAAATTGAAGCAAAGAAACTAGGAAAACTGATGAAGCACTCACTGCAAGACGCTTCAGAATCTGATCCGTAGCAATAGGCGTCAGGAAAAAAGAACGTTGTTGCGCCATTCCATTCATGTGGCCGTTTACAGTACCGCCATTAACCATCATGCGGCCGTTGCCGCCCATGGATACGTTACTTCCAGCGCGTCCCCGCATTTGCATAGCGCCGGCAGGAATCATCATTGCATTGTTAGCAGGATCTAGATCTCCAAAGTTCATATCCAAAACGTTGTTTGATGTATTCAAAAACCCGGCATGTTCGACCTTTGCGGCAACCTTGTGGTGAACGACGGTTTTCTGGTCTTCGCTAACTATATCAATACCGAGTTCTAGGTGGTCGGCCGTCTGGAGCTCGTGTGGCTCTGATTCACGATTCTCCTGTGATAATCGAGTGCCGTTGACAAAGGTGCCGTTGGATGATTTAACGTCTCGAATGTAGATTTTGCCGTTTCGTTCGGCAAAGATTTCGGCATGCTGCCGCGATAGCACTTTACTATCGAAGAAGCCATTCGTAGCAGTTGGTACCGTCTTTTGGTTCGTCTGCCGGCCGATTCGTATAGATTCGGGAGCGAACGGCACGGCGATCGTCTTGCGCTCAAATGTGCCGTTAAGAGAAAGCAGATAGAGCATAGGCTGGCCGGGAGGGAACGGCTGCTCGCTGGGCCCCATGGGTCGCATCATGCCTTGAGGTCCCATTTGCGGCTGTCCCTGCCCGGCCTGCTGCATGGCGCCGTGGGGCGGCCCCATGCCGTTGGGCCGTCCTTGGGGGAGTCTTGAGAAGTCTGGTTCTTTGCCGGCTGGCCAGGGGTTCTTGGGTTGAGGCCTCTTGCGATTCGCGCTGCCATTCGACCACTGGCTCAAATCTGAAGCTGACGACAGCGATGTGGCATTGGAGTGTGAGCCGTTGGTCGCAACGGTAGTATTTGAGGCGTTGGAGGAAATGGACGAGGATGAGTTGCTTCGCGAGAGACTCTTGCGGGTCATGAACATTCCTCGCACATCCTCTGAATTCACCTGATTGTTGCCATTAATAGTGCCCCATGGCGGCCGGGAGATTTGCGGAAAGGTAGGAGGATTTGCGACGGCAGTCATGAGTAAGGCTTAAGGATGGTCGTCTTGCTCGATGGGAAGGCACGGCGTATACTTTATGATCTCTTTTTTGATAAGATTTTGTCGCCTGCTCGCTGCGTAGTACGCCGTTGGACCTGTTGAGCGTGTGTCTCGTCGCTAGTCGCCTCCTGTTGCCGGGGAAGAAAAAGAAAACACACAGGGCCACGCGTGACGTAGATTGAAACGAAAAATAGATTCACTTGCTACGGCTCACAACGAAACAGACTCTATCGCTTGCGACCGGCGGGAGGGAAGACGCCGAAAGGAAAAAAAATTCAAATCGAAGGTCGTTGGCAGCAGTGCTATCACAAAAAATCGTCAGCATGTTGTTGATGTGGCTCCTTTGGCCAGCACGCCAATTGGGGGTTGGCCTGGCACGACCAAGCGAGGCTGGGGGGGTGCAGCCCCTGGCCCTGGGTCGGCTCTGTGCGCGCTGCGGCAGATGTGAAACATACTGTGAAATGATCGAAGCTCGCAATCCTGGGCGATTCCACACGACGCTGGCGAGCCGTGGTGGTTGAAGCTCGGGCTGATGGTGCTTTGGGGATCTTGTCTGGCCGTCCTAGCCCGCTAAGCGCTGGGCTAGGCGTGTCGAAGCGCTGGGGGGCCAAATGATACAGTGCACGACGGTGTCTCAGAGTCTGCTCGCCCAGCTCCCACAACGCGGCCGCGAAGCAGGCTTGGGCATTCCTTCACGAGCGTTTTTCCAGGCTCAGATCGGGCAGTCCCAGGCGATTCCTGGCCATCGCAAAAGGCCATATGGGGCCCTGAATCGGCTCATGACCTGGCTTCACGTGATGCATCAGCACAGTTCTGCACTGGCTGGGGCCCGGCATCTCCGCACTGTGGGGGGCGCTAGCAGTGATTAGCATGCGCCGCATCAACTTTCTGCCGATCCCGCGGCCGCTGGCTTGCGGCCAATCAACGAGCTGCCTCTTCTGGGGCCTCTTCGTGGATAGACCGGGGCGGCCTTCAAGTGGCACTTACATCGTGGAGGAGAAAGCGATTGACGACAAAAAAAAGCTGCGATCCCGAGATCCTCACGCCTCTGCGAACTGCGTTGAACCCGGCCTTCACCCACGATGCCTCCTGTTGCCCCGATTCAGCATGGCGGCGCCCAGGCCCCGTCCACTTTTGACAAACGTACGGTATCGAACGATTGCGAGGGGCTGTAATTTCGCTAACAGTCATCCGTAGTGAAGATGGGCGCAATGATGGGCGGATGTAAGAACCTTTATTAAAGCCTTGTTTCGGGCTTGGGTATGCATTGGGAATGAAGCTAATGCTATTTTCTAGCTGTTGGTGTTATTATGGGCTTTATTTTCGGTAGGGGATAATTGCGCGGCGCTCCATTTCCGTACGATTCGCGAGTTAACACCTTGATAGGCACCGTTAACATTTTCCGATATGGTGCTGGTTCCCAGGGGATTATGCGAACGCTGGGCCAGTACATGGGTGCATCTGGTGCTACGTTTGGGTATGTCTTTGTCTATGCTATTGTGCTTGGTTGTCATGCTAACTCAGGCGACGCAGATTCTTCATGGGCGTTGGCAGCGTGATCCGATCAGATGCCGACCCCAAGCTACAAGAACTATACATGCGAGCGCAGCGACGGCCGATAGTATTAAGAGCGAATTCGGCTTGGAGAAGGGACGACTAATTATACACAAACAACGAGTGGACGAACTGCACCAATGCAAACTGCGTACCCCGGTAGCTTAATCGGCTGCCCTGTAAAATAACAATAAATCAAACGACATTTACGATCAATTCCGACGCAAATCATGTTATGTATGTCTAAACTGTGTGAACGGGCGTGTGGACATTGAGAGCTTTGTATACAATAACGGAATTTTTTATAAGCTGGGGGGGGAGCCATGAGGGAGAGCATCAGGAGCTTTATCTTCTTGGCATGGACGAAACAACTTTTCTCTTTCTTATTTTATTCTCGCCCAAAGTGCTGTTAGTGTGCCTTTTATGTGACCACATGTCCCCGTCATCGTCATAATAGGCAGTGTCTTTTATTATCCTTGGCTTTGGTTTCACACTTACATTCCTAACTTGTCGTTGCCATCATACACCCTAACCAAAAGAGAAAAAAAAAAGAAACAAAAAAGAGCCATAAATCCTGTTTCCACATTACCTCTGCGGCCATTGCGGCGGATTGACTAAGATAATTAGCTGCAGGATATCTCACATACGCACCGGAAAATATCCCCAGCCGCTTCCCTGTACGACGAATTACGGCATATAGGCGGATGCTTTAGCTTTTGAGACCCCATTCAAAAAAAGCGTTATCAAATAGAATATCTTTTCCAGAAGAGCGATGCTACCCTCCAGCTGTGGCTAACTTAATGGACTGCGGCCCGTCCTTCTCCACATATGCGAAGAGTCATATCACTCGTATTCTGTCATCTTTTGACGTCTCCGGCACCCGAGATGGAGCACATGAGTGCCTGATCGAAAAAATTCGGCTCGGATATCCGCTGCGGCCCGATGAGCTGATGCTGATGCTTGAATATGCCGGGTGGAAAGGATAGCGATGGGCAAGTTCTCGGAAACTATTTTCAGCCACGTGTTTGATCTTTGGAAGTAGATAATGGCATGTGTAACCATGTGTACGACCCAATTTATCAAATATTTTATGCTATGCTAGACCGAGAAACGTGGGGCTTCCCATCTCTATAGTCCACTTGTTGATTACTGTGTATGATGGTAGACTATATTCTATCACCTGCTCAATACCTATTAGTCTATCAATTCAGCGCGATGGATGTGGCAATGAGCCGACTCTGCATTCTAGACCCATCGAAGGAGCAGAGTTCGTGACGTTCCTCACGGGATCGAGTCCCGAGGCTTAAGATGTTTTGGTCCGTTTCAATCCTTCATTGTGTGAGCTTATCCCCCACGCGGGATATTAGCCCTTGTCTTGGAAAAGGCCGAACAATAGCTGATTGGCCGCTCAACTCCCAGTCAACCTTCCTTCGTCTTGCCTCGTGTTGGGTGTAACACTCTTTTGTCACTTTTGTGTTTTCAGCTTCAGCTATTAGTATTTCAAATCCAATCCTGCTGACTTGGAATGCAGGATCGCGCCCTAAAAAATCCCGAGCGGTGTGAAGTTTGCCAAGACAATGGCCTGAGACATTGCACGGGTGAACGATGTCAATGCTACTATGGGCACTGTCCCCTTTGAGTTGGTTCAGAGAATGTTGTATAACCAACTGCAGCTTCTCTTGTATACACGGCCAACACTAGTTTGCTGTTCGACGGGTATTGTCAGCCCTCGATAACAGACGCGTTGTGCTCTAGATAGAGACGGTATGAATCTATAGGTAGCAAGTGCTAGTATGATAATTCTCTTGAAGCTTGACTGAATACATAAATTTGGTCAATCAATCATGAATACTCGGCCGAATCGGTCATACGACATCGTAAAATGAGGGCTGTGCTCCATGCAGACGTGCATGTACACGGCTTGGCTTCTATCTAGGATTACTACTATGTCGATGGCCTTACCTTCATTATACGAAAAACTGATTTCTGAGCCGTGAAAATCCTCCTGGGCGGCTAGGCTGAGTAACTCTAAGCCAATAATGATACGGAATGGAGGCCAGGGAGGTTGGCTTTCTCACTAAATGTGACCAGGGGAAGTTGGATGATCAGGCAACTGAATTTCTTTAGTTCTTGGCCTGTCGACAGAAATTCCCGAACGGACTTCTCGTTGAATACCTAAGCGGTAACAAAAAGTTTGCTCGTAGACTGGAGCTGTTTTGTGAATATATATAGAGGTGAGTTAGTTCACTTGGACAGTGGCATACCAACTATCTGAGTAACGTCGCTTAAGTCATACATACAGCCCCCTTTGCCATAATGGGAGCTTCTTATAGCTATCCAAGAGCAAAGAGAGAGGTCTCCGTGACCAACAGTAGACTCTCACAAAAACAAACAAACGGGTACACCCCCTTTCCATGCTTGCTCACCCATCCCAATATCTGAAGCATAACACATGCTGACATTTATCTAGCCTATCTGTTCTGGGAGCCTTGTCTGCTCCATTGCTCCCTTCTTTCCTTACCAACAATCCAACCCCCAATGGCTATCCCTGGAGCACTCTCAACGCTAGCACCAACTACTATGACACGAGTCCCAACACAGGCGTTATAAGGCCTTATGAATTTACCATCAGTCGTGGTGTCATTGCTCCGGACGGATATCAGCGAAATGTCCTCCTCGTCAATGGTGCTTTCCCCGGCCCATTGATCGAGGCGAACTGGGGAGACATTATTCAAGTCACTATGCACAACAACATCACCGGGCCAGACGAGGGCACCGCACTGCATTGGCACGGGTTTCTTCAGCAAGGAACACCGTGGGAAGATGGAGTGCCCGCTGTGTCGCAGTGTCCTGTGCCCCCGGGGAGCAGCTTCACGTATCAGTTCAAGGCAAGTCTATATGGCACCACTTGGTACCACTCGCACTTTTCTTCTCAATATGCGGGTGGTCTTGCGGGTCCGATGGTTATTCATGGACCGAAATCACAAAAATACGATGTTGATATTGGCCCTATTATGTTGTCTGACTGGTATCATGATGACTACTACGACCTGGTAAAGAAAACAATGAGCAATGTGACAGGGGCCAACTTATTCCCGTCCGACAACAACTTGATCAACGGCAAGATGTACTTTGACTGCTCCAAGGTCACAGATGGTACACCTTGTACCAATGATGCTGGTATTGCAAAATTCCGCTTTAAGCGAGGCAAGACCCATCTCCTTCGTCTCATCAATAGTGGAGCTGAAGGTCTCCAGCGCTTCTCCATTGACGGCCACAAGATGACTGTCATCGCAAACGACTTTGTCGACGTCAAGCCCTATGAGACCGAAGTTGTTACGCTTGGGATTGGCCAACGCAGCGATGTCCTCGTTAAAGCAGACGGTAAACTTGACGCTTACTGGATGCGTAGCAACATTAGCACCAAATGCTCCATCACCAGCCAGCCCAATGCCCTTGCTGCCATCTACTATGATAATGCAGACACGAACAAGGCTCCAAAGTCTGCTCCATGGGATGCTCCTGATCCGGGAACATGTGTAAACGACGACTTGTCGTTGACGGAACCTGTCATGAGGCTCCCTGTCCCTGAGCCGGCCGTGACGCATGATATAGAACTGAAGGTGTCTAAAAACGCGACAGGTCACACTTTATGGACGCTAGATGGCGAGTCTTTTAGGGGAAATTTCAACAGCCCGACGCTGCTGCTGAGCAATCTGGGGAATCTTACGTTTCAGCAGCAGTGGAGCGTGAGAAACACCGGCAGTGCAAGCAGTGTTAGAATAAACCTCATGAACAACTCTCCCGCTAGGTAAGCTGGCTCGCAGTTAATCTCTAGTATCTGCCTTGTATCGTATGCAAATCCCGCTGACTATTCTCTCACAGCCACCCCATGCACCTTCACGGCTTCAACATGTACATCCTTCACGAAGGCCCTGGCGAATGGGACGGCAAGACAATCGTCCGGCCATCCAATCCCCAGCGCCGAGATGTCTTCTTGATCCGCGCAGGAGGCCACGCCGTAATGCAGTTTGATGCCGCGGAGAATCCAGGCGTGTGGCCATTCCACTGTCACATCGCGTGGCATTCTTCAGCAGGGTTGTTGACGCAGTTTCTCACGAACCCAGACGAAGTGAAAAACCTTGCAATTCCTAATGTGGTGGCAGAGACTTGCAGGCAGTGGGGAAGGTGGACGAATACGAATATTCCGGACCAGATTGATAGTGGCTTGTGAGAGGGAGGACTAGTGTATATGAGTGTAATGATCGGGATGGCTTAGTACGATATGGAGGATTATTTTCTGGGCCATGTATTATATATAACAAATAAGAAGATGGACTGGGATGTGCTGACACTTATCATCGAACAGGTAGTTGGCTAGGACGTCTCTTAAGACATACATAATCATTGTTGGCAAGGATGCTGTATCGAAAAGAAGTTTCTCCTCTACTTTGTAATCCAATATGACAGTCTCTTGTGTTTAGTATACACTTATAAGTATATTTGCAGTAATATATAACCAGTAGGCGTTTGAAACCCAGCTAAGCCATAACGTGAATGCAGCGCATTTGCCGTCTGTTGCGCGTCTAACGAAAACAGTATATGAAAAAGTATCATGGAATCTATCAGGTCATAACATAGATCCTTTCAGTCATTTTTATAGCGGCTTATCTTCGCTCTCCCCCTTTTTTGACTCTTCAACTTCTTTGCCCTCTGTTTCTTTTGTAACTTCGGACTCTTCCAGCTTGGTGGTTGTATCCTCTGGTTTCGCTTTCTCCTCTTCTGTAGGTGCTTCGGGCTCATTCTTCTTCTCTTCTTTTGCTGGGGCAACATCTTTTTCATCGGCTGCTTCTTTTACGTCCACGATATCTTTTGATGCCTGAGCATTATTTGATACCTCCTCGTCTTCTGCCTTCTTGCTCTCTTCTTCATCTTCATCCTCATCCTCCCTTTCCTCATCCTCTTTTTCTTCATCAAGTCTGAGAACAGTTTCAATCTCTCCAGTCAACTTCTGAAGCTCATCTTCAATCTCTTCGTCGCGGTCGGTCTGGCTGCGCAGCTGTCTCTCGGCCTCTTCATGTCCAACAACATTTCTCCACAAATCCTCCAGCTCATCTGTCCACCCAAGCAGTCCAGCCAGCTTTCGGATGCCATTGTCGCATGATCCCAGTTCCAGTACATCATCAACTCGCGACCCTAATGAGCCAACCTTTTCCATGTTGAAAAGCACACGCGGTGCCTTTTGTCTCGCCATGTCAGGGAGGCTAGCAAAGGGGTACACCGTCAGACTCGTTCCAATAATCAGAACGAGGTCTGCCATGACAGTGTTGTGCGACTTTTCAGAGAATGCCCTTGGGAGCGCTTCGCCGAAAAATGTAATGTCTGGCTTCACCAGTCCCTTGCATTCCTTGCAGCGAGGAACGTCGCCTCGGAGCACATGCTTCCTCATGTGGTCATCGGGAAACTCGACCTTGCACTCGATGCAGCGCTGAGTCGCAAAGCTGCCGTGTGCCTCCACTATCTTGTCCGAAGGAACGCCAGCCGCGCGCTCCAGACAGTCAATGTTTTGTGTAAAGAGCATCTGAAGGAGTCCCTTCTGTGCAAGAAGCGCAATGAAGGCATGGGAGACCGTTGGCTGAAATTTTCCGGGGTATAGCTCCTGCGCGAGAACGTAGAACGGCTCCGGACGGTTGCGAAAGTAGGCAATATCGAACACAGCCTCTGCATATGGCAGTTTTAAACGCGCCAGGTTGCTATACAGACCCGTCTTTGGCGATCGAAAGTCCGGGACTATGCGATGATTAGACGTCAACATGGGCCAAATCAGTGCGACAGCGCATGATGAACTTACTTCCGGCTGCGGTAGAGATGCCCGCGCCCGTCAAGACCACAATGCGCCGAGCATCGCCGCTCTTGATATATTCGGCGACGGCTTCCAAACTTCTCTCTTGGAGGGTCTCTGGAGGCCCATGGGCATCAGCCAGAGTAGATTCTTCTTGACCCATTTTGCGAGCGAGCCAGCGGGGGACGCGGGGACCTGAAGGCCTGTGGCGTTGGCGGTGTTTTCGACCTATTTTGGCGAAACTTTCAGGTCGTTTATACGAAAGTTGAGATGTAGCTATTTACAGTTTGAATGATACGATGATGCCTAGAGGCATCAAGTCTATTCCAGTGGCAACAGACATTCGCTGGTGGGGCTGTAACATGTGAGAAGCAGCCTAATGTTACATCACTAAAAAGCTCCTTGGCGCTTATCGATAAGCGGCGAACGCGTGGATCAAAGAGCCAAGGGCCAGCACTGGGATTCGAGGATATCAAGCAGAATTATCGATTCAATGGATATGCAAGCATAATCTCAAGATATTAGAATGAAGAAAAAAGGTGGATGAAACGAATTCCTCCCAAATCAAGCCCCTAATCAGGATCCGACCTGTCGACGACCCTCTTAAACCGTTTATATAAACGCCTAGCAATGCCCTCCTGACGCCCTCTGACTGAATATCAACGTAACAAAAATGCCATCATGTGTGACGCTGCCTAGCTGCTGCAAACTGTTCTTCCTGTAGCCGGGCGAGCTCTTCCATCGACATGCCGCTGTTAGCGAACTTGTCCGCTTTCTTCTCTCGTCCCTGTAGATGGTGTTAGCGTCGCTGTGGGAACAAAGTGAGTCTGTAGATGTGGGAGACATGCGCGAACCTTTTGAACCTCTTTATGTTCAGCTGCGGCCTCTAGAACAGCGGGTACGTAGTCAGAAAATCCCAACCGCTCTAGAGCCTTTGTGATGTGATCGCAGGCGATGGTCTTCTTTGCCTCCTTCTCGGAAATCTCATTGGCCTCGGATGAGATGAGGGTGATGAACTCGACACAGCATTCTATGAGCAGGTCACGAGCCTCTTTTGCGAATGAGACACCTGTTTGAGCTGGTAATATCTCGCTGACTATTTTCTGAACCGTGGCTAGTAAATAGTTAGCCTTATTGGGCACTCGATATGCGGAAGTTGCGTCTCATACCTTTAGGCAGCGATAAATCATCGTTGCTTCCTGTAGAAGAGTTAGCGATTTATCCATGCAGTGTACTAATTCACCATCGTGTACTGCTACTCGAGGTTGAATCACCCCAGTAATGATCATAGCCATCTCCGCACATGTTGTGCATGGTGATACGGAGTGCTCTTGGAAATGGACGTGAAATAGAGGTAGAAGGAGATGAGATTGAGGGAAACAAAGGGAAAAACGTGCAGATCGAAGATGAAATGTGTAAATGCAAGCTAACGGCCTGAAAAAGCTTCACAGAGCAAAGGGAGATGTTCATCGGTTGTTTGCATGGTTTCATCAACGCAAACAATGAATTTGAGGGTTTGGTCTTATTGGCCCCCAGCAAGGGGAAAGACGAGATAATAAGCAGTGACGCACGGCCGATGAGCGTGGTGGCCATGGCTGTTTTATTTTTTTTTTGTGGTGAAGAGGGCAGTAAAAAGAGAAGGAAAGAGGAAGCGCCCGCAAAGTAATGAATAGACCGAGCTTACCTCCAAACTCATGATCCGACATGTTGAAGAAAATGGGAGGTTAGGTTTGCGGCTTAGACGCGATACTGCCTGAAAGTGAAATGAAGCGGCGATGGCGGAGAGTGCACAAAGTGGTTAAAATGCGAGCGAATGCTTATAGTATGGAGAAACACAAAAAATTAGAATAAAAGTATTATATATGACTGCGTTTGCCGAATAAACTGTATAGGGTCAAGAGTGAATATGCTGCGCGGCGGACGATGATATCTGGCGCAAGGACTCGACACGGGAGATGGATGATGAATTGAACGGTTTCCAGCCAAGTTGGTTTGTTAGTGGGGCGACAGCTGCTGTTATAAGTGAAATTGGGAGCGGTACGGGGTACTTATGTCGCCCATGTATCCTGTACTCGGGCGCGGCCAGGCCTCCTAGGCGTCTCGCTTCTGCTGGCCCTCAGCGCGGCGCGTGCCAAAGGTCAACCCAGCCCACTGAAGCTGCGTCGCTGACTGGCTTGGGAAGGGGCTCAGTTCACGTGCTGTAGCATTTCACCAAGTATGGAGTACAAGTGGGACCTGTTTAGCGCGGGCCAGTTTTATAGAAAAAAAAAAAAAAAGTTTATTAGCTCGAGCTTCTTGTTTTCCAAACCCTTTCCTTCTTTCAACTTCTTTTCGTCTGGCAGCGAAGGCAGCAAGAAGAGCTCTGCGCAAGCTCGGATCGAGCTTGACGCGCATCTCTGCTCCTCAGCACCATGTGTGCCGCTGCCACTGCTTGTGAATACAGGTAAGGAACATCTCCATGACACGCGGCAGCCCCAATTGCTTTCCTGATGAAATATGTTGTCGCCCCAGTCTGAGGAGGTCCGACAAGCCTTCCATGCTGACAGACACGTCTTAAGCCAAATAGACATTTCTGATTTACACTGGTGCTTCGTTTTTTGCTTTATAACGGGCTTCTTTGTTGTGCTTCAATAGCTAACAATTGATTCAGGCAGGCAGCAAAATTTTCAGTCTTCAAAATGTAAGAACCGGTTCCGCCCTTCTCTCGACAACCTGATGGCACATCGTGATGTACCAAGTAAAGTATTATCAAATTCCGAGAATACATACTGCGGACACACTCTCCTGAACCAACAAGTGCCCAACTTTGGTTTCAAGCTACGCCATGAGCAATCTGTACTTGAGACTAACAGTTGACAAGTTCTGAGAATGAATATTGGCATAGCGTCAAACCAATGCCGGATCACTGAATCATAAGGTAGGCACATATTTTTTTTACTTTCGTTTAATTTGTTTATTTCACTGTGATTTGTGTGATGAAAAAACTTATATTCCATGCTAATACTGAATCTTCATGTGGAGATCATTAAGAGCTTTTCATCTTTCGACTGACTACAAATCTATCCCTTTCACAATGTTATGTACATCTATCTTGTGTTGACCCTAGGCTAACGCAACTAAGTTTTAGGAAATCATGACTGGTAAGCTGCCAGTTCAGGTGAGTTCCAGCTAGACAGTGTCAGCAATTGGCATCATAATCTCAGGGCGGCAGACCTACTTGATGTATTGTCCGCTCAGCTTATGCAGAGGGTTGGCTACAAATTTGGCAATCACATTGCCTGGCTGTTCTGGCCTGAGCAGCTCGCCTTGCTCGAGGGCATCGACGAAGTTCTGGTGCATCGCCTTTTCCATGGTGTCTTTGCCCTTTTCTCTGATGACTGCCTGCATGTCAGTGTTCACCCGGCCTGGCCCGAAACTGACACTTGTGATGTCAGGCTCTTCCACAGCGAGGTGAGCGGCCATCGAGTTGACTGCTGCTTTAGCGGAGCCATAGGTGCTCCACCCTTGGTAGGCCTTGAGAGCCGCGCCCGAGGATACCCAGACGATGCAGCCCTTGGTCTTTTTGACCTCCTTCAGACTAGCCCTGGCCTATGGCATGTCATGTCAGCAGCCACCCGATGCTAGATACTGTTGGACGTCTTACCATGGCAACGTAGCTGAACAAGTTGACATCGTAGAAGCGCTTGGTATCCTCAACCGACTCGTCTGCAAACCTCTTGGGTTCCAAGACTCCATGGTTGATGACCACGCCGTCGAGTTTACCAAATGAGTTGACGGCGAGTGTTGTCAACCTCTCAGCAATCTAAAATGTTGTGTTAGATATTTGCGCAACATTTATGAAGAATCATATTTGTGGAGAAAGAGAAACAATAAAAAAAAATGACAAAATAGGAAAATAGAAGAATAAGAAAAATTAAATATTAAACTTGCATCTTCACTTGTAATATCTCCTGCGACATACTCTACTTGAGTAGGATGTGCCTCCTTAAGTTTCTGCAGCAGAGTTTCGGACCGTGCCGTAACGACGACTTTGTGCGACTGCGCCAAAAGGTGCTGAACGATGGCTGCGCCAAGGCCTTTGCTGGCGCCAGTCACAATGAATACTTTAGAAGCCATGAGTGCGGAGAACGGGGGGTAGTTGAGTGCAGTAGTTCAGTAAGTTAGAGGAAGAAAAAAGAGACGGCTCTTGTGTCTATTTTTTTCCGCCAGGGAAGGATGATTTTTCAGCCGATGGCAATACCTTGTGGGGAGAAATGAGGGGCTATTATTGGAGAACTATAGCCCTTTCTTGAGAGTTAGGAAACTATACGGCTTGAACCGGCTCGAGTTATAAGACGGCCGGTGCCGGAGGTCAAGAACGGCCAGTTACTTTTGTAGACCGAGTTGTAACGTCTATGAGATCAAGACGACTCATAGTGATGATTTGAAGACAAGACACTTGCTAATAACATAGACAAAAAAAGACACAATGCCCCACACAATCATCCTCGGTAGTGGCGTTATTGGCCTCTCGACGGCTTTCTACCTCCGTCAGCATCAGCCAGGCACCACAATTCATCTCGTTGACTCTGCCCAGGAGCTTTTTTCATCCGCTTCTGGTTATGCCGGAGGATTTTTGGCTAAAGATTGGTTTCGCCCTGATTTAGTACCGTTGGCCGAGCTAAGCTTTGAAGAGCACAGAAAGTTGGCCCAGGAGGAGAATGGCAGAGAGAGATGGGCATATGCGAAGAGCGTGACGGTGAGCTATGAGCCTAATGGGCCGTTATTAGGCGGAAAACGGGGAGAAGACTGGCTATTGGAAGGGACCAGTAGAGCTGGGCTCGTGGAGGCGAGGAGGGAGCACAAAGAAGGCGAGGTGCCGGATTGGTTGAGGAGAGTTGATGGCGACTCTGTGAATGTGATTGACGATGGGAGTGGGACGGCGATTGTGTAAGGATTTGAATCTTACTTACACTTCTTTTTTTATGGGAAGGCCCGAATACTGACAGAACGAACCAGAGATCCCCTATTATTTTGCCAGTTTTTGCTGGAAAAAGTCAAGGCTGCGGGTGTTCATATTCATAATCCTGCTGAGGCGTTGCGCTTGGAAACTGATGACAATGGCAAACTCTCTGGCGTTGTCATTAAGAACACAGAGACATTGGAAGAAACGGTTATACCAGCTACTAAAGTTCTATTGGCAGCGGGAAGTTGGACGCCTAACGTTTTTAAGACGTTGTTCAAGGATCGCTTCTCCGTCGATATTCCCATCGGAGGTCTAGGTGGACACTCCCTCGTTTTGAAGGCCCCCAGTGAAGTGACGATATGCCATTCCGTCTACACGACAATGGGTGCGCACTCACCAGAGATATACTCTCGGCCCAACGGGGAGATTTACGTTGCTGGAGTGAATAGCCCTGGACTTGCTCTTCCTGGACCTACTCTCAAGGCGGCAACTATGAGCGAGCCTCTTGAAAAGCTGAAGAATATTGCACGCCGTCTGATTGTGACTCCTAAAGGAGAAGATTTGGTGATCGTGCGAGAAGGACTGTGTTTTAGACCAGTTACGAATAGGGGAACGCCGTATGTTTCGAGATTGACGGATGAGAAGCTTGGAGAGGATACCAATTTGAGGGAGGGAGAAGAGGGGGGTGTTTTTATTGCGGCGGGACATGGACCGTGGGGTATTAGCCTGAGCTTGGGGACTGGAAAGGTAGTTGCTGAAATGCTGTCTGGAAAACCATTGAGCGTTGATATCTCTAGTCTGGGATTCTGAGACGGGCATATGCGATAATATGACAGCTAAATGATATCATTCAAGCGGTTATAGATTATGTTTATTAAGTACTATTATTTACCATCAAACGGTTATGCAGCTATGAAGCTTCTTAATATCACTTGGACTAGCCCTGCAGCACCCCCCTACGACGATCTGAGGCCATTTCCCTCTCGCTTTCGTTGCCCGTACAGCCTCTGTAAGCTGCTTCTCCCACGGGATTCTATCTTCTCGCTCGGCGCCTTCTGGTAATTCCCACTGCTTGGTTGTTGTGTTATACACCTCACCATTTGTTCCATCCGGGTAGAGAACCAGTGCGGGCCAGCCCGCTATAATGCCTTCCTGGAGCAGATTGCTAATGGCAGCTTCATAGCGGCGTAGCAGAGAATCGAGCTTCCATACTTTTGTGCAGTTGATTCCCACGCCCCATGGTACCGCTGCTGCGAGGGAAGGGTCAAGCATTGCTCGAATGGCATCCTCGGGGGAGCTTCCGTCTGGTATGTTTTCATCTTCATTGGGAAATAGGCATGAGATCCAGAAGGGTAGGCCGGGGAAGAGACCAGGGACGGCACTCAAAGCGCGGCGCATGGAAATGATCTCGTCGAGGCGAGGAACTGTCTCGAGAGCGATATACTGGGCACGCTGTTTGATGTCTTTTGTGCGGGCGAATAGCTCTAATCGCTCTTGGTGCCATGCTAGAAGAGCGTCTCCGGAGTCGTAAGCAGCATCGTATTTGCCACTATACTCCTGGCTGGGAACCATACATGCGCCATACGGTCCAATGCTCAGAGCGATGGCACTTTCAGGATGTTTCGCATTCTCTGCAATTTGCACAGCAGTCTCGAGGAATTGAGGCACTTGCGAGGCATTAATGCCATTAGGAAAATCGGAAGTTTTGGTGTTTGCAAAGCCATGAAGTGAGACCTGATATGTTGCTGTGAGGATGACATCTACCGGCACATCTCCGAAATCCTTTTGGCAGCTCAGTAGAGTCGACGGATCTGAGATGAGGAGATGAGAGGACCAGAGAGGGGTGTCGGACCCAAAGGTGACGTTGTGGTTTTGCTCAAGGGAGGTGCCGAGGCCGCCATCTAGAATTTGTATTTTTGTCATGGCTTATATAAAAGATAGAATGGAGAATATATTTGAGTACACGATATGATACAAGATGAGTAAACGATGCTCACGTTTCGACATCTTAAGCATCCGAGCTAAAGTGCTTGCACCATCCCACTATCGAATTGCGGGGTCCGCTTCGCCCTAGCATCTTGAACTGGACACAAGCATACAACTTGACTCGGCCACCTTTCAGTTTCCCAAAGCGTTCTATATCTCACAGTCATTCACCCCACATGCGGAATAAAAGCCATCCAGTCAACCGTATCAAACGCACCCGCCTGCATTGATCTTAAACCAAGCAATGGCTCGACGAGGATATAAGCCCTCGCTGTGGCGTAGATGAGAGCAATCGGGAGGATGCTCCAAAACTCCCAGACCAGAGGAAGCTGTTTTGGAGCCCAGGGCTCTTCTTCTTTTTCTATATCGCGCTGCTGCTGCTGAGGCTCTAATGTAGACAGCCCGCCTTCTGATGTTGCGGCTTGCGTTTCGACTAATACATCCTCGACTACTGTTACTGTTACGTCCGATTTTTTATCCTCCTTTTTAAACATTCTTGTCCAAATTTTTTGTTCACTACCGTATCGCTGCAAAATTGCGCCTGCCTCTAGGACCCAGAACAGAGCCGTTGTGCCTACCAGGATCAGGCTAGATACTCTCCAGAGGATCTGCTCGACTTGAGATGGAAACTTGAAGTTCCACCCGGTCAGGTGTACGGATGCATAGACCATAGTGGCGAGGCACAAGTAGAGGCTCTCTAAAGTCTCCAGCCAAGGTAGCCTGCTATCGCCAATGCGAGGTAGAGGACGCTCATGGGGACCGACAGGCAGTTTGATAAATGGTTGTATGTTGAGAGCCCAACTCGGTGTTAAGTCGTCTACAAAATCGAGCGGTGTCTGTTGGTAAGGCCGTGCAGCAACTGGGCCAGCTTCACGGAGGGCTTGATCCATAGTTATAGACATATTGATTCGAATAGGATAACGGACATCTTGGGGTTTGGACATCCAGCAGATGCTAGTCATGATAGAGCATACGACAATAGCAACGGTCGATAGTTCTATCGTTGTTACTGGAAGCTTCTGAATACCACGTGCAATGCATTGCACAATCAGGTAGCCAACCTGAAAGCAGGTGATGAGCTTGGCGACGGTGTCCTTCTTGGACTTGTCCAAGAGTTCTTCGTCTGATATAGCAGGAAACTCGATGTAACCGCGTGACATCAGCCAGAGTATATGCTTCGAATTTATAGGGAACGGTGCTCCGTTAAGGGGCTGCAGCTCGAATCCGCCCATGTTGGCATAGAAGCCATGTCGGTATGTCCATGAGGTGTGTCCGAGAGCATGGAACGCTTTCACGGAGTCTCGAGCAGCGGCGAGTTGGCCGGCAGCCGCTGTGAGTAAGAAATCGGGTCCGGCAATAGCAATGGCCATCCACAAGATCTTACGACCTTGGATGCGTAGTATGCTTTCGTTCCTAGCAGGTAAGTTGAGGCAGAGAATAGTAAAAGTACACAGAAATGTGGTGAAAATGCAAGTCCATAGTATATCCATGGTTCCTCGGCCGTCCGGGGACATTGTCCAGCCGTTAACTCGCACATCTGCACTGGAATTCATGATTACATAAAATAGCGAGCTGTTTCTGAGCTCAACGTCATGGAAGTTGACGGGCCGTTTAGGAAGAAGTATACAAGGAGTGTATGTTACATTATATTCCAACTCCTCCCATGACCGTACTTTCTTACATTATGGCGTACGGAAGCTAGATCGACGTGAATGTTCATGCCTTCTCCGAAGACTTCTCATCTTCTATTCCTCCGACATTAGTTCCAAGTTTGGGTTGAGCATCCTTTAGACCTACCGACACTGCATGCCGAGTCAAAAGCGTAATGTCAAGATAGGATATAGGACTCGGGGCTATCCTTGGCATTGAGCACTCTTGACTATTTATAACCTATTCAACTGTTAAAGGGCCGAAGGCTGTGCTACTAAAGACAAGATGAAGTCGTAAGAATAGGTATAATCATAAGACTGGAAGGTGTAAATGTGCCCAAATGCAGTCAAGTGTAGTTGAATCCAGGTTGTTGAACCAATGAGAAGCTTATCCGAATCTAACTAGTATCTGACCACCTGCCAGTGCTGTCACTTTGTTTATTTGTGGGCCCCAGTCGGATATCTACAAAATATCTCATATGCATATATTAGGACTTGTCGAACCAATGATGCTCTATCATTATTTATTAATAGCTGAGTTCTTCTGGGTCCCTGCCAGGGTTGAGCTTTCATAAAACTATTCAACTGCGGTCTATCCCCAATTTTGTCTTCGCCTCTCACAATATCACTAATCGTCAGCCTTATATGATAGCCACGATTTGTTGGACTATATCCCCTTCTGTCCCTCGGCTGCCGCTGGTTCTTCTTTCAGCAATCTCTCTCTCTCTTGATATTAGAGTTTTCAGCTCAACATCCAGATGGCTTTGTATAGGCGCTTATCTCCGACCGGCGCTGACGGTATAAACACCGATGCTGACAGCGACAACTAGAACGACCATCAGCAAAGACCCAAGACGACACGGCGCCTGCTGACCTCCGCGGAAGTTCCGCCCTGGTATGGCCACAATGCCTTTATCTGTACTGGCTATCGCCCCATTACCGGTTCCGTTAAGCTGTGCTTTGAGAGTCTAGGATACGTTCACAATGAAACAGCCAACATCTACACTCATCTGGTGCCCGTGGTGATCGCTGTTATAGGCAACTATGGTCTACATGTATATTTCAGCTCCCACTATCCTAATGCATCATGGATAGATCAGTTGGTGTTTCACATATACTTATTGACGTCTGTTATATTTTGGAATCTCGTCCATGTATAACATGCTGTTGTGTCATTCTGAGACATACACGATCTTATGGGCGCGGTTGGATTACACTAATATCGTTGTCCAGATCCTGGCATCTTTTGTTTCCGGCATTTACATATGTTTCTACTGTGAACCTAACTTACAAAAACTCTACTGGACAATGGTATGCTGCACTTACCCCAATGCTGGATTGTTTTTCGATGCTAACTACATATCCTCAGATCGGCTCACTAGGATTACTGACTGGTATTGTGGTTGTGAGTCCCAGATTTCAGAGTCTCAAGTGGCGGATGTTACGGGTCTGTACTTTTGTCACTACTGGCTTCACTGCTTTTGTGCCTATTCTACATGCTGCGACAATCTTTCTATGCGCTCAGCTTGATAAGCAAGCTGGTCTCCGCTACTATTATCTTGAAGGCGTCGCAATATTGACAGGAGTATTCTTTTATGTTGTGAGTGTCTCTTATTCCCAACCACCATGGCGAAGCTCGCTGCTAAGTAGTCTTAGACCCATCTTCTGGAGTCTCGAAAGCCCGAGATATACGATATTTGGGGTGCCTCTCACCAAATATTTCACAGCTTCATGGTGCTAGGAGCTATAATACACTGATATGACATTTTAAACGCTTTTGATTGGAACTATAATAATCCGCGGTGTGCCTTAGCTTGTGGTAGGTGGCAATTAGAGTTATGCGCAGAAAATAATAAGCTTATTCTTGGCTAGACTTTATTCTATACTTGAAAGGTGAAAAAAAGTTATCAGCTAATGGGATATATCTTTACCAGCACTACTATGAGATAATATTTGGCCAACTTTTTGTTAACGACTCAATGCATGGGAATAAAGTCTCTTAAAGAACAGCTGTAGCTTCGATAATTCTGATGAGGGATCCATAGTTGATTCCAGCCTGAGCACTCATCTCTTTAGATGTTTGCGATTCCCTGGGTAGATCTTTGGGTAGCACAGCTTTCCAAAGTATCTCTGGGTTTATCTTCGATCGTAGGGTCGGAAACAACATGCCGAGCGGTAGAAGCAACGTGACGAAGAGGTGTCCATGGATCATCTTTACCAGATTGGGATACCCACTGTTGCATCTGAGGGCTGGTTGAGGCTTGAACTCGGTTTTCCCTTTTGACTTACACTAGTTAGCATAGATATATCTTTCAGGAACGCGCTACTTACTCTCATCATGCCTCTCTTTGGTGTCTGAAGGTCCAGCCATTTCCAGACTCCAAAACCTCTATTTATTGAGCTGATATAAGTGATGGAATGAATGCGTCAAAGAAGGGTCTTAATGAAAAACGTTTATAGAGAGAAGAGAAAAAGTGCCCAATAAGTTTTGGGCTGGATAAGAAGAGAATGAAGAATGCGTCTCGGATTGTCAAAAGCGTGCTGGAAGGAATTATGGCTAAATATATATGGCAGCAGTCGCTATCAAAGTCATTTCTTAGCACTCAAACCCCTTGGCACTCTCGGTGCCATGCGTATATGACTAAATAAGAATGTCACAGGTGATTTTTTTTGATTGGATAGTTGAACCACACAGGGCGTAGCGTTCATCCGTGCTAGTTCGCATGCATAGCCACCAGACGGGCTGAATTCACCTTTCTGACAGGCGAATGAAAGCGCTTTACGGTAGCAGACTTGGATCAACATGTCTAACAATAATCCAAGAATCGACACACTAGAAGCGCGAGCTATTCCGGAAACTTTTGAGAAAAGGAAACCCACCGCCACCGAATGGCTCAATGTTTTACCATCGCCGTATTTGACTTAGTAGCGGTTTGCATATGTGACGCTTTCTTTTAACATTGCTATATAGGCTATGTGATGCTCCGTTCGAATCACCCTGGTGTCAAACATTACCGTGACATTCTCTACAGAATATAGAGGTTAAGGCCATGGCCGCTCAAAGGCTGTGCTATATATTTGCCATACTGAAAAGCTTAAGAGAGGCTCGTCAAGCAGCAACAAGGCATCAGTATTAAAACGTAGGAATGTAACTCTACTACAGAAACAACTGCTAGCCTAAGTAAACGAGCAATAAGGGTTCGATAATACGTCCTTTCATAGCCTAAGGCTCCTATTGTCTTGAGATACGTGTATGTTGCAGGCTGGATACAAATGTGCTGCTCGTTTCAGAGCAAATGTCTCCGTGATATACACTTTGACATCTGATTCATCTCTAGGCCGCTATTGACGCGATTCACCTGGAGTGACTAGAAATTAAAGGGGAAGCACATTCGTATATTGTGATAATTGTGGAGAGCAGCGGGATGAATGGATGCGAACACCAATCAGAAAATTAAACCTGTGGTTTCTGTTGATATCTATTATGTACCTACCAGGAAACGAAAGTCGAAGCATGCAGCAAAACATGCACGAGGCTTGCCCTGATTTGGAAAAACAATTATTGGACAGTACGTGCATGAGGCTTGCCCTGATTTGGAAAAACAATTGTCGGACAGCACGTGCATGCAGTAGCGCAGGTATGTACATTGTAGGGATGCCACTATTACTTGTATCCACTCAATACTATTCTTGCTCGCAGACCCTGGCGGCGATGTGCCCATCTGTGCCCATCTGTGTCCATCTGCGCCCATCTGCACCCTGTGCCTAGAATCTCCTGGAACTTGATGATGGTCTGTGCACTACATACATGTATACTGTATAAATACATGTATGTATAGATAGGTTATGTAGTGTTCGATGCTGTCCAAAACATGTGAAGGTCTGGCCCTTGAAGGATGAAACCATAGAAGAATGAAAAGCGGAAGATACCCCTTTGCTGACCTTTCTCATACAGTGTGTATCACTCCAGTACAGGCCGTCCTAACCCTTCCTTTCGCTGCTCGTCTTGCCGCTAACCTCTTGGCGTAGTGTAGCCTTTTGATGTCTCTTTGATACTCGGATTTCGTCCTTATTGTCAAATGCCAACCCTTGTAAAACGGTCTTTGATGGTATATATACCCCAGACAATCCTATCTAGATGTGGAAATGGTTGGTTCAGATATGCCTATATTTGTACTCATAGATACGCATAAGTATCCTCTACTCTGATGAGGATCGTGTGGTTGAGTTCGGATGGTGTATTCCCATTTCAATTGAAGCAGCTTTGAGTCCTAGTAGGCACTACTAGTCCTTGACTGGTATCGACAATGGTAGGGCTTCCATCGTTTGTGACGCTTGACTAACCACTCATACCACGTTCATACTGATAATCTTGTTTCTCCATATAGAATAGTTCTAGCGAAGAGAACCAAGCCAAATACTTATTAGATGTTTTATGGAAGGATAAAAATAGGCCTTATAGATCCAGAGTTGAAGAATGTTCACTGGATATTGCGTTGGATGACGAGGGCGACTATGGTGAAAATGTTGAAGAATGCAACCCAGAGAGCAATCTGCGTGAGTAGTCATTTCCTTCTCTGCACTATGGCACCTCTATCCTTGTGAATGACGATTTTGGGTTAACGCCAGTGCTACCAGCTCTCGTTTTTCACGGTTCACCCACTCCCAAATCTATTCCAAACAATGGGACACCATCGTTTGCGGCGGACACTCCACGACCAAAAACTCCTACAACTACGTCGAACTTGAGTCCCGCGCCGTTTTTACGCGACCAATCCGGCCCCAATTCACGCAGGAATCACATCAACAATGCAGTGGATAACACCGGTTTATTGCACAACCAAGGTATGCGGTACTACTGCCCAGATTGTAACGCAGATTTTAAGCTCGAGAAGACCCTTCGGCGGCATATAGAAACCGCCAATGCCCATCGGTTGTCAGCATTTCAATGTTGCTGCGAGCTATCGTTCGGTCGCAAGGACAATTTTCGCAGCCATCTCGAACGTAAAAAGCCCTGCGACCCCATCGCGCCGTTTCTCTGCTCGTGTGGATACCAAGTAGAAAGCAGCAACCAAGATTCAGTTGGCTTAATATTGAAGCATATCAAGGCCTGTGGGCGTAAGCGAGGCCGACCGAAGAATCAACTGCCGCTCGTTCCTCTCGTTGCAAAACTAAGCGAATATGTGTGCCGATTACAAGGCGCAGCTGTCGGTGGCAAAAGATTATCTCAATGCTCGAGTTCATCAGCTATAATTGGTTTCGATTGTAGCTTATGATTAGTATTGTACAGATCGGGGTGATTATATAGACTGAGGTAGGCAGCAAAAATTAGCCAACGAAATATAACGTCGAGGGAAAGTCTGCCTTCAGAGATAATTCCTGGATATTGTTTATTATTAAATTAATTTTTAAATAAAGCAAGCTAAGTGTATACCTGTTTCTACTGATATAATTTTAATATAACCTCTATAGATTAAATAAAAGTAAATCTATTACTGATATACAGGTTAGGTATACGGAGTATATAGTTTGTAAATATAAATAGTACCTACCTAATGTATATTCAATGTCGATAATGCGCTACCTTACTTATGTACCTATGTACCTACTTGTGGGTACCTATGCAATGGTTCGGCTCTCAAAATGGCGCTAAAGTGCCAAAATTTAACGGCCGTTAAATTTTGGCATTTTAATGCAAAGTTGGGCGGAGAAGGTATGGACTCTCCGCTCGTAGCTGCAGGTTGCGAAACAGCTGATTCGTCTTGAATTGTTACATTGGTATATTCAAGTATGCCGAAGTCTCGATTGATGAAGATGGGAAGGAAGGATGATAGATGGTTTATATAGATATAATATAGGTTCGAGAGCGGAGGAGTATTTCAAGACTTCAACTAGCTATCTAGAGACACTACTAGGCAATTTCAGTACCATAGAAGAATGCGTTAGCAAAATGGTTTGTCATCTTTCTGCTTTCTTTCAGGGATGACAAGATGAACTATCAAATTTTTAATGCGAAAAGTATGTATCCGGCGGTCTTTGAGCAGCTTCTGTAACAAGCGTAACGCTCATCGATTCTAACGACGATACTGAAGAAGAAGAACTGGGGTCTGCTGTGAGTTTTCAATACGCTAATGGTAACCACATGGGCTCAGCTTGATCTTGAAGATGGCAGTGCATCAAAAGACTGCTTCGCACGAGGTTGGTTATATCGTAACCCCATCTGACAATCGTCTGCTAAAAGAAGCTGTAGGGATTTCTCACCTTTATAGCATATCTCTCCTTTTGCAGGGATGGTTTCGCCCGCCGTGCCTCTACGTCTTGCAACATAGGTGTTTTTAGGCCCAATCCAAGAAATAGTGGCCCATATTAGTAGTCGTCGACAGCGTAGTGAGAAAATTCAGATTAAAGACTGGTTCGAGTATCTACGCGATTGGGTTGGAGAAAAGCCTGCCAAGGAGCACTTCCAGAAATGATGAACGGTGAAACTATGAATTTGGAGGATATGAAGACCGCTTTCGATGGAATTCGACCTAAGGAACGGCGGGTGCTGGATATGAGATTTGAGGAATCGAGCCTCGCTGCTGGTATTGTCAGTAGTGCGAAAGAGCAGTCTGAAGTAGCGAAAGAGGGATTGAGAAATGGAGATAAAATTGTGTGGCATTCGAGGTTGGTGAATTGCATGATGCAGCACAAGGAGATACTCCATCTTGTAGATTGAGATGGTAAAAGAGTAAACAATGAAGACCAAGAAGCGATGAAGTGACTAAAATCTGGGTACCCAAGAAGAAGCAAGCCCACAAAGTGAGAATGAAGCACGTACTTACTCCTCGTACGCCCAGCAGATTGATGCTGTGTCATGTACGGGACATACTGGTCCATATAAGTCCCCCTCCCCTATATATAGGTACACATTACACTTATTTTCAGCTGGTTTTTGCTATAAAATATCCAATATAGCTTTACTTCAAAGTTATCCTAAATTATCCTGTTTTCTACCCAGACAGTTCAAGTTCATTTTGGAGCAACATCTGTAAGAATTACATGACAAACATCAGATTGGTATCTACATTGACACGTTAGAACGGTTCTAATATGTATAGCCACAAAATGAACATACCTAGAGGATGGCTGCAAGACAGCTGTGGCTTTTGAGTATACTTGGTCTCGAGAATTTCTCGGATACTGTTGAGCAGCTCGACGTAGCTCTGTTTGGGATTGGCTTTCAGGGCGGTAATGAAAGCCCATGACATGGCGCCGGTGGCTTCGGTTCCGACAAAGGCGTCAGCGCTGTAAACTTGAGTCAGCAGTAAATTCCATAGGTATAGAGCAGAGCACGTACGATGTCTGATCATCCTTGCTACCGGACCACATAACGACATCTGCTGATGAGGTCCGCGTAGCCACCGTCTTCTTGTAAGCTTCATCCCCGCTGAAGGCCTGCTTCGCGAAACCCATGATGCTGCTGGCGACACCGGCTATATCACCTGAAGCATACGAGGTTATGGCACCCAAGAGACCTTGGCCGGCTTCCTTGGCCAAGTTGGGCTCCTTGAGAACACCTTTTGTAGAGTACACATAAGGTAAATCCATGACGGTTGCTGAGTGACATGAGTCGAAAATGGCTGTAAGGCGAACTCCCGCCTGCAAGGGCTTAACGACACGGAAGTGAATCTCATCATCTACCAAATGTCCAGCTTGCTGAAAGTCGACGGGGTATATGACTTCGTCGAAGCCGTCATCCTCATCACCGTCTAGATCTTCGGTTTGGCCACCGTGGCCTAGGAGCGAGAAAAAAGTCAGTATACTAACTAATACCATCGAGACCTTTGCTTACCAGAGTAGTGAAGGAATAGGGAGTCATTGGGTTGGGCGTCTCTGACAAGCCAGCCCATAGCGTCTTGGATGTTTGCCTTTGTTGGCCGCTTTCTGGGCTCGTTTTGGTCATCGGTCAGAATAACCATGTCCTCGCGCCTATAGTTGTACTTTTCGATCAGGAAGGACGACACGTTGTGAACGTCGTTGATGCATCCCTTCAGTTCAGCTTTGCTGCCGAAGTAATTGATTCCAATCAGCAGTGCCTTTCGCCTTCCCGTACAGTTCGAATATTGGAACGTATAGCCGGACGGCGCACCATGGCCAAACGGAACAGGATTGGAAGGTGGTGGCGCGCCGGCTCTCGCGTGCGAAGCGGTCGGAGGGATGAGAGGATTGCCGTGAGGATCGAGGCCTGGAGGTGGGTGATGCGAACCGGGATATTGATTGAGATGACCGCCGTTGTATCCGCCCTGCGGCGGCCCATATCCTCCATGCTGCGGCGGAGGCTGTTGGTAAGAGCCGTAACCACCGTGTTGAGGAGCGCCGTAACCGCCGGGAGCAGGCGAGCCGTATCCAGGCTGCGGGGGAGGTGCGTGATAACCTCCATAGCCGCCCTGGGGAGCGCCGTATCCTTGCTGGGGGGGAGCAGAGTTGTAGCCTCCCTGTCCACCATAACCGCCGCCGCCATAGCCGGGCTGTGGAGGATAGTTGTTGTTGTTGTTGTTGTTGTTGTTGTTGTTGTTGTTGTCGTATGGGTAGCCACCACCGCCGCCGTGATGGCCCGCGCCGTGGTAGCCTTGGCCAGGGTATCCGGACATGGCTAAGAGGAACCAATCGATCGATTGAGGGGGGAGGAGGTAGGAGGATATGGTACGAGAAGAGAAGAAGCGACAGCAATGCTGCTGAAAACACTTTTATTGGAGCGAGACGGTTCGAGCGAGCTGGAGATGGCTGTATTATGAGTATGGCCTCCCCTCTACGTGTAACTAGCTTGGATCGGCTTCGCGTGTAAGCAATTGGAGGCAGTGCCAGTCTCTTCTACCAATAACACCAGAGCATACCAACGTCCGGCTTGGCGGGCCCCGTAGCCCTCTGGGCTGTCCTATTTGGCGCTGAGATGCTAGACTTGTACCGCATATTCCCGCCATGGCTGAGACGTTTACCTACCTAGTACTAGCTGTAGCCATCATGATCAATTCTGTGGCTGTGCATGTATATCCCATCATTGCATCGCGTTCGCTGCATGGCACGAGGGCCTGCAATGCCTTGTAGGGCGTATTTCTACTTGGCTGCCGCTTGCTGTCGTCCGAAGTTATAATTAGTTTCCCCTTTCGTCCCATCAGACTGCATGTTGGTTGCTCTGTTTTACGTGCGTGGGGATCAAAGCATGGGCTCCCGTCTCGTAGCCGCCAGACGTGTAAGTGTTGGTTGGTACATGTAGCCTGCTCTGCCCCTCATTGTGCACATCCAGGCTCTTCTGCCCCTCCATCAGCAGAGTACATGGTAGCTGGACTACATGTACTCCGTACACACAGAGAAGATGAAACGAGCCAAACACCTTTGCTTGGCTCCGAAACTCCACATGCAAAGTCTCTTCCATTTCCTCTATGCGGATATCAAAATCCAACCCACCTCCTTGTACCACATACACAGCCTAGAAACCAATCAACAAAGTCCATTCACCTTGACTCCTTGCCAAGCACTCGGCGGTCCCCATAGGGGTACAAAGGGCATCCTCGACCAACAAAGCCAGAAAATGGCGCGTTCGGTACGGCCCGTGTGACTGCTCAAGTAGCGAAACATGTCACATACCTTGCCTTTGATTCTAGAATGCTGTACTTGTACCAGAACATGCGATGAAGTTGGACCTACAAATCAATCAGGTACTTGTAGATACCGTCGTTGGCCCCGGCATCTTTTCCGGGACCCATTCACTGAACCGCTGCCTGCGCCTCGTGCCACCCAGCGCAACCATTTAACTGTGCATGCATAGCCGGCCCCAGTAAACTATTCTCTGAATTTCACACTTTGCATTTTGCTTGCTCTCACTCCTCCAGCAACGGCTATATCTAGCGTCTTTGCCTGCCCTCTTATCATTCTTCCTGCTCTACAACAACTTCTGTTTCTACATACATGTGCACTCAAACCGCGTATCAGTAGTAGTTGTTGCGCCACTTCATTTCGACCTCCACAATGTCATACGTTGACAACCTCTCAGGCCAATTTGGCCAACTCGGAATCGGAGGTGGCCGGCCAGGCTCTCAGCCCTACCAGTCTCACTCTCCAAGTAAGGACCACATTGAATACACGTCCACTTTCATAGAATGTTTAGTTGACTTTAGCATTAGGTCAAGACCAGCATGGGGGATATGGCTACCATGCCCCAAGCGATTATAGGCCTCCTCCTGGGCCTCCTCCTGGGCAATATGATGCTCCTCCTGGGCCTCCTCCTACTAGATATGACGCTCCTCCTGGGCCGCCTCCTGGGCACTATGATGCTCCTCCCGGACCGCCTCCTGGACACTATGACGCTCCTCCTGGGCCGCCTCCTGGGCACTATGATGCTCCGCCTGGACCTCCTCCTACTAAATATGATGCTCCTCCTGGGCCGCCTCCTGGGCACTATGATGCTCCGCCTGGACCTCCTCCTACTAAATATGATGCTCCTCCTGGGCCGCCTCCTAGGCAGTATGACGCCCCTCCTCAGCCTTCATCTGATAGGCCGCCTCTTCCTCAAGGATGGGTTTCTCATTTCGACCAGAGTTCTGAGCGATGGTCTTATAACAACCCAGAGACAGGAACAACTCAATTCGAGTTCCCTCTTTTTAATCCTCCATTCCAACCTCCGTCTCATCAACCCCCTCTTCCCCCAGGATGGACTCCTCATTTTGACTACAGATACCAGCGGTGGTTCTACGTCAACCGAGAGGCCGAAATAGTTCAGTGGGAGGCGCCTGGATACGATAATCTTCAAACTCACCCAGAGCCATTTCCGAGTCACGATTCACGCGACGGTGGCTCTTCGCCGTATCCCTCTGTAGCTGCTCATGGACAAATGTCAGGAGGCTATTCAGCTCCTCCAGGCCCCCCTCACTCCGCCTCTTATGGTAGCCCTCCAGTGCTTCCAACAGGCTATGGTGTGCCTTCAGGATCCGGGCAGTATAGCGGCTATGATGGCGAAAATCACGGCAGAGAGGAGAAACAGAAAAAATCTTCCGGAAACTCTGGCTTGTTGCTCGGCGCAGCTGGTGGTGTCGCCGCTGGGCTTGTGGGAGGTGCTCTTTTACATCATGCTCTGGAAGATGACAGCAGTGATGAAGAGAGAGAGCGCCCACATTACGTCCCACCTCCACCTGTAATTGTTGATGAATATCGCAACGAGTACAGTTACAACAATGATCTCCCCACGAGAGACGCAGAGGGAAATTATGTGTCTGAGAGTGATCGGGAGTCGGTCGAAGAGGCGCGAGAGAGATATGAAGAGGCTCTTCACGATGTTGAAGATTCCAGTAGCCCTAGTAGCAGCGACTATGAAGAGTTAGAAGAGGCTAGGGAGGAATACGAAGAAGAGTATGAGGAAACGTATGACGATTAAATATGGGCAAAATTTGAGCTAGAAAGGGGAAGCGTCGCAATTGTAAGCAGCTAGATTTGCGACGTCAAATGTAAATTTATGAGACATTTTGTGTGTTAAGATATATTTAGTTATTCAAGTATTGAGCAATCTACTTTCATTAATCATAGAAATTGTAATAGAGAGTCCTAGCGAGCTGCCTTTCACATGTTGAGTAAATGGAATACTGTTTGAAATCTGGCACAGCCCACATGTTCTCTCTAGGACAATAGGAGCCTTCACATAAACAAAACTAACTTTTTACTATCGGTATCTAATTCTGTAATGGGTATTCCGTTCATTATATATCTCCAATTGTTCAATATACCTTCAATTTTGTATTTAGTTGAACTGGTTTTTCTTTCAACCGGCCGTAATGTGCGCTGAAAAGCCATGGTCGACTTGGATCTTTATGATCTTTATCCTTATATTACTTTTGATGTTCTTGTAGTTTGTGACAGTTTTTTTTTTTTTTTTTTTTTTTCTTTTTTACTATTGTGTCTTGGCGAATCGGCTCTTTGATCGAATCCAGGGACCGAACCTGTAAAACGCGTACGGCACCGCCGTAAACACCAGCGAGATGAGTCCCAGCATGGTCAAGGCCCAGTGGATGCCAAGGTTCTTATACATCGGGATAGATATTTCAATCATTCCTCCCGAAGCAGCATAGCGCACCAGCGTAATCATTGTCAATGCGCTTGCTGCATATACTTCATACGTATCGATGAGATACATGTATGTCGACACAAAAACAGAAAGTATGCCGAATCCAAAAAGCACAGAGGCCAAAATAGGCGACCAAATGCTTATGTGGGGATATGCCGTCCAGCCCATCCAGAAGAAAGAGATTGGGATGGCTGGTGCGCCGATAAGGGCATACCAAAGGAAAAATTCAGGCGGAATGCGAGCATTTCCATCAGGTTTCTCAGTTTGAAGCTTGGTGATCTCTTTCTTCGCCCACCTGTAGAGGAGAGGAGTGAGAAATACAGTAGCCAGAATCAGTCCAACTCCAATGCCCAAAAAGAGCAGGCCAGTGATGCCGTCAGAGAGGCCGTAAGTTTCCTGGAAAACAAATGTGTAGCCATCTAGAAAGCCAAACAACATCAGATATACAACGGTTAAGTAACCGGTCCATAACATGATTGTAGGTTCCTGGATAGTCATAATAATTGGCCGCTTTACTGCAGTCAGCATGCGAGAGCGGAAAGTTACATTCTGAATTTCGGAAGCAGAGACGTAGCGCTTATCTCCGGTTAGTCGGCGGAGGTGACTCGCTTTCCACTGCAGAAGAACTGGCGCATAAGTCTCAGGCTGGAAGAGAAGTAAAGATACGAGAAGGGCTCCGGATGCGATAATGGTAACCCATTCCACCCAGCGCCATGATACATCTAACGACTGAGAAATCCAGCCGCCAATAATTGGTCCAGCAACAGGTCCCATGAGTCCAGCAGCTACAATAATTGTTAAAATCATGTCTTTCTAGCGGTATTGTGAAGGTTAAATCAACTCACTTGCAAATATTGGAAATGCAATCAAGCGGTTCATAGGATCCCACATGTCACTAATAGATCCTCCAACTGTGGACAGCGGCGACTCTCCAAAGAATCCGGCAAAGAATCGACACACCAGCTGTCCTCCTAAAGACCTTGACAACCCAGCTCCCATAAGAAAGAGCATGTATATAGACAAAGAGCCAAAGTAGACGGGGTTTCGGCCGACCGTTTCTGACATTGGACCAGCGATGAGAGCGCCGAACCCAAAACCAACAAGGAACTGTTTCAAAAGTGGAATGTTAGATTAAATGCACAGATTAAAGTTGAGTTGTGCAACAACTACTTACCAAGCCTGTTGCAAGTGCTTCAGCGACTTCACTAACTCCAAAATCCTTTGCCGCTCTAGCAATAACCGCAGAGTCTATAGATGCCGCCATGCCAACAACAAGCGCAATGATGCCGACATTCAGGGTATAGAACATCCGTCTGGTGTACGACCAATTGAGTGGATTCAACGGGTCGTTTGGCCCTTCAAAGCCTACAACGAATACATTTTTATCGTTCACATCCGGATGTTCCTGTTTAGTAATTCCCGTAAGAGCTGCCGCTAGATTTGTGCCTATTTTGCTAAGGGGTCGTTCGATTGGTTCTAGCTGCGATGCGTCGTCTTCGACGTCGGTTGAATCAGAGGAAGGTGCTTCTAAATCAACATCGGCGGGTTGTACATCCGTTGTCGATGGGATCGCGTGATGTCTTGTTCGAGTTCGCTGCAATTGGGATTCTAGGCGTTTGCCTAATGAGCTGTGCTGGCGATAGGACTGCATGGCAGTTGTTTTGAGTTAAACACCACCAACTGATAGAACACAGGAGAGGATCATATGACAACTCTTTTAGAGCTTTTATGAGGCTCGCTATTTGACTGCGCTGCTATCTACATCAAGTAATGTCTCCAGAGGTCTTCCACTTATATTATATACTACTACACGTATCCATCTGAATAAATTTGTGACCGAGGATAACGGACTTCCATCGCCGTTGATATGGAATCGGGCTCCACGACGATAGATTAAGGGAATTAGTCAACTCTCTTGAGAAAGTAGCCCTGTCATAATATGCAAGACAGGCGGCCGAGTCCGGACGCTTTACGAGCGGCTCAAGTTGCTAATTTTTAAACACCACGACTGCTCGCCTCGCTGTTACGCGTTGAAATGACCTGCCCGGCAGTCAACAGCCGAAACACTAGGCTTGGATTGGCAATGGCCAGCGAACCAGCAAGTTTGAGCGCTCTTCTAATATGGAATAGTGGTATCCGCTGCCGGTGGCCCCGTCGACTAAGAGTTGTAAGGCACTACGCCGCATGTGGGAAACAGTTCCCTTGTGCCATAAGACAGGTCCGATTCGCGGTATCTGAGAAGGTGATGCTCTGTTAAACAAATAGCCGATGTTAATTTGATTGAACGTTACTCCGTACATCTCCGTACATCTCCGTCCTATTACTAATACTAGATTTTTTGTTGACAGATGTAAATCGATTAATTAAATTCTAAGAATCTACAGATTTTAGTCCCTTGATTCAGGCCTACCTACTCTGGGTATCTAAGGTCAATCTTTGATCCATCTACAGTTATATAGATTTATTTCCAACGAGCATCTCCTTTCTATATTCTTTTATGACGCCTCTTTAATACTCGTTTTATTTCGCCAATCCTCTACAAATAGTGCAATTGATAGCATGTAAACTCCAAGCATGTGGAGCTACCAATTTTTGGACTGGCCGGACTCATCTCGGATTTAACCGTGGAGACTTTACGTCATAAGGGTCTTGCTTTCGACGTAAACTCTAACAGTTTTACACAATTGCAGGGCACTGATAAATAAAGATGGAATCAACTCGAAGATCCTGATCTACTCTTGGCCTACTCTAAAAGGCTGTTATGAAGCTTAGGTCTCCCAACGCCTGCTCGGCAATCGGGAATTGCTCGCTAAGCTCCATCTATATCGAAAGGTCTAGACGCGATTCTGACTCCAGGTTCCATCGTATAGACACATTGCCAATCTTGAGACGGGGCAGAACCCCATAAAGTATGGAATCATTGCTTAGATATAAGATGACCTATATGACTCCTACTGCTGGCTTGTTATCAGCGCATAAACATTCAACGATTCTCTAAGCTAAGCTCCGGATGATGTCGTGATCTAATGTTCTTCCGACTTCATCAAATACTGTGGCAATTATCAAGAAATCGTATGATCAGTATATGACTTGAGATTCATTATACACCATCCGCTGTGCTGTTCTTCCCTTCCATGATTATGTATGTATAATGTATCAAGAGGCAAGCTGAAATGCAAAATCCAAGAAACGCAGCCGGGAATATCTTTAGGCGATTTGATGATACCAAGTCGTCTTTTCAATTTTATATTTCATAGTTCAGTATCACTAAGTAGGACTTAGCGCACAGCGTATTGAGTTGAAATAATACAATAACTTGTTATGGTGTACTATAGAATAGTTACTCAATGTTGTATACTAAGATGTAACACTGCTACCTGATTCAGGAATGGTATCGGGGTAACACTCTCCAATTTCAAACTTAGAGACCCATCCTTGGGGCAAGAGAGGGCTGAGAAGAGGGAAACTGAAGGGGTTTTGTAGGATTTTCCTACTTTATAATAATCCTTTCTTCATCTTTTAACATTTTGGTTCCTCTCCTGGCCGTTTTTCTGTGCCAACACGGCTAGTTTGTTTCTTTAGGGTCAAGAGCAGTGACTTGCTTCTCTGCCTCGCGAGCAGCTTGCTCCTTTGCTTCCTGGGTGGTTTGGTCCTCGTCTCGAATATTTTGTTTTACTTCTTGGGCTGCTCGTATTCCTTCTCGCAGTGCTCGTGCTTCTTCCTGTAGTGCTCGTACTTCTTCCCGTATTACTCGTGCTTCTTCCCGTGCTACTCGTGCTTCTTCCCGTGCTGCTAGTTCTTCTTCGTGTGCTGATCGTTCTCTCTCTGTCTTTACGGCGCTGGCTTGAAGGGTAGCATGTTCTTCCCTCGGAAGTTCATCTCCTTTTTCCTTCATTGCCACTGAAACGGCCGTTTCTTCTTTTTCCTTCTTGGGCATAGCAGCGGCTCTTCCTTCTGCTTCAAGAGCATCCTGTTGTTTAGCTTCTTGCGCCGCTTGCTCAGCAGTCTCTCTGAAGCTAACACCAGGGGCCTCCCACTGAGTTTTTCCAGTCTCTTTGTAGGCGTAATACCATCGATGGTATCTGTGGTCAAAGAGAGGAATCCATCCTGGGGGTATAGGCGGCATGTTAGGAGGGTGGATGTAGACGGGGTTAGTAAGAGGGGCCTCCCACTGAGATCGCCCAGATTCTTGATCGAGGTAGTACCATCGCTGACAGCCATGGTCAAAGAGAGGCATCCATCCCTGGGGGATAGGTGGCTTGTCAGGAGGGGGATTGTAGAGGGGGTTGAAAAGGGGTTCCCTCCAATGGGTTACATTGGTCTCCGAGTTGTAGTAGTAGATCACATGAGGTTTCTCCTGGTAGAAAATATTCCATCCTGGAGGAAGAGGCCGTTCTCCAGAGTAAGGAGACATTGGCCAAGAATCTGCCTGGCCACCTCCGATTCCGAGTTCGCTAAGTTGGCCTCGGAAGTTGCTAGCAAAGCTCAGGCGGATAACACCTTTGACAGTTTTGTGAAAGGACTGAGCCTTCCCATGTAAACCAAGAAGTGCCTTCATAGCAGAGGACGAGTCGTCAAATTCGATAAAGTATAGGGGTATAGTCTGCGTGGCCCTAAATACTATCTTCTTGTAGCCTTGCTGCTTAGAGAATATAGCTTTGAGCTCTTCCATAGACACGTCTATTGGAAGGTTGTAAACATAAAGAGTGGTGCACGGACTATTCTCGTTTATTGGAGCATTGTCAGCGATAGCCGTCGATTTACCCTTGTCTTTCTCGTTTGGATGTAACGTTTTATGAGAATTTCCGCCGTCGTCTGAATCATATACCTCAGAACCATTCTCAGAGGTCGCATTTGAGTTGGCCACGATTGGTAGCGCTGAGAGGGAAATCTCTTCAAGGTGCTTGGAGAAGTGTCTAGTCACAGCCAATTTTCCGCTACCGGTTACGTGCTTGCAAAGGGGGCACTCAATTGAATCCCACTTAGGCTCCATCTCATGGTCTAGTGCCAGATGAGAGATCCATTTCTCACGACTTTCAAATGCCGTACCACTATACGAACATGATACATCCAGACACGTGTATGGTTGAAAGTCAAGATAGATATGATGTCTAAAACATGTCAGCCTCTCATACACTCACGCTTACCATCGTACAATTACTCACTTCCAATCGGAGTTGTTAGTAATGACAACAGTGCGATTACACGCAATGCAAGAGAAAGGCATGCCATCTTTGGCGCCCTTGGGAAGTTGTGGTATGCGAACAGGTTGGTCTTTGCGGCTGTGGCTCAATATTGTTTCTGGGTGGATGATTGTTGGTACTATGGATGTGCCAACACCAGAGTCATGAAATTTGGAACCCGTGATGATTGTGTCGGTAAATTCCGGCGCTTCCTGCAGAGTCGAAGTCGCGCCTTCTTCATTCTGAATAGCATCTCTGTTTGCCTGGCATCGCAGATAACGCTCATAATTAGTGTTTCCAAGACGTGAAGCAAGGGAACGATCTATAAGAGGGAATTGGTTGATAATTTTGTTGACATAGAACTTCTCTGGACTCCAAGTGGAATGAATATTATCTTTAACGGTATTGCCTCCTTGAAGATCAAATATGGGATACTTTATAAGAGGATCAAGGCTAGATAGAACGCGTGTATCAGTTCTCAGATCCTCTGCAACCTCATAAATATTATCATCTGAGAAAGTAGATCCGGCGTCACTCGAAGAATCGTCACTCTGCTGGCATAAATCTTCATTGATAATACTACTAGCCTTTTCGATGCTGGACTCAACACTCGAACATAATTGTTGCAGCTTCTCTGACGAGATATCTGCTAAGGGTATCAATCCTGCAGATCACATGAGGCGCATTAGCCATCTAATAGACACTGCTTACAGGACGAGGGAGTATGCGTACGTACGCTCGGTGAGCACACGCCCGAGACGTGAAAGATTCTTTAAGAGAGTGTGGCGAAGTTTGCTCGATCTCTGAAAAATATCATTGAGATGACCCTGAGCGATTCCGTAGCCATCTGACCATAGGATCAAAGCGCTGCAGCTGCGTTCAAGGCTGATATGGGCGTCTTTTGGGATGGTGGCCTGTTCCCGTAGCGAAAGAATAGCCTCTTTGAAAAGCGACAATAAATCTGCAGAAAGGTGGGAGATCTCGGTATGTTCAAGAGTCTTGTCAGCATATTCCGTGGACTGAATGTTCTGCTGCTGTGATTGCCATTGTTGGATATTTTTGATCAGATTGTCATATCCATCCCCAGATTGTAAAGGTTGCGCCATTTTAGCTTTGGGTCATAGTTTCTGGCGCATCTGGCTCGAAGAATATGCGTTAAATCGTGAGAGATGTAATCGATGGTGGGAACGTCGATGATGATCTGCATGACCCGGCTCGGAAAGATACTGCGTTGTAGCGGCAAATATCATACATGTACATAAAGTGAGCTGGGCTGCAATACGCGAACAAATACTCCGTAGGTGGCACAAAAATACATAGCCGCTCTGGAAGCGCCGAGGTGTTCTGAGAATCGCCGATTTCAGCCAATTGCGTTGCTGGAACCCGACCAGGATATATTGGTTGTGTGGGTTTCGCAGGGCATCCTGAATGCATTTATCGCATATAAGCGCGTGTAGGACATGTGTATTCGAGGCTGCCTCTGCGCGCTCCGCCTCAATAATCTCTGTAAGTTCTGCGAGCCGCGTTCCATTTGCGATTTTAATTCCTTTGTGAGGTCAGCGTGAAACGAAGTCTTCCCACAATCCGCTGGCGAAAATCTTCATATTCAGAGTCAACAGAGTTAACAATACTTGCAAAATGGATCCAGTGTCCATTATGTTTAAGATCTTGCCTCAAGTGGGAAAAACAATTGGTGCTTACAAAGAAGTTCGCTCAAAATTCAAGATCTTTTGTCATTATTCTGCCGAAATCGAGAGAATTCGAAAGCTGTTTGGTGCACAGCGAGGCTGTTTTCTCAACGAGGTGGAATTGCTACTTAGGCTAGTCATACTGGACAAGACTGAAATCGACGACATGATGAAAAATCCGAAGCATGGTGAATGGGGCGGCTATAGGCCTGCGGCGGTATTAGAAGGTCTGTTCGGGAGAAACTTGCTGCTGCTAGGAAGTGTTATCGATGATATAAACGAGAGCATTACGGCGCTACAGAACACATTCCAATGCTTCCTTCCGCTGGAAGAAGAGAAGGAGCGAGTAAGAAGCAAACAATTGGATATATCATCTGGAATCAAAAACTAACACTATTGCTAAGGATGAGAGTCTCAAGTCGAAACCCTTGAAAGATGCCATGCGGAAACTGAGAAAACGAGTCAAGATTACGATCGAGAAGAAGGATTTCGAAGACAAAATAGCCTGCCTGGAGAAGTCAAACAGCGAATTAATACGACTCCGAAAACAAGTCAAAGAACTCCAAGAGCCATCGTGTTGTGCAATTAAGAGGTCATCTGATAGGGCACGAAAACTACCAGTAGAATTTGGAGCGTACGGAAATATACGACGCGCATCAAAAGCTCTCCACGAAGCTCTCACGGCGGCATGGTCAGACACGCAAATACCACATCTTCGGCATCTTGTTAAGCTGTTTTTAGATGCTAAGACAGAGATTGATGTACAGATGGAGATTGCCATTCTATGTTATGACGATGTTCTGCAACAGCGGCCACTACTTGAAACAACCTTAACGAGAGTACAAGTTAGATCAAGAACGTTGAATTCTATTGCCTGGTCTGATGCAAGCTTGCAGGTTCCGGCACCACAGATGGATGAAGCACGGAGTGGCCAGCGAAAACGCCAGAAGGTGAGATTTGCTAGCGTCAGCGACAACTCTGATATCGTGAGCGAAGCTTCACCAGCAACATCTGCCGTGTCTATAGCCACCTCACCATTATCAGCCGCTCCACCAGATGACTTGCAGCTTACTGGACATTTTTGCTCAGAGCTCTCAAAACGCTGTTCAACCCCAGATACTTCATGCGGTAAAGAGGGTCTGGGGCACATCGACAGCGGCATGCAGGAAGCGTTTCGCCATTGCTTCTTCCCCTGCCCAAAGAACTCAAATTACAATAATATGGGGTTAGACGACGTGATGCACATGAATGAAGCACTTGCACAATCTGCACACAACAGACTTGATGTTGTCAGCCAGTTGCGATTAGCTCATCGCCTCGTCTCTGCAGTGCTCAAGTTCAATTCGACTCCATGGCTTAACGAGTTGTGGAATATTGGAGACCTCGCATTTTTTCGACAAGGAGATGACCTAACAAGGTCGCTTCAAACACTACACTTTGGTGTAGAGTTGATTCATAGCGCGCCTGAGTCGGAAGATTCTGTAATGCAAGTTGAATCGCCAGCCAGCTTAGTACACACTTCGATTGAAGACGCACAATATAAACACGGCGTGCGTAATGTAACGCTTTTTAGCTTGGGAGCTGCTCTTCTGGCTGTTGGAAGATGGGAGCGTATAGATCACAGCGACATTGAAGGGATTCGACGACTTGCTTCACAGCCAAGTTACTTGGGGCCGATGTATCAAGAGCTAACGCAGAAAGTTCTTGATTGCGATTTTGGACATGGGAAAGATTTGAAGAAGCCTAGACTTCAGGAGGCGGTGTACGAGGCGGTTGTTTTAGAGCTGGAGTCGATGATTGCAAGTCTTGATATATCTCGAGACTGAGAGTGCTTGACAGATTATGCCTACCATTGACCTGTGTGCTAGTTGAGAAAGAGTATTAGCAAATGCTTAATTAGTACATACCTATACATGCAGCCTCACTCTTGGGTAATGCTAAGCCATCACCTTTTCATAAATCAGCCCACTTTATAATCTTCTAGAACGGTCTCTATTCCATTAGAAACATTATACTGCGCAACGAGCGCGCCATTTACTCTATTGTATTAGCTGTTTCACCTCTTAATAGAAGCCAGGTAGATGGCATGAGACAAGAAAATTTTCCGAGATATGCCAGAGCCTTGGAGTAGTGACCAATAACAGTTCTGGCCACCACAGCCTCATTCTGGTGATGCTGCCGTATTGCGCGTATTTGTCGGGTTTTCGCGCAGATCCACAGCCAAGCCAAGCAGCCACATTTAAGCGTTTCTTAGCGTTATCACAGGTTAAATTGCCAGTACGAATGCTGGCAGCCCACGTCGCGCAGGATCGGCGCTATGAGATGTTTGGGCCTAGATCAGCAGAGCTGGTTTGCGGGTGACGTTTGGCCAAGCACCGTATTGCTCGTAAATCCAGGAGAGTTGGCAGGGGTTTGCTTGTGTGGAGAGCGGTGCTGTTTGTTTTGTTGTTAGTCTATGATGGTGTGTTGCTTGACGTAGAAGGCGTCGACACACGTATTTTGATGTGTATTCAAGATGCGTCTCGTCCTAGGGGCTGTGCTCAAAGGATATTGCATCGATGTGTCCTAGAAATTTCAAAATAGCCCTGGCGTTGCGATGGCTATGTTTTGGGTTTCAATTCTCAGTTCTCATACAGCATATGAAAGAGCCACTCATTTTCACAGGTGAGATCAAGCGGCGCATCCATCGCATCCTATTTGGGAAGTACGTGCCGCTGAGAAGCTCCCGCGCTCCACAGGAAGCTCTAGCGGCTGGCTTGCCCGTTCTGGGCCAAATCTGGCGCTGTTAGCTCGCCATGGTTGGCTGGGGTGCTCGCTAAATGCCGCCAAGGACAGGGGATCCTACGGGGCTTTTACAAGGCTTGTAGAGTTCAACGACAACCACAAGCGGTGCATTATGGCGCAGCTCGAGCCAGGCAGCGACTTAGCAGCTCCTCCTCGACTCCTTTTACACCATCTACCGTCCAGTCGCAGGGCTGGACGATCCAAGCGAGATGCCAGAAGCACAAGACATCCCTGTTCATCATAATACGCGGATCAACGCCATGCCCGATCCAAGCATTCTCCTCTGTCTGCCACTGCCGCAGCATCGTCATAGCGGCCGTTGCGTCTGGTTTGGAGGCTAGCGTCGAAGATGGTTCTCTCTTGGCTGAGACATCTTGAAGAAGGCATTGTTTTTCTATTAAAAGTCGTTGATCCTCCCATGCTTTTGTCTCAGAATCCTGTTTGGACTTGGACTGTTCTATTTAATCCATTCAAACCCTCAATCCATCTCATCAACATTCTCTGGGCTGAGGGTCTTCAAATTCTACTCTCCTTCTCACAATCCTTTAGCAAACTGCCCTAGCATGGAATGAGTGTCGATAACAACAACATATCAACATGGTTCTCTACACCCAGATACGAGCTCTGACGGAGAAGACGCTCAAAATCATCATCACCCGCCACTTCGTTTCAACCCTCTACAGTGCCCTGGTCCTCCCCATTATCCTGTCCGTCTACTTGGGCATTGGGCAGAAGTTCACCCAACCCAACGACAAGTTCGGCATTGGCTCTCCATCTGATATCATTTCTCTCGAAAGTGCCCTCTCCAAATCAGCCGGCGGTCGAGACACGGTTGTCTTTGTCAACAGTGGCCACACCGGTGGCAATATTGAGCATGTCATTGGTTCTGTTTCTGATATTGTCGAAGGCGCCGGTAAACATGCAACGATCATAAAAGACGAATCAGACTTGGGATATAATTGCCAGAGCACTATCCGTGGCACGTCCAACTGCTTCGGTGCTGTGGTATTTTATTCATCTCCGGATGAGGGCCATGGTGGCTTCTGGAACTACACCTTACGCGCTGATGGCGGCCTTGGAAATAGCTTCCAGACAGACAAAGACGACAATGACGCCCAGATATACGCGCTGCCTCTTCAGAGGGCTGTTGACTCTGCCATTGCGGGTCTTGAATCGGGATCTGCTTTTCCTAAAACGACGCAGCAATACCCTTATACCGAGCTGACTGAAGATGAGCGTCAAGCTGAGGTTCGACGAAAGTATCAGAGTTCCTTCATCAAATACCTGAGTGTTGCTTTCATAATGGGCTTGATTGGTGTCTGTTATCATATGCCTGGCTTTATTGCCACGGAGAGAGAAAAGGGCATCTCTCAGCTCATCGACGCCATGATGCCTACCAGCAAAGGTTGGCATCGCCAATTTGCCAGATTAATCTCTCACCACAATGCCTTTACCATAACGTACATGCCAGGCTGGATTGTCGCATCTGTTGTCACCAGAGTCACCATTTGGACAAACACAAGCTTTGGTATTATGATTATCTTCTTCATCCTCAGTGGCATCGCCATTACTTCAATGTCACTGCTTGGCGCATCCTTCTTTAAAAAGGCCCAGCTATCTGGCGTAGTGACTGCTGTCATCTGGATTGTGCTGGGTATAGTGGCTCAAGTTATTCCACATCCCAATACTGGAACAGTGGCCGTCTTGAGCTTGCTCTTCACGCCATGCAATTTTGTCTATTTCGTCATCTATATTGCTCGATTCGAGCAAGATGGGAAAGCCACGAATCTAATACACGCCCCTTCAAGCGCCACTTCTAGTCTTCCTGGTATCGTCCACTGGATCTTTTTCATCATTCAGATGGTTGTATATCCCTTCATTGCGGCCTTTATTGAACAGACTCTACACGGCGTATCAACAGGAACTCGGTCCTCGACATCTCTCACAGACCCCGCCAGTGGTGTTGTAGAAGCTGTTCGCATAGACAACATGACCAAGATCTACAAACCAAGCCTTCTTCGAAAATTCTTCTCTTTCGTCTCACCACCAAGACCCGAGGTGGTTGCAGTCGATAACTTGACATTAACAGCCAAAAAGGGTGAGATCTTGGCGCTCCTAGGTGCAAATGGCAGTGGTAAAAGTACCACGCTTGACGTCATCGCAGGCATCAGTGATTTCACCAGGGGCAATATCTCTGTTGATACATCTGGCGGCCTTGGTTTTGCTCCACAGCAAAATGTTCTGTGGGATGAATTGACTGTGGAGGAGCATATCCGGCTCTTCAGTCGTATTAAGAACCCACGCAGGAAGACCCCGGAAACCGAAATCGCAACCTTGATTGATGCCATTGGACTCCGCTCAAAGGCAAAAGCTTGGTCAAAAACGTTATCTGGAGGCCAAAAGAGAAAGCTTCAGCTCGGAATGATGTTGATCGGTGGCAGCTCTGTCTGTTGCGTGGACGAAGTCTCCTCCGGTATCGATCCCTTGTCGCGTAGAAAAATCTGGGACATCCTTCTGAAAGAACGTGGCTCGCGAACAATCATCATGACCACGCATTTCCTCGATGAAGCAGATCTGCTCGCTGACAATATCGCAATTCTATCCAAGGGCACTCTTAGGGCTGAAGGCTCTTCTGCTCAGCTCAAGGATACTTTTGGTTCTGGTTACCGCATTCATTTGTTAGACCCGAGGAGCCTAGACGCTGTGCCTGATTTCGAAGGTGTCACAAAAAAGATTGCTACAAACAATGTTACATATGTGGCATCATCTTCTGATCAGGCTGCCAAGGTGATTCGAGCTCTGGAAACCGCAGGGATCCCGTACAGATCATCTGGTCCTACCATCGAAGATGTATTCCTACATTTGGCTGAAGAAGTTCATGGCGACGGCTTGCAACAGAAATCTGATATGGTACACGAAAAGGTCACCAAACTCGCAAGTGAAGTCCCCACCATCAGCGATAGTTTGCCGTTGCTATCAGGACGACAGATTGGTATGATTCAGCAGACCGGGGTACTTATTCGAAAGCGATTCACAGTCTTTAAGACGAATTGGCTTCCTTACGCGGCGGCCTTTTTGGTTCCCATCATCGCCGCTGCAGTCATCCAGATTCTTATCCGTAACGATGACGCAGTAGGCTGCTCTCCTACGCAACGGAGTAGTCATTCATCAAACAATGACTTCTTCAAGCTCTTGGATACTGCTCATCTTGTGGGTGGTCCCTCATCTCAATTTGGCGGGTCCTCGCTGGAGGGCTTGTTCAAGCCTATTCTACCTAAACAAACTACAAGCTCTACCAAGAGAGATGCTTCAACCACTTCTCTCGGCAATGTCACCGTTGATCTCGTGAGCTCGCTTTCCTCCTTTGAAGATTTTGTTGAGAATAATCGAAGGACCGTTACGCCAGCGGGTTTATGGCTCGGCGACTCAAACTCATCACCAATGTTGGCTTTCAAGGCGGACAACTTTTCCATGTACTCTGCAGTCATAGGCCAAAGTTTTCTGAATACGATACTAGCCAACACTACCATCGTGACAGAATACAAAGAATTCGATTATCCTGTTGCTCCTTCAACCGGCAGAGGACTACAGTTGGTCGTCTACTTTGCAGTTGCCTGTTCCATCTTCCCAGGTCTGTTTGGCTTATATCCAAATACCGAAAGGCTCAGGAATATTCGCAGCTTGCAATACTCAAGCGGTGTTCGTACTCTGCCTGTTTGGGCTGCGCACCTGCTATTTGATTTTGGCATCATACTGCTTCCCATGATCTTTGCTGCCATGATATTTGTCGTATCTTCAGATTCATGGTATCATGGAGGCTATCTATTCCCCATTTTTATCTTTTACGGTCTTACAACAATTATCATCTCTTATTTCATTTCGCTCATTGCCGCGAGCCCAATGGCAACCTATGCTTTGACCTCTGTCGTTCAGGGTTTGGGTTTTGCTATTTACTTGATTGCCTATCTATTCATCCTCACGTACTCTCCTGCCGCCAACACTGGTCGTGATGTTCTCATCGCACATTGGGTCATTGCTATAGTCTTCCCCACGGGCTCGCTAATTCGCACCTTGATGGTCGGTCAGAATATCTTTTCGACAACCTGCGATAACGACCAGCTTCAAGCGAATCCAGCCGCACTCGTCGCCTACGGAGGTCCTCTCCTGTATCTCATTCTACAATCTATATTCTGGTTTACAATAGTTGTCTGGGTTGAGAGTGGTGCTGGTCGATATACCCCCGAGAAAGCCAAAGCTTCCCCTGAGATTGACGATCCAGAAATCGCTGAAGAACTACTTCGAGTAGATGGCGCAGAGGGCCAATCAGACGGCCTTCGCATCGCCCACCTAACCAAAGCATTTGGAAAGAACACCGCCGTCGACAACGTCTCTTTTGGCGTTAAGCACGGCGAAGTCTTTGCCCTCCTCGGTCCCAATGGCGCAGGCAAATCCACCACAATCTCTCTAATACGAGGCGACATCGCACCCAGCCGCAACGGAGGCGACGTCTTTATCGAAAACATCTCCATCACCAAGCGCCGCGCCGCCGCCAGAGCAAACCTAGGCGTATGTCCTCAGTTCGATGCCATCGACAACATGACTGTCAGCGAGCACCTCTGCCACTACTCCCACCTCCGCGGCATCTCCAACGTAGACCACCAAGTCCCAGCCGTCATCCGCGCCGTCGGACTGGAAGCCTACTCAGACGTCATGGCACACACCCTGTCAGGAGGCAACAAGCGCAAACTCTCCCTCGGCATCGCCCTCACTGGAAATCCTCCCGTCATTCTCCTCGACGAACCCTCTTCCGGTCTCGACGCAGCGGCCAAGCGCATCATGTGGCGCACTCTCGAGACCATCGTCCCAGGACGCTCCATACTCCTCACGACACACAGCATGGAGGAAGCCGACGCTCTCGCCAACCGCGCAGGCATCATGGCCCGCCGCATGCTCGCCCTCGGATCAACAGAGAAGCTTCGCCACCGCTTCGGCGACACCTTGCACGTACATCTCGTCAGCAAGACCGCACCGCACTCTTCTGCAGCCGAGATGGAGGCTCTGCGTGTATGGGTACTTAATAACTTCTCTGGAGCTACGGTCGAGCAGGAGACGTATCACGGACAGATGCGCTTTTCGATGCCTTCTTCTGCGGTGCCAATGCTGGTCGGAAGTTCAAATACCACGGAGAGCGCAAGGGGTAGACTCCTTATCATGCTGGAGGAGCAAAAAGATTATCTCGGTGTCGCGCATTATAGCGTCAGTCCTACCACATTGAATGAAGTGTTTTTGAGCATTGTTGGGAAACATGACGTCCAGGAAGAGGGATATAATAGAGTTGAAGAGAGGACTGCGAGTCAGGAGAAGAGACCCTGGTGGAAGTCAAAGACCTTGTGGGCTTTCTAGATCCATCTAATACTTTTCTTTTGTAGTTGAGCGATTCGGTTTTTTTTTTCTTTTCAAATTATCAGTTATAGAAATGTGTAGTATATACCTGTAGAATTTAAATAGACGTGGATATCATTCTGAATTACATACATTAGTTAGCTCAGTTATTCTATATACTCATTTGAATCTTTTACCCTTCGCTCATTGACCCATCTCGTAGACTCCCCCTGAAGCAGTTTGGCCGTGTAACTCCTGTACTATATGCGTATTACCAGCCATTTCTGGCGGCGGCGCTCCTGGAGCCTCGTGATATGGCTGATGCATCTGTGGATAAGGCTGAACAGGCGCGTATTGTTGCTGCTGTCCGGGCACTGGATAGCCATACATTGGCTGTCCAGCTTGTTGAGGAGGAGGATACGCATATCCGGCTGGAGGCTGCTGCTGATGATGTGGCCATGATCCGTTGGGCAGTTCAGTCGTGTTGGGGTACACTGGAGGTGTTGGTGTGACAGGGCTTTGATACGGCGGTGATACGCTCGAAACGGGTTGAGGGTTGTTATTAGACAGTTCGCTCGGCGTCGATAGTGGTGTCGTCGATGTTACCCCGGTAGGCTTGGCAGGATCGGGGGGCACTTGGGCGGTTTCGACAGCAGCTCCAGAGGGCGGTGCCCCATTTGTTCCATTTACCCCGGCTGCGGCTATTGCTTCAGCAGTGCTTCCTCCTTTCATCTTGGTCAGGCAGAATCTCCAAACTGCTCCGGCTGCGGCGGTGATGCCCGCTACAACACCGACGACAATGCCGGCAATGGCACCTCCAGAGAGCTTTGTCTTCTTGCTAGGTTTATCTGAACCCGAACCCAAGGAACCCAATGAGCCAGAGCCAGACCCAGAGTTAGAGCCAGAACCTGAGTTAGAGCCTGAGCCAGAATTAGATCCAGAATCAGAACCAGACGATCCTCCTGATGATCCTCCAGAGCCTCCTGATGAAGAACCAGTCGGCTTCGGAGAGGATCCGTTCGAAGGCGAAGAGTCAGACTTGCCGGCAGAGGGGCTGGGAAGATTGTTGTTTTTGTCGGTAGGAGTAGAGGAAGGAACAAGTCCGGCGAGCACACTTAGACATAGCTGCTCGCCCGCTGCTTGCGCCTCTATACAATATCATCAGCTCCAGCCCTTAATACGGCTACAAAAGGTTTTCCTGGTCCACTTACGAAGAGCGCCGTCAAATCCACAAGCGCTTTGAACACAGGGGGCCGCCCCTTGATTAATGACAGTCGCATAGTTACACTCGCATTGATAGTCTCCTAATTTGCAATTCGTTGATTTTGTAACTGCGGAGGCAACACATGAGGTGGCACATGCGGGTATACTAGGCAGGACCGCTCGTGCAAATTTCAGATCGCCTAGAATATCGAGAGACGGAGCAGCAGTGATGGCGGCGGCGGCGGCTGCTGCATTTGAAAGATCCGCGACTGGCGTGGGATAGGTATCGAGACGAGGCCTGACATGCAGGGCTGAAGAACCAGTCGCAAGGAGAGAACAGACGAGTAATGAAAGAGAGGTCGGTAGAGTCTGCATATTCACCATGTTGACGATTGCGGCTGGCATATATAAGCCAGCAAATATCTGAGGTCTGCTGCTTCCAACGGTATATCGGCTTCAGCTCAGCATAACGAGAAAAGGGAAGAATATAGGAGAGCGCACATCCTATATTCTTGACACCTGCGATACCCCAGCAATATTATAAAGCTACAGACTAACATTCAGCGTGCCCGACGTAGGCAACGGGTGGCCCTGATAGCACCATGCATCGCGACCTTGAGGGCGGGCCATCTACTGTTTGCAGGGGTCGTGTACATGTCGCCGCCTTATTCTTGAAAGAAAAGCAGGCAAGGCATTCTTCGTGTCACCTTGAAAAGAAGCACTTTAGGCCTAGATCCCCTCGATAGGCCTTATTCGGAAGCTCGTCTCCGTGGCGGAACGAAAGAGCGGTTGTATTTCCGTCTGTGCCAGAATGCTGATTGGATGCTCATCGCAACGGGTTTGGCGCTTGGCTTTCAGCTGCAGTCCGGAGTAGCAGGGGTGCAAATTCAGCCTGCAGATCAATAATGGGTGTTTGACTTCTCCTCCCCGCTGCTACCCGACCTTTTGGCAGAGGAAAGGGGGAGAAATGAGGGATAAAAACAGATCACATCGTAGGCGACTTATACACCCGCCCATATGCACTTGCGATGCTATTTTCGAGAGAAGTGACGATGAAGACAAGCCAACTGAGCCATATCGGCTTCGTGATTATAAAAACATCAAGCCGTGGTCTAAGTAAGCGGCGATCCACCATCCTGGAGCTGCTAATCGTATCAAGCTTGAAGTGGCGTCGTCCTTAATGCGCGGGTCGTGCACCGACGTTGCCGCATTGCCGAGATTAAACAGCAACGACGCTCTTGGCCGTCAGCCTCACATTTTGTTGCTCGCGATCATGCACAGGTTCGGGGAGAAGAGCAGCCAAGCCGTGCTGCTTGCTGACTGACCCATTGCCAACCAGACTTGCGAGCTGCCACCCCGCCGTAGAGGAGGGCACACCCTGCGGCCGTTTTGCTTTGCTCTTCGCCCAATATTGCGGAGAAATAGGCAAATAACAATGCACGAGACCACAGTCTTGCATCCCCACGGGCTTATTACTGCGTCGTGGCCGACAATCGGCTGCAGACTCCAGTTGCTGGCCCGGCTCTTTTGCACACCAGACAGGGCGGCCTGGTTGCCGCTGTACTGTAGGCTTTCACAGTTGAGTCTTAGCGCCGCCACCAGTTTTGAGATGCCCTCGCAAACGACTAGGTTAGGCGAAATCCTCACAGACGGTTGTTTCTGAACTGTGGCTAGGATGGAAGTAGAGTCGCAAATTTAGCCCTGGTGGATGACGAGTGAAAGGGAAGAGAAAGAAGGTTCATTATCAGACGCTGGAAAAGAAACTGAGCTCTCACTAAGCTTTTCCTTGAGGAGCTCCTTCCTGCTGCCCAGAATGAAGCTTAACAGATAAAGATAAAATGGGCCCTTCCCTTTCAAGAAATGATTTCTTGATTTTTTTTTTTTTTTTTCATCAAAAGGTCCCTGCTTGATCTGATGTGACACCAAATCAGCCAATCAGGACGATGGCGATAAGATATGGGCCTCGGCAGCAGCCACATTCGATACTGTGGCTAGTGCTGCATCTCTCTGTGGCTGGGATTTACAACTTGGGAAGAGCAGCCGATGACAGAGTTAATTGGTTGCAAAAGACTCTCACTGTTATGTATCTACATAATTATACACAACAGCGTACATACCGTGGCATTAACGCAAAATCTATCTTTAGACATGATTCCTCCTTGTAACTTTCCCCCTCATCCCACTCTAAATGGACCAATGGTTTTACAGAACCTTCTCACGGGCCCCGAGATTACCGGATCCGTCCCGCCTCAAAAAAAATTAGTGGGCCGCCAAGTCTTGAAAATAGAGCATATACAAAACTTAGATCTCATAAAAGCCAACTCTACCTCTCAACAGATACCGGCACATTGTATATAGAGTTCAGTTCTCTCATATACCTATTCAACTCACTTCCTTATTCTTTACAAAAAGAAACATATCATCTTCACAATGGCCTTCACAATGCATTCCCACTCGGGGCAGTTCTGCCCCGGCCATGCTGTTGATGAGCTCGAGGATATTGTCAAGCACGCTATATCTATTGGGTATAAGACCATTGGCCTTACAGAACACATGCCGCGTTATGAAGAGCGAGATTTATATCCCGAAGAGGTGGGTTACACTCGTTTCACAGCATAGAAACATACGTCTTTTGATTCCTTAATCCAAGAGTCACACAGCTCGACAATTCTCACTTACCCCTCCATCTCACATATTCACATGTCAATACCAAAAACTCACTCACACTCCCACTTCACTCACTTATATAACCAATCACCCATACTTCCTCAAAAGCACCCAAAATCTAACTCGAATAATAAAAACTTTTCAGCTCGACGACCCCCAAGCCTCCCTTCAAGTACTCCCTCCTCGACACAACGCCTACATCCTGGAAGCCCGCCGCCTCCAAAGGGCCTACGCCTCCCAAATCCATATCATCATCGGCTTCGAAGGCGAATTCATCCGCCCTTCCTTTGCCCCTCTCGTCCAGAACCTCTTCGCTGAATCTCCCCACATCGACTACTTCATTGGCTCGCTCCACCATGTGCACAGCATCCCCATCGACTTCGACAAGGTCATGTACGCGGATGCCGTGAAAGCGGCCGGCGGGTCAGAAGAGCGTGTGTATGAGGACTATTACGACTTGCAGTTTGAGATGCTGAAGGCTCTGAAGCCTCGCATTGTGGGCCACTTTGACCTCATTCGGTTGATGAGTGAGGAGCCAGGCAGGGATGTGCGGCAGTGGGAAGGCGTCTGGCAGAGAATCAAGCGAAATCTAGAGTATGCTGCCGAGATTGGGGCCTGGCTGGAGTGTAACACCTCAGCTCTTCGAAAGGGCCTCGCAGAGCCATATCCATGCAGGGTTATTTCAGAGGTGAGTTTCCTACATCCACAAGAGTCCTAAGGACGTTCAAGTTTCTCACCAGTGTGTGTTATATAGCAATGGCTTCAACTAGGCGGTAAATTTACAATGTCAGATGACAGCCATGGAATCGCCCAAGTAGCAACAAACTACTCACGCGCTCTCACATTCTTGGAAAGCCTCGGCGTCGAGCAAGTCTGGACATTCCAACGTCAAGACCACCCCGAAGCCGGAGAGGTCACCAAGGCAGCGCTCACCGACGTGAGCGTTTCACTCAAAGATTTCCGTCAACACTTTTCATAGAGCTTCTTTTTTTTTTTTTTTTTTTTTTGGTTCAACATAAAATATTGCGTTGCAAAACGGAATAGAGCTAAGCTATAATAGACTACAAGGACGGCTTATGGGGAGACCAACACGTCAAGCTATAAATAGCGGGAAATGCCATCTATAGAAGTAGAGCATAAAAAATAGATGGGATATATATAGCTTCCGATAAAATTTACTTCTTCCTTGCTTGGGAGTGGGTATCATAAGTGAGAGCAGGCCAGCATTCTGATGCTGGTAGTACGAGAGTGTACATACTGACTGGTAAAACAATTGGTCTCAAAAAGGAGAGAACAGGCTTCAACAAGCGCCAAACACGCAAAAAAAAAATAGAGAGGGTAAACAAGCAAGCAAAGCAGATAAACTCCTAGCCATTTCCGTGCTCCGTACCAATCCACTCCAAATAACAAAAAGAAATCTAAAAAGCGTCGTCCATATTGCACTCTCGTAGCAACCGTTTATTTCTTTGGCGGAGATCTGGGGACTCCCCTGATGGGTCCACTAGGTTTTCTATGAACCTTGGGCTGTGACGAAGAGGTGGGTTGGCTCGCCAGCCTGGGCGCAAAGGGAATGCTTCCGCTGCCGCCATATTGGAATAGAGCGCTGTTCTTTTTCTTAAGGGTAGGCGCAGCAACTGGGGCACCGGCGGGAAGGGTAGGAGGAAGCCACTTCAGTGGCTCTTGAGAAGCAATGGGAACGGGGGGTGGCCCTCCGGGCTGATATGGCACAAAAAAATCGGACGTTTCTTCCGCCGCTTGGCTCGACCGAGGAGAGCTCATATTTGGAACCGCTTGCCTTGCCTCCGGAGACACTGTTCTCGGTGTAAAGTGCTCCATATTGGGTGTTGATAGGCCACTTTCAGAGGTCAGTGCCGGCAGGGTACTATCCGGAGATGTGGCAGAAACAGTAGATCTACGGCCAGAAGTGCTGTTGGGAGTCTTTAGGCCACCAGACTCTACGGATCTGTTAGTGCCAGCAGACGAAGTTCGTGGTGATTTAGCGACTGCGGCTTGGGCTGCGGCTTGGGCTTGCTCAGCCTCAAGCCGGGCCTTCTCTCGGGCTTCCTTTTGTGACTGAGTGATCAAGTTGATCTTGATCTTCTTGATCCCTTGGGTGATCGTATCCATGTTGTTAATAGTAGCGTCCAGCCTTGACGCCGCAGATTGCGGAGCTCTCTCTGCAGTTGTCTCCCTTCCGGCCTCAAGCATGGGCGATCTGAGAGCCGCTTCCCCGTGCGCAGTAGTCGGCCGTGACCTGCTAACAGTGATTCTCCCAGAAGGTCTGAGGCTCTGGGAGTGGCTGTCTGCAACTGAAATAGGCCTCCCTGAGACGGGGCCTGCTGATGTTGCAGGGCGAAGCGGCATTTCCTCGCTGATTGGTGCAGAGCGAGAGACGCTGCGCTGCTGTGTAGGGACGACTGACGAGGTAGTAAGGCGTCGATTGCTCTTCTTTGGAACTAGACCAACAAGAGGCTGCGGTGTCTGACCACGAGCTGTTGCCTAGTTACACGAATTAGCTATTATTGATATTGAAGGAAGAGCTGGACGCTTACCTTTTCTGCAGCAATCGTCGAAACGGCCACATTCTTTCCCCGGTCTCTCATCTGCCGAGTCTCCTCTTGTTCTTGGATAGGGTCAATAGCTCTAGGCTTACGTTCACGAAGCGACATTCTCGATGTTGGCCGATCAAGGTCTGTTGCGCCAGATAATGCTCTCTCGCGTCGTACGCGAGTTGCCTCTGGGTTCAGATCTTCAAACGTAGCACTCTCAGTTTGGCGATCTCGCGGTATAAGAAGCTTTGAAAGCTCCTTGGCAGCAACCATCCAGGAAACATCAGGGGGTGATGGAGATGGAGATCGACTTGAGACGGTCGATCTGTTGATAAGAGACGACATGCTTCGCTGCATTTTGAGAGGGTTCACTGCCCTCGCCGTGGAAGCTTGGGTTGGAGAGCAATATGTTGGAGTAGGAGACAAACGCGGCTTCTTTGGTGTCGCATCAAGCTGCGCAACTATGGCTTCCAACTTTTCAAGTTCATCAGCCGTCCACCAAGAGGGATCGTACGGGTTAATCGAACCAAGCGGTTGAACAACACGCTCGCCATCCTCGTCGTACGCACCATCCGTAAAAGAGAGGCCCCCCTGTCGAGGTAGATTTTGCTTGCCAACAAGACCGCTCAGATGGCTGAAGATGCCCGCGGTCAGGGCTCTGTCGCTATAGCCACCCTCCAAGACACTGACGATGCGACCGTCAACAGCAAGGCCTTCCTCTGCGGCAAGTCGAACGATGTCTTGGGTTAGCCGTGCGTAGAACTCGGTAGGTACGTTGACTTTGTGACGCTGCATTCCGGCACTCTCCCATTCGCTGGCATCGAACCCTGCAGAGAGAAAGATGACAGCCCGAGGGCTGAGTCCTGCATCTTGTAGCCTCTCTGCCTGACCCTTGAGATAGCTGCGAGCCTTGTCCAGAAGTATCGTGTACTTTGTTTCATAGAGATGCCAGAATTCCTCAACCGTTTTCCACGGCTGGAGATGGGTGTTCCAAACGTTTTGTCCATGAGCATTCTCAATACAAATACTTGCGTTCTTGATCTTGTCGTCATCACCGTTCTCACAAGGGTAAGAGTTGATGTCGTGCAAGCTAAAATAGCCTATTGACGTCTTTTTCCAGGCGGAATGATTTTTGGTGGCAGCCATGGCTCGCGAGTTGTGCGCCCACGCAATGGATTGAGACCCATCTCCATGGTGTAAGTCAAAGTCGATGATGGCGGCGTGCGTCAAACCATGGTTGAGGATACCATGCATGATTCCGACATGGACATTGTTCACCCAGCAGAAGCCAGATGGGAGATTATCAGAGCAATGGTGGCCCGGAGGCCGGACGGCAACGAATGCTCGTCTTGGTCCAGCAGAGAAAACAGCATCGACACCCTCACACACAGCGCCCAAAGCACCCTCAATCGCATCTAGTGACTCGGGACAAAGATACAAATCACCTTCATGAAGCTTTTCTGGTGCGGCATGGTCTGGGCCTCGAGTTATAGTAGGCCTCTGTAGCTCCTTTCCTCCACGAGCCAGCACCTCCTCGGCGGACTCGCACATAGTCTTGAGCTCCTCCATCCATTTCGTTCCATGAACGTTTGTGACCGCGGGGGACAACAACGGCAGCCTCCGGTCAGTCTTGTGAATGCGAAAGGGGATACTAGGCAGCAGGTGCACATTTCCTTTGGGTAGGATAGGCAGCGCTCCATCGTTGTGGCGCTCTCCAAGACGCACATAAGCTGTGGACACGCCCAAGACACTGGCCTTGATTCGCTCGGGCCGCTCCACAATGGTGCTTAATGCACTCTTGGGGGTGCGCGGGCGGGAAAACCGGTGGCCGTAGACGGCGTCATTAAGAATCACCACCGTCTCGGTGTGGAGCGTCGATACAGGACCATGATGAGCCTCCAGCTCGTCTTTGAAATGGCCGCTCGCCACAGAGTTTGGCGTCAGAGGCGGACGCCATTCAGGCTCGAAGCTCGGCATGCCAAACGACGCTCTCAAGCCCGGTGAAACAACCTGCCCAAGGCTGGAGCGCCTGGACAGAGACCGCGAGGGGCCAACGCCATTTGCCGAGTGCAGGGAGTTCATCGAGGCTTTGCGGACGAGGGTGGGAGTTCCGGCTCGCGATTCTCTGCCCGAGGGACTGAGCGAGGGAGTGGGAGTGCCTCTGGACGAGGGAGAGGCATGGCGAGAAGATTCATTTAAAGGCAGCGGCGTCGACGGGGTCGAGGGCAATCCTGGGGATCGCGGGCCCGGCGTCAGTGACAGTGACAGCTGGCTCAGTGACTGTGCGTCGTCGCTCCTGGAGGCTGGCGCTGCTGCACGCCGTGGCGGCGCTGCATTGGGCGGAGACGCCATCGAATCGTGTGCGCCGGTCTGGTATAATCGGGTGGGTTGCAGCGAGGCGACATGCGCCAGGAACACTCCGAAAAAGCAGAAGAAGCACGAGAAGAAGCAGCCCTTGTGCTCGTGCTGCGTGGGTGGGTGGAGCAGCAGCGAGGGAGAAGGGAGAGTGAATTGCGAGTGCGAGAGGCCTGAGGTGTGAAGCCAGTGACGCGATAAGACGCGGGTTGATGCTGCGGCGATGCTGCGTTGCGCCGTGATCTGTACCTGCCGGTGGTGTTTTTGATTTATTGCGATTTATTTTCGTTTGTTTTTGTCTTGTTTTGCCGGCTGCGTCAGGGTTCAGGTCGAGCTGGCACGCGCCGGCGCCCGAGGCTCTGGGCGTTTAAATGACATGGCCGTTGTGTAATTTCAATTGTCGCCATCGTCATAGCCGCTTCGCTTCCCCTAATTCCAGTCGGGCCCAATCCCGTCCATTGTGTCTTACCAGACCAGTTGCTTCGCCCACCGCAATCACGTGCCTACCGTTCCCGATTATAGGGGCCATTTGATTGAGCCTGTTGCGCGTCCCCTCTGCAATTTTGATTGTCCAAGGTCGGGCACCACAGCTTCACGAGTGTGTATCCCCGAATTGTCTGGTGTTCTTTTTCTGACGCCTAGGGCGTGTTGGATTCGGAAACGGCAGGTCTGCTGTAGGTGCTGCTGCTGTGGAGCAATCGTGCGTCTCCTTACGCCTGCTTACAGTCTAGATGCATGCAGGCCAGCAGAGCAGACCACGGCAGATCAGAGCAGACCAAACAAGGCCCTGGGATTGTTTCTGGAGCAGTATATTATGCTGCAGATGTCATGACATCAATCAACCGAAACCCCTCCAACCACCACTGACGGCCACTAAACAGGATCCCGAAGCCCCAAGACACGACTCTGGAAGCATCCATCAATCGCACACACCAGGGACGGCTTGCAGCAGTGGACCTCCAGGCAGGAATACATTTTGTACGTGGCCGAACCACAGCAGAGGTATTTGAGGTTTACGGCAGGGCCACCTGTCAGCGATGCATATGAATATGATGAATATGTACGAGTACGGTCAGACTATGAGTACAAGGAGCTCGGCGGCAGCGGCAGCAGCAAGCAGTATTGGCATTGGCATTAGCAATGGCATTTCCCAATCCTACTGCTGCTGCTCTTGCTTGTAGTCAATACTAATGGATGGACGGTAGTAGTACTAGCATAACGTGCATAACCCAGGAACCAATGTCTCCGATTAACGGCTGCAAGCGATCATGATGCGGCTGGTGCCCTCCGCATCGCTCGACCAAGCCTACCGGACGTTCGGCTAGCAGAGCGAGGGTCGGGAAGCCCATATCCGACGAATTGCCAAATGACGATTGAGTTACGGAGTATCCCGGAGCCCTTATAATAGATGATACGAGGATTCGGAATGGTGCCAACTGCTACATGGAATATGGTATTACGAATCAAAAGCAAAATGTGCTCCATCCCAATTTGAAAGAATCCATCAATTCTTGAGTGAAAATTTCCGGCCATGTCATTACATGCCAGCACGCCGTTGCTAAAAATACGCAGCCCTTGATCGTATAAAAGGGGCGATTTTTTATTAGCGGTCCCGCTCTCATCCGGGGTAAAAAGTCGATCTCAAGATGTACTACTCCGTATAATCAGAAGATTGGAAGGCGGCACAATAGGCATGTACTGCCAGTAGATTTGTCTTTGATACAGATTGATAAAACGTTGAACCTTGCAGACGCAGCATGTTAGTCTTCAAAGGCAATGTAGGAGTAGGTTCATGTCGGCAATCTCAGCAAGTGAGTCAACACACACACACACACACACACACAGGCTAGATGCTGCATATGTAACTGCAATAGTATATGGAGGGATTTAATACGCATGCCGCATCTATACCCATACAGCGTAAATGACTCTCATTGCTTGCTGCAGCAGGTAGGCCCGAAGACCTGCTTATCGCGCTCTACATGAGCCCATGTTGTTGGTAATGGAGGGAAGCATATGTTGGATGTTGGCCACATACAACTGCCACTACTGCCCAACAAGGATATTGAAGCTCATTAAGGTTGACGGCACTAAGCAGCATAGTTGCAGTGCCGCTCAACCGCTATCTTGGGGGCCGGGCAGACATGAGGCCCACTCATATGCTAATCGATTGTATCAACTAGGTAGTAGGCCTAGTACTATTACTATCAGTATCAGGCATCGCTCTCCGAAACATCTCATGTCAGCTCAAGTCGACCAACATCAAGCCATAGTCCGGAGAAACCAGTTCTAACAACACACAATAAGGCACCAATTGATATCATCTCTTGCTGGCCATATCTGCTCTTCTCCTCTCGCCACCTGCAGCAAGTTTCAGCCGCTCCAGTAGCCAAGTCGATAGCGTCTTATGCATGTGCTCACAACACACTGATCCCAGACTTGGCGGCTTTCGTGGCACTAGCCATCGACGCCTGATTAGCCCAAGACGCCAAAGCGCCAAATGCAGATAGACCCGTCAAGGCACGGCAGCGTCGCCCGCAACTCAATCGATGCCACCTACGAGCATGGCTTCTGTTCCCGTAGACCCTGGTTGAGTCCGAAAGAAGGGACTCTGCTCCGACTTCTCCTCCAAAACTTTTCGTAAGAAGCGCCATCTCTCCATCCCATCTCGTTTGCCTGTATTCCATGATGCTACAACTAGTACTGCCTCATCGTGCCATCTTCCTTCTCCCACGCCAGCACTTGAATCCTTCTCAACACTCCGCCGCGCCGTGCCGCTACTAGCCCAGCCTTTTTCCTGCCTACTGGTTCAGCCGCACCGGGGGGGAGCCGCTTCATAATTGGTTCGTGGGCGTAAACAGCAGCAGAGACGAAGAATTTCGCCTCGCTTAGGCTGCATCTCTGCGCCTCTCCAAGCACCAAGCTGTCTAGACTCGTCCCCGTGATGCGATAGCTTGGCTTGCCAGCTTGGCTTGGCGCTAGAAGCTGTCGTTGAAAATGCGGTGGCTGCCCTGTATCGTAGGATCTCTGGGGAAGCAAACAAAATAGAAGCTCATCTCCTCGTTGGATTCCCATTTGTGTAGATCTCCAGCTTCTTCTCTTGTCGCGCTTTGTGCTGTTTACTGTCTACAGAGCGTCCTTTGTTTCAGCCATCCGATATGGTTCTCGCTCTGCTGCTACCGGTACTGGCGAGCGGCGTAGCTGCGCAACACTTGACTCTGCCATTGGTCGACTATGGAGCTGTTGTAGATGCGGTCAATCCCAACGATCCAGGCTACCAGATCTGTACAGATGTCGCCCAATTCGTCTCGGCTTGCGTTGTTAAAGCTGGAGGCGCTGCAGCGCTCTCCACGGCGAATCCCGTTTCTCTCGCTGAATGTGCTTGCTGCGTAGGGACAACTGATGTAGCTCCCGCGTACAGCAGTTGCGCCAATTATCTGGTGTCCGAGGCGCCTCAGCTGACTTCCCAAATCTCAGGTGTGTATCTGATATATATATATATATCATGCCCCTACAGCGTTACATATCCCAGCGCGTGTATTCAACTCTAATAAACCACCAGCCTATGGTTATTTCTACTCAGCCTGCGGAAGCTCGCCTCAGCTCTGTCTCGGCAACTCTGGCGGCAACTCTGGCGGAGGCGGATCAGTTACAGAGCAATCAGAACCATCAGCCACCCCAAAATCTTCGCAGCCTCAGTCTCCTCCACCAGCTGCCTCGACGTCGATCCCTTCACCGGCCTCTTCGCCGAGCAAGATCCCACAACAAACATCTGCGACAGGAGGCGGTTCAACCTCTCCGGCGACAACGGGCTCTGCAGCTTCCGCCGTGACAACTCTCGCTCCAGCATGTACCTCAATGGTGGATATTTTTGAACAATGTACGAAAAATACGCCTGGCTTTACGAATTTGGTTTTCAGCGAGCAGGCTTACTGCTATTGGTATGAGAAGGCCTCATCCCGTATATGCGGAAAGCGAAGCTGACAAGATATTCTAGCTGTCGGACAGAATTGGGTGGCGAGGTTACATGGACCGATGAAATCGATACGTATGCTTCGACTTGTCGAGACTGGGCCGTCTCTATAACCACTGGCGACCCTCTGACAGCTTATGATGGTTCGTATTCTCTTTATACTTTATATGACCTGAAACAAATATTACGCAGTGTGCTAACAACAACAATATAGTGGCCAAAACCTTTGCCACATTTTGCCAACATTTCAGCGACGCATGTGCTGTCATAACGAACGGGCCCTCGTCAAACACAAACAATAATCCTTTCCCTCCACCAGACTCAACGGGAGGTTCAGGCGGTGGAGGAAATGGAGGCCAAGTTACCGTTACTGTAACTCGGCCTCCTCCTACTACGACGTCGCATAATGCTGCTCCAACTGCTCGTGCGGGCCTCGCCGCTGGTGCACTTGCAATAGCTGGCTTTGCCATCATGATTTAAGAGGAGATAATTAGGCATATGCTATGTTGGATGAAGATAATGAAACAGGTCATCTTTTTATGAGAAATCAGGGATTAAGACAGTTGGAATTGTCACTGGGCGAGATACCTATTGCCGGAGAGGCTGCTAATTAGATATGTATGTAGCTAATTTGGCTGTCTGTACTACACACACAGCACATTGAAGTAATATGAGTAACACGATTAATGAGTCTTCTATTTATCTATACCGTCAAGTCAACATTGACTCTCTTCAGGGCATCCACAGCCCAGTCAGGATACTGTGACTTGTCCTCATAAAGCTGCGCAAAAAACTGCCGGATCAATGCAGGGAATCGATCCTCAATAATCGCCTGTCGAATGTCTCGCATGAGCTGCAGCTGATACCACACGTTGTGAATCGTCAATAGATGCGCGGCCACCGTCTCTTTGGAGGCATTATGGTGGATAAACGCTCTCGTGATGCCCATGCCGTCCTCGCCCTCTCTGCAACACATGCATCCGCAGCCAGGCTCAATAGGCCCAAAATCAGAGGCATACTTTGCGTTTCGAATATTCAAGACGCCGTGCTTGGTGACGGCGTTTCCGAATCTCGCTGTTCTTGTTGGCCAGACGCAGTCAAACATGTCGGCTCCGAGAGCAACACTGACGATTAAATCTTCAGGGTAGCCAATACCCATCACATACCGGGGCTTAAGATCAGGTAATAGGGCCGTGCAAGTCTCAACAACGCGGCAGTAATCTGCCTTTGCTTCTCCTCCGCTGAGGCCGCCAATAGCAATGCCAGGTGTGTCTCTGGCGACCATTTCCTTGCAGCACTCCCGTCGCATCTCTAGATCCAAGCCTCCTTGAATAATGCAAAACAGGTTCTGTCTATCGGGGTTTTTATGAGCGGCAATGCATCTATCCAGCCATCTAACGCTACGCTCCATAGCCTCTCGCATTCGGGCCTTGTCTGGAGAGGTAGTCACCAAGACATCGTCGAGCTGCATCATAATATCACTGCCTATTGAGTTTTGCAGGGACATGGAGTGCTCTGGGGTGAGTAGCATGGGCGAGCCGTCATGGGGGCTCAAGAAACGAACGCCCTCTTCTGTGATCGTGGCCAACTTCAACAGGCTTACCATTTGGAAGCTATAAAGACAGGTAAGTAGAGACCCGGTTTAATTGAAGAGGTTGAAACATACCCTCCGCTATCAGTCAGGAGATTGTGGTTCCATCCTTGCAACTTATGAGCGCCACCAACAGCATCAAGAATTTCTTGTCCGGGCTTGAGACCCAGATGATAGGTGTTATTTAGGCAGAGACGACACCCGGTATCCTCCAGCTGCTCCGGAGTGAGGCCCTTAAGAGACGCCTGTGTGGCAACAGGCATGAATATCGGCAACTGAACAGGTCCGTGAGGGAGTGTGAGAATAGAGGCACGAGCTCTGGTTGTCTGATTCTGGTTGTCAGTCACATTGGCGGAGGTACTTGAAGATGAATATGAAACTGACCGAGCATTTTGCAAGGAGTTCAAAACTCAAAGCCGGGGACGTATAAACATTGGACGCCATTCTTTTGGTCATCAGCATTATTTTTCAGAATTATTTCCTCCAAAGTCCCAGCCCAGCCCCAACAGAGAACCCTTCTTTCGTCTCTTGGGAAGTTTTTTCTTGTTTCTCGCCTTTCGTTTCTTACATTTCACACGAGCCAAGGTACATACCCTGGAATGCGCAGTGAAATTTTGGCGGGGCTTTCGCACACGCGCCACATTTGGCCAGCCACAACGAGGGGACTTTGGCCGGCTCAACATCGGCAGACGGGAAGCTCGTCTCTGCCAACGAGAATTTGCATCCAAACGACCATCGTATGAGTGGCATTCGATCGCAGGCCATTGAGCTTCCCGACGAGCTCCAACAGCCATCATGGGGGGTCGAGCCGTATCGCCCGGAGGGGCCCTTTTGAGGACATCACGGATGTTCTCCATTCCCAAGCCCCTCCCCGAACCACCCTCAACGAACCTCCATATTGGAGATCACAAGTCTGCGACAATGACGAGACCGTACCCGCAGCATCAATCCATCACATCGCCCTTGGCATCACGCGAAAAGGGTGACTGGGGGCTTAAACGACCATTCCCCCTCAAGTCTACCATGGCCACTTCAACACCCTTCATCCGAGTCAAGCAGCTCGACACTGTTGAGAACGTCACCAACTTTGCTTCCGCTGCCGACCACTCTCTGTCATTAGAGAAGTTCCAGGAACTGCGAGTGGCCATGTCCGTGCCGCACAATACTGACAAGAAGGCCGATTCATCTTCACGGACCGAACTGTGGCACAAGTCAGTCTTCGAGGAGGATATGGATGTTACAGATTTCAAGGCTGGGCTAGGAGACGATCGACGATGGAAGTTCCAGGGCCCGTGGCTCGCTAGAATGACGGAGGGAAAGTTCATCGAGTACCTGGACAAGAAGGTCCGCCCGAAGCGGGCACAGTTCCGAGCATTACTCAAGGAGAAGCTGGCCGACGACATTACTACGAGCCAAAACAGGGCCGCCATCGAAGCCGGAAAAGAAACCCCTGCCAAGGTTGAGGCCAAGGATATCTCTGAAGAGCAATTCACAGACTACTTGCGCTCATTGCGCAATGACCGAGTGACATTGTATGCGCTCGTCTCTAAATTCCTAGACTTGGCACCCCTGGGACAACCGGTTGGCATCATCCAAACTTTCTGGTCTAACCGCGATAGCCTTGCTTCCGAGAGCCCGTACGGCAAATCTGGTCCCCCTCCAAGCCACCCCTCCGCCGGTATCAGCTATCTGCGAACCAGCTCATTCATGGAAAACCACCCTGTTTATGGCCCCCAGGGCAAGCGTACACCTGCATTGGCTCGAGTGGTCTACCCCAAGGCTGGACCTGTGCCGCCCAAGCTCGGTGTTGGAGGCTTCGTCGCTGATGCTCCTCCTGGCGACAACGAATTCAACTTTAGAACAGTGACGCGCGGAAGGGTGTCGTCTAACAAGACTATGCTGAACGGCATCATGCATCTTGACACGACTACATTCGGTGGTGCCAAGGCCTATGTCGAAGCCACGACTGCTAATGTCGATCCTAGCGGCAAGGTCGTCCTGCAGCTGCGGGAGACGAGTGCTGAGGCCCAGGTTGTCGCCAGGGAGAGCAAGGGTCTTACGGAAATTTATCACGATGGTAAAACTAAGAGTTACACTCCCGCTACACCGAAAACTACCAGTCAACAATCTGCGCGTGTTTCTGACGAGACCCGATGGAACCGTGTCGCTGATGAGATTTTGGATGAGCCATCGCGGTCATGAGAATGAGAGTTGGGTTGGGGATCAGGTTTAGCAATTACGAGCTCGCTATAGAAAAAGACGGGCTGCGTTGAAGATTGCTCGACACTGAGTGTTATGAAGTATTGTCGAATTCTGCCTATGTACAATTCATGTAAAGTAAAATAAAGTCGCAGCAATAAGAAATGAAGCAGTATATATCCTGACTTACAGTATTTGATGGGCTCCAACGCCTGAGCATCTGAATGGCCTGATTAGGCAATTGTTCTAGCTAAAACAGGTTAGATACAGAAATTAGATAACCGTCGTTCTGCAAAAATGCCTGTCACATGATCACACACGTGCCGATATTTCGAGCCCTAATCAATTCTCTCCCCCCCACAACAAGCAGAGCTAACCACCAGTTTTTAGAAGGCGGGAATCTCGCAACGCTTCGTTCAGTAACCATCAGCACCAAGCCAATACCGCCAAAATGGGTCGCGTTCGTACCAAGACTGTCAAGAAGTCCGCCAAGGTCATCATTGAGCGGTACTACCCCCGTCTCACTCTCGACTTCGAGACCAACAAGCGCATCTGCGATGAGATCGCCATCATTGCTTCCAAGCGCCTCCGCAACAAGGTCAGCAGCCGCCGATAATCGACCATTCTACTCGATTTTTTGAGAAACACAAAAGAAAGGAATGGAAAGGAGAGACCACAATGGCTAACACCGAAACCAACAGATTGCCGGCTACACCACCCACCTGATGAAGCGTATTCAGCGTGGACCCGTCCGTGGTATCTCCTTCAAGCTTCAGGAGGAGGAGCGTGAGCGCAAGGATCAGTTCGTTCCTGAGGTCTCTGCTCTTGACTTCTCCGAGGCTGGCCAGCTGGATGTCGACAACGAGACCAAGGACCTGCTCAAGCACCTTGGCGTATGTTTTGACCCTCAACTTCGAAACACCTGCAGACGCGAAACGAAGACTAACATATTCTTTCTAATAGTTCGACTCCATCCCCGTCAACGTCATCCCCGTCTCTCAGGCTCAGGCCCCCGAGCGTGGCCAGCGCCGCTTCGGTGACCGCCCTCGTCGCGACTAAAAAGCTTCTTTTTTTGTGGGAAATTGGGTCTCTGGTTTTGCAACATTTTGCAGGTTGGCGTCTCAGGATGGTACTGAGTGTATAGATCTCGAAAAAAAGAAAGATCTTTCACCCCCACAAGGTGTCGCTGATTCTCTGATTAATTTCGAGATGACGCTTGATTGCCAAAAATCCGTCCCTCTCTGTTCACTCTGTGAATTCGGTGACTGGATACCATATCGTTCATTGAACTGGGAGTCTTCTGCTGTTGTCCTGTTCCACCTAGCTGGTGTTTCTGGAATATGCGGAAAAAGTGCGACCAAGTCATGCTACTGATGGGTATCATTATGTCTAAACCAACGTAATTTTTGATTTTCCAATACATGCCCATGACCGAAATTATAGCCCAACGCCTAGATTATGCAACTTTTCAAAATTTCACTCGGCCACCTCATACGTCTGATTCCTTTTTCTTATCGGGAATTTTCGCCTTGTAACCATCAACAAGTAGATGATCCTCCGAGTTGCCAGCTTCGGTCGGTTGGGCAAACTCAGGCGGCGTTTTGACGTCCTTCTCTTTCAACGTAACCTTGACCTTGTTAACTGAGGGGCCAATCTTGTTATCGCCTCTTTCCATTGCGAGAGCAGCTGAGTCTCGGGCAGCCTGTCGTTGATCTTCAAGCTTGAGCTCCCCGAGCTTGCGAGCAGTTCGATCTGCTTCCGTCTCGGTTGATCGATCTTCATCCAACAAATCGATCTGAATATCAGGGATGCCAGCTCGTTCCCAGGCAGCCGTCTCGTTAAGCTGGACCTTGACAAAGAGGGCTCTGCGCGCACACTGCTGAGAGCACCACTTCTCAAGCTCCTTTCGCTTGACGATCTCGCCGCTGCTCGTAATTTTCCACTCGCCGCCCGATCCTGTCTGGCGTCTAGGCTTCGCACACAGGGTATATCCACATAGCTCGTTCACGTTGCGCTCCTCAATGAGATCATCGTAGTCGGAGGGCTGAAAGAGTCGGACGTTGGCTTTGAAGTCTGCGATGTCGGTTGTCGCTGGGTTTGACGCGTTGAACTGAGCATCTCTGACAAGGGGATACTCGGACAAGAGGATTAAGCTGTCGAGAATCTGGCTTTCGAGCTGCTTTCTATGCTCTAGCAGCGTGGCGTGGCGGATAGCAACTTCGCGCGCAGTTTCGGGCTTCTCTGAAGGCTCACCAGGGGTTTTCAGAATGCCCTTGAGCGGGCCGCCTTGACCGGTAGCCATGGTGTGCCGAATACTTGCTTCTGTGGTATGTATATGAATAAACTTTAGAATTCGCGATTGTTATTTGCAGCAGCTATCCGGGCTAGTTGTCCGAGATCTCGTGCATCATTCGTGCGTCTGGCAGCTGGTTGGTCGTTGTACAGTGGAAAATGCAGATTATTACTAACCCGATGTGATGTGAGATATGATGCTGCCACCCCACTAAAACAGCCGCTGTGCCTTGCTTCTATGGAGCGCTGCGGTGTCTGTTACAGGCATCCAAGCAAGCAGGTACCAGTACCTACATATTACAGGAGAGCTGGAGGGGTTTCTGCTGTGGCGCCTGGCCGGGCGAAACATCCAACCGGTGGCGCAATATGGAGAATACAGAGATGCGCTTAATGATGACCTTGCTGGCAGGCCTGTCAGTGTATAATTAAAGTCGCGCAAGGGTACAGTATTCTACGTACTACAGCGGGATTAGCCTTCTGCGAGCACTCCGTGCAGGCATGCATCTTCTGCATGTGCCACAGCCGCGCGTGGTTTCTTGCCCGAGGGTTGCGGCACCAGAGGCTGTGTAGATGGCGCCCGACCCGGAGGTCCGAAGAGCTGCTGGAAAGGCCGGTTTGGAATCTGCAGGTTGTTCTGGTCGTCGGGTGCTGGCCATGGCGGATGCTGGTAGGGATTCAAAACATTGAAACGAAGCTCCCCTTGCCTTGCATTGAATGTATAAATATAGATCCCAGATGCCTAGCATGTTTCGTCTTTGCAAGGTAGCGATGGAAGCTTAAGTTAGCGACCTCCCCCCAAATCCCCTAATTCGCGAGCTCTCAGTTCCCCTCCTGGGCTCTAGGCAGTAGTGATTGCAAAGAGTACTGCACTGTAACCGTGACGCGTGCGCACATCCTCGGTACCTGAGGCGACAACCAAGACCTGCCAGAGAAGGCTATTTGCGCTTCCACGCCCGCCGGCTCTCCCATTGTTTCTGGCCCCTCCGCCACCATCGCACCGTCGTGCTATCCGGCCAATCCACTGCTAGACAGACGGACGCCGCCAGGTACTGCTACCTGCGACTACCTGCGACTGCCTGCGCTCTATCAGTAGTAGTTGCCCAGCGGCCGGAGCTCATTGGGGGCGCCTTGTCATCTTCGTCATTGCCTGGTTATGCTGCGCTGACGTCGACACACTCACAGCCCGTGATCCACCGCGTTTCACAGCCCTCTGGTGCATTTCACCCTCTGCAAACCTCAAATCTCAAACGCCCAGCATATCCTGCCACTGGCTGCGAGACAGACACTCTCGAAGCTCACCACGGTGCTGCAAACGGGCTGAAACACCCGCTTGGGCACAGCAATTACGCGACGTCCATCCCCCTCACCCATTCCTCCCCACGTTTTAGCCACTCACCGGCTGACCAAGGGACAGACGGCTCTCTAGACTGCCCCACACATACGACGACAACCTCCTCCTACCAAGAGTACAAAGCTTCTGGTCCTGGCCAGGCCACGGCAGCCTGCCTCCTACAAGATTGCTTCCGCTGCAGACACCGCCGTAATGGCCGCCCTGTTCCGCGTCAAAGCGCTCTACGAATACTCGTCGCCGCACGAGGACGACCTCAACTTCCCCGCCGGGCAGATCATTGCTGTGACGGACGATGAAGATGCCGACTGGTACGGCGGCGAGTACGTCGACGAGTCCGGCGCCAAGAAAGAGGGCATCTTCCCTCGCAACTTTGTCGAGAAATTTGAGCCCGTCGCGCCCCCGCGGCCCGTGAGGAAGCAAAAGCAAGAGCCAGAGGCCGCCGCCCCTGCTCCCCCTCCCCCGGAGGCTTCTGCCCCCGAGGACACAACTGGACGATCGACACCTCCGCCAGCGATCCCGGGAGGCGTGGCCTCAGTGCCCTCCCCGAAAAGAGTCGCAGAGCCCGTCAAGTACACGCAGCCCGCGGAGGCTCCTGCTCCTCCTGTCCCTGCGCCCGTTCCTGTCGCGGCTCCTGCTCCCCCGCCAATGGCCTCTCCTCCCGCGCCAGCTCCGGCACCGCTGCCGACCTCGCCAAAGCGTACTGAATCTCCCGCCTCGGTAGCTTCGAGTGCTCCGAAGCCTAAGCCTGCGCCTCCGCCGGTATCCGAGAAGCCCAGTTCCTTTAAAGACCGCATTGCAGCGTTTAACAAATCGGCCGCACCCCCAATTGCGCCCTTTAAACCCAGCGGCCTCGGCAGCGGCAGCGCATCGGGATTTGTAAAGAAGCCTTTCGTGGCACCCCCTCCTAGTCGAAATGCATATGTTCCGCCTGTCCGCGAAGCTCCCGCGGCCAAGGTCTACCGCAGAGAAGAAGATCCTGAGATCAGAGAGCGGGTGGCCGAGACCCAGGGACAAGCCGAGAGGGCGGGGTTGGTCCCTTCTGAATCCCAGAAAGAAGGCGATGAAGAGGATCAACCGAAGCCTACTAGCTTGAAAGAGCGCATTGCACTTCTCCAGAAACAACAGATGGAGCAAGCGCAGCGCCATGCTGACGCGTTGGCAAAGAAAGAGAAGCCAAAGAAGCCGCCGCCACCAAAGAAGCGCCTTGATTCCCAGGTTTCTGTCCCTGAAACTGAGGAAGCGCCCCCGGCGCCCGAGCAAAGAGACATTGATGAGCCTCCTGTTAGGACCTCAATGGATGGTGCGCCTTCTGAGAATGCTCCTTTAGCGCTGCGACCCCAGCCTGAATTAACTGCGACTGAGAGACCTGTCTCCAGGGACACTGCTAATGAAGTCAAAGATGACACTGCAGAAGCAGATGTTGACGATCGTGCTTCACATCGTCTGTCCAAGATTACAACCTCATCAACTACTGCTGGCGCCGCTCCCACCCATGAATTAGAACAGCCAGCAACAGAGCCCCAAGAGATGGTAGAAGAAGAGGCTGAGCAGGGGGAGCAGGAGGAGCAAGAGGAAGAGGAAGAAGAAGTTGATCCTGAAGTCAGGCGCAAAGAGGAACTCCGAGCACGAATGGCCAAGATGAGCGGTGGCATGGGCTTCCACGGCATGTTTGGCCCGCCGTTAGGAGGTGGCCTGCCGCCCAAAAAACAGGGACCTAAGCCACCTGTCCGGTCTGCCACTACTCGTGAAGAGGATGTCACTCCACCGCCGCACGCTCCTCCTGTTCCGACCATGATAGCAATTCCAGGCATGATGGGTCTTCCAGTTAAGCCCGCCGAAGAGCCAGCTCCGGCCGAAGAACCAGAGGCTGAACAAGTACAGAAATCTGACGAAGAGGAGGGAGACACCACTCCCCCCGCTCCCGAGCATGCCGAAGAAAGTGAGTGTATCAGCATTGAAGGCTTCATATCAAAGTATTTAATCCGCTAATGCTCTTCTACAGCGCCTTTGGAGCATAGGCCGGCGCCGCCTGTTCCTCACGAAGAGTTCTCGGCGCCGCCTGTTCCTCTAGCCGGTATGTATATATGTAGTCATTTTTCCAAGTAATGTATATGAACTGACACCGCGAAGCACGACCGGCACCCCCTCCCGTTCCTGCAGCAGGTAAATACAAGCATGAAACTTGACAGCCCCGATTAGTTGTTTACAGGCTGACCCATACAACGAATACAGCGCGCTCACCTCCACCCCCGCCCTCAGTCCCCCCACCTGTTACGTCTGCTACAGAGGGATCAGAATCTGATGACGAGCTGTCAAGCGGCGCACGTGAGAATCATGAGCCAGCTCCCCAAGTAATGAGATCCCCCCCTCTGCCCCCTCACCCGATAGACACAATGTCGCCTCAATCGCCTCGTCTGCCTTCACGCGATGCATTCTCGCCGACGTCACCGACTAGCAAACGTGCTAGCAGACCGCCGCCTCCTGTTCCTGGAACTGCCCCTGTACCACCTCCGGCGCAATCTCGTCCACCTCCTCCGCCGCCTCCAGCTGTCCCAAGTCGACGATCCACTGTAGACATGGGAGTCGCCTCGCCTACCAGGCCTCCGCAGGCTGGAGAAGATGTTGAAGAGGGTACGGAGTATGAGGGAGACTATGATACCGATATTGCATCGCTTGTGCCCCATAAAGATGCCCTGGCAGCTCATGATCGGGAATCTAGTGTGGACGAGAGTAGCCTTCAGTCGCCATTCAACGAGGCGCCACCAAATGCTCCTCCGCCTCCTCCTGTTCCATTCGCTTCTACCCCGAGAGCGGCACCGCCACCTGTACCCCAATCCCCACCGCTTCCGCGAAGGTCGACAGAAATGTCTCGCTCTATTCCGTCATTGCCGCCGCCGGTCCCCCCGCCTAAGGAAAATCACGATGCTCTGTTTATACAGAATCCTCGTAGATCAGAAGAGGTTGCGGAATCGCCAGTTTTAGATGAGCCAACGCCTCTTGCCTTTGATGACGCTAGAGCTATTTCGCCGCCTGATCGAAGAGTCCCCCCTCCGGTTGGTGCGCGCCCGAGGGCATCGGTAGAGATGTCCAGACCCAGCCTCAGCGCTCCCAGAAGGTCAATTGACCACCACCGCCCTTCTATGGATTCTGGCTTCATTGCGGGAGACATCGACTTGGCTGTGCAGAGTGGCTGGTGGAAACAATCGAATCAAGTTCCCCCTGTCCTCCAAGGTAGGAAGGACATCTACTTCGAGTGTGACGAGTCAACTACAACAAACCAAGGCGAACAGACGATGATTACACGAGAAACCTTTATCTTATTCCAAGATTACTCGCAGACTATACTCACAGTTCGCTATGACCCTTATGATCCTTCAACTGTAGAATTGGAGCAGCGACATGAAGGGCCACCAAAGACTATGCGACAGGATCAGATGGAGGAGGCATACGATACCTTTGGACGAAAGATTTCCGCAGCTGCTATCGCCAAGAAGGACCAAGTTGTCGGCGATGGTAGTGCGGCGAGCTTCGTCTTGGAAATGATCCGCCCCTTGGAGGACGCCTTGTGGCCTATTAGCACTAGATCATATGGTGCCCTCGTCTATTCCAACATGGCCAATGCTTCTACTCAGCAGCATGACGCTATTCGCCCTGGAGACATTATTACAATTCGAAATGCCAAATTCCAGGGCAAACATGGGCCCATGCATGCCAAGTATTCCGCCGAAGTTGGCAAGCCAGACCATGTCGGCGTTGTGGCAGAATGGGATGGCACTAAGAAGAAGGTACGGGCTTGGGAGCAAGGTAGAGATGGCAAGAAGGTGAGGCAGGAAAGCTACAAGCTTGATGATTTGAGGAGCGGCGAGGTCAAAATCTGGCGTGTAGTGTCTCGAAGCTGGGTTGGCTGGCAGAAGAAGGCGCTCGCCTAGTGGTACTAGAGCGTCCCCTAATATGTCAACTACGTTGGTTTTTTCTTCCGGAGCTTTAAATGAAAGGGAAAAGAATAAATAAATTAAAGAGAGAAAAAGATGGGAGGAAGGCATCGGTGAAACCGGATTTTAATCTCATATCACGCCCGGTTCATTTTGGACTGCGTGTTGTGTTGTATGAAGAGCGCAAATGCATGTTGGCCTTTTTTTTCCTTCTCCTTTCTTTCTTTCTTTCTTTCTTTTCATAACATAATGCCAAATGTGTGTTGCATATGCTCTTTTTTTTTGTACCTTTATGCATCTGTTCATATAATTTCCCGCTTTTAGATGTTTGGATTTTGGATTGCTGCTTGTGTGAGGTGTGAAATACCGTGTGCTTGGTGCATGAGAGGCGGCGCATCTTCTACATGGACTGGTGGATGTTTAATCACTAATACGTAGATGAGAGGTGATTTTACCTACATGTATGTAGGTACCTAGATATAGTGTATTTGGATGTGGTTTGAGCGCGGATCGTCAGCTTTTTGGGAGTTGGCACGGGATTGTTGGACATTCATTAGATCCATGCAAAACTATCGTCTCTATAAAAGTAATCTGATGTAGCTTGCCTGAGACGGCGCAAATTTACTGTTGCTTTTGGCGAATATGGTTGTGTTGTGCGATGTAAACAAAATGTGTCACATTGCAGAGTGCTACGAGGCAACAAGCACGCTTTAGCGAGATAAGGCTATTTCCAACGTAAGAATCAGGAGTTTTTTTTTTTTTTGTTGGTCTTTTCTTTTCTTTTTTTCTAGCAAGGGCGAAGGTTAGTGTGATTGTTGTCTTGGAAGGAAAACGCACGAGGCTTGTCACTGTCTCGGACTTTAAGAGCTGGAAAGCCGACTTTTTCTTCTTCTTCTTTCGAGGTGACGCTCCTTTACGGCTATTGATGGGTTTCGGGTTGCTTAATGAGGTACTACGTGTGTTGTTGGGAATCAATGTTCCAATGTAGCACATAGTATTAACCCGGTGGTCCGTTTTATGTCTTAGGAGTGTTTATCAATGGTAGTGGGGGTCCAGCTATGCGGTGTAGGTGTGTAACAGTTACTGCTGTGGATTGTTTGATGTGAGACAATTTTGACAGTAATATTTGATTCCTTGCTATTGGGTTTTTTTATTACACAGTTGTATTAGTGTTTTATGACGAGTGAGTGTGTCATGGTCATTGGATGCGAGTATTTTCGGTAAGAATACATATGCAATTAGGCACTGGGCTTTACGTGGACTTACACGGCTTGTACAGCTCCAGGCAGATGCTATGTATGCGGATGAAAACACGCAGTCCCTTGCAGTGGACACGTTCCTTAATCCCCACCTCTCCTTTGCCGCATGAGGAAAGCTAACGGACTGAGTAACCGATGGGATTGGCCCGGCTTATGGGGGGGGGGGGGGGGGGGAAAGACACATAGCTTTGTGTAGGGGGGGTTGCATCTGCCGTCCTCCCTTGCTAGTTACATGTAGCCATCCACGGCACAAGGCAGCTTTACTCAGTCGTCACAGCGGGATTGACTAAGCCTAGAGTAAAAAAGAAATCCCTGAATATGGCTGCTGGTTCAATGCAGGAGGAGTATGTGATTGAGGGTTGGCTAACTGCAGAGGCTGGTCCGTGTGACCTGGGAGAGAAACAGGATCTACTTGGTGATCTGTCTTGAGAGGTTTCATGACTTTTTCTTCGGTCCCCGTCCCCTTTCTCTTCTCTTTTCTTATTTATATGTTTTTTTTTTTCAATAGGACCTTCATTCTTCTGGTTGGTTCGAAATTTTCGCTCATCTTTTTATTTTTTACAAATTTCCTTGCCAATATCTCAAAAAATGGGTGCTAATTCAACCAAGCCCAGCAAGGCTGCAGCAGATCTCGTCTTGAATCAGCAGAAGAATCTTCCCATAGCGCTCAAATCTGAAGACTGCAAGGGCAAGACTTACATCGTGACCGGTGCCAATGCAGGCCTTGGCTATGAAGCCGCCAAGCACCTCGTCCGCCTTGAGGCTGCCAAAGTGATTATCGGCGTGCGCAACGCGGAAGCCGGCAAGGCTGCAAAGTCGACAATCGAGACGGAGCTCAACCGCAAAGACGTAATTGAAGTGTGGGACTTTGACCTGGACTCGTACGACTCTGTCAAGGCTTTTGCCAAGAAAGTTGAAGGCCTGGAACGGGTTGATGCGCTTGTTTTGAACGCCGGCGCTTTGATCCGGGCGTGGGATGTGAAGGAGGGCAACGAGTCCAACGTCACCGTCAACTTCATGTCCAACTTTCTGCTGGCCGTGTCAGTGCTCCCGCACCTCCAGGCCATTGCGAAGAAGTACGACACCAAGCCGCACGTGGTGGTTGTCGGTTCCGTGGGCGGCCTTTTCGTCGGCGAGCAGGCAAAGCGGTTTTCCAAGACTGGCCTCTTGGATGACTTGAACGACGAGGAGAAGTGGAAGCGCGACATGCCTGAGCGCTACGGCATGTCAAAGTTCTTGGAGCACATGGCCACGCGAGAGCTGGCGGCTCTTGTTCCGGTTTCTGAGAGCGGCGTCGTGATGAATGTCGTTGATCCTGGCTTGTGCAAAACTGCTCTGACGAGAAACATACCCTTTTTTGAACGCCTGAAGTCGTCGATTGCCAAGGTAGTAATGGGACGGACGCCGGAGATGGGTAGTCGGACGCTGATTCACGGAATTGCGGCTACAGAGGAGAGTCATGGGAAGTATTTGACTGCCTGCGAGATTCGAGAGTAAGTCGTCCTTTTTTCTTTCTTTCATTCTTTCTTTCATTCATTCATTCTTTCTTTCATTCTTTCTTTCTAACACACATCTTGTATGCTACCAATGTGTTTATATCTTTGGCTAACGCTATGGGCTGCCTTTTAGGGACCATCTTCCAGAATGGATGACGGACGAGTCGGGCAAGAAGCTACAAAAACAGATTTGGACTGAGCTGGCTGAGAGATTGGAGAAGATTCAACCTGGCGTGGTGACTGCTGTTATCCAAAACTAGAGTTGTTTCAATTCTACTGATTGGATGTTTCTGATACGGGGTCCCCTATTGTATGAGAGTGTTGAGTGTTTGGCACAAAACGTTACTTGTATAGAGATGTTTTGTTATATGAAGTGCGACGAGATTGATGCCGTATTAATGCGCACCAACTAATGGCTACTGTACCGATGAGTACTATATAATAATAATAGCTTGAGTTTCTTACTAGACATCAACAATGCTAGATACCTTGGTCTTGTGAAATTTGTCTGATGATCGCTAGATCGATGTACTATGTAAGATGCGTAATGGTCTTATTAAGCTAGAGTTTTCAAGGTTGTATTTGTGCATCCGTGCATATGCGTATTAGGTGTATAGTAAGTGCATATGCCGCATGTATTGTAGCTGTACGTATATCGTTTGACTATTACATTTAGGATGTGGAATATAAACCATGCATCAAGGCTTTGTCCAAGACTGCGCCGTGCACACGCAATCTGAGTGTTGCTGCGGCCTACCATTGCATGTATATGTGGCTTGGTATCGGAGGAGGTGGTTGTCCGAGCTTAATATAATTCAGGTAGCTCTGCGATATGCAAGAAGCTAAGGAATTGCCTTGTTGACAAGTCTTGATTTACGATACTCCGGAAGAGTGATCGCATAGCGTATAGCAACCCATACCTCCTAATAGAAGTCATGTTAGCCGCTTGATAGCTCAGGCTCGTATTGCTTGCTTCTCCGCTATAGAGAGCAGCAAAACCGCTGGTGGATCAGTAATCTATTTACTGGGCTTACAACTGGGCCAGTTTCGTAGTCACGTCAACTCTCTGGAAGAACTGGAAGACACTTATTTACGCAACCGAGTCATTAAGCATTCAACTAAGCGTTTATTGTCTACTAAAGGAGTGGAACTTAGCACTGAGAGATATTTATAGAACATTGAAGCCACTTTAGTCTACATGCTATTAAGATACATGTATTGAACTTGCAAACTCTGGCGTCTTTATGTGGTGACTTAAAATTGACTTGCATAGGCAAGAGAAGAGTAGGTTCATAGAAAAACCCATCCACTTCTAAGCACAGTTGATATCGTGAATTCTACGCACTTCGTGCTGGATACGCACTGTATCTACTCCGGATGCCGTACTCGAGAAAAGGCCATCTCGAATAGAACCTTAAAAAGTTTCACAAGTACTCTACTCAGATGTGCGTCATCTATAAGCATACGTACATCACCACACCACGCCTCCACAATTGCTCCGCATCATATCGTGATCTCACTCAACAACTCGGAAAAGTCACAAAAACTGTGTGGAATCGCAGTACGGGTTTGCTTTGGCAGCTCTGGGTGGGACCCTGGCCACGCAACCCTTCCGCAGTCGCCTCGGCGCGGCTGAGGCTGTGCAAGCTTGGCTGCGCGATTCTAATAGCGCTGCTGCAGCTGTGCCTGTGGTGATGTGTGGCTGAGCATAGGGGTGGGAGGGCCCTGTCTTTTCTCTAAAGCATCACGACAGAGAATGGGGTGCTGCTTTTGATTCGCTGGTTGGAAGTGACATCAAGAGTTGCTTTGTGTGCGTATATCACAGGGTTGCAGATGAGAAGGTGGGCTGGCCAGCAGACTTGAATTGGCTTTGGCGTGTTTTTGTTTTTGCTATCTGGACAATTGACTTTTTAATTGTTGAGGCCATCGTCATCATGTTAGGTACGGAGTACCTACAGCATTCAATTCATACTAAGGCACCCCCTAGTTAGGTACGTGTACTGTCTGAAGCTGCCACATCAGCACTGTATGATCTGATGCCGCGGCTGCCCAACCGGGCAACGATGGTGCGAAATAGACTCCGCCAGACGCTAAAAATACAGTACCGGGGGACGGCTATGCAGACACCCGCCCCAAGCTGCTTCTGTCAACCAGCAGCTGCTGCTGGTAGCGGCAAGCGCCCGCCCCCACTGACGAGCTGAGGCTGCATTTCGGAATTGGCAACAGGCTGCCTCAAGCGAAAAACAAAAACGCCCATCCCCTGTGAGCGATCCTCGCTGCTGGGCCTTTGTCCTTTGTTCTCCTTCTGGTCCTAATATTCTGACGGCATCTCACCTCAAGTTTCTTCTCATGCTCGTGTCTAGCCGCAGCCTGCTCCATTGAGCTTTGCTGGTCTTGCGTCTAGCGCATTCCTTGGCCGAGACACACGCAGCAAACCGCCAGATGCCGGCGCCACAGGCCTAGCAGCCAAACATGCCCTCGTTCACTCCCAATGAGCGCCAGCGCCGAATCGTTCAATTGTCGCAGCAATGGGGCGTCGCGTTGCCGCCAGTCCCTCCGCCGTTGTCGCGGCCGATGCAGCCGCCCTCGTTTCGGACCGCCGCAGACGACGAAGTTGCCGAGGGCCTCATCCAGCGACAAGCCGCCGACTCGGCCAAGACGCGCCCCAAGAGCGGCCTGAGCCGAGCATTCTCCTCAGGCAATCTGAAAAAGGGTAAGGGCTGGGATGCAAAGGATGTCCTCGATGTCTTGGCGCAGTGGATTGCCAACTCTGGCTCCCCGGGCGTGGCTGAGGCTCTGATTTTGAAGCTGACTTCGGTCGGTGTTGACTTGACGGGCTCGCAGCAGCAGAAGAGCGGCATTCTGAGCAGGAGAAAGAGCCTGGATGGCTTTGATGGTCGGTCCCAGCTGCTGCGGTCTGCGGTGGAGAGGAACTTGATGGACATGGTGAGGGTTTTGCTTCCTCATGCTGATTCTCTCGCCCTCGATGCGTCGCTCCCCATCGCCATTCGCAATGGCAATGCGCAGATTGTTGAGAATCTGCTGAGATACGGCGCCAACGCATCGCGACTGACCGATGCACAAACGGCCTTTCGCCAGGCATGCTCCATTCCTGCTTTGTCTGGTATCGTCAGTCTTGTGCTTCAGTCAGAGGGTCGACCTCCTGCGGCCCTAGTATCAGACGCCATGATCGACGCTGCGAGGGCTGGCAATTTGCAAAGCGTCCTCTATCTTAGCCGCTCGATAGCAGATGGGAATCATAAGCAAGCCGAGGCATTGAGGCAGGCCGTTGACATGGGACGCAAGGATATTGCAGTGGCCATCATCATGGGAAATCAGCCACCACAGCGACCAGGAGTAGATAATGCGTTCCGAGCTGCCTTCGAACATCCATCAATGAACCCGGACACAAAATTAGAATTCGCGGAGCTCTTGCTTTGTGCTGGGGCCGGAGGAGAATTCTTATCCCAAGCTCTCGAACTGTCTTGTGAAACCCAGTTTTACGACATGGCTAACATGCTGGCTATGTATGGCGCCTCTATTGAGTCTAACGATGCGTCAATGCTCAAGGGTGCCATTGCCCGTGGTCAGCTGGATCTGGTAAATTCACTTCTGCATGACAGAACAGCACTTAGCCTTCCCGCTGCATCGGGCTGCGTCTTGGCGATTCCAAAGCAAGCTGCAGCTGAAGTTCGTTATACGCTGCTTTGTCTTTTGCTTAAAAAGGGCGCCAATGGTGATGCTCTTAATCAAGCTCTTATCGACGCCGTTGAGGCTGGCGATGTAAACTCGGTCGAGCTGCTTCTAAATCCTTATTTCACTACGGCACAGACCAACGGTGTCAAGCCTATGAATGGTGGACGCCATGCCGTAGCGTCTGTCGATTATCAAAATGGACGGGCGGTTTGTGCTGCTATTATTCAGTCAAACGTTGAGCTGACGCGGAAACTTCTGGCCGCGCGAGCTTCGGCTAACACATTGGCAACCGCCTTTCCGCTTACAATGAGGCTGTCTGGTGCGGATCGATACCATATGGCTGAGCTTTTTCTCAAAAGATCACTGCCGGCAGCAAGCTTACACGCTGCTCTTCAGGATGCCATCGGTGAAGATAGGTCGAAGAGAGATGGGGCACTCATAAACCTGCTCTTGCAACATGACGCCGACGTAAATTTCAACAAGGGTGCTGGGCTATCCTCTCTCATTGTACAAAAAGATGTTAATCTTCTGGTCCCATTGTTGAAAAAAGCATCTCCACAGACAGCAGCGGCAAGAACACACGACGTTATGCGAGTCGACGACCATAGGGCGAGGTTCGATATGATGGCATTGTTGTTTCAAGCGGGCGCTGCTTCTGGTATAGTTGAAATTGCAACTGCACTGTTGGAAGCCTTGAGTGAGAAGCCCGTTGATATGTCGCTTCTCCAGCTATTGCTTCAACAAGGTAACGCGGATGTCAACGCTTTAGATGGCGCAATTGCGACCAAGGCCACGCAGAATCCTGATCCCAAGGTTTTGGAAATGGTGATTAATCTGGGAAAACCTGCGGGCAATACGATAACCAAAGCACTACAGTGTCTTGCTTCAATCCCGCCGTCTGAAGGAAAAACCTTCAAGCTACGAGTGCTGCTGCCAAAATCTGAAGGAAGAGAAGAATTAAATGGTATCCTTGCTCAAGAAGTACAGTTTCTTGCGCGAGATCTGGGCCGACAGCAAGCGCCGCTTACCACTCTTGAGATATTGTTAGAATCTGGGGCCGATCCGAATGCGTATAAAGCTGCCTCTCTGTGCCATGCGGTTATGGGAGGCAAAATCCAAATCGTCGATCTGCTGTTTGGCCCTCAGTGCCGTTTAAACCAAGTTTCTCTGGGCTATGCGCTGCCCCACGCGCTGAGGCTACAAGATGCGATGAATAGGTTGACGTTGGCAAAAAGGTTGGTTGAGGCTGGAGTTTCCCCACAGGAAGTCAACCGAGCATTGATACATGCAATCAAGACTTATCCATCAGATTTTGGCCTGATACGCGTCTTGGCAAGCAAAGCCGATACTGCGGACGGCGAGGCTTTGTCTCTGGCGATATCAAAAGAATCTGTAGATGTGACAGACATTTTGCTCACAGCTGCAAACCACTCGATGGAGAACCGAAGCTTGGCTTTGACTCACGCAATGGATATAAAAAACCGACCCAACAGGAATACCTTATGCCAGCGTCTTTTAGCGTATGAGATATCACCCGCTGCGGCTTCGAATGCCCTCCTAGTTGCTGCTCGTGAAGGCGATGTCAAGCTTGGCGATATTCTCATGTCTCATGGCGCGAGCATGTCGCAGAATAACGGCCAGGCGGTGGTAGAAGCATGCCGCGGCGGATCCGTAGAAGTGCTAAAAGTTCTCCTGGGAACAGACATGACTGTGAATAATGCGACTCTAGAGGAGGGCTTCCAAGCAGCTACTGAAGTCAGAGACTTGAATAAACGAGCCATGATATTTGAGCAGATTCTTAGCAAAGGCCTTAGAGGAGAGCTCGTTGATGCACAGCTAGAATCAGCAGCAAGATATGGAGAAGATGGACAAGCCATGTTAAGAGTACTGTTAGTTGCCGGAGCGGACCCGAATTATGCCAACGGCGAGGCTGTTGTAGCAGCAACAAGAAGTGCTTTTATCAAGAATCTAGAACTCCTTCTGGGGCTCTGGGGTGAAGGTGATAGTCAGGTAATACAGTTCTCTCCCTCCTTTCTCTTTGTTGGTGTTTGATTTGAGCTAAACGTATTACCCTTTGCAGAAGAAAGCATCTCCTCCTACACTTGTTCGGGCGCTCAAGGCGTGCTGGAGTCTCAATCGCGACACTCGATATCTCATAATTGTCGATCTCATGAAAGCGGGCCTCCCTGTGGCAGAGGATCTGCATATTACATTGAACGATGCGGTCAACGAAGAAAACTCCGAGGAGAGATTGGTAAAGCTCTTGTTGGAATACGGTGCTTCTCCTTTGGCCAACGGATGCAAGACCCTGGTCGATGCTGCGGAAAAGGCGCTCTCGTCGTCACTAGCTCTTTTACTGGATATTGATATTCCTCAAAATGATATTGATATGGCTTTTAGCAATTCTTTCAAGGCTGAAAAATTCGACACTTGGTTCACGCAATCCGGGTTAGAGACGGCAAATATGCTTCTCGATAAAGGGGCAACGGGCAACGCTTTAAGCGAAGCGCTCATTCAAGTTATGAAGAGTGCTGACAACCCGGAACTAGCCGATCAGTTCTTCAACGTGCTTACTGCTCATGATCCAGATGTCAACTATCAGGGAGGAGAACCGCTCCGACTGGCTGCATCTCAAGCAAATATTGACTGGACTCATAGACTTCTCGCTTGCCACCCATCCACAGAAACCCTCACGTTTGCTTTTCACTGTATATTTGATACTGAACTTACTCAGGACGTTGTTTTGGAATTTTTCCAAATGTTTGCGGATTATCACGAAGGAGATGTCCGTGTCGATGTGATGGCTACCCGTGCTGGTCATATGCCGGTGCTGGGGAGGGCTATTTCTCAGTATCCTCGCTCTTCAACCATTTTGACTACATTGCTAGATGCAGGATACTATTACGACCAATCCATGATATACAAACTTCATCCGGAAATTGAAGAGGAAGAAGAGATGACACTTCTTACATGGGCCATTGCCCAGCCGCAAAAGAAAGTCAGCGCTGCTCTGATTCAGATTTTGGTAGAACGAGGTGGTAAGTGAATAACGACCCCATATCTTAATAGCAAATGAACTGTACTGACACTCACTGCAGCCAAAGTCAACATTGGAACCAAGATTTCGGGGACAACGCCCCTTATGCTGGCTGTGCGAGAGCGCCGCCCAGACATTGTAAAACTGCTTCTACTAGAGGGGGCTGACGTCGATGCCATGGATTTTCTTGGAAGAACCCCAATGGCAATGGTTACTCACCTGAGCGGTGAAGTTGCTATTCAGATGATGTCCAGTCTCCTTGCCGCAGAACCGTCAAAGGATGATGGTTCGTTGCATAATGCCGCTAGAGACCTCAACCTCCCAGCGGTCAAAGTTCTTATGGAAGCAGGCCATGATCCTGATTTTCCCAGTCCGCTTCATAACGGCCGTAGCGCCCTTGGAGAGGTTTGTTTGCATGGATCCGATGCCGGAGAGATGACACCAGAACGAGAACGAAAGATGCAGAAAGTCATGACTTTTCTGGTGGATGCTGGGTCCGATTTATCCATCAAGCTGGATGGCAAATCTATATTATACCTTTGCTTTGACTCCACGGATCCGGTCGCAACGACTCGCGCATTGCTTAAAAGTGGGATGTGGAAACACATTAACAAACCCTCCAACCAATATGCTGATGAAACGTTTGTATATTCACCTACAATGTATGTAACGAAGCTTATGCCGTCACTCGATGCCCATGATCAGCTACTTTCTGTTCTTCGCGCCAGTCGCGCAACAGATGTATATTACGCCAAGGAAGGTGCACAGCCTGAAGGAGCCGTCGGGTTGCCAGAAGACATCGAAGTGCGAGAGCGGGTTCGAAAAGCTCGCTCAGAGCGGCTGGCCGAAGAGTCACAAGACTTTGCCATGGCAATGGCTAGGAAGCGGGAAATCGCGTCAGTGGATCAGCAGATACAGATTCAAAAAGCAGAGATGGAAGATGCCCGCCGTAGGAGGCTACAGTCTGAAGATTTCTCTTCCATTCGAGCCAAGGCTCAGCTCGAAGAGAGTCTCGCAAATGATGCTTTCAAGCGCCGTCTTGCCGAACAGCGAGCCGTAACGGAAGCAACGCTCGCAAGCTCAAGAGCCCTGGCTGCATCCGATCTCGAGGCCGAAGAAGCGAGACAGCGCAAGGCCCTTGAATGGGAGAACAAGCTTAATTCGGAGCGCGCGGGTAATGCGCGCGCGCTTATCGAGATGCGCATCGGCGAGAGGGAGGAGCTGGAGCGGATTGACGTGGCGTCTGAGCAGCGCATCCAGAGGCGCTTGGAGGCGCAGAGGAGGTTGGTTGAGAGTCAGGAGAAACTGGCGAGGAGATTGGCGGATGCGCCGACGGCGCCTGGAGACCCTAGGAGGCAGATTGGGTATGTGACGGAGCTGAATTGAGACTGTGAATAAAGGGGGGAGTATACCTATTTTTGCATCCTTTGGGCGTAGGGATTTCTATTTTTTTTTTCTGAGCTTCTTTGCTTCTGGGGCTAGCGAGCGTATTTGGATTGTAGCTATGACTTCAGGAAGTTCTTATTTTGATATTCGATATACCTATCATTGCTTGTTGGATCAAGTTCTATGGTTGCTTATTAGTGTCTTTTGTTAACATCCTTGGCTTGAACTGCGGACACTTTTATACTGTTCTAATTTTGTCTGTATACGCCTCATTTGTAATATCAGAAATTATCATATAATAGTCATAATCTAAGCAAGTTGCTATATAATTAGTCCTTACTCTATTCTCATTAACATACCTAACAAAATCATTCGCTCAATCAAAGCCATAAAAGTCCATTCAGCAAGATCCACTTCAGCCCTTCCTAGTCATCTTGATAGAGTCTGCGCCCGTCTCAACAACTCTAAACGCATCCGCGTTGGCATCGCCATCTCCTCTGGCTGCTTTCTCAAAGGCTTCCTCGCTCCTGTCACAGATCGTTTCTAAGTCTTGGTCACTGAGAATTTCGTCTCCGCCGGACGCCTCATAGACTTGGCCATCCTTTAATAGCAAAGCTCGTAATGTCTCAGGGTCCAAGTCTTCCTCTTTCTCGTTGAGCTTTTGACCCATTGTCTTGAATCCGCCTTTGCGGATAACAAGTTTCTCCAATCGTCGCTTGGCGTCTGCAGAGAGTAGCAGAGATTCCTCGACCGTTCCTTTCGTGGCCAGACGGTACACAATGACTGGTCGTGTTTGGCCGATGCGATGGGCTCGATCCTGGGCCTGCAAATCCTGCTGGGGGTTGAAATCACTATCAAAGAGAATGACAGTGTCCGCTGATGCGAGATTGATGCCCTGACCGCCTGCTCGAGTGGATAGCAAGAAAATCTTGTACTCTGGGTCGGTGTTAAATAGCCGGATGCTCTCACGTCTATCAGCTTGAGCAATGCTGCCGTCGATACGACAGACTTTCCAGCCTCGTAGCTCTGCGCAATAATCTTCCAAGATATCTAACTGTGTAGTGAATTGCGAGAAAATAAGCACCTTGTGTCCATTTTCGAAGAGATGCTTCAGCAATCTGTCAAGAAGAAGCATTTTGCCTGATGCTGTAACAATAGTCTCATCAACAGGAATATCCGTAGCCACAGCCCATGGATTATAAAAGTTGTGTGGGCTATTGCATACAAGTCGCATTTGAGCCAAAGGGTTTCCCAGTTTCTTGCGGGCGATTTGCTTCTCTGTAAATTCGTTAGCACCTACAAATTCAATTACAGCAGATAGCGGAGGGGAGAAAACATACTGGCCATTTCCAAGCTTTGGGCTAGCTCCATGTCCTCAGCAGACATAGACTCTGTAAAGTCATCATCCTTTTCTTCCTTTTTCATTTCATCTGCAAGCTTGGCTTCAAATTCATCATCCGACATCTTTTCTTCATCAGAGTCGGCTTCTTTATATGACCGGTTAACTTGTCGACGGCTGCGTACGCTTAATGGCGTCGACTGTCGGCTGGACTTTGCGCTTTTAGATTCCGACTTGATAGAAGTCGGGGGGCTCTTCCGCTTCTGCGACGGAGTTGTAACTGGGTCGGACTTGGCATTCTTAGGAGGCCGTCCTGGTCCTCGTTTGCCCATCATGAGACTGAACGCATTGGGTGCTGGAGATGCTGGCCGGTCTTGGACTTTCTTTCTAGGAGACTCTCGAACGGGTAGCGAAATTTGCTTATCATCACTGCCACTCTTTCTAGTCGTGGACCTTGTTCTTGATGAAGCTCGAGTAGATGTCTGAGAAGCAGTCTTGCTCCGGATCATCTCCACCGCTTTATCCTCCAAGTATGACCTAGTATCGATGTTTTTGTTGGAGAGCACATTGTACAAATCCGTCTGCTCTTTGGTCATGGGTGCAAATAAGACATATTCTCTCTTTTTCGGAAGATAAGCAGCGACATCTTGCTTGACACGTCGTAGTAGCAGCGGCTGCAGAATGAGATGGATTTTCTTAACCAAATCTTGCTTCATTTGGTCTTCGATAAATTGCTGGGTGCCCTTTTCGTCTTCTAGTTCCGAAAAGTCGAACCAGGACTCAAAAGCCTCCCAGTTTGTGAAGATGTTTGGCAGCAAAAAGTGCAGCAATGACCACAACTCCTTGAGGTTGTTCTGCAGAGGCGTACCTGTGATGAGAAGACGAGTAGCAGAGGAAAACTGGCGGAGATGCTGAAACAATTTGGCATCTGAATTCTTCATACGATGACCTTCATCCTGTTTCAGAATGTATTAGTGGCTGAACTTAGGGCGGAAAGAGGTCGAAACGCGCTTACAATAATGATAAACTCCCAATTGATGCGTGACAAGTTGTGATGATCATTTATCACCATTTCGTACGACGTGCACACGACAGGAAACTTTGCAGTAGGCCGTCCAGACTTGAGATGGTTCATAATCTTCTTCTGGAAGATGTCTTCTCTCTGCACTTTGTTTCCATGGTACATGACGATTGGTATTGACGGCACCCACTTGTGGAACTCGTCGATCCAATTTGACAATGTACTAAGGGGCGCTACAATCAGGTGAGGACCCAAGTACTGTTCCTGCTCTCGCAAAAGCGCAATCAATGAGATTGTTTGAATGGTTTTTCCTACACAGGGTTAGAACGGGCATACAAATGGTGAAGGGAAGAGATGCTTCACTGACCAAGGCCCATTTCATCAGCCAAGATGCCACTCATGCCTTGTGAGCAAATCTCGTACATCCAGGTAAGTCCCTCTAGCTGATACTCTCTCATAGTACCGCCAACCATGCATTTCGGCTGTGCCGCCATCTGCAAGTTATGCTCGCCGAGCTTCTTACCGTCCAGACTACTCCCAACTCGACCGAGAACTTGGGTCTTTTTGGTGAGAATATCACTAAAGGCGGCGCTCTTTTGCAATAATTCGTCAAGCTCGCGCGCCTTGGCCTCTCGTTCAGCTTTTGTCTCAGCCTTCTTCTTTTTCCGCTGCTTGATTAGAGCAGAACGGCGCTTCTCTTCCATTGCATTGTTGGAAGACCGTGCTCTCGCTTCTTCCTTGATGATGTCTTCATCCATGAGACCAACATCATTTTGATCATCGAATGGGTCAGCAGGCGGAGAGCTCGGCGCGGTGGTGGGCGCCCTTGAGTTGGACATGATGGAATCGACTTCTGAAGCCGAGGTATTCGCCATGGTGGCGACGACACTTTTGAGAACAAGAATAAAAAATCAAAATAAAAAATTATCGCAAACAGCCAGAAAAGATTGTCAAGTGTCTCAAGATCGAATATTCTCCGACGCAGCCGAGCAGCCAAGAATTCACGGAATGCCAGAAAGCGTCACACAAGAGAAGCGCGCGTCAACGAAGAAAAATCCAAAGAGGAAATCAAAGAAAAACCAAGCATGTGCGCTTATGCAGGAACAAGCACGAAGAACGTGATGCAAAAGTGAGACGTGCCAACAGATACTGGATGAAGCAAAAGTGACCAATGGCACCGCAATCCAAACCCTGATTCACCGTTTGCGCAGGTCCCAAGAGATGGCGATTCGTGAAGGGTGCAGCGCCGTACCGTGACGTAGAGAAAACGCGAAATGGTAGCGGGATCACGTGCGTTTGCGCGTAAAGTGCTTCTTTTGCTGCGTCTTCTTGACTTTTTTTTTTCTCGCGTCAAAGCCTTTCAGCGCTCAGCTGGGGCTGGTGTGGGCGCCACAGCGAAGAGAGAGCAGAGGGAGCATGCGCCACAACGGAATCGAAACGAAACTGTGCCCCTCCATCCCACCATCGTCGACCCCGCCAACCCGCTATAGAAGGGAAAAAAAAAAAAAGAAACATGCAGAATCCTGCCTGCGTAAGCATTTGGTGGAGGTTTTCGGGGATATTCAAGGATGATACTCAATGGCTAGGCCCTGATTGGGCATCTGTAAGATTTGTCCATGTAGGCAGTTAAAAGAAGGTAGTAGTTGTCGTGGAATATCCATGCCGTTACTTGCATGCAGCAAGTAAGAATTAAGCGCTAGTCACGTACATATTTTTCCCACACCGCAGATAGTGACTCAAAATTGTTCGACAGACCTCAACTCAACTCAACTCCACTCATATTACACAGCCCATATAAATCGAGACAGAGAAGCCCGCACAACCGCAAGGCTTCGTCCACCCAGAATAGCAAAGCTGTTTCTGCGTCGAGCCCTCCGCTCATTCCAGAGCATCCCATTCCAGAGCATCACAGCGCCTCGCTTCAGCTCCCGCCTCTCCATCGCCGCAACCATGTCCGCCCTCAGCTCCCAGCAGTACACTCCCACCGAGGAGGCCGAGATCCAGCAGTGGCTCACCACCTCCGAGCGCCTCAAGTCCGCCGACAACAAGTCCGAGATCCTCGAGACCCTCAATGGCCACCTGTCCAGCCGCACGACGCTCCTCGGCAGCAAGCCCAGCAAGGCTGATGTCGCCATCTACGAGACCCTCGCTCCCCTCGTTGCCAAGTGGACTCCCGAGGAGCGCACCGGCGAGAAGGGCTTCCCTAACATTGTCCGCCACGTTGATTTCGTCCAGAACGCCGCCGTCTTCGGCCTGGAGCTGAAGGACGAGCAAAAGGTCACGGTTAACCAGGATGAGGTCTTGTATGTCAAGCCTCCCGTTGACGCAAAGGCCGAAAAGGAGCGCCTCAAGAAGGAGAAGGCTGCTGCTGCCGCCGCTGCCGGAGGCGAGGCTACTCTTGCCGACCGCACCAAGGAAAAGGCCAAGGAGGTCAAGGAGAAGGCCAAGGAGGTCGTTGGCGACGCCAAGGCCGCTGTGGCCGGTGCTGCTGGCGGCGACAAGCCCAAGAAGGAGAAGAAGGAGAAGGCCCCCAAGCCCCAGAAGGCCCCCGCTGCCGCTGCTCCTCTGTCCCCCAGCCTGATCGACCTTCGTGTTGGTCACATCCTCAAGGCCATCAACCATCCCGATGCCGACTCCCTCTTCGTTTCCACCATTGCCATGGGTGACCCCGCTGGCGAAGACACCTCCGAGTACGAGGGCCAGATCTGCCGAACCGTCTGCTCCGGCCTCAACGGCCTTATTCCCCTCGAGGAGATGCAGGGCCGCAAGGTCGTCGTTGTGGCCAACCTTAAGCCCGTCAAGATGCGAGGCATCAAGTCGTGCGCCATGGTCCTCGCCGCCTCGCCCAAACTCAAGGAGGGCGAGGTTGACGACCACAAGGGCCCCGTTGAGCTGGTCACTCCTCCCGAAGGCTCCAAGGCCGGTGAGCGAGTCTACTTTGAGGGATGGAAGGGCGAGCCCGAGGGTGTTCTCAACCCCAAGAAGAAGATTTGGGAGATGTTCCAGCCTGGATTCACCACCACTGACGGCCTTGAGGTTGCTTTCGACGCCAGTGTCGTTGAGCAGCTGGGCAAGACTGAGGTTGGCAAGCTGGTCACTGAGAGTGGTGGTGTCTGCACAGTCAAGACTTTGAAGGGTGCTGTTGTTCGATAAATAGATCCAAGTAGACCAAGTTAAACACGATGAACAATACATGAATTACTGTACATGATTCGAATCCATTGCAGGGAGTAGTAGTAATTTGTTAATTTGTTTGTTTCGTTTTGTATTCTGTTTCTATCCATTCGTTCATGGCCTGGCCATGACGATGAGTTGTTTTATGTAGATTACATCCACGCAGCCACTCTCGTGATGCATTCACCCATCATGAATCCTATCATACATATCTTGTATACAATATCGCTTAGAAATGCCCGCCCTTTTTTCTTCAAAACAAATTCCAGTGCTCAAGCACATAAATGAACTCCATGTAGATGCACAAAATGCCAACGCCACCCCCACCTTGCCCTTTTCTCTTGCTTTTCACCCTTTTTATTTCCAAACACCATACGTCATTATACATTGTCGCAAAACAAAAATAGTAGAGATGCCCAATAAGACATGCGGCTTTCATGAGAAGAAATATTTGCTTTCTCTCAAACGCTTCACATCAAAGTCACCCTTCTCGGGAACCTTTGGGATAGTCAGCGGCAGCCAAACGGGAAGAGGCATCTTCTTCTGCTTGCGAGCAGGAGCCTTTGGTTTCGCTACTTGAGCCTCAAAAAACGATGTTTTCATGTCATCCATGAGTCGCTTGGTAAGCTCCATGACTTCAGAGGAGGCTTCGGACTGGGCCTCCATGTCCTCATCAGCAACGCTGTTAGCCTCATCTTCCGAAATGGCGCCCAAGCCAATGTCTTTAGCGTCCTCTTGGATATCCATGTCAACCTCAGCGGCCATCATATCTTCATATATCGAAGCAGGGGTAACAATCTGCTGAGCAGCCTCAAGGTCCCAGGGATTCCCAGAAAGTTTCAGCTGGTTACGCTTGTGTTCGAGAAGAAGCTCTTCCTTGGGAGAAAGATTGCTCTTCTTGCGCAGCTCTTTGATCTTCTTAGCAACCGGGGTATCAGGGTCAATCTTTGCTAGGTAAATTGATCCTTGATGACGAGCTTCAAACTCAGCACCCAAGCGGCCTACTACATCCTCTTCGTGGATTCGGATAAAAGCCTCGCGCAAGACCTCGTTCATAACGTCGAGATCTCCAGCATGTGTCCAGAATGAATCGTGCACAGCAGCAAAATCAAGTCCACGAGCATCACATTCTAGTGCCGATAGCAACATGTGACTAGCATCCAACGAGTGGATGAAGTTAGGGGGGAAACCCTGAAGCTGCTTCCGCCTGTTGACGGGATCCGTCTGGTCGCTCAGAGGGTATATGACAGCCTGAAGACATGTCTTGATTTCCCGTGCGGTAGTCTTTCGGTAAGGTTGAACAACAGGCATTTTGAGAGGCGTTGTCCAAACGACTGAGGACCGGAACTGCTGAACGAGGTCATCGAACTCGACTTTTTTGCCGGAAGATGACTTTGCCTTGGATTTGCTGGAACGAGAGATGCTTCCCTCTCCCTCTCCGTACGAATCCACGATTTGCTGTAGTTGGGCTGGAGTCAAAGCGCGGCACACACGTCCGCCAATCTCTCCGAGCCAGTATTGAATATCGTGAGCTCCTCGGAACATGGTCGCAAGAGCTTGAAAGACCTGTTTGGCAATATAGGTCGACAACAGCAAATTAGGAATACCGCACTCTTTTCCTAAGTTAGGATACAAAGCGTCAATTTGCTTGCAGATTTGCTTCTTTGCTCCTGAAAATGTAACGCCGTATACGTTTGTCATCACAGTCTGCTTAACAACCTTGCGAGTGATCTTTCCGTCTAGCGCTTGGGCGAATGGGTTCTTCGCCTCCAAATCTCTGGCGATCGCTTCCTTGACTAGATTGGCCACGGCTGAATAGACATCGGCAGGCCGCTCTCCAGGCTCCAGGTTAACTTGCTTCGCTCCCCATGTGTCACCACCGAGAGCTGCATAGTGCTGAAGCCCGTTGCATGTACCGTCTTGGTGAACCGGAAGATTTGAGATAAACTTTGTTGGGTCGGGGAGTTCGAGCGCAGCTTTTAGTTCGAAGCACGCAGAAAGACACTGCCACGGGTCTTCTCCCTTGAGCCACCATCGGCTGCCTTTCAGAGGATTGGTCGCCGAGTCGACGATATTAGCTATGTTATCGTTTGCAAAGGCCTCGCGCTCGTCGAAGCTAGCCTTATCCAGGCCATAAACGTTAGCGAGATGAATCTTCAGCCACCGAAGGCCTCTTGCGCCCAGTTCTTTGCCCTTGGCGAATTTGAGAATGGCTCGCGCATGGTCGGCGCCCATGTGATTAAGATACGTCGGCATTGGATACGCTCGTCCTCGGTAGTCGACATTGTGTGGAAAGTATATCGTCTGGTTGCGGAATGCTCGTGCAATTTCCAACTGCAAATTCATAAAACAGCGCTGAGAATGTAAACCAGACCGCTCGTTTTCAATCGCTTTAACGGCTCTAATCCAGGTCTTTCGTACCAGAGGATCTGCTGAAGAATCCGGTTCTGGGGGAACGTCGAAGTGCGGATGGAGAGGCGGTATGTTGGCAATTTCCTCGCCACTGTTCCAAGCCTCCATCATGACATTTAGAGTATCCTTATTAATGACCCATGCTGTTTTACCCAACACGTCTAGGCCCTTGAATACCTGCTCCATATCTCCGCGTTTGATCGCTGCGGTGCTGTACAATTTTTGCTCGACATCGCCTGGTTTAACTCGAACAAAACTAGTCTTGGAATCCAAAAATCCGCCTTCAGTGAAGGAAGACCAAGGTTTTGGCTCTACAACCATAGGTAGGTGTTTGGCAATGAAATCGCCCACTGGTTCTCGCTTTAGCTGTTCGATCAAGTGGTTGTTGAAAAATAAAGCTCCAACTTTTTTGCCTTTTCGAAGCAGCGTTTGATGGCTAAAAGCAGGCTGGTATTGGCTAATCAGCTCTTTGGATGTCGAGCCCTCTGCCACAACATTGATCTTGGCTGACTCTATCAGCATTTGCAGCAAAATCGAGCCGACTTGGGCCTTGATCTGCAGAGACCAAGGGTTCTTGCTATTCTCTTCGAGGGTACGTTCGTGTTCCGCAGCATCAAGTAAAGGCGTCTTGATCTCTTCGCTGGCTTCCGCCTTTTCTTTAGATTTCTCTCCAACAAATCGAAGTTTACGCTGTCGTCGAGCTTTTCTTTCGGCCAATTCTTTCTGATACATCTCGGTATCTTCCTGCACAGCTTTCGCAATGTGAGTAATTAACCGACTGATGGGAATACCCTTTTCAACACCTAGAACAGTCCCAATATTGATAACGGAGAGGATGGTCACGGCTGCCAGACGCGCTGGGTCGCCCTGCTGAATGAAAGGGCCGTAAATGCATCTTGTTAGATCCCAATCTGACTTCGACTTCTTTGCCTCGGATTGTTCAATCAACCTCAATTCTTGGTGGATGCGGGTTTCCATGACGCTCATCCACGATGCCATGTTCTGTGACATGGAGCCTTCTTTTGTAGATGGTGCCAAGACTGTGCTGACGCCCCGCTTCTGCAGAGTCTTATTATCAAGTCGCCATTTCTCAATAGCTGAGCTAATTGAATCTCTTTCCAGCTGAAGTTGGATATCCATTCGGTCAGAATGAGGAAGTTTCGAAATATCAATGTCTTGCAGTCCTAGTAAGAGTCCCAGGCCTTTCTTTAAAGTATTGAGTCCCTCGCCTCGTTGTGGTGTTGGAATTAGCTCCGGGACTGCTACTGATCCTGTTGATTGGCTTAATTCGGCAGCAAGAGCGGGCGAGGCTTCGGCCTCTGGAGAGTTCTCTGGCATAATAGCCATGTCTTCTAAGTCTCCCTCATCCGCAGCAAAGTTGTAAGTCGGGCAGATTTCAGTGATAACTGCAAGATCCTGATCGCTTAAAATTTCGTCCATGCTAAGGACTCGCAGTCCCGCTTCGTCTGGGGCCATTCCCATATATCTTTTCACCAGGCGATCCAATCTGGCGCCTCTTTCGGAGAGTAGGGATGCCTTTAGCATACAGGCAATCGTTTCGGCCGTGTGTGGCAAGTTTTTGCTTCTTATCTGAAGCTCGTACCATTTGTGGAGCTGCTCAGCTTGGCTTCGGTCGGGATTCGTGCGCATCTGGCTGAGGGATGCTCTCAGATATTTGTTGTTAAGGATGATTCGCTCTTCGTCTGATATCGTTCCTAGGGCGCTGAGACGCTTCAATACTAGAGCAGCCCTTTCTAGTTTCCCTACTTTGATGCACGCGTCAAACACCATGAACATGTCTTCTGGCTCTCCCGGGATGCCGTATGTGTTCATCTTGGACGCGGGCTTTGGAGGGCCAGGCTCAGGAATTGTCAGAGGAGAGGATGGATTGAAAGGGCGAAGCTCGAATGGAGAGGGTGGCGCCTGGAATGGTGGTATTGATGGGCTGGGGAGGTGATTATATGGCATTCCCTCCAGCTTGAAGTCATCAACAGCGGTGGCAAGGGTTCGTTCATGAGCGCCGAAGCCAAGATCGAGCCCTCGACGCCATGGTCGCAGGTGCTTTGCTACACCTTCCCGTGGGCTGAGAGTTGATATGCAGGCTTGAAGAGATGGGAGCCTTGAGGACGTTCGAACAGATCTCAAAGCAGTGGCATGATGTATCGAGGCACTGCGGCCCGCGTGCCTCGGCAGCATCTTGAAATGCAGGGATATCAATGCACCGCCAATGAAGACGGTCGAGATATACACAAGCAAAGGCACAATTGGAGCAGACAGAAGCAGCCCCCAACGCAAAAAGAAAACAGAGAGAAATTGGGCTGGCTAGGAACAAAATGTTCCTCCAGTATCGAGTTTGCACGATAAGAAGTTTCATAGTGCGGGACCCCACCGGAAGCTGGCCAGAAAGATTTTCTCACTGAACCTTGTCCGCCGCACATGATTGGCTCAATCGGCAGATTCGTCACGTGGAGATGGCGCTTTTGGGTGGCAGCCCCACCAACGCCACCACGGGAGCTTTTCTGTAGAGCCAAGCGCTGCCGTATCCGGAAATTTCACTTGTGCAGCATCATCCTCGTCTTCAGCGGGCTCAAGGGAGCAGAGATGATTACTCGCCCGGTGACTGCGGCGCTGGGGTGCTGCGGGTGTCGAAATGCCATCCTGAGGGCTGTTTCGTCCAGGCCGTTGCCGGCCATTGGGCAATCAGCATCGCGGGGGATGAGACCAGTGCCCGGCGCAATACTACGAACTTTTCCGCAAAGTCAGCAATTCGGCACCGCTGCGCAAAAGGAAAAAGACGCACAGGCAAAGCCAGATATTGAGCAACGGATAATCGAGGAGGAAATCGAAGATGACGCTTTCGATGACGACGACACTGAAAATCCGTGGTTTCTTGATGTTGAACCGCCCAAACATGCTCCGCTCCAGCATATCGCATCGCTTCCAAAAGTGCCCGAAGGGGCTCCTAATCTCCTCGAGCCGATGATTAAATACATACACGAAGATATGGGACTAGATGATTTGTCAATGCTGGATCTCCGCGATCTTGACCCCCCCGCCGCGCTTGGCCCCAACCTCATCATGATTTTTGGGACAGCGCGAAGTGAAAGACACTTGCACATTTCTGCCGGCCGCTTTGTGCGATGGCTTCGACGACATCACCAAGTGGGCGCTCGAGCAGACGGCTTGATTGGGCCAGGAGAACTCAAGACCAAGCTCCGCCGACTTAGAAAGAAGGCAAAGATGCTTGGCACCAACACTACAATCTTGCCGGGTGCTGATAATGGAATCTCAACGGGATGGGTCTGTGTCAATTTCGCGGCGCATGACCACGGAGTACAAGAGTCTTCTAATTTTGACGAAAGTGGGCGGTTTTCAGGATTTGGCGCACCGTTAACGGGAACAACTGTCGTCGTCCAGTGTATGACGGAGTCGAGGCGGAACGAACTTGACTTGGAAACGCTTTGGAGGGGCATATTGAAGCGGAACCTCGAAGAGATGCAGAAAGTGAAAGGAAAGACATCATCGGACCCCTCAGAAATTGAGTCCTTGGTCTCGTCAAGAATTCAATTGCCCGACAACCCTTCTGCCCACCAGTGGCAGAAACTGAAACTAGCTTCTCAACAGCAACGCCAGTTTTCAACCATGGCGCGACGCCTTCAAGCTCGTACTCAGCGTAGTGAGTCTCAGGCGACTGTAATTGATTCTGAAACTCTAGTAACAGAAGATCAGCTGGATACCCCTTCCTTTGATCTGAATGCGCTGCGACGGCACATACACGATTTCCAGGTGATTGGAACTCCTGTAAGCCACGAAACTATTCAGAGTCTCATCTCTGCGGTATTCCAAGCCCCGGTGTCTGAGGGAGACACAGCCTCCGAGCGGCTAGCCCTGGTAGATCAGCTCAGTCTCGTAGCCGAAGAACGTGGAATTTCTGTCATCTCTCAAGAGTGGTTAATTACGCTCATTGAGAACATCGTCACTTCCCCGGCATATGGCGAAGAGTTGCAACGCGCGCAAACAAATATTGAATATCTCCTATCTAACAGAAGAGGCCATATCTTGAGCAATGAGCAAGTTTTACGGCTCATGACAGCGTACGCGCGTCAACTCGACTGGGACCGATTTTGGAACGCTTTCCGCATACCATCTCGGTTTCAAACGCCTCGGTCACCCGAATTGTATGAACTTGCCTATCGCGTCTTGGCATCCACTGGTGATAGGAAACTGTGCACTGATGCTCTGCGCTGGGTGTATCCCGAGATGCTCAAAGAAGAGCCGAAGATATGGCCAGTTGGATCACTTTACATGTCTTTGAAAGCATGCATACTAGTCGCAGACCCTGGTGCCGAGAGTCTGCTGCATCACCCTCCCCCGCAAGATTCATTGGATGTATTTGGCCAACGGCAGTTGATGCATCGAGAATTTCTACGTGTCCTGAGAGAAGTTGAAAATCTGCGGCACCACCACGCTGGAGAGCAGGCCAGAGCACATAGAGCAGAGGCACTACGCAAAATTTCTGGAGGAATGCCGCATAACGACCACTAGAATGACTGACGCATGTTTAAAGGGAGGAAATATATCTTTTTACGAACATTGCAATGTAAGACTGGGACTATAAAAGGGAATAAGACTATGTAACAATAAATATGGCTCTGAAGGGATTCACAGCTGTGCGATTATTTAGCGCTCCCAATCAGTTCTCACGTTTTATATGTGTACTATAGAATTACTCGTATATAGTAAAACTTGACAAGATGTATATATGTATGCATACCTAGATACGGAACAGATAGAAGACTTTTTACTCTACGAGCTCTATAGCTGTGACTGAGACGATTGGTCAACGCTCTTCAATGCATCACGAAGCAATGGTGCAACCTGCTTCCTGCTTGCCGACAAGTCTCGCTGTCTCCACGCCTTTCTCTTGCCATCATCACTATCTAGCAGTCCGTCTTTCCACTGCTCTAGCTGTAATCCCTCGGCAATGCCTGGAAAGTTATTCGCGGCCGCCACTCCTCTGTCCGTCATTCCCCAGACTAGAAGATGACGTTGGAATTCCCCGCCTGGATTCGCCGTGGTCATGACGCTTGCCACGTCGAGCTTCCTTTCCTTGGCCCACGCAGCAAGCTCGTCGACGAAGACGCTGGGATTCTCAGCTTTTTCGAGCAAGTAGTCGAAATCTTGGACGACGCAGCTAATGCCTAGCTTGAGGCCTGATTCTTCCCACTCTTTGTAATCTTTACGGAAAATGTCGTAGAAGCTGAGCAGTGAGATATCCTCCTTTACCGCAGTGATTTCCTCAAATAACTGGGTTTGGATAAATTGATTAGACCGGATTTTCGTATGAAGGTACTGTACAGCGCTGACGTCCTTGGGCTTTACTTTGTGCTCCTCCTTCAGATCGAGGGTGTCGATGAGTATAGGCGCAAGTGCGAGCTTTGCGAGGTTGTCGTCCTCAGCGACGGTGGCGTCTTCCGTTTCTAAAGAGGGGAATGCATCCCACGCCGCGCGGGACTCGTCAATGATGAGGCTCATGCAGCTCCCGCAAGGCTCGATGAGGCGTGGCTTGACATCGGGGCTGGTCACATTTTCATCGACGTGGTGGTCGATGCAACCTATGACCTGAGGCTGAAATTTCTGCAGCTTACCCGTCAAGGCGTTATGATCCACGAGAAACCACCGCGTGTCTTCGGGTTTGAGATCGGGTAGCTCAGACAGCGTAAGTATGTCGGCGGGAGATAGTCCTGAGCGCTCTAAGACGGCCGTCATCTCTGTTCGCAGGATGAGGTCAGACCTGGGGATGTTTGAGAGAGGGATGTGTAGGGCATGAGGCGGTGAGTTGGAGCGAAGATATGCCAGCACTACGGCTGAGCAGAGCGAATCGAGATCTTTTCGAATGTTAGCCGGCGGTTCATCTGAAGCGAAGTGAGGATATGCTTTTGGTACCTGCGGATTCATTCCCAATGACGAAGGTGAGAGGCCCTGACCTCTGAGCTGGGGGGGCTGTCAAGGCTGATCGGGCGGCAGCTAGAAAGCTTTTGAGGGGTTGCCTATAAGACATCTTGAGGAGATGCAATTATGATTTTATAGAGACTGCCAGTGGTTATGCAGAGAGAAATGTCATATATACATGTACTATTGCTCGAGGTTTGATGGGTCTAGCCTTGCTGCAATTGGGCTTGTACCTAGGCCCAAGTACATGCGCTCTCTATTTGCCCCACCAAGGTAATCTGTGGTGGCACATTACACTTGTGCAAAAAGCCGATGCAGGTGCAGAGCAAGAAATGTGGAAGACAGAAAATAGTTGATATATGTTTAACTATATAGTCTTGGCCTATTTATTTCGAAGAGTGTGTTATGGTACGGTGGCTGGCCCTTATCGCTATGTTAGAACCTTCAGTATGTTTCTTACCAGTCAAAACTTACAAGACCCGTGGACGTTTATAACTTTATAACCAAGCGTCAATATTATCAACCCAAAGGCGGCTGAGTCTATTCAAAGAGGAAAAAAAAACACTTCAAAAAGAAAATTAAAGTTTTAAGCTCTCAATAATTTACAACTGCAGATCTAACAGCATGCAAGATTATACCAGATAGCGGTACCTTGTCACACCGGATTAAGGTTGTCAAACGCCCTCTACAAACTCTTGTGGATCTATAGCTTCGACGCGTATCTTGTGTAGCTATCGTAACGGGTGATGTTCTTGCCCCTTTGATTGTGATAATAGACTATCAAAATAGTTACCAGGAACAAAAAAGAAGTTGCAAAGCTTGAGACCAAGGCTGTTGAGACAGATGAATCGTCATGATACACCACGTGCTTAGACAATTATTCTATAGCATGCATGCTAGCAAGAAGGCATAATAATACATCCCAATTGTGTGTGTGCTTTTATGTTCGCTTTGCAATCTTTGGTATGATATAGCCAATTTGCCCGTCAGCGACTTGTAAAGGCGCTTTGCAGCACCATGTAATTTCACTAATACTGTGGGCTCCTGCGCCCTATATGTCATTGAACTTATAAGCCTTGCAATCAACAGGTGCACTTTCGCATTACTAATAATACGTGGGGATTCCCGCCGCAGCTCTAAACCAACGCGATATCTATGGTAATAACGTGAATGTTGACAAGAAACATCAGCATTCAAATGTCGAGATCAATTGCCATTGCGTCTCGTCCGCTCCAGAGACTCGTTGCAAGGCCAACCGCGAGACAAGCAAGCTCTCGCCACCGCATCATCGGCGCTGCCCCTCACCATCGACTTCATCTGCCCCTCCGCCCCTCCCCCTCATTGTCTCAATCGCTGTCTCACTCAACTCCAACATCGCCGTCAACAAGAGCCTTTTCCACCACCAAAATGGCTCCAATCCCAGCAACCATGAAGGCCGTCCAGATCTCCAAGCTTGGCGGCCCAGAGGTCCTCGAGTACGCGGACATCCCCGTGCCGGCTCTCGGCGAGGGCCAGGTTCTCGTCCGGAACCGCTTCGCCGGCGTCAACTACATCGACACATACTTCCGCTCAGGCCTGTACCCCGCGCCCACGATGCCTCTAGTCATCGGTCGTGAGGCTTCAGGCGAGGTCGTCGCCGCACACGCCTCCGTCTCGGGCCTCGCTCCCGGCACGCGCGTGGCGTACATGGCCGGCGCTCCATCGGCCACTTACGCCGAGTATACCGCCGTGGACGCCGCCAAGGTGGTCGCCATCCCCGAGCAATTGTCCAGCGAGGAGGCCGCGGCGATTTTCCTGCAGGGCCTGACGGCGTGGACCTTCATCCGCGAGGCGGGCGAGGTCAAGGCCGGCCAGTGGACGCTGGTGCATGCTGCGGCGGGCGGCGTGGGCACGCTGCTGGTGCAGATGCTGAAGAGCGTCGGGGCCAAAATCATTGCCACGGCCAGCACGGACGAGAAGCTGGCGCTGGCGAAGAATCACGGCGCGGACTACCTGGTGAACTCCAATGACGACATTGTGAGCAAGGTCAAGGAGATTACGGGTGGGCATGGCGTTGATGCCATCTTTGATGGTGTTGGCAAGGCGACGTTTGATGCCGATTTGCAGATGATTGCCCTCAAGGGCCATCTCATCTCATTCGGCAACGCGGTAAGTTGTGACCCCCGATAATGGAAAAACAAAGAATTATAAAACACGTACAGAGAAGGTGAGAGAGGCAACCAATGCTAATGAATATACCCTTCTTCAGTCTGGAGCCGTGCCCCCCGTCAACATCCTGCAGCTGGGCCCCAAAAACGTCAAGCTGATGAGACCCATTGTCAATGGCTACGTCTCTGAGAGAGCCGACCTGGAAAAGTATACGGCCGAGCTCTTTGACCTTGTCATCTCCAAGAAGGTTGAGGTCAAGATCCACAACATTTACCCGCTCAAAGACGCCGCCCAAGCCCACATTGACCTCGAGAGCAGAAAGACAACCGGCAAGCTGCTGCTTAAGATTGACTAGGTTGTTAAAAAATTACCATTAATATTTAAAATGAATAAAAAACTATGAATAAATCATTCTCTGTTTATTAACTGAATATATTTTTGTGATTATTATTTTTTCTCTCTCTCTTCTTTTATTCTATCGTAAAAAAGGGGGAATTCTTTGTTCAAATCCAATTTTGTAAATAGCGCTCATCTTGGCGACATTCCCAATCGATTACTCATGTCTATTTTAAGCTTTTCATCCAACTCTTCTTTTGCGTTTCTTTGTTTCGCTATAAGATTTCTTTCATTTTATTTTTATTTTTATTTTTTTTTTTGTCTTTACGCCTTCTTGACGGCAGCCAACAACTCCGCTGGTGGCTCCTGTCGGTATCCCTGGGGGTTGTTGCTGACCCACCGCCAGAGGTCTTCGCAGGCCTTCTCCATGGTGAGCTCAGTCTTCCAGTTCAGTTCGGTGTTGGCCAGAGTAGGGTTGGCAGTCAGGTCCAAGACATCGCCAGCTCTCCGGGCAACGACCTCGTACTTCAAATCGCGACCGACGACGGTGCTGAATGCCTTGACGATCTCGAAGACAGTGCTGCCACGGCCGGAACCCAGGTTCCAGGCCTTGACACCGGGCTGGTTAGCGCGGAGGTAGTTGAGGGCGACCAAGTGGCCTCGAGCAAGGTCGACAACGTGAATGTAGTCTCGGATGGCGGTTCCGTCACGAGAGGGGTAGTCTATGGAACAAAAGGGGTTAGAATCGATAACAAAAAGAATACGCCTTTGGTCAGTTAAAGAGAAAATGCAATTACTCACCATCTCCATAGACCAGGAGCTTCTCGCGCTGGCCTGTAGCAACCTGTCCCAGTAGAGGGAGCAGGTTGAAAGGAATGCCCTGAGGGTCCTCGCCCATGATGCCACTGGGGTGCGCACCGCAGGGGTTGAAGTAGCGCAGCAGAGCGCCGTTCCACTGCTGGAAAGGCTTGCCCTCCTTCTCCAGGTTGTTGCGCTGAGCGTTGATGTAGTCGGTGATGACGTCCTCAATCATGGACTTGGTGCGGCCGTAGGTGTTGGTCGGGCCAATGGGGCAGTGCTCGGGGATGGGGATCATGTTGGGGAATCGGGTCGCATCGCCGTAGACGGTGGCGGAGGAGGAGAAGACGATGTTGGTGACATTGTTACGGGTCATGGACTGGAGGAGGGCGATGCTGCCGCCGACGTTGACGCGGTAGTACTCGAGAGGGATCACAGAGGACTCTCCGACGGCCTAGAATGCGGTTGAACAGATATTAGTTTCCCCTCTTTCGCTGTCTTTTCATTTTCAAGTTCATCTCCTTTCGCTTGCTATGTCGCAACGCAAGCTGAAAAAGAGTGCGGGGTGAGACTCGCCTTCAATGCGGCAAAGTGGATGACGCTGTCAATGGCGGGGTGCTTGGCAAACACCTCGTCCAGGGCCTTCTCGTCGGTGATGTCGATCTGGTAGAAGTCGGGACGGCGGCCAGCCAGCAGCTCGATGCGGTCGAGAGCGACCTTGGAGGAGTTGTAGAGGCTGTCGACAATGACGACATCGTAGCCGGCATCCAGCAGGGCCAGAGTCGTGAAGGAGCCGATGTAGCCCGTTCCACTGCGAAATATTGGTTAGTCAACAAGTCCATATGGTGATGATCGCATCGCATCGCATTGCTTCGCATTGTAAGGCGTCGCGTCGCAAATATTACGCCGACGCAGCGCGCACAGCAGCGCACAGCAGCGCAACAAATTTGGAAATAAGCGCCCAACAAATGAAGAAGCGGGATGGAGGGGAAGTCGCGAGATGAGAACAGAGAGAGGGGTCGTACCCGGTGACGAGGACAGTTCCGACAGGCATTGTGGTTGTGATTGAAGAGCTAGAGAAGTGACGTCTAGAGAGTCTAAGGTGAGGAGGAGTCGCGGTATTGGAGAACACAAAACAAGCTCGAGGTGAGAGGGGGAAGCGCAATTTATTGCTGCGACACGACGATGGAGTTGCAGCTTGTGATTGCGCTTGTGCTATGCGGATGGGGTTGGATGCGGATACGGCTGATATTAGCGGCTTTGATAGGCGCGGATCGACAAGACGCTGGCGCTGGTAACGGCGCTGGTGGCGGTGCTGGTAGTGGCCGTAGCAGTTGTCGTAGCGGTCGCAGTAGGGGTGCGGCCGCTGGGGCTCTGGCTGGGACCGGTGACGATCTTGAGCTCCGACCGCCGCAAATCTCAAACGTGGCGGCGGCGACAACGGCAGAGACAGGGATGTGGATGGACGTGGAAATGAAGGAAATGAAGCTGAAGATGGCAACGGCGAGATGCTGCTCACAGGTGAAAGCCTCACTCGGCCGCAGATCCTGCTGAGGCCGTTGTGCTGAGTCTGGATCTGAGCCCGGAACGCCATGTTTCAAAAGGCCCAAGTCATACTCATTGCACAACCAGATGATAGCAGAGCAGGCAATTTTAGTGGACTGGATTGCAGACGCAACGGATGGATGTTACGGAGAGCATGGAGTGCGAGTGGGTAGGTAGATGGATGAGGAGCCCACATTTTGGTTTCATTTTCAATCTGCTCGTGCAGCCACGATTTCTGGTGGGGGTTTCTTATTCGACGACCACGCCAGAAGCAAAAGCCAAATGGGGCATCATTAATTCATTTTCACAGTCTATAACACGTTACAGCCCAGTATCACGAGCTAGTCGTGTGAGCTCAAATTACAATTACGACCACCTCCAGCTATTGAATACTAATACCTACTGATTCCCGGTTCTTATACTGAAATACGACGCTGCCTTGTAAGATTCCTTGCTGCTTCATGAATGTGCCTACCTAGTTCAGCTTGTAAGCACTTTTGACGATACATTTCTCAAGGTGGTATTTTTCAACTTCTTGCCAAAGATAGGCATTGCCCTTGATGCTACTATGCAGTGTTTAGAATAAACACCTCACAAAGATAGGAGATGCGAAGCTTGCGTTGGCTGCAGATCATTTGCGTTGTTGACGCTTGTCTGTAAGATGAGATGCACATCTTCATATCTGACATGCCCCCTGCTCGCCTTGTTTTCTTGATAAGAGTCCGATTCTGGCAGTGCGCAAAGTCGGCAAGATCCGCGCCGGTCGAATCAGCTTATGCTTGTATCATTTACGCTGATATATCGGTTCATCTATGTGAAACTCGCTTTTATAACCTCGTGAATCTCATGTCCTTTTATGGCTGTAAGCCAATGTTCCCTGCTGTGCTTCCTTGCTATCCCGAGTAACAATAAAGCCCACCGCAGCTGCAGGGCACTGCGCGCTGAAGACCGTCGTCGAGACGCCATGCGCTAAATGGTTGGGGACCGTTGGCCAACTGAATTTTCATTTCCATCAATCAATAGAGAAAAACTATCAAGAAAATGCAAGTTCACAGTCCTCAGCAAAAGAAAAAAAATTCCTGCACCAGATTAAAACCGCTGAATACGGGCTGTACTTGACAATGGACCATCTCCTGACGCGCACGTGACCGTGATGAATCGTGCCTGATGTTTCGCCCAAAATGCGCCGCTTAAGCCTCGGCGCGTCACGCTACTTGCGCGCCGCAGTGAAGTTGTCCGCGCAAACTAGGCTCAAAGGCATCTCATAAAAAAAGAAGAGATAAAGCAACTCTGCGTTTTCTGGAAACGACCTTCTCACGCTCTCGCTCCCGATTTATCAAGGCTCTCATTGTTCGGCCCGGATACAAGCCAAACGAGTGTCTTGACGTCTCCTTACCGCCCGCTCAGGTGTCATGCGTCGTGCCCAAACTTAACAAAGATGCTCTTTGTTGGTCGCAGCTCTCGCCCAGTAAGGATTCATCTTGGCAAGGACACAAAGAATCTGGGGCCCAGCCACCAACAAACCCGAACTTTCATCTTGAGACCAAATTAGATCAAGGCCGCCTTTGTTCTGTCCATTTCATTCCGGGCTCGCTGCTATTTGAAGATATTAGCCCTGGGCCTTCTCATCTTCGATACCCACCAAATTTGATATCCTGTTCAACAACGACTGCTCCCTCGTTTCCTGCGCCGCAGCCTAAAAAGCTCTTCACCTTGTTATCATGATGAATGGAGGAGGCCGAGGAGGAAGACTACGGTCGAGGGATCGCGGAGCTGCTGAGAGGGCGCCCACGCGGACGCAGGTCGAAGATTTCAAAAAACCAAATCTTCCTGCTTTGAAAGGTGCGCCCAGCGCAAGGCGTCAGTATGCATATGGGGCTGCAACTGAGCCTTCGGCCCCACGGCGCCTCGGCAATGACGGCATACCACTGAGCCTAGAGGAGGCTATGAACAATGTTCTTCAGAGACAAGAACTTCGGGAGGCCGAAGAGGACAGAGAGCTACAGAGACTTCAGCCAAATCCACAAATGGCTCCTCGATATGATCTCACAAGGGAACCTACCTCGAGCGATCATGAGTCAGAATTGAGCTCGGATGATGAGCCAAATCAACAGTCGCGTAGCCTACACAATAGCAGCCGTGGACAGGTGCCGAATTCAACCTCATCAAAGTTAGGTATGTATTTTTCTTTGAATGGCCTACGTTGGCGGGAAATATGATAGCTAATTAATCTTACAGCAAACACAAGGGCCACTGCAAAAGTGGCCTTCGACATATCATTCCACCAAGAGGAAGATGAAATTGAGAGCGAGGAAGGAGACGACGAGGATGGGGAACTCACTCCCACCGAAAGTGATGACTCTGACTCACGCAGCTTCGACGCTGAAGGCGATTACTTTGGAAATGCCTCATTAAGACTATCCCCATTGCCATCTCTTCAGCAAAAACCAGTCCTTCAACCTATTCCGCTAAACAGGACGACAAATCACCGCCGACCGCCAGTTTCGTCTCTAGGGACAACAAAAGACCAGTATGATCAGACTACTCCAGATCGAGTCAATCCGACTCCAAACAGAGCCTGGAGCGCCGTCAAAAGCCTTCTTAGGGGGAGGATTCTCGGGCCTGTCAGTCCTCCTGAGTCTGACTCTCAATTAAGTCAGACGGCTGGCACGAGCAGACCAGCCGAACAGAATCAAGCTACAGCGAGGACACGCATCCACAAACCACCGGCGACTACAAACACAGTAAATCAACCGCAGGACACGGATCAACGGGCAGTTTTTAGGCGAAGGAATGTCAGCAGCTCTACTCATTTGCCTTCAGCCATCGCTGCAAGGCAACCTCGCCCTCGCTTTACTTCAGATCACAGCGAATTGGATGATGCCGTGCAGAATAATATCCGAGAGGCGGAAAGTTACGCTCTGCAGATGCGTCAAGGAACCTTGCGGCGGATTCTCGCGTCTCTATTCCCCTGGGGCTTTGGGCTGCAGTCTCAACCTAGGGACACGCAATATAGAGACGGAGACAATGATTCTACTACATCTTCCGATCTCGGCTCTGACTTTGATTCAGAACTTGATTCTACAGCCACCGATGAATCCATCAACTGGCAGCAGCTGTTCAATCCACTCACATATTTACAGGCCATCTACTGGTTTTTCAGCACCATGGTAGAAGGCGTCACCAGCTCTTTCTCTGGCTATTTCTCCGGCTTTTTCTCAGAGTCTTTACGGCAGAGGCTCGCGGTTATTGGCGAGGCGCTCCTTTACACTGTCAGTGGCTTTTCGTTCCTTTTACTGGCCGTAGTCCTCTCCAGCATTGCCATCGCCAATTTACCAAGCTTGGATGAGCTACCTGATATATCTGTTCCATCAGTTTCAATACCAACGCCACCCGGCATTGGGGACCTTGCTTCTCGAATCGGAAGCCTCATTCCGTCTATCTCCTGGTCTTCACGAAGCGTGTGGGATGATTTCCCAGGACTAGATGAGCTGCGAGGTGACCAATATGTTGAGTTTGAGGATCTAATCAACCAGATACTACGAGATCTCCGCCTAATGAAAGGTGCTGGGAAGCTTCACGAGTCCTCAATCGAAAAACTAAACACAGTTGTCCCCAAGGTGGTGCACATGACGCTCAAAGACGGAAAGCCAGTTATCTCACAGGAGTTTTGGCATGCCATGCGAGATTTGATTGAGAAAGACGGCAGCTTCCCGATGCTGGATAAGAAGGGCAATAATTATGAGCCATCGACAGAGAAGCAATGGAAGGATATCGCTGCGTGGGTGGCAGGACGTCCTGAAATCTCTTCAAAGATTAATGAAGCAAACGATGCAATTGCCAAAAAACTACCACATATGTGGGAAGCGTGGGCAGGCGACAATCAGCGCCGAGTTGAGCAAACTCTCCGTCCCATCCTTGACAAGATGAAAATCACCGGATCTCTCTCAGATAAGGACCTCGATAAGCGCCTTGATCAGATAATCAAGAAACACGTCGAGAGCAACAAGAGCGACAGTACTGTCGTAACTCGTGAATATTTCTTGCAATACTTGAAGAACGAGTTCGCCGCTCACTGGAGTGAGATGAAGGCCGAAATCAATGAGTTGCAGCCCAGGCTAGAGCAGCTGATACGCGACTCTCTCGAGCTCGCCAAGAAGGATGATTCTTCAAGCCTAACGCGGGCAGAAGTTACCAAACTTGTTGACAGATCAATACGTAAGGCTATTGCTGACCTCAACCTGGAGGCCATGGCCAAGGGCCAGATTCGTGCGCACTGGGATACCGATCTAAAGAACCAAGTCAACTATTTTGGAGTCGGCGCAGGGGCGATTGTGGATCCCAAACACACATCTACGACATTTAAGCCCGATGCGAAATATCTAAATGACAAAGGCCTCAAAGGTGCTCACCCATATGCACCTATAGAGGCTCTCCTCCCTTGGCATGACGATGGCGATTGCTGGTGTGCTGCGCGCGAGGTAAACAAGCGCGGTAACCCGCATGGTGCGAAGCTGAGCGTGATCATGGGCCATTCAATCATCCCTCAGCATATTGTGATTGAACACATCTTGCCTGGCGCGACGACAAACCCTGGTGCTCGACCCCGCCAAATTGAAGTATACATCAAAGTCGAGGACAGAGCTGTGCGCGAGCGCCTTCTGGACTTTGCCGCGGCACATTATCCAGAAGATCAGTTCGACTGGAACTATACGCCGGCTGACCTGCCTTCGCAGTTTGTCAAGGTTTCTCAGTTCGTTTATGAGGGCGCAGAACTTCATGACGGTGTTCACGTTCACCGTCTAAGCAGCGAACTCGTGGCTCTTAACGCAGAGACAGACCAGGTGATTGTTCGGGCTGTTAGCAACTACGGTGCTCCGAATCACACGTGTTTCTACCGCATTCGCCTCTTTGGGTACAAGGATGATATGTAAAATTGGGGGGATAAGGGAAGAAAAGGGGGAGTACAACAACAAAAGATTATGCATTCGGCGGCGTCATAGGAGCGTTTTATTTATTTTGATCTCTTCTTGAATTTTGTCCTTTTTTTTTTCTTCTCTCTTATTGATAGTGGGTAAAGCATCTTATTTTTGCTTTTTGTTTTCTGGTAGCCTGGCGCACGCAGAATAGGATCGGAAATTACAGATAGGCAGATGAGCAGAGAGAGAGAGATGAACCAGTAAAGGAAGAATACCCCTCGTAACGAAATGCCTTTTTTTTTCAAGTCCTGTATGAAGTACAGATGAGAATGTGGCGTTTTCGTACGTATTTGAATGAAACAATATAGATTCACCTTTAGGAGCTTTGGGGGCTTTCATTCATCATACTGTTGATATTATGCATGTGCTACTAAGTCAATGTTTTGAATAATACTCTTATCTTTTCTCGGGGAGGAGATTTCGGGAGGGCAACTTTTTCTTTCCATTGCATTACATTCATTGCCTTATATGGTGTAATGGGGAGTGTTGGAGTACCTAGGGCGAAGATTAGTAGGCTGAATATACCATTGTCAACTGGTTGCTGTTTTTTCCTCCCCTTTTTGATGAAACTTCTCAATGCTTTTACATTTTAATATGACATTATGCTCTAAATTACATCCCCTCAATTTATAACTAACAATATCAACAACCACAACAACCAAGGGTATACGCCAAAGCTCCCCTTAATCATCCAACAAGCCCGCAGCCAAAGCTTCCAAATCCTCAAGTGTCTCAGGCTCCTGATCCACCTCAAAGACCTTCTTCCTCTTTCCGCCCTTGCTCTTCTTCTTGGCCTCTTCCTCATCTGAGTCATCCTGGAACCACTTCTTGGCCTTCTTCTTCGGCGGCTCAGCGTCAGAATCACCACCATCACTGCGGTCCTCCCCAGCCATGGGCAGAGAACGCAGCAGCGCCAGTGGATCTTCTCCGTCATCGGGGCCTTCCAGTCTCGGATCGGCTCCGCCCGCCATCTCCATGGCCTCTCTTTCCTTCTTCTTGTATTTCTTCTCTCGCTTCTTCTGCTTCGCGAGCAGCTTATCGTCCACATCAGCCTCCTTGACACGCGCCGTTTCGCTCTCCACGAACTTCTGTCGTTGTTCATCCGCGGGGCCTTGCTGCTTGAAGTCCTCTTCGTCCTGGAGCTCGTAGACTTCATGCGCGTTGCCATCTTCGTCAAAGACCAGTTTGGAGGAGTTGCCTCGGAATTTGGCCATCTTCTTCTTCGACTGGAGGGCCTTCTCGCGGCGTTTCGAGTCGACGACGTAGAGGTCGTCACCACCTAGTTCCAAGACCTTAGCGCCACTAACGGGTGCTTTACCAGAGATTGCATCAAGATCGTCGTCGTTTAATCGTCTCTTTACAGCCAGGAAATCGTCGTCGTCATCGTCATCACCACCCTCCTTAGCCGCTTTACCTCCATCCAACACCAGTTTAGAGTAATGGCTCGATAAAACGTCCTGATTCGTTCGCTCAAACATCCTATCGTATTTCGTCCGCACCTCTTGCTTCTTCTTATCCTTCTTCTTCTTATCATACGCCCCGTCCAAGTCCATGTCAGACTCTGAATCGCTCGACATTCCTTGGCGGGGTGCATTTTTTATTCTCTTGATATCCTCACCCTTCTGGAATTTAATCTGTGGGGTTCCGGGCAGACCTAGACTCGCGGCATAGGCGTCCCAATCATGAGCATCAAACTTGAATACCTCTTTGTCCTTCTGCAGATGAATTGATCTGGTATAACTGATAAAGGCCTTCTGGCCCAGGTATTTCAAGTCTGGGTTCTTGAAACACATATCTTGTAAATTGTTCTTGATAGTCTTCTTTTTCTTGTCCTTGACGTGTACTTTTTGTATGGGGATTTTCTTCTGCTCTAGCTTCTTAACCATTCCCTCTTCTTCGCTGGGGTCGAGGAAGAGAACAGCACGGCCATTGCTCTCATATCTGGCTGTTCGTCCGACTCGGTGGATGTATGTATCGGTGTCTTCGGGGCAGTCTACTTGAATGACCCAATCAACAGCCGGGAAATCGATACCTCGCGCAACCACGTCAGTTGCAAATAGACATGACGTCTTTGCAGCTGTGAATCTGTTTGTGATTTCCAATCGTGCGATTTGCTTTTGGCGACCGTGAAGATGGAGTAGCGGGATACCTGGTTGAAGGTGGCGCAAACTTTCGTAAACAAACCGGACCTGTTTGCCAGAGCTGAGGAATACGATGATTTTGCTCTTAACGTTTGCCTTAATAAATCCATATAAAGTATCGATCTTCTCAGGCAGGGGTGTGACGATATAGTGTTGTTGGAGAGTGGCGGGAGTGGCTGCTGTTGCATCTTGGTGCACAGAGACATATTCGGGATCTTTGAGGCTGAGTCGGGCAAGATCTGAGACTTTTTTGCTCTGCGTGGCGCTGAACATGAGCGTCTGGCGGGATTTCGGCAGGTGTTCAACCAGCGCGTCTACTGCAGATTGAAATCCCAGATCCATGATACGATCCGCCTCGTCTAGCACCAGAATCTGCAGGTTGTTCGCGTCGAAGCCGGCCGTCTGGTCCAAGTGTTGCAGCATTCGTCCTGGCGTGCACACAAGGATGTTCATTCGGATCAATCGCTCAGCTTCTTCCTTCAAGCTCTTTCCACCTATAACCAGACCAGCTGAAAAGGCGTGATGCCGGCCGATCTTTCGCAGGACCTCGAAAATCTGAACTGCCAGCTCGCGAGTCGGGGAGAGGATGAGCGCACCGAGACCGTCGAATTCCGTCCATTGCGCCCGATAAAGCTTTTCCAGTACTGGAACCAAGAAAGCCAACGTCTTGCCGCTACCTGTCTTTGCTGCGCCGAGAATATCTTTCCCTTTCAGTCCCAACGGGATCGCTTGTTCTTGGATTTCTGTCATATTGGTGAAATGCGATGAATGCAGGCCGGACGCTGTCGCAGGCGAAATTGCTGAAGATAGGTCGGCAAAGGTCTTTATCTTGCCAGACTTTGGATCCTGTACATAATTGTGGTCAGCCAGAGAAACAGCGCATACCAAAATTTGCTTGCGCTTCATGCAACCCACCAGCTCTTGGATGGCCTCTTCAATCTTTTGCAGGTCTTCATGATCGCGCTTCCTCTTTTGCTTTTTGAGCTCTGTCTTGTTTGGCTTATGCTTTGGCGGCTGCCGCGCAGCAGCTCTTGAAGGCATTGTGGTGTTGAAAGCAAATGCTATGGCGAATAAGGATTTTCATCAAGATCAAGATTCAAAGCGCTGGCAATGGAGACTCGCCATGTATACAGAGATAACGGAAACTTTTTTGTCGGGACCTCCTTATCTTATCTCTATCGATAAGGACAATGTTCAAACATGGTAAATTACAGGGTAAGCTCCGTAGCGCGAGTGCGTCGCGAAAAACAACTTGCATACACAATTCATGACTCTTGAAAATTTTTAATGAAATACATTGCAGGATTATTTTTTATACATTTATACATTAAAGCTATGTAGGCGGCTTAGGGATGACCATGAAGTGAAAGCAAGATGTATGTCTTATATGACAGAATTCTGTTATGCATATCTTCTATAAGTCTTTCACCAAGCAGGGGAAAAAATTTCTATCTCAAAATGAATCAAAGCATGACAAAAAATATGTTCATCCCATCTTCTCCTTTGTCTCTCATATATATCCATGAACAAGCCGGAGAAAAAAAAACCTGAAAAGGAACAAATTGAATAGATATCTCGCTGCCCAATACCGAGATATGCGATCTACTCCACGTATGGCTGAGCTTGCCAGACCAGGTCAAGGGAAAACAGGCGGGTCCTTCGTAGTCTTACTCTGTACTAGACTAGAATGGGCACAAGAACCAGAGAACTGTGGATTCACGACTAGCGAAAAGCAATGAACTCTTCAAGGAAGAAAGCGGATATTTTAGTGGTTGTTGCAAAAATGAACAAGGGAATGGCCATCATAACAAGCTTCAGCACAGCTACTTCGCCGGGCCAGTCTTGTGGTAATTTTGGTCCTTCTGGAAATTGATCACATTCTTTTTTGATCAGGCTCAATTTGTGCCGAAGGAAGACCGTGATATCATGTTTAATTGTCGATGCGGGAATCTCATGGAGGGCAATATCTTCGTAGGTACCTTTGATGTTGTTAAATCCAAGGCGGATAGGAAGTTCTGGTCGGCTAGTTATGAGGACTCGGAGTCGGGAGTCGGCACTCTGAGCTCTTGAGAAAAGTCGAATGAGAAGCGCCACATCACTATCACGCTCACACTTATCCAAGGCATCAATGACAAAGACGAGTAACGACTGAACCTTTTGGACCTTTGAGAGTGGCTCAATGATGTGTCTTCTTCAACAATAGTGGAGTCGACATCGATTGCAGCCTTGACATGGATATCGAGTCCTGGAACATTTCTAGCCAACTGGCGAGCAAGCGTCGATACAAACTTCTTGAGGTTTGCTCGGTCAGTCACACCTCTCTTAAAGAAGAAAGTAGCACCGAGATCGCCTGACTTGTTTCGTACTTGAGCCAAGGTACGAGAAATGGTTGATTTGCCCGTCCCTGCCATACCGTTCAGCCAGAATATTGGTTTGGAGCTTGGTTCTGCAATCCATCTGTTACATGCAGTCAATTAATTGCTTCCAGATGATTCGTTGCATCCAGAATTACGTGATAGGCTCAAACCGTGCAGGGAGGCTATGTTGCTGTTGGCGTATTCAAGTGGTTAGGTAGTGTCGCTGAGAGTGCATTAATGTATATTTCAATATAACATCTATTATATTATGGTGCCTAAACAAGCAAGGAATCTCATCCAAGACGGGCTGTTTGTTTTGGAATTACGGTGTCAGAGCACATAGTTATCATACACCGCGTGGTAAGTGGCGCGTCTTGCGAGCGAATTGGCGCGGTAAGATTCGAATTCGAACCTTAACGGATGTCCATGATGGAAATTGGATCTTTAGAGGGTATCCCTTTCAGAGAGGCGCAGATGTGTCTTTTACACAATATTACTCTCAGTTAAGAATATCTAATAGTGACTCGGTATACAACACTAGGAGAACCACATAGCGAGTAACATAACTCTGGTTCGCCACATGGACCTTCTCTTGCATCAACTATTCCTGATTAACGCATCTTTGGATGCATTATACTAATCAAGTTTCGCGCGATTATCTTCTTAAAATGTTTCGCTCTGTTATCTTACGGTTCTGTAATTATCAAGATGTTTAATCCTTCTCAACTTCTAAATAGAATCAAAATCCTACAGTGTTATATTCTATTCAAACTGTATAATATACTGTATTTAATAGTATGTTCATGGATATACTAATTTTGGTTGTTGAGATACACTTGGCAAGTCCCCCTTTTTCAAATGGTCTGTTCAGATGTCTATTACAGTAGTGCTGTAATGGCAAAGTCTAGCATCATGAAGGTCAAGCCATCAGGTGTAGACGGAGTTAACTTAGCTTACTTAGAGTCTATCCTTGTCTAGCTGCTCCCAGGACTACCTAAATAGCTGGACGACATTGTTCCCCCATCAGTGCACCGAGCTCTTGCATTGTCCCGTCACAGCAGCTTTAGATTGCAATAACCCTTTTTTTTTAAAAAAGAAAAATCTTCCTGTTTTTCTATTTTGCGAGATATTTGGGTAAGCTTGTGAGAGATAGAGTTAAGATAGTTATGGAATTGTTGGCCCACACAGCATTTATCATATCCTTGAAAGATGGCCTTTAGGAGAACAAGGCCTGAGCAATCTCGTGATGCGTGTTTTGGAGCACCCATTTCCTGATCTTAGCCCAAACAGAGTGAGCTGGCTCGCTTGGCCACATTCATAGTTTCTTTAAAATTATAATTTGTAATACAGAATGATGCTGCTACACATGATTGAATCTTAATATACATGCCTATAGTTGATCATCTATTTGTACCCCTTATGTTTTTTATATTTCCAACTGTTAAGAGGTGTCAGGCTGTCAAAACTCGACTGTGAGGCCAATTCTAGTCGTTGGCCACCTAAAGTAAAGCGGATGGGTAGATTATGCAAGTGGATAAGCTGAAGAAGAATATACTCGGAGGGACAGTTGATTGGTTTTCAACATTTCTTAAAGAGGCCTCCAGCAGGCCCATTATCCCAGTTATAAAGAGGAGGGTGAATAACACATTCAATGAGTAAATTGAATTCCTAATGACATAATGATTGATTGGGATTGGATGAAACAAACCAATATCTATTTACTAATTAACGCGATTCGGAATATTGCTATAACTGTAATAGGACATGTACTACTTTAAAAATAGACTGGTTTGCTAAACGACGCAAGAACGTTTTACCCCTATTCATACATCAAAGATAGCGTCTTTTCAGCTTTCAGCTTTGTAGTAAACAACAACAACAACATCAATATTTGACTGTTGAGTCTATTGGTATTTTTTATTAATAACCAATACTATATGCTATGTAGAACCCTTGTTTGTGAGACAACTACGTTGATATAAAATACAATTATTACCACAGAGAAACCATATCCTTTTGTTTCCATGAACAGCAAATACAAGAGAAAAGTCTTCACTTGATTACTATCGTGAGTGCTAAGAAGTGTTCTAGAAACTCTGGAACTCGTATTTGCCGAAGGAAATTTTTCTCAAATCCCCGATGACTTGCCGCAATGCCGCAATGCCGCAACCCGATTTTCGTGACCTGAATCAGTATGACCGGCGGACAAACCTTGTGACAGCCGATAAAACCACCATAATAAGCGCTAAGGCGCTCGCCGAAGGACCCTTATTGTCTCATTGCCTGGTCGAACCAATCCAGTATCTTTATGCATGCACTTCACATTATAGCAGGCTATGCTCTGAGGCGCCGTTGTCGGGGACACCATCGGAGACGCCATTCTCCATTCTCGGGGGCGCCATTGTCGGCGACACTCTTCTCGTTGTGGGGCAGCACGTATCAAAGCCTGTAGCGCGCTTAAGTCCAGTGGATACTCGGCTGCATCGTTACCCGTACTTCGTATTCACAGCCAGAACTGGTCAACAGCATTGAACTTCGTGAGGTCAACGTTACAATGAAGATAGATGCGTAGCGTAGTGAACTGTTCCAACTTTGCATATAAAACCTGATGTCCTGTACCATCCCTCACTCTTGTTGTTCTTCACAATAACTCAGCAATACCTTGATTCAATCAGTCATATTACCACCTGTTCATATATTATCATTTATCAAAATGCACTTCTACCATTTGGCCTTCTCAGCTCTTGCTGGACAGGCTCTTGCTGCTCCATCAGCAGCAGCTAGTGCTACTCCAACGCCGCAAAATTGGCTATACAGTCCTCAAATTGATGATGTGGCCTTGAACCTCCTGGATCGACATGACATTGTTGGAGTTCAAGCTCAATATACCTGGAAGTCCCTTGAGCCAACTGAGGGTTACTATAACTTTTCCAAAATCACGCGCGATTACAAAAATGTACTCGGCAAAGGCAAGAAGCTCTGGGTTCAGGTTCAAGACAGAACCTTTGACCCCTCTAATGATCCTGTCCCTGGATATTTGCATACACCATACTACAACAATGGAAGTGCACCATCTTGTGATGGAAACTGCACTAGTGAGAACTTCAATGTCACTGGCTATGTAGCGCAGCAATGGAATGCGCGAGTGCGTTCTCGTTACCAGGCCCTCTTGAAGGAGTTGGCTCATGACTTTGATGGTAAAATTACTGGCCTCAATTTACCGGAGACGTCCATCACTGTGGATGTAACCGCGAATAACTACACCGACGAGGGCTATTTCCTGGGCGAACTGGAGAACGCCGGCTATGCAGCCAGTGTTTTCAAGAAGAGCTATGCCGTGCAGTATGTCAACTTTTGGCCTGATGGATGGAATAACACGAACAACCGTTTCACCGACTCCTTTAACTATTACGCGAAGCATGGCGTGGGTGTTGGCGGACCTGACTTGATCCCGAACAAGCCAGGACAGATGAAAAACTCATACGTCTATATCCCGGAGTATCACAACAAGGTACCGATTACCGTTATCGCCGTCCAGCAACCCGACGTGCTGAATGAGACCAATGCGGCTACCGGAAAGCCATTTACCAAGGAAGAATTTGTTGATTTCGCTGTTAACGATCTCAAGATTGATATTATCTTTTGGACGACAATTATCCCTTGGCTGCAAGGCAAATGATCTGCAGGAAACTGAGACAATTGATATTCTCTTTGAAAATACCAATATATTTGCCTGTACTGATCAGTGAAATATATTCATATATATCACACTTCTTTCATAGACCTATTAGAGACTGAGTATAGACTTATTTTTTTAGATTATATATCTTCAATTTTATTTAATTATAAATATTCTAATCTATATCTTACATTTATTTATTTTGTTCATTATCCGTCGGATAATTGGATGGCCTGGGCAACCCCTATCCCTCGTATTCCTCAATAAAGTCGTGAATCTTACAACCGCATCGGCCATAAGTGCAAATTTGCTCCACAGCTAACCCGACATGCCGCACAATACTTTGAAACTTGTTATGTCATGAGGCAGCCTCAAATCCCCACCGCTAACCAACTTTTAAAAGACCTCGACGAAATGATTAGCGACGAGATCTGTCTTCACCTCTCCCTCGATTGCGTTGTTAATATCCTTCGTTATGGCAACACATATTGTTGGGACCGACATGACGGCGGCGCCAAAGTTAGAGAGAGTAAGTGCCAGTTTCTATGTTTGTGGTTAACGTCGCTGCCGGTAAATATAAATACTTTTTAGGCGAATATTGTAGTGAGGAGCTTACTGTATACTTAATAAATTCCACCGTTGTAAAAGGATCTGCTAGAGGCACTGGCTTCGTATGACCTTGATCCCCCCGGCTAGCTGATAAAATGCCAATAGTCTCGAGCCTAAATGACGTGTCCCACACTGGTAGGCTGGGCAATGGATTCTATTGGAATGCTCTCTAAACCAGAGGCTTCGAAAACGCTGTCAATAAGAAGAGAAATGAGCTTGAATTCACTGTATACCAGCTCTAGACTTGTGGCTGTTGCCAAAGTGAAATTACTGACGTCCTGGGACAAAGTGGTATCGACTGAACCTGAAACATACTGTCCAAAGGTATCTGAGGCCAACCGACCAGTAAGTGAGCTTTGCAGGTGCCGCTCGGGCTTCGGCTTTATAGAGAACAGTTGTGGGTATAGCCATGGGCAGCAGCAGAATAAGGGGTCGCTCTCTGAAGATCTGAGCAGTAGCGCACCAGATGCACTACGTTGTTCATGATACACGGCCTCGAAGTTGATTACAATTGCAGTATCTTGAGATTGTTTTGCTTTATTCGTGCTAGGGCTACCTCTCATTAAATGTATTGAAGATGCAACGACAGAAACGTATATTGCGCGAAAAAAATTACGTGACGCTATGAGGCAGAGGTTGAGCCGTGTTTTTGGAGGTCGACGATTCTATTTGGACACACATCCAAAATTCGTTCTATAAAAGCCAAGGCGCGGGACTTCAACAACAGTGGATAGCTATGGCGAGGGAAAGAAGAGATGAAGTTGTCTTGCTAACTGGCATATAGAAGCATAATTCACACCAAATTTCGCTAAATAAAACGAGAGTTACACCACTTCTAATCGTGTAAAGTCTCTGGTCTTTTTGGAATAGTCCGTCCCCTGCGTTGAGTACAGCTGGTATAACGAGCCAGTTACTTAGTGGCCATTAAGCATTGAAATCGACAGATACAAGCAAGTTATCGGCTACATTTATCAATACAAGAAAAGAGAGCAAACGATAGTTGGATTAATTAGGTACAAATAGGGCTATGGTTATAACTATTTATGAAGTTGAGAGAAACCGAGGCTTGGATATATGACTTCCTGATGCTGAAGACTACTGAGCAGCTAGCGTGAACTTACTGCTAGGTATGTAGAAAGTCTTGTACGGAGTACTTCTACAACTCAATGCCCCACGTGGCTATTATTCAAGCGCAATAGATAACCGCATGGCAATATTTGAGTATTCAAACACTCAGTAAAATAAAGATTTCGCGTTGTCTTGTTTAGACATAAGGTAACCGTCGGCCATAAAGTGCAGGATTAATGTCAAATAGCGACGCTGGAGACATAGAGAAGCCTTCTTATACTTGTTTTTGTTGGTTGGTTTTCAACAAAGACGCTAAGGCGAGTTGGTGGAGTGGTCTAACACGTGCGACTCAAGATAATATCTTGATCCTTAAACAGGATTTCGCATCTCGAAAGAGGCGTGGGTTCGAATCCCACACTCGTCAGTCGATGTTATTTTTTCTTTTTTTTCTCCGACTCTACTTTTTCTTTCATTTGCTCATTTGTCCATACAGCTTAAGCTGTGCGTGGGGCTGATGCGACCAAAGTCGAAGTGGCATTTTTTTTTTTTTTTTTTTGACCAGAAGCACTTCAGCTAGACACGCCATGTGCATGTAACTTAGAATCAAGATGTAAAAAAAGGTTTTGTTAGGGAGGGAGAATTTCACAGCATTATATTTCCATACGCAGTCTAGCTGGCAATACAACGTCTAGTGTTGCCTGGTAAGAGCTTGATGAATTATGTATACCTCCAAAGAATTAATCGTGATTCAAGCACGACCAGGGAATACGGCGATACTCTCGGAATGCAGTTTCCAATGAAGTTCAATTATTCACAGACTTAAAATCTATTGATTGGAAAATTATATTCGATCAATTTCGAGTTTTGGAACATTCAATTAACAGTTAAAGGTATTTCGCGGTTCTTTTATATGCCTCACCCCCTTTTCTTTTTATTATGGCCAAACAGCCCATACACGCCAGCTTGAGTCTTTCTGCTGTCGGCATTATATGTAATTCTCTAGTAGGACCATTCGGACATTAAATCATAGAAACGAGTTAACGCCTTGTCAATGTTACATCGCGGGAAGTATTTGGGCTGTGAGCCATGCGCTTATACTGATTTAGCTAACACTGAACGCTGGCTTGACCCACTGCATCGCTGTGCACGCATCATCAACTAAGATCTCCTAGTTATATAATCGTCATTCATACAACTCAGTAACTGATCTATGGGTTAAGAGCGAAAGAAAAATTCGCAATACCCATAAGCGTAGCTACAAAAACGCTGCATAGTTGCATACTTATTAAGCAATTATGTTTCAATGGGAAAAAGGGAACGTATGGCACGCCGTTCAATAGAAGACACCTGGACCAATAGCATTACACCCTTTCTCTCAGAACAAGATTGCCCCGATGAGGCGCGAATGGAAAGCCGAAACTTACCGCCGCCGGGAAAGGCACACGAAATGGCAGAAATAAACGCACAATTTTTACTGCCCCTTTCTCATTCAAGACCTTTCTTCCAAGAAGATCCCCTAGCTAATCCTAGTGGATTTTTCTTCTCATGATTAGTATCTACAGGTCAAGATTTTAACCCCAATTTACTCCATGAACACGCTTGGGGTAGATTGAATATACCCCAACTACCAAGATGTTGAATTATAAAAATGCCTGGCACTCTATTGGTCTTTGAGACAACAGCAGCAGCAATAATCGCGAGTCTTCTATATTAACCTTTTATATTTTTTATATTTTCTTTTTGTTGATACAATGGCTCTACGGTCCACAATCTCTCTACTTGCTTTCTGTAGCGCTTCCTTAGCTGCAACGCCATCGCATGACTCAGTTCGCACTCTCTATGAGTTCCCCAAGCCATCGTACATTGAGAATCTAGCAGTCCGAAGCAATGGCCAAATTCTCATTACAGGCCTAAGCACACCACAACTCTTCCTCTTCGATCCCTCAGCGACTGGTCCGAGCAAACCTCTCATTGTTCACGAGTTTGACCAATCTCTTGGCTTGGCGGGCATTGCAGAGTACCAACCAGATGTATTTGCTGTTATCTCTGGCAATACTTCATTCACAACCACTGTTCAAGTCGCTGGTACTTGGAATGTTTGGAGCGTTGACTTGCGCGGTGTCGAAATTTCAACCAAAAATGGCCAAGCACAACTCTCGTCGCCGCCTGTGGTGAAGAAAATTGCACATGTCAAACCGGCTCAGTTTCTCAACGGCTTAACAGTGCTGTCCGAGTCCGACCAAACACTCCTCATGAGCGATGTTAACGGTGGCGTCATCTGGAGGTTAGATATTGAGACCGGTAATTATGAGGTCGTTATTAACAATACGTTGACGGCGCTTTACCCATCGCCTCCATTTTCAGCTTCTGGTGTAGATGGTGTTCATGTACGGGGTAGTTCGGCCTACTTTACAAATTTTGGAAGCGGCACTTTCAATAAGGTACCTATCAACAGGGACGGAACGCCGGCAGGGCCTGTCACAACACTGGGGCATAGTAAGGGACCACTGCACCAGTTCGACGATTTTACTTTTGACTGCGACGGCAACGCATTTGTGGTTACAGGAGGTGCAAACACCATTGAGATGATTTCAGCCGATGGTAAAAGTCATGTTGCCATTGCTGGGAACCTCAATTCCACTGCCATTGCAGAGCCAACATCCTGTGCTTTTGGACGAGGGCCGCATGATAAGAGTATTCTTTATGTGGTCACTGCGGGTGGGATGGAAACACCAGTGAATGGAAATATAGTCATTGGTGGGCAGCTCGTTGCGGTCAAAACGACTTCCAAAGGTTCTGCCTGCTGAGCTAGGTAGCGTCTCAGTTCAAAGAGCCTAGGTTAGATTTAGAGGCCATATACAATCATATAACCTGCAGACCATCGCCAGTGTCATTCCATTTGAAGTGTATAGAGAGATTATAAATGATCTTTGATCTGATTGCTTTAATACCACTAATGCATCTAAAAACTAGAAACAGTCCTGTAGTTGAACAAGTGATTGCATTTGAGTAGGCGCCAAGAGACAGACTTTATAACCAAGTCTTATCAATAGCAATAGTCGTTATGGTTCGCACCGCCATCGACACACCTGCTGCCGCAAAATTGAAGGAAGTTAATCTCTCCGTTGGGACCTCCGGCGCAAAAAAACAGCGACCTTTCAATATGCGCTCCGTCTGTTGGCTGGCCGCTGGCTCTAAGTGCCTCCAAAATTTGCTCATTATAGTTTCCTATCTTCTGGTTAACAAATCATAGCTTTGCGATTGTGCATTTTTAAAGATACCCACCAACTCGTAGGAGTGTAGCTCCGCAGTAGTTGAGGTTGGTCTTGCAATTATTCGCAGCAGCGAAAGAGGAAAGGGTGGCGAGAATCGCAAGAGGGATGACTGAGTATCGAACCATAGTGAATATCTTGATCAATCTGATGAGAACAGAGAAATGATGCTGGAGTATGAAGAAAGTGAGAATGGACTGCAGTCTGAATTAATGATTCTCGCATCTTCCTTGGGGAACTGGCTGCTTTAAATAGTTCAATTTTTTACAAGTTTCGACCAAGATTTTTATCGGCCTATCAAAATACAAGCATCGCACGAAACGGCGGATCTCAAATCCTAATCCTTAAGGATTCTGATCTGCATAGCATACTTTTTTTTGTGGATGAATGAGACTCTGATCATCGGGTCATCGCTCCATTTAATCCTACAGGTCTAAGCTAATATAGAATTCCAACTCGAGTTTCGGAGATGCACTGGATTTTCAAGACATGTAGCCGTCCATGGAAGGATGCATAGGAATCTCAGTTCCGTCATGTCATACATTAATCCCACTGTATTAGCTAATGCCTTTCCACAAGGCATTTCTTTCCGAGGAAAACAATCCTCCAAGGTGTCTTGCGATTTGGCCACGTAGCGCCAGCTTTCCAGACCAGCGTTTAAGGTTGCTATAGTCAACACACATTGATTTGTGAATTTACTACTCCGTAGCCGTTTTTTTTCTTCTCTTTTTCTTTAGTCTAATTGTAGTTTTTACTGATAGGATTATGCGGGGCAGGCGTACAAGTCAGCCAAGCGCAGCCCGATGTCTTGAATCCTACTGGCTGAAACTGCTTCTTTAGGGAAGTACTGACAAACACACAGCTGCTAGTATAAGCATTCGGAACGCTCTGTCTTACCAAGATAGCTGACCGCTGTTGAAGTGGCTGTGCGACTCAAAACTACATACTGTGTAATAGATGCAAGATGTGGTATTAAAGTGCTCATAGTAAACTACGCACGGTGGTCTGTGAGACGGTCCAACGAGCAGCATTACCCGCCCCCTTACTTGGCCTTACTTCATACCATTCCTCTTATTAATGTTCAGCGGATCAACGGCCATATATACCCCATTTGATTATGTTATAGAGAAGTAAAAAGAAGTATTACGTATTAATAACGATGCTGATGAACAATTATCGAAAGGTGTCCGTAATAAGACGCATTCCCTTCGAAGCATGCATAAAGCACCGTCTTGGTGGAAATATCACCGAGAAAGCTTTTCGTTGGAAATTTACCAGCTTTGAGCAGGACCATAACAGATTTATTTATTACATAGAGCTTGAACAAAATACTCCTAAGCAGAACCTTATTGTTATAGCTCTTAGGGTTCTAGTAGAATACCATATATTTGATGTTATTTCGGATCATTTAGCTGCTGCGCATCAGTCCGCCTATCCCCTTCAAAACGTCTTGCTAAATGCATCTTCAGCTGTTCTGTAATTGCCTTGGAGGCAAGCCCATTCGCGCCATCATGAGTTCTGATCGTCTCCGCTCTTCTTCCGATAATGGAAACCTTCTAAGGCGCCCTGAGTAGACCGGTTCCATTTGTTCGCAGACGTGCCAGATGCGCCGACGATTGGCAATGCTCATAAACGGGCCGCGCATCCACAGACGCGGGGTTGTCTCTTGGTCCACCCACCGGACGAGAGACTTGTAGTCGACATTGTGGAAAAAGGTTTGCGACTCATCATCAAAAAGTGATAGTAACTCAAAGCTCCAGGGCATATGGATTGGGAGATATTGTTTCCAGAACGGCTTGTCTTCCACCAAAGCATCAATAGTTGGTGATGCCAAGGCCAATTGAAATAGAGACTCTGGAGTCAACATGTTGCAGGTCTTGGCCAATAACTCCAACGGCAGTCTCTGAAAAATATCTGCGCCGGCACGACGCAAGCGATCAGAAGGGCTGACCACTTGAGTACACTTCATCCATCTGTCTCGAATCAGTGCAGTGGTTTTCTTCAATGTAGCTGTTGGGTGGATAACGACAAATTCTTTCCCCGCTTCAGAAAACCACCACTGATCACAAGCTGGGCCGGGGTTACCATAATCGAGCTTGTTTAGGCGACTGGCGAACATGGGATGGGCGGCCCGCATAGTGGTGTACAACTTCAATTTGTTCAAGCCATTGATTCCAGCTTTGCCTTCGAGAACCGTCCCGAGAATCTCAAAACAGGGCCAGTGAAACGGAAAGCTGCCGTCGTAGGCGACTATCTCAGCTTGTGGGTCAAAGTTGGGATCGTCACCTTTATCGACGTCAACCTGAGCGGAATCGTAATATCTGCCAACGCCTGAAACACACCCACTGCAAAGGTCAGACTTTCTGCAAGTTTTGGGATTAAAGCAAGCAATATCACTTCTTCTTACACTTCTTCTCCTGTCTCTTCGTCTTCACCCTTCATTAGGATATGAAGATCTTCCAACCAGGCTGTCTTTCTTGAAGATATAACATCAGGGTCGTATGAGCCATCTTCCAGTTCATCTTCCGCTGTTATCTTTTCTATAGATGCTGCATCAGCCGCCCCATTATTGCCAGTCTCAGCTGTTGCATCTCCGCGATCATCTTCTGTGGACTGATTGGCGTGCGCTGAGCTGGACGACTGCGGTTGGCTAAGACCGTGGCGGCGAAAGAATCGCTGGCTGCGTGGCTTTTGCGCCACAGACAATGTGCAAAACGGTCCCCCACATATGGCACAATAGCAGTCCCAAGAACCCATGGCGTCTGTATAGATTTAGTATTGTTATAATGAGATGTGAATATTCACGTCCTTTTGCCTTGCCTAAATCACGCGGGAAAAATAAGACACATTTGTTGCTGGTTGATTACATTAGCGGCCTTAAACGGCTTAAGCGGAGAATAACTCAGCAGCCTTACTATACACGAGGCTAAAAATAGACAATGCCTTTTTTGGCTAAAGATTGCTATAGCGGCGAGTCTATTCAAGCTGTTAACTGATGATCATGTATTCTAAATACTACATGTGAAATATACATGAAGAGATTGGAATTAGTTATACTATTAATATACACTTAGCCATTGTAGATATTAGTCAAGAAATGCAATTTTTTATCCAATTACTTCAGGGGATAGAAGGCCATGCTTTGCGTCACTTCGTTCGACTAGTGTCTCCTATATGCCGAGAATCTGACAATATGCCGCTTTATCGCGGTCGTAGTCTGAATATATTCCCGTCCATACCATCCGGTCAGCACATCGTGGTAGATCTGGCATCTCTTTGTCATTGTCTAAACACTCAGGCAACGCCGCCTCCCATTGCGCCTCGGAGTGAGATTTCCATGGCTTTGGTAGTGGCCAGTCGCTAAAGTGCACGAGAAATGCCATATTTAGTTCATTAACTGGGTTCCATTCTTCCTCCTCGTCAGGCGCGAGGTATTTCCGGTGATCTTTTGCTCGGAACTCGCCTGTTAGGAGTGCTATGCGTCTGTGGGGGAGTATCATGGCCGAGTCTTTAAAAAGCTCGTTCATTACTTCCATATCGAACTCGCCACTTTGCGTAGCCTCATTAACAATCTTCTCGTATAAGTGAGTATTGGGCTCGATCAGCATGAGGTGTGATCCCAGGATCTGCGTTACAGTCCCGTTATTCCGTTCTGTAAGCCAATACGCGCGTGGCAAAGCCACAGGCGAATCAGGGGCAAGGAAGAGAGAGTCCATATTGTTGAGAACGAGCGAATCTGAATCAAATGCTAGGACTCTTGTATAATCAGTCAGGGCGAAGGCGTGGAATTTAGTCAGACTATCGCGCCAAGTCGAGTCGCCCTTTTCTGTAGAGAGAACATTGAAGGGGCGGAGAACGATATCGAGATGGCTGGATCGAAGGTTTCGAATAGCCTTTGCTTCTCGAGCTTTTGTCTTCTAAGGGAATAACTAGTTAACAGTCAAATTTTACAATTCGCTGGGAATATCCTACCTCATCATCCCAAGTTTTTGGATAGATTAGAACCATGTCATATTGAACACCCAAATTTTTCAGGCGGTTAAAGTTGATTACCTATTGACACAATGTTTAGTTCTTGGCACCGTATTTGTGCCCTAACGCAAGGTATACCCACGGTGTTGCATAAATAATCCAAGCTTGTAGCATATTGTGCGTAGGCAAATCGGGAGGCCATCTGCTCTGTTGTCGAGGGTAATTTGATATCTGGAGAGTTTGTTGTTGAGGGCAATTTGGTTACTGGAGAGTTCGTTGTCGAGGGCAATTTCGTATCTGGAGAGTCACTGTTGAAGGTTGGGTTGCCGAAAATATTTAGAAAACTAATGGGAATAGCACCATGCTTTCTCCAGAAAATCCCGTATGTTGTAAGAGCAATGAAGACAATAACGGCATACGTCACAACTGCAACTCGTCGGAAAGAGACTAGCATAGTAGTAGCAAGTAGTATGTTAATCGTGTATAAGTACCAAATAAATAACAAATGCAGATAATTTTTTAAAAGATAAAAACATCAACAAAACAACAGAGCTACTTACTCCGTGATCACCGAGTTGTCATATTCAACCGCACGAGGCTGTTCAGTTCTACAGCTATACTATTTTTAGCTTACAATTTCTTCACGATGATGACGCGTACAATACGCTCCTCCCAACAGGCATTGGTAATATGGGATAGGATGCGCTGCATTGGCGCTAGTTAATACGAGACTTCAAAAAAACCGTCCAACCAATGCCAGCATAGCTTCAGAATTTTTTCCCCCTCTTTCAAGGGATTGGAATTTTCAAAAGGGGCACTTCTGGCGATGACCTGATTCAACATCCTCGGCTAGACACGACCTCAAGTTGACGGGGAATGGGAGCCTTTGCACTCAGCATGTTTTGCTGCTAAACTTATACTAGTCCGTTATATTTTTCTTTAACCTTGAGTGCTATTATTTAATTTTGATCACATAAAGCAGTTGAGATTGGTTAGTTTTAGCTTTGTGTTAAACTGCTGCCGTTCCCCATACTCTTACTACGGCCCCATCGAGACCATGGAGAGAAATTTCTCTGTTGACCTATATCTGTATTACTAAAAAAACTTCATTCATACACTACATTTTCATGCACTTGGACCCTATTAGACCTGGCATATGAGGCTGTGGTGTTTCAGATGGCTATAGTTGCGGAGGCTATCGTGGCATATGTAGGCTTAGCTTACTTTGACGATGTTTTTCCGTGGACTGAAACAACAGGGCGAGTGATTTTGCCGACTCCCGCCAATTAGAAAATGGATTTGGTGAACGGACCAATAAACAATGCCTTCGTTGGTCCCATCAGCTAAGGTAGAAGAGAATTTGCATGCGTATACATCAATGCCAAAAAGGGCTCGATCCGAATCTCTTGTTCGCAAAGTCAATCCTAGGAGATTTTAGCACCCTGAGCAGGGATGTATTACGTAGTCCTTGGCATGTTTTTGGGGCTCTTGCCGGGGTTTTTATCTGCAGGGGTTTGTCTCTAGAATGCTACAACAGACATGTCATGTTGACCGAAAAAACATTTGTTTCAATTCTACAGTAGACAAAGTACATCTCACTTATTCTGTTTGTCTCGTCTAACGCTGTTTATATGTAGCTCTTGCACTTGCCTTTTTCTTGCAACAATGTGGATATGGAGATGAAGTCTGGTTATGTTTAAGCATCTAAACAGTAGTGATACGTACTATTGCCTGACAAAGACAAATATGGGGAAAAGCTTATTTCATTTTTACTGTTATGTTTATTTTATAGAGGCCGAAAGGATTGTTTACACTCTTGGCATCGAGTTTATGCGCAGTTAGCGGCGCGCCATAGAAAATTCGCTTAAACGTCTAAGTTGTTAGCGCAAGTGCATGTAGTTTCCGCCGCTTAAATCCGCGGCTTTTCGTGAAAGCAGTTCTGAAATCCATCCTTTTGTTTCTACTTTAGCAGGAGTTCCGAAAATCCAAGTTGAAGTGCTTTTTGCTTCTGCTTTGGTGATGCTCAGCATCGAGAACGAGTCAGTCGTGGCGAACTGAGATATGGTCCTGACACAGTTAGTTGCAGCATCTGACGAAGCGAGCCGCTCAGATGTCCAAGAATCCTTAATGAGCACAGTGTTCGTGGGTGTTGTTGATGAATGTTTGCCTTATGAACTACATAATGACGACAATATCAGACAACATTCAATTGAGGATCTTCCAAATTGATAACATATAGCTGCCAAAAGAAAAGGAAAACATCTCAGTTGGTATTACATGTACTTTGCGCCGTGTTTGCTTCCTTTTTTGAAGGAAAAGTGTCCAACGCCCAGTGACTGATTCTTTGGGAAAAGCCCAGCCCATACGCCCCACCTTTCTCCAGTAAAACCAATTGGGCTCGACGCGATTTGATTGGTCTCAATGCCGATAAGCTGATAACAGCATCCCTGCCAAAAAGTTTCAATTCCAGAAAAAGTTGCGACAAGCATCACCAACACCATAGCTGCGGCTCGGAGAAGCAGTTTCTAACACAGAGCGTCAACACCGCCAAAATGGACAAGCGAAAAGACAAAAAGAAGAATGGAGGCGCAGCTCCTCAGGCGCCCATCGCTGACGAGCGATTTGCCAGCTTTCAGACTGATCCTCGATTCCGGCTGCCGTCGAGAAAGCACATGAAGACGACCGTCGACAAACGATTTGCGGGCATGCTCAAGGACAATGACTTTACGGCCACTGCGCGAGTAGACAAATACGGACGAAAGATTAAATCAGACGCCAAGAAGAAAGCCCTGCAGAGGCTTTACCAGCTGGATGATGATGAGGAGAAGGAGGAGGAGAAAGGCAGCTCTGACGAAGAAGCGGCCGACAAGCTAAAGAAGGACGATGAAGATGAAGAAGATGATAGCGAAGAGGAGGAGGAAGAGGAAGATGACGTTGAAGTTGAAGATGATGAAGTCGTGCAAAGAGAGCTACAGGCTGCGGGCGTGAGACCTCGACGATATGACCCTGCTCGAGAGGGAGGTTTTTCATCTTCTGAAGAAGATTCAGACTCTGATGAAGACTCCGATGAAGAAGTGTTGGACCTAGCTACCGGTGGTGATATGCATAGATTGGAACGAGAAGAAATCGAAACCGGCGATGTCACAAATCGGATAGCCATTGTCAACCTCGATTGGGACCATGTCAAGTCAACAGACCTGATGGCTTTGTTCACCAGCTTCATCCCAGCCAACGAGAGCGGCAAGGTCCTGAACGTGTCCGTATACCCAAGTGAATTCGGAAAGGAGCGCATGCAGAGAGAAGAGCTCGAGGGACCGGCTAGAGAACTTTTCAAGAAGGGAAAGAAGAAGGAAGAAGAAGAGGACGAGAGCGCGTCTGACAGTGAGGCCGAAGAGGCTGCAATCAAGAAGCAGCTGCTCCAAGAGGGTGACGATCAAGATTTTGACAGCGATGCTTTGAGAGCATATCAGCTTGACAGGTTACGCTACTACTATGCTGTCATGACTTGCTCAAGTAAAAGTGTTGCACAAGCCATCTACGAGGCAACTGACGGAACTGAGTATCAATCTTCCTCTAACTTCATCGACCTACGATTTGTTCCGGACGACGTCACCTTCGACGACGAACCCAGAGATCAGTGCGACAAGGTCCCCGAATCGTACAAGCCCATTGAGTTTGTCACCAATGCGTTGCAAAGCTCAAAGGTGAAACTCACTTGGGACACGCGCCCCGAGGACATGAACCGCAAAGAATCCATCAAGAGAGCGTTTAAAGGAAGCCGAGCGGAGATTGATGAGCAAGATTTGAAAGCTTATCTCGCCGGAGACAGCGACAGCGAGGAGGATGAAGATGAAGTGGACGGCATCACCGAGCCCGCTGATGGTGAGCCCAAGCTGACCAAAAAGGAGCTCGCTCGACAAAAGATGCGCGAGGCTCTGGGGCTCGCACCCGAGCCGGAGTCCAAAAAGTCCAATGACGGGCCCGTTGGCGAAATGGAGGTTACTTTCACACCAGCTCTATCAGGCGAGAAGTCCAAAAAGGATGACAGAGAAGAAACAACAATTGAGAAGTACGCCCGCAAAGAGCGGGAGAGGAAAGAGAAGAAGCGACAAGCTGCCAAGGCTAAGCGTGAGGCTCTTGATGAGGATGACGAGGACGACGATGATGGTGGCATCCAAATTGCTCAAGGCGATGACGAGGATGACGGTGAAGATCTTGGCTTCAACGACCCCTTCTTCACCACTGACGATCCCGCCCCTCCGTCCAAGGCCTCTATCCGCAAGGAAGAGCGCTTGAAGAAGCGCAAGGCTCGTGAAGCTGCCGAAGCCCGCGACGCCGAAGAAAAAGCCCACCTCACCAAGGTCATGGCTGAAGACGCACAGGAAAACCAGGTGGATCATCTCGATCACTTCGATATGAATGAGATTCTACGCGCGGAGAAGCAAAAGGGCAAGAAGAAGAAGTATCAGAAGAAGACCAAGGCCGAAGTGGGCCTGCAGGAAGACTTCAAGATGGACGTCAAGGACGATCGTTTCAAGGCTGTGTTTGATAGCCACGAGTTTGCTATTGATCCTTCCAATCCGAAGTTCAAGGCTACTGAGGGAATGAAGAAGTTGTTGGAGGAGGGCAGAAAGAAGAGAAAGATGGCTGTCGGTGGAGACGAGGAGGATAGATCAAGTGGGAAGAAGAATAAAAAGGGACGGCGGTAAAGTGTTATGCTATTCGATTACATGTATATGAGAGCTATATCCCCATGAAAATAGAGCAGGAGGGAGTTGGCGTCTGTTTCAAGATGGCGTCTTAATTAATTTTGCATTAAATCATATTGTATAGTTATGTGCATATGGAGTATGGGCCTGCGAGATAAAAGGTTATCTAGTGCATAGACTTTCGCCGCGACATGTTAAATATATACTGTGATGCAAACCGTGAACTCTCTCAATACCAATCTTCCTCGCACAAGCTTAATGCAAAGGCCCAATTTGGATTATACCCAGACAACACAACACACCCTCTCATATGAAATCGCTTCTCTATAACTTCTATGGGTATCCGTGTAGTTTGAGCTGTCAATCTATCGCAATATACTATCGAGCTGAATCGATCTGAGCCAGTTGAATCGAGTCGAGTCGAATCGAGTTGATTCATAGCGCATCAAGAGGCTTTTGACCACTCCAAAAGTGCATCTTGCCGTACGCGTGGACTTTGGGATCTCGCATAGCTTGGCGACACTGCATGAAGAAGACTTCCATTTCGTTCTTCTCCCATCCGAGTAAGGGGAAATGGATGGCACCGACGGCGGGGAAGAATTCTTCGCAGGCGGTGCGATAGTACATGCCAACCAGACGCATAACCCTATAAGAGAGCAAAATGGGTGTTTTTTTAAAAACAAAGCTTATGAATAGATTATAAAAGTGTAGGGGGTTAAAAAGAATGTTGCAACTCACTTGTCTTTAGGCCATGTGCCGTATGGCAGCTTGATATAATTGTGCTGGATATTAACGAAGCCTGCCTCTTCCAAGTACTGCCCCCCGAAAACAGCCGCATGAGCATTCGTGCCAAACTTTGCGAATCCCTCGAGCAAAATCTCGGTAAATCGCTTAAGCGGCCAGTCATCCGGGACTGTGTCATCGTCAGAATGAACATCTCCGTCTACGTCTTGTAGCTCGATCCAACCACCAGGCTTCATATGGCTAAGATAGTCGGCATCAGTCACGGCAACATGTGTCTACCTTTTGGACTCAAACTACAGTCGTAGAAGGCCAATGCTTACTCGTATGCTTGCCTCAGAAGATCAACCGGTGATTTCATAACGGGTATCATGTTGCGCAGGTGGACAAAATCCCAGTTGTCGCCGTTGAGCCATTCGGCCTCGACATCATCGATGATAAATGTGACGTTTTGAGGAACCCAAGAGGGTTGGATGGGGCTCAGATCGATTCCTAAAACTTCGGCGCTGGGAAACCTATCGCCCACTACCATCTCATGTCACTACTTGTTCCAACTCGTGAAGCCGTTCCTCAGACCCGCGACGATGTAGCCAAGAGCTGACCGCGACGTATATTCCAGTTGAACTTACTTTCGATAGCCCATAAGCCCGTGCCAGTGCCCAAGTCGATAATCTTCTGAGGGTGAGTTCCAATGGGAGCGTAGTATAGCTTGCCGTCTGTCGCCTCCATCATCATAGTATGCAGCATATCCTCCCGATTCTGCTCGGTATCGTCATTAGGGATTGGATACCTTCCATGACGATAGCGATGGTACCGTCGGCCATTAACAAAACTATGCTGGAGGATGCTGGAATTCAACGAGGTGGAATCCGAAAAGTTGCTGAGGGATTCGGCGTCGAATTCACTGGGCGAGAACTCGCCGTCCTCGTCGCTGCCACCGGGCTCGATGACGGCATCTCCGTGTAAGAGGCCCAGATCCTCAGCCGCAAGTTCCTCATCCAGGTGCCTCTGATTGTCTAACAGGCCCTTTGTCAATCACTTGCCAACCACATTACGAATACGATAAGAGGCATCCACGCAAAGGTTTCACAACGTCAATTAAAAAGGACGCATAGACGCCGCGGCTAAACCACAACAGAAGCTCACCTGAGTGTCCCGCAGGGCTTGATTTGTTGACAGGGCTTGACCTGGGAGCAGCACCGGCGGAGTCGCTTCGGCTGGATCTCTTGCTCCCTGTAGGACTCCCCATGGCCGTTGCAGCAATAGTGGCGTAGAATCGTTTAATGTGCGCACGCAGCGCCAGGAGAAGAGGAGAGAGCGAGGGATCCAGAGCAACGCCAATCACGCAATCTGCAAGCACCAGGCAGCGGGGTCTGGGGATTTGAGAGCGGCGATCGCGAAATTGGCCGTAGGAAAGCACAGGCCCTCAGATCGATGTTAGCCAGATCACAGTGCCAACAGAGCTCGTTCGCGGCCCCCGGATATATGCCGCTGGGTCCAGAAACCAAGAAGCCGAAGTCGATCACGGGCCACTGCAACGAAAACGAAGCTGCTGTTGGAGCTCGAGAGCCGAAAGAGGGAGCAGTGTATGAAGGAAAGAAGAGAGAAGGAAGGCGAAGGGCCTGATACTTCACGAGCTGAGACCAGGGCTACAGGCTTTGCCCAGGGCTTTGCATCTTCTCATTGGGCTTTGGCTGGCCAACCCTGCATGTCCCATGCATATTGCTTGCATATGAGGTAGTATAGCGGGCGCCAGCTCAATGCTACTCTGCTGCGTGCATTACACAAAGTGCGGAGACGCATCAGATTACAATGGGCTGCGACGGCTGCGGATGAGGATGCCAGATTGCATTTGGGCTGATCGGACTTGGTGAGCGAGAATAAATCATACTTGAGGTTGCATTTCTAAAAGTGACGCATCCAACAGCATCTGCCACGGCTCTTAGCGTCCAAAAGGGCTCAGCCTTGTGTTGGTATCTCGCTTACTGTACTCGATATATATGCTGCTAGCAGTATCAGTAAACAAACTTGGATGTGAAAAAGAAGGCGTTCCCTTTTACATATTGAAGTGAACGCTCCATGGCCTTGGACATCATCGGATACTTAAATATGCTGTGTAGAGATACATAGTATACAAAGTTGTGGTGCAATAGAGTTTCCAACATACTAGTGCCAAGCTACCCTAAACGGCATCTAGCAGTAATTTTTTGACATCTGGTTTGAAAGGGGTATGTATTAATCCTAGTAACAAACTGTTGATGAATATTTGGACGGTAACCTTGACGACTGAAATGGTTGCTCTAATACATTGCTTATTTATTAAGAATCATAAATACACACTATCAGTTATCGTTTACTGGGTAAAAGCCTTTCCAATTTTTTTGGGGGGAGTATGTATAAGAATGATCTCTTGATAGATTTACTCTTTATGCAATTTAGGCAGACTTTCTTCTTCTTTTCCTTCTTCCTTGCCTCTCTCCTCATTTTCCTTCCCCTTATTTTCTTGTCGTTATATTAGGTAGCTCTATATTGGAATGCTGGCCGTCACTCCACCCCACAACCAGCTCAACTGGTCATGAACAACATCAATCAATCGTTACGAATGGCGTTTGACTTTGGCAGTGGAAAAGCTTTTCATTCAAAGCCGACTTCTTTTCCAGATCCTTACCTGATCCATTTCTTTCTTGTTAGCATTGAATGCACTCGACCATTTCTACTTCAAGTCTGCCGCAAAGGCCACGCTTTGAACAGTGAGTTATGGTGAATGTTAGGCCGAGGAATTCGAACGACGGCTTATACTCCACTGTAGAGTTCCGACTCGCACACACCAACAGGTTTTCGCCTTGGGTCATCTTAGCGAAATAGCCGAGACAGTCCACACTTTGTGTAGCCTTGGCCTTACCGGCTTGTTGGACGACCTTGGCCTGAATAAAGCGTTCCGTGTCTGAGATTGCATATTTTTTTTAAAAAAAAAAAAAAATATTCCTATGAGAAGTTGATTAATAGACACCATTCGTAATCCTAGCTTTTTTCTTTTTTTTTTTTTCTTCCAACAGCGCCACTTTGCGAGGCACGGCATATAAGTGTTTATGCCAAATGCTAGTATGGGGTAGTATACCCAAATGCAAAAAAAAAATGTTGGATATGCGCGTCTCCTGTAGATTAAAAGTGTCATCTGTATGATAATACTCATTTCTATCAGTGAATAAACGGTAATTGAAAGACACATGTGTTATCGACCCCCTCTCATATTTTCGTGGTCCATTACTCTGTATATGTCCAAGGTACGTAAAGTGTTTACTAAGGCGCTCAAATGATTTCGGTAAAGGGGCAGTCAGAGCTCCTCAAGTTAACACAGCATGTGAAGATAGCTGTATAGCGGCGAGATTCGAACGCAATTGTTAGGCGTTTGTGATAACTATGCGTTGGCAATGATGCAATTAATGAGCTTTCGGCGAGGCCTCGCGCTAATTTAGTATTCCTGGGCCATTTCATGTTGTCACACAAGACATTTTACAAGTCTACTAGTACGAGTACGAAGTAGTTCTATATGCCAAACTTCCTCCCTTACATCCTCTCCCGTGTTATTTAGTGACGAAATCCAATCAGTGAGCTTTCAAGAGCAGCTAATGCTGAGACGGATGCCATCTGAATCATATGGGCTGATGTCTGCATTCAAGTTGATAAATGATGGATGTGCTCCAGCATGGTGGCGTTATTGGTCTCCCTTTAAAGAGCATACATGCACGGTGGCTACACCAACTTGCACGGGCATAGAGCGCACTTTGCTTTTGTCTATAGCGCAAATGTACGCGCTCCCTTTAGGAAAGCCTTCAAGCACGATTCCCGATACGATTGAGCATCTGTGCGCCGCGGCGTTGGTGCAAGCAAGGTGGGTAATGCTAGGCTTTCCTCAAGTCGTTAGCCAATCTTTACAGAGCTGATATGAGAAGATCCGGAATCATCGAGGGTTAGTAGCACCGGCTAACCACTATGTCTGCCATGTTGTTGTTACCGGGGGCGCTATCCGCGTGCATACGGCTGAGATTCCTGCCGTCGCCCCCAATATGACCTATCGCGAAGTGGCTGTCATTGCCACCGAGAAGCGTGCGTCCAAGCGTGCCGCCACCACTATAACTGACTCTGAGGTTATGTGGAAGAAGGTCTTGGTTGGTATGTCATGAAGCCCATTCATCGCACCAACTTGCCCTCGTTGTTGGCAGAAGCGTCTGGTTGCACGGCTAAGCGGAGTTGTGAAAAGGGGTACAATTACCCGATATATCATGTTCATTTCATTATACAGTCGCCACTGCGCAATCTATGAAGTAGAGGCTTGGCTACGGAGAGTATCATTAGAGCCTAGAGTTTGTTATTAAACGGCGCCGCTGTAGAAAAGTGCCGAGAATCTCTGAAGCCACTGCGATCCCAACGGAAAATTATATCTATATCCATCGTAAATCAAAGCCGAACTAGACTATTCCCCGCCAAGTTTTCCATGGCTTTGTATCCGCAAAGTTCATGCTTCGTGCCAACTAATATCCTTTGACAAGGGGCTTTTACGGCACTCATCGCTGCCGATGAGCATGGATCATGGCCTCGGCTCAGGCATCGCTTGAATGAGATGAATGGAGACAGGAACGCCTCCACACCAGTTCCCCACCTTCACAGCCAGCTCTCAGCAGCTTTGGTCGGCCGACCCACCATGCCAATCGCCGCCGTCACGTCCAAAATCACGGGGCATTAGGCGTGCGGGCGACGCTCCAGTTGGATTGAGATCGGACACAGCAAACATGACAAGCTCATTTGGAAAGTAATGAGAAAAGTGACAGACCCTGGGGGAGCAGCAAATGATTGGGCATCCACCTCTCATTGAGCATCACAGGTGACTGCAGGGCGGTACGGGGTCGCATCAAAAGCAGGGAGATGAGCACCAGGTAGACAGGAGCACAAAGTAAACAAGAGGCGCAGTGTTCGCCGTGTTCAGTTAAAACACTTGCATGAATCCGAAGGGAGAGGAGAGCCGAGTTAGAGTGAGTGCTACAGTCTATCAGCCCCCCATTATGTGTTTGCTAACAGGCAAACAGCTTGGCAACCGAAAGAAGAGCAGGCTGCTAGTATATGCCCTTCACTGTAGTTGCTACGAGAAACAAGAGCAAAAGCCTAGCTTCATCCGCTAAACGCCGCCGCGATCAGGGGCACCAGACGCATTTCGTAGCTGTATGCCAGGATGAGAGCGGATGCAAGCAGGCTAATACGAGCGAGGCTGAAGACGCCCTGTCGAGCATCCCGGACAGGATGCCAGAAAAGTGATCGATCTCATTTAGTATTCTCATCACCCATTACCTCTGATCAATGACTGCGATCAACCTTATCGCCTGCTGGTTGCACGTCATGCAGCCAGACTAACGCTTCGCCCAGAGGACGCCATGATACTATGATAAACCAGCATCACCACTCATGCGGTATAGCTTCAGCGCGCTCAACCTGAGCTGGACAGCCGACAAGGTTTCTTAGCGGACACTCGGCCCGCACTGTCGCACCGCGGCCATCGCCTTTGCGTGGCTGCTCAGAGCTTTTCACACCTGCGCTAAGATGGAGATCCTTGCTAGTGGCGCTCTACCGGACCAGGCACAGCAGCGTGTTAGTCTAGGTATTTTGCGTTCAGCTTTAACCAGGCCTGGGATCTGAGTTCCACTGGTTCCTTGCTTGGCCTCAGCTCTCATCTACGTGGTTGGAGCACGCTAAGAGTGGTTGTCCAAGCCAGTCGTGACGATCAAATCTTAAATTGCCAACTAGAAGAGCGAAGCTGCACATTCGAGTGCCATCTACGTAGTTCTGAACTGAACTGGCACGATAGTTATCTGTACCTTGTAAACGTCCATTGACAAGCGAGGGCGTGGCAGCGTGACGCAGAGGGGGCCACCCTTGTATGTCTCACAGTTCCCACAACTGGTGGCTGATCGATATCTTGGGCACGTTGAGACTCGACCAGCAGAATCAACCAATAAAGGACCATGACAATCACAGCATGACTTTGACCGAAAAGAAGAAAAAAGTGACCGATAGCATAGCATTCCTAATTGCCGTAGTTGGCAATGCTGTTTCTTCACAGACACGCATTGTACCTCGTCCAAGGGCCGGCAAAAAACCACAACAACAGTCTTAAACGCAGGGAGCAACTCTGCAACTGTGCGGTCTCCGAGACCTCCCTCGAATAGTGGTGCTGCTTCAGACCTTGCGTTGGGGCCCTATGCACGACCCTTGTAAAGGGAGCCCGCTTTAACTCGGTAACCCATGGAGAGAGAGAAAAAAAAAAGAGGCGTTCACAACGGCAGTTGACCTTTTTTTCCTAAACTTCTTGCATGTGTCCTGGGGGAGAGGGATCCTAGCCCTTCTTGGCTCCTTTTTTTTTTCCTGGCAACTTCTTAGCCGCTATACCCCGTTCTCATCATGATCGACATGGAAAAGCAAAATACAAACGGGCGTTTGCTAGCCGCCACTTAGTTCGAGAAGGTCTTGTTCCCACCCACACGTGTGTCGGAGCTTTTTTCCTTTCTTCCTGTTGCCCAGGAACACAAGGAGAGACAGGCACAGGGAAGTTTTGTATCTCGATACAACCCTTTTCTTTCTTTTTCCTTTCCCTATTTATGACTTACTCCTCCACCTGCCACGAGGTTTTCATGTTGCCCCCCTTCCATTGGCAGCCCTCGTCAGTTGTCGAGTACATAAATCCCCGTTGGCTTCCCTTGTCACACGCCTGTTGTGTTGGACAGCCGTTCGCTCCTTTTTCTCCTTAGCATCTATTATTCTTTTTCAGGACGTTTTTCCCTTCCTATTATCTCAGTATTCACCAATCTTTTCTTGTCTCATACCTTCGGTTTATGTTTCTCCTCTTGTTGATATAACGACCAAGGCTTCAAAGCAATGGGTTCAGAGTTTGGTATCACAAAAGATACCAAGCCCGAGCTTCGGCTCGGTGCTGTGGGCATCTTCTGGATAGTCTTCGCCATCACTTGGACTGTCGTCCTCTTTGGCGGCATGGCCTTCCTCTGGATTCGACGCGAGATGCCCATTCTGAGGATCAGAGGCTTGCCGCTATCCTTCGCAGCGATAAGTCTGATGCATGCGTACTGGATTGCTGTTCAACTTGGCTACTGGTATGGGGCGTTGATGCCTGAAGTCGCTGAGTTTTGGATCATGGGCATCTGGTTCCCCTTTGGAATTGCTCTGTTCCACGCCGCCAACAGCAGATTCCTCTATGTTGCCGACGCCCAGAAGAAGTTCATTCAAAGGACTCAAACTCCGGCCCTACCTGTGGCCCGTGGAAATCTTCTGGGCCGATGGAAACAGTTGGATTACAGCCGCCGAACACTTATCCTGGTTTTTACTGGCATGGCCCTTCACGTAAGCGAATTGCTTCGAGCCTAAGCACCATTAGCTAACTGAACATTAGGCACTTATCACAATCTTCATGTTTCTCATCTCCCGCAAGTTTCACGACTCCTTTGGTATCGCTGGCACTGAAGTCCACGGCAACAGCATGGAGCGAAAGGCGGCTCAGGGCCGTGGCTGGGAGTGGTGGCCCTCTATCTTTTGGCAAATGTTCTGGGCCTGGGTTGTTGCTCCTTACATCCTCTTCCGTGCGCGTAAACTCCGCGACACTCAAGGATGGAGATTCCAAACAATTGCTTGCTGTATCTCCAAGTATGTTATCCCGATGAGCGTTTGCTAGGTTACTCACTAACATCCTCAACAGTCTTCACGCTGCACCCATGTGGCTGATTGCCTTGTACGTTCCTGCAATGGAGCCCGTCAACAACTACTTCATTCCTCCACAGTGGTAAGTTGGAAGCCTTAAAACCCAAGTGTTGGCATCCATCTGACTTGAGGCCTTAGGATCGCCGTCTCCATTATGCTGCTCGAAATCTTCACCGTCTTTGTACCCATCATCGAAGTTTTCAAGCAACAAGGTCTGACTCAAGAAACTCTAAACTCCATCGCCCGCTGGGAGTCACGAAAGAAGGGATTCAGCGGCGCCGACAAATCCATCAACTCAGACTCGACAAGGTCCTCATGGCGAATGGGAGCAGCCTCTGTTCACACCAACCACAGCTCTAGCGGAAGCATCTTAACCATGGAGGCCCTTGAACATACACTGTGCAAGAATCCCGAGCCGCTGCAGCAATTCTCGGCCCTTCGAGACTTTTCAGGAGAGAACATTGCTTTCCTCACAAGTGTCAAGGAATGGAAGGCCACCTACTTCCCCGCTGGCAAATCATCAGAAAAGGACGAGGGTCTATCTGTCAAAGAGTTGCCCCGCGAGTGCTTCGAAAGCGCGCTCAAGATCTACGTCGAATTTATCAGTGCGACTCACGCCGAGTTCCAGATCAACCTCTCCTCCACAGACTTCAAGAGCCTCCAAGTCGTGTTTGAACACGCCGCACGTGTCATCTGCGGCAGCGAACGCAGCGCCAGCACCGATCCTTGCACTCCCTTCGATGACACTCCCCACCGTGTTGACTCTGGGAGCACCCTCAATATTGTTCGCTACTGGGGCGAAGTCCCTCCCGAGTTCAGTGAGAATGTGTTTGACGACGCCGAACTAAGCATCAAGTACCTGGTTCTGACAAACACTTGGCCTAAATTCATCAAGGAGAGGAGATCCTTTGATATGGCTAGCACTATTGAGGCCGGCAGCAACTAAACACGCAATTACACGCACCATCAAAACAGGTCAATATTCGGTCTAGGACTATATATCGCATCTTCTAAAGCGAAAATAATTATGTTATTGTGGGACAAGTACATGGACTAGGAAATGGTTATTCTTTTACTCTTCCATTCTCTCATTCTTCGTTTTAATACGCAAGAATACTATTTTATTCTATTACTTTTTTTTTTATCAGACATGGGCGTTGCGAATGTGAATTTACTACTAGGTATTATGTGGGTATGACTTGGAGGGTCGGTTTGAGCGTTTGAGATAAAGCTATGAATACTTCTAGCACAATGATATCCATTAGCTAATTAAAAAAAAAGAAGAAATTAAATATTCCTTTCCTAATCGCTGTTAATTGTTATGATGACGACTCTAGCTGATTGCTCTGTCCTAGGATAGCTGGAAGTCCCGGAATCGCTCTTTCAAGGGTACCTTGTCACTTCCCAGGGCACAGGCAACTCACTATTTCGCTTGCCATGTGAAGTGGAGAAGGGGATCCGCAGTACGAAACACCCTCAATCGGCCGTCGCGATTAGATTGGGCTGAAGTCTCCTTTTGAGGAAGGTGATTGACCAATCCATGCCTCGTGCTGATGCGGTTTTGCGAATATCGATGCGCCGATCGATGGAAGATTTCGATATGTGATGAGTGGTATCGTCGCCACGATCGTGGAAATAGGGGTCGATCGCCGATTTACAGAGATTTATAGAGGCGGCGAATCGACATTGCTTATGCAGGATATTCGGGTTATTTCGGACAATATAAAGCGCATGCTTCAAATTAAAAGCTTGTTGCTAAACGGCTGGAAGATGTTCCTGACCAAAGAGAGACTTCTAATGAAGTATACATGTATGAACGAATCAAGATGGTAAACTATTGCGCTAAAAGGGGCGCTCTTCTGGTTGAGTTGGTAAAATCTTCCTATAATAAAGATCATATTTATAAATTAGATACATAAATTAAACGGCTATTGGTTTGATATAAGTCGCAAAGGCAGGCACAGTAAAGGGCTGTACTCGGCCCTAGATCCAGTGACAAATGCACTTGTCCTTATATGAAAAGTGTCAATTCAACAAATAAGTATAAAGAAATATGAGAAAATTCTCATGAAAATCGTAGTCTATGGGCTTTTAATGAATTATATCCGGGTATCTATATAACAACCCCCTGCTATCTCTCTCATCCTGCCATATCTCACATCTTATGCAACGCCACTAAACGTATCACGTCTCAGTCATGGCACCGCCGCAAAGTTTGGATTATACGTCGTCATAAAATCCGGCCAGAGCGCATCTTCAAACTCATACTCCTGCCAGAACACAGCATCCGAGTCCTGAAGCAACTCGCCAGCAGGCTGCTGCATTTCAGACATTGGCGGCTGCTGCTCTAGGGGTATTCGTGACAGATACCACTGTCGAATCCACCGAAGCTTGAAACTCAGTCTGCAAAACTGGGCATCGCCTCCGTCTAACAGGCGCCGTCTACGGCCAGCTTCTTTGGCCCAAGTATCTGCTTCTTCAAACCTCTCGCTCAGACGCTTCGTTACGTCGGCAAAGTCGAGCTTTCTCCGGGCCATGATAGGTTGCCAGTCTATAGATGGATCCAAGAGGAGCAGCCGAGAGCTAGTAACGATGGCAAAGGCTAGTAATCCTGTAACTGAGGCAGGTAGGCCAGGTAACTCGTTAGGGTGAATAGACAAAATGGCATCGAAGAAATCGACAGCGGCAAGTAGGCATTTCCAAATGGTATCAAAACGTTGCAGCGGCTCTGGATGTAAAGAGCCCATTTCAACGATAATAGGAGACTGCGCAGGGATGGCTGGCTCGGCAAGGCGCATCAGAGTCACATGGTAATACGCCTTGAATATGTCTTTGGTAACGGCTAGTTAGTGGCGGACATCGAAATATGGCTTTAGATATATAGATAGAACTTACGTTTGTTCTTAACACTTTCAGGCTGCATGCAGATAAATTCGTAGAGCTCTCGGCGAACATTGTTAATAACCATATCCATGGGAGACAAGTAGGCACTAGATCCAGTGTCAACCACGTCAAACCCAGGCAGCATGCTGTAAGCACGATCAGCGACGCGCTGCATCCTGACCAGTGCCACTAGAAACGTATCTGAATCTAGAGAAGACTCAGCTATCGATTCGCAGCACTGTGAAAGGTAGTTGTTCCAAGGAAAGGTAGTTCCGCGTTTGAACAAGGCAGAGATGCTGTAACTCGTTAGTACAAACACCAGTTAGCAAATGAAAGTATAAATCCACAAAACTCGACAAAATGAAGGGCTCTTACAGTGACGTAGCATGATAAAGTCCCAGAACAGCCCGTTTCTCATCGGCAGTATGGCACCTAACTTTTGGCGCATTTTTGTTGAGTGTCGCCCAGGCTTCTCCCAACAGAGATTTGGGATGTAATCTGGTAGTTTCCGGTGACTTGTCCAGCTTCAGGTCCATAGCCAATGCAGTGGCCAAATGCATGAAGTTTGTCGCCTCTGTTCTCATGTAGAAATGGAAATCGGCCCTATCGTTGTGATACTCTCAGCATGGCCAACCTAGCATTTGGCGAGAGATTAAGTTTCTAGAATCTTACCAAGCTAGATGAATAAGGATAGCTTGCAGAAGTGCCAAGTTCTTCTCTTGCTTTACAACCATCCTATCGGCAATGTACTGACGGAACCAATTCTCCACACCCTGCTGAGTTGCCGTCGATTGGGGAGCCACGGCAGCCATAATCGTCCAGAAGAGACATCGCGATGTTGCATATAAATTACGTGGATCCATATCTTCCGGAATGATGACGAAAGGATAATTGGGCATGAACTCACGCCGGTAGATGTTAAAGTATGAATGAGCTTCTTCTAGACTGAAGCTAAAGCCCGGGATCAACTGAAACGTTGTTGAAGAGTCAGAGGGGATAGAGAGTGGGAAGTGAGGAACTTTGGAGGCAGCTTGGGTTGACCGTGATTTCTGCACTGCATCTTGCAGTGGCTGTGATAGAGGTATGTTTGACACATCGCCCACTACGATTGTATCGTGACTCTCAGGAGTTAAAGGAGGTGAATTTTGCAGTTTCTGAGTAGACGCAATCATTGACACCAAGCTGTCAATCTTCCTCTCCAGCTGAGCCACACGTCTGTAGACGATAAGTAAGCAGAAGAAGGAGAAGACCAATGGTTCAAATTGGCAATATGATGATGACATACGTCGATTTCCCCCTCTTCTTTCGCTGTACCGGCGCCGGCACATGGCAGGGAATCTTCATGCGGCCGCATCTAGATCGCCAGCGCATGCCAAGTCAGCATCAGATCCATCCATACACATTCGTTTCTCACACAACCACATACCGGATACAGCTGGTATCCTGCAAGTGGCCCGCGCCGGATGCCGGCCATCGACATTTCATCTTTAGCCGGGCACAGTTGGCACAGGCCCGGGTTTTCGGCGGCTCCGCATCTGCCGGACGGCTCCCGGGGCCGATTTCAGAGGACCGAGTCGTGATGCCGGTTCCATTGGCCTGAGCTGCTGAATCACCATCCATAACTGCACAAAGATTTGTAAAAAACTTTGATGTTGTGATCGATTCACTAAAAGACCAATTAAATGATTGTAGAGAAAAAAATTACAAGCAGCCTTGTTCACCCTTTCAGAAGCCACGCTCAAGGAGGAAGTTTACGGTAGTTCGGGTGTCATTATAATGTCCGTAATCCGAATTTAGCAGCGCGCAAAATCACGTGTTTACGGCATTACGGTATACGGGAGTTATCTTAAGGACCGGTTCCGTAAACTTCAGCTTCTTGCCTTATTCGGACTATGATGCCCTTCTGGTGGCTTCTCTTCTCAAAGACTTTTAAACGACATAGTAACTCGTCTCATTAACACAACTATCCTCCACTATGTCCATAATTCTCTCTACCGACTTCTCAAACGAGCACACTCAGCTCTATCCCACCACCATCAGCTGCTTCACGTCACATACTAGAGCCTCATGTCTCAGTGGATCGCGATGCATTGTCTTCTAAGACAGTCTCAGTTCACGGCGACATTTTTGGAGTGGCATCATGATGTTAGCCAATTCTGCTCAACTCCAACTCAACTGCCGCATCACGCTGCTCAACGCAAACCTTGATAAGTCTTGTGATGATGCAAAAATGCGCCCATTGTACCGGTGCTCTAGCCCAACAACCTTGACAAGCTGGCATACTATGACCATCTTTGTCTCAGCCTCATCGCCAAGCCCCAACCTGCTTCCCCTCCTTGGCTTATCTAAACTGACTGTCGGTTTATGCCACGCTACTCGGCACTTCGCCTTGATCTCGATGGGGGCATGGTCTTCCAGGTTTAGTAACAACGGGCGGCGAACCCATGCAGCCTGAGCACATGTAGGCGTGTCTGTATCATCTGCAACCTCTCTAAATGCCTGTCGCTATACACCACTGCTTGACTCGCTCAAAATCTCCTTGTGTCCGATATTGGCCCCCAAACCTCCTCCAGTGCCGCCGGCATGTTCACATAGTGGAAATAGTCTACTGCTACTTCCATGGTGGGCACATTCTGGGCTCAGCCAAGTGGGCGCTAAGGCGCGGAGAAACGTGCTCTATCACTGCCCCTGCTCGCTTCCCTGGTGCAGCGGGCTTTTTAGTTATAACTACTACTAGTAGACAAGAGCCGAATTAACCCATCTCTTTTTTTTCCTCTGCCGATAAAATGGCATGATCCAAGCCTTACCAGGGATCGTCATCGTCAGGTGAGTATCCCATTCTTCCCTAGCATCTTGCAGGCATCCCTTGTCCACCAGAGCTAGTATGTACACACGATACCACGCGGCGTGACCTGTGAGAGAAAGCTTTCAGCTATCAATTGAATGATCGACAAGGTGAAAAATGATAGCTAGAGTCACTTCTCTACACGATTTTGATTCAGACTTGTCTCTCAACATGCCGGCGGATCCGACACAACAAGCCCGACTTAACAATGGATGCTAAAATATCACAGGGTCCGAATAGAAAAATAAAAATAAAAATGCTATTACTAGTATGCAGCTCAAGTTGCATGAGATCTCCCAACATCGCCCCCAAGGATCTACAACGCTTGTTAAATTGCCTTGCCACAATCCTTGTAAGCGTGGACCCCCACAAGCGGTGGGTAGCTGAGAATGCCATTGTTGTAAAATGACAGGCGCCGGACGAGCAACAAGCCCACGTTTTAGGACATTCCTGCGCTATTTTATCCATTTCACAGGAACTAATCACATCGCAAAGCCTTGTTTCCCCTCTCTAGCATGATCGCCACGGCTGAGATTCCAAGTGGGTTTGCGGTAAGTAATGGAGTTTTCGGGAGGCTTAGCCCTGGCCCATGAGAGCATGCGATTCACGAACCGTGGCCAAACAAGGATTCTCTCTTGTAACTAAATTTAAGCGCCCGTAAAGCTAAGAAAAATGAATAACGTCACGGGTAAGACATTTACAGTCTTTAGGGTCAACTGAGGGCTATCTAGCTGTTCCTACTCCTCCTCCTCTCTTTTTCCGATCAGTCATATTTCAATCTTGACACTAGTGAATGAGATAATAGTATTGTGTTCTATGCCCTAGCTTTTGTTATTTGCAGCTGAACAGTAATGTAATGCTTGATACCTTGAGACTCCATCTGAGCCCAGAGTTGTAATCACCAGCCAGACTTGATACTATGAAATGTGCTATACGATTACTACAAACAAAAATACAATGTTAAAGCCAAAAACGCATGAACCCAAGTCCAATCTCATCATTCAGGGCTCTCCCCACCATAACCAGTCCATCAAAGAGCAAATAGCCGCCGCCGCCATTCGGGTCCCCTCTTCAAACCACGCTTGCTCATCATCCGATAGCTCGCACAAGTGTCACCACCTCAATTCCGAATCCAGCTTCTTATCGGGCAACAATACTCTCATCACAGCTGAAAAGAGCAAACAAAACAGAGACATGCAGCCTTAGCATGGCATGGTATCCCCTGCTCGCAGGAGAGGGGAAGCAGCTCTTCTGCCTCACACATCTCCATAGCGGGCTTAGCAATTCTGTTATTCAGACCGCAACTCTGACATTGGTCTAGCTCAGCGTCCTAGAGGCCTCTCCATCATCTGATAAAAAACGCACGTCGTTGATCAGACACCCCTTGAACCTACCTATCAGCCTCCTTCAAAGGATTCGGATCCGGAGCCACCTGTGGGGCTTTATCAGCTACAGATTTTTGTTTCCCCTCTTCCGGATAGATGGGGCGGAACCGAGCCATTGTTTGCGGGGCGGCCCTCGGGAAAAAGAGACTTTATCGCACAGTGTCGATGGTAAGTCTGGTATACTGGGTGACTGGAGTATCGCCTTATACACGATCTTGCATCTTGATACGGCAGGCAGCCCCAAGGTAACGCCAAAAATACAAGGCACCACGTCATAAATGAGCTGAATATATTGTAACCTTCAATTGGAGCATAACTTTTAAATATACCACAACTAATTTTTGTGTAACATGAACCATAATCAGTAAAATCCAACCTAAAATCGATGAACAAAGACCTCCACTACATATAAACGATTGCGCACTCCAATATTGACAAGAAAAGAGAGGGGATAAAAAAAAACATTGCTTTGCCACTCCCCCAGAACACCAAAATTCAAGTAATATAAGACACAAGCCAAGTATTGTGCAGTGAATGTAAGAATAAAAATGTCAACAGCGGGGGATATGCCACCATGCTCCTTCGAACTACTGACTGAGACATGCATTGGACCAGCTCTGTCTTCACTCAACTGTCCCAAATGGCGCCAAAAGCGGGAACACCTCGAGTCTCTAGGCCATATACGACCTTTTTAGTGATTTTTTCATTGGCAATGATGATAACGGCTTCGGCGTTAAACTCCTTGACCATGTTATAACCCATGCGAACAAGGTCGGGCCGGCCCTGGGTTCGGGTGTCGTGGATGATCGCGCCAGGGATGGACCCTTTGATAGTGTTGATGACTTTCTTACCAAACGTTTTTTCGGGAGATGGGGTTGACCAGATGAGCTGAGTGGGACAGCTTGGGTGGCCGATATGACCTAGCATGGGGCCAATACCAGATCCCGTGGCAATCACGACAACGCGATTAAACAGCGTGGCAATGCGCATGACTCCGCATGCCGGGAGACCACGTACCCAGATGCTAGTGGGAGGATTCCGAATGCACGACTTGGTCCAATCGCCAGCATTGGATACCACAAGAGAATAGCCTGCCGGAATGCCCGCTTCGAGGTCTGGCTGTGGGGCTGGGATCGTCGCAAAAGAGTGCCACTCGAAGAGCGGACGGTGGGAGATTCGCGTAAAGCTACCATTCACAGGAACTGTATAGTCAAAGTGCAAGCGGACGGCATGCTCTGACAGCGGCTCGGCGTTGACCTTGACCTTGCGGAGGAAGAACCAAGAGAAGGCAACGCTAAAGGTGGCCACGCTAAGCATCCAAAGGGCTGGAGTCTTGGCCAAGGCAAGCCCGAAATCCTCACCAGCTGGTGTAGAGTCGTAAACGGAGACAACAGTCTTGGCCCAGAAAAGCGCAAGTGCAGACCATCCGAGAAAGCGGTGCATCTTCTCAAACATGTCGTGATTGGCCTTTCTAAAAGGAGGCCACGCAGCCGCTACAATAAAGCAGCAGAGAGCACAAAGTAGCCACGAGACGACTAGGTTTGCTAGAGAAGCCCTTGATGGAGGCCCGTCTAGCTGGAAGCGAGCAACGGTAGCTTGAATGGTAGATGCGACGAGCCATGCAGTGGCACAGATACCGGCACCAGAGTGGATCCCGCCGAGATGGTAGATCTTTGCGCAACGCCGGCGAATCCAAAGTGGAAACGATTTGGGAACAGAGCAGAACGTAGTGTAGAGAATGTTGATGACGACATCTTGGCGGATAAGGACACCGGCGACAAGGTTAGCAGCTGTTATGGTTGCAAGCCATTCCACTCTAGGGCGGAGAACAAGAACGGCAATGAGCACTCCGATATTGATGAAGCTGACAAGGCTGAAGAGAACTCGATAAACAATGAGAATACGCTTTCTGAGGCCTCTCCACGGTTTAGGCCACTTCTTTTCAGGAACATCGCGAGATAGGTCAATCTCTTCTTCAACCTTGGCTTCGTTTTCTTCGGTGGAAGCGGCAGTGAGAGACGAGGCCGAAGACACAGACCGAAAGCCAAACAAGGGGCTCGATTTGCCACTGTCTGCTTTTGGGAGAGTTGCTGATTGAATTGTTGTGCTGAAAACGGTTGATGATTCCGAAATGGTAGGGGAAGCTGGTCCAGTAGCCAGCATACGGAGAGATTTCTTGTCAATCTTGCCATTGGCGGTTGTAGGGAATTCATCTAGCAAATGAATATTAGACGGCACAGCATAGTATGGTTGAAGTCTACGAGTGTGCTCTAGAATGGCTCCGGTATCCTGGTTGGACGGGACCACAAAACCGTGAATCTCTCCGTCGATAAGGAGGGCGCATGCACGGGTGACACCTGGCGCAGCGGCCATTGATGAGGAAACGCCATCCAGCTCAACGCGGAAGCCCTAGTTACAGCAGTAAATTAGATTCCGTTCCTCAATACAGCACCATGGCAACAGCCTCAGGAGGAAGATATGCGTATTGATGGAGACTCACTTTGACTTTGACCTGGTCGTCAGCGCGACCCAAGATTTCGATGGAGCCGTCCGGCCGCCACTGGCCCAAGTCCCCGGTACAATACATTTTGGATCTATTATTGTGAGACAAAATAAGTGAGTCAAATGTTGCTGCGCTTCTTGGAGGTCTGAGCGAATAGGTCCCGGGCAGAAAAGAAGCTCGAGGATCACTCCCTTAAGAGAACTCACCCGTCATTGGTAAATGGATCTGGAATGTAAGACTCCTTTGTCTTGGCCTCGAGGCCAACGTAGCCGCGAGACACGCCATATCCGCCGGCCCACATGGTCCCAGGTTCACCTACTGGCACGGGATTTCCATTGTCATCGAGGATGTAGACGTTGTTATTGGGGGTAGGGCGACCGATGGACAAGCCATCCCCAACAATGTGCTTCTGCATGGTGTTGACAATGGTCGTCTCCGTGGGGCCGCAGCAGTTCCAGTAAGTTGCGTGTTTAGCCCACAGATCAGCAAGACTAAGAGACAGCGTTAGAATGAAGACTCCGAGTCAGATGTTGTTGGAGGGTGGCTTTACTCTTGTGATGTGGGCTCGCCAGCTGTGGCGGCGACTTTGATGTTAGGATACTTGGTAGGAGGGTATTTAGACAAGATGGTAGGTGTGCAAATCAAAGTATCGAGCTGAATTGAGGTTTTCCCAGTGTTAGTCCAATTTCTCAAATAAATCTTCATCGATTCGGTGTGATCCAGTCTCCCTTTAGTACTCACCAGCTCAATAGCGGGCTCCCATCTAGAACCCCGGATGACAAGGGTACCTCCATTGCATAGACACGCAAAGATCTCCCAGGCGGCTGTACTCGATTATTAGCAACATGAAAATTGATCCACAGCGGCAATTAGAAGAGAGGTGAAGACGACCCCAGGGAGCAACATACCCATGTCAAAGCTAATGTTGAGCACTTGTCCCACCCGATTGCCTGGTTGAATACCCAAGTTACCGGGAGACATACAAACAAGATTAGCAACATTTTTATGTGTCACATCAACCCCTTTGGGTTTGCCAGTTGTGCCTAATTTTGCAAATGTTAGTTTTCAGCTGCTGCCAGTGAGAGGGAGAAGAAGAGAATTTGAAGCGCAGCTGCGTGAGAAGTGCCGTACCAGATGTGTAAATGATGTAACATCCGCTATCTGAAGTGGCTAAATCCACCCATTTCTCATCATGCGGCATACTGTCAAGGTCTTGCTGCTCAATGATGACTGGAGTGGCGTTAGGGCAGAGATCTCGAATCCGGCGGACAGTAGACGTTAAACAGCAGATAATGTTGCCGCCAGATTGTTCAAAAACGTGCCGGATGGTCGAGTCAGGAACAACACCTCCATCAAGAGGAACATATTGTGCACCACAGGACAGGATAGCCCAGATGCCCACCACCATCTCAGAGCTCCTTTTAACAACGAGAGGAACCCGATGGTGGGGACGAACACCAAGGCTACGGAGCTTTGTGGCAAGTGCCTGAGCCCGAATAGCGAGTTGGCGGTATGTGATCTGCTGGGTGGTTGCACCAGACAGATCATGGAGGGCAATATTTTCAGGGAAAGATGTGGCATAGTGGTAAAAAGATGAGGTGACTGTTGGAAAGGGGCATGCGATCTTGGGGCCATACTGCATGGCAGCATAGTCTGTGTGAAGACTTGAAGTCTCCATGACTCCGGCTGGATAGATGTAGATAGATCTATGTGTGTGTGGATGTGTATATGGATGTGTATGTAGTCTGTAATGACAAGTGCAGGAGGGTGTTCCTCAAATGATGAAGCAGTGGATGGTGGGCAGTGAGGAGCATTGATGTAAGAGGAAAGTTAAAGAAGAGCACGGCACTGCGTTTGGAGCGTGCTGTTGAGAATCTCTGCTTGTCCAACCCGAGGAAGAGGCCGAGCGCACCACCATTTATATAAGTGAGAGGAAGATCAGTCTCTGTTCCCTTGTTCCCCTCTTCCAACGGCGACGGTCTCGCAGGACCCAGGATGAGAAGGGCCTGGCCCATGGTGGATAACGAGCCATCCATCATAACCCTGAATATAATATGGACTATAACGAATGAGAAGTATTGAATGCATGGACGAGCGACTTATTTGCACGGTCCTTGCCGTTCTTGGGCGAATATGAAAGTGTGTGAGTGGTCTCGCTAAAAGACCCATCGAGGCGCTGATGCCCGATACAAAGACACCAGCGCTCACGCGCGTGGAGGCTGAGACCATCCAGGGTCAAGGGCAGAAACTGCAACATCGAGAGATACAGAAGAAGTGGAGGCAGAGCAGGGACGTACAGGGCTTGGAGGACGTCAAAGACGCAGGTGATGCAGTGCGGGATGTCAGGGTGTGTCTATCGTAAGATATATGCTTGTATAAGCGCGGATGGCGATTATACAGCTGGCCATGACTAGTGTTGGCCTGCCTCGTCCGCAAACTAATGCAATTGGAAGACGATGCCCACTGGGACAGTATCTGACTGCTTCTGTTACTGACCGCAGAGGAGCTACTAGAGCTACTCCCGTTCATATTGTATATTTCCCCGTTTCTCCTGATCTTGCTCCCCTCCCATCTCCATCACGAGGTGTAGAAATGTGATTAAGAGGTATTATACGCTACTTTTTTTTAACTCTTGAAAGGAGGCACTCCAGGGCCAGCAGTCTTCCCCATCACATTCCCGTAAAAGAAGAGTGCATGCAGAGTAGTAAGCCGCAGCGGTGCAAGGCTAGCTTATATGCTGAAGGGGGGGGAGAGATGACATACTGAGGGATAGAGGGATGAACAGAGGGATGTGAATCACTCCAAGCTGATGCCCGTTCACAATGCCACTAGATCTTGGCCATGCCAGCTGTGGAGAAGGACTGAGCCCCGGATAAAACGAGTGAGAGACGGGTCAGCGAATGGGATGTAGAGAAAAGGATAGCGGGAGGAGAGGGATGGGGCTGAGAGAGAGCGAAGGAGAGACAGCCAGACACGAAGGAATGCCGCGGCTGGTTACAGCGGACCAAAAGGGAACCGAGCAGTACTTTGCACAGCCTAATTGGGAGACCGTCAAGCTGGCTGAGAACCCGGCTTGGCTGAAACAACATGGCCGTCGAGAGGTGAGCGTGCGGTGTTTCGGCGCTTGGGTAATACAAGCAGCAGTCGCGAGAGATGTCGTCGGCGGGTGGAACCGCTGGCGCTCGTATAGCGCAGCGGCAGTGGGCGACGATCTGCTGCCATGCAGCCGCTGTCGACAGACACCTACGATTAGCCTGTTAGGCGCGTCGAGCCAGCCCTTGTGCGCACCCAGTGCCTGCGACTGCGTCAACCGAGACACTGGCCTCTCTGCTCTCCCCGTGCCATGCCGTCCCATGCCATTGGGAAGGGGTCCAAGAAGCACCCCATAGGATCCTCCAGCGAGTGCCACCAAAAAGGTACCACCCCACATTCGTACAGAGACGCCCCGGTCACAGCGTGTGCGAGGCGGACTGTGAGGAGAAGTACTTCGGTCGTGCAGAGTGGTGCTGAGGCGGCGGTGATTGGGATGGCAGATCCACTACCCCGGTAACCCATGGCGGCCGATGCGGATGAAAATGGTAGGTGGTGCGCGAGGCGGCCACAGCGACGACGGTGCCGCTGGTGGTAATGATGGCGAAGGCAGAGCAGAGAGCGACACGGTAGATGATTTGAGAACATCGTCTTTGATAGGGCATAGACGGAGGTGTGAGGGAGCGGCAGGGAACTTTTTGTTAGCCGTACTTTTTAATCTTGTTTTTTCTATTAATATATAGAAATATATTACGATATTACCCCATTGATGCATTATGCTATTATTATGTTATGCAGCGAATATAGGCTCAAATCATTATTCCGCTGAGGAAAGCGCGGCCCAAACAGGCAATAATTGGGCAATTGCTGTTGCATCGTACGGGACCGTGCGGTGGGAGTAACGGCCCTCCGCGACTGCCTGCTGTGCTGTGCGCAAGCTACCAAAGATACCTGGGCCTGAAGCCATTCTTGCCTCGCGATTGCTCTGTTTTACCAGCAAACCTTCTTTTGCACTTGCACTTGCCACTTGTCTCTGACTGATTTTAATTTTCCCACCATTGTCCCATAGTAGGAACGGCTGGACCAAAGCAAGACCCTCCATGTGCCACCATATTCCGTCCTTCAAGATATGCTTTAGTACAAAGTACCTGCCTAGAGCAAACTGGATCTTTTGCTCAGCATCTCGACTCGTCGACTTGCAACACACACTCGCGCACTCGCACACACAAAATATACTTGCTACACTGATCCTAGCTGCGCTCTCCGTTTGGGGTGCATTGGACACCTCGTCCGTGCCTACAGGGGGAGCTTGAGTATGACGATAACACAGAGGAAATTAACCACCAGGTCCTTGCGTGCTTGGCCTCCCTTGGATGAATGTTACGAGGCCGGCCTCGCCTCGCCAATGTGACATGTTATAGGCATCGCGGCAGGATAATCAGGGTACGACATGGGCTCGCCAGTTCACGCCAGCGCGGTGGAGGATTGCGCTTACATAGTGCCATCGATCACGATATCCTGGCCGGCAGACTGGCTATGGCGTCACTCAACGCCTCAACTGTCCAACCACCCGCCATCAGTTGGACCTGTCATTCTTGGACTGCTCCCGATTGGCAAGGCCATGTATGTTGCCTCGTTTGTTATCCCACCGGAATAAAGCAGGTCGAGCGCGGCATAAGGACGAGCAGAGCTCCAGAGCTCGAGCTAGAGCTGCCGGCCTATCAGTGGAGTTCCGCGCGTGATGCACTCGGAATGCTACCGTGCCATTCGTTTCGCTTGGCCCTATATAGGACGTCCCCGCCAACCTCTGTTCTGCAGCCCAATAGCCGTACCCCAATCCAATTCCCTATCATATTCCTTCTAATCGCTCTTTTCCCTCCAACAGCTTCGTCAGCTACATCCCATCCCACACGTGTCATCTTGCAAGGTTCTTGGCTATAGCGGGTTGAATCGGCGATCTCGACACTATGTCCGCATCTACAGCTTCCCCTGGAAAGCTCATACAGACTTCCTCTCTCGTTGAGGGTGTCAGAGTCATTGCTTTCAATCGCCCCCAAAAGCGGAATGCCCTTTCTACAGAGCTCTTGACGGAGTTTCTGGTTGAGCTGTCTGCGGCTTCTAAGGATGCGGCAATCAAAGTCATTGTGCTTACCGGCGTCGGAGGCTTCTTTTCAGGTGAGCTGGGGCGTTTACTTAGACGAAACTTTGAGGCTTCTAGGAGTTGTCTTTGTCTTTCCATCCGCTTATTCCCTTTTCACGTGCTCCCAAGACCTCCTGGAGATGAACCCCCAACTGATCATGGCCGGGGCCGTGGCTCTGCATAATAGCTGGAGCCGATCTACAGGACATCGCAGCGCTCGACGCGGCTGGCGCTAGATCATGTCGATATCTGGAGAACCTTTGCAATGGCATGGCGGCAGTTCGGAAGCCTCTTCTGGCAGCTGTCGAAGGACCTGCAGTACGCATGACCCACTGACGCTTGTCATCCTCGATATACTGACGTGGGGTTGCCGTTTTGGCGGAGATAGCTTGGGGGTGGATTTGAGGTTGCCCTTATGGTGAGTGCTCTTGGTTTTCACGTGAAATCTGCATCTCTGAACCTTCTCTCGTCCTTCCTATCTGGGCCATTTCGGCCGATATTCCTTCACCTTTCCGTATCGCCCGATAAGCATTCAGATATGCATGGCCCTTCCAATTTCTGGAAGCTATAAAAGGCATGTGCTGACAAATTTGCGACTGCAGTGCGATATGATATTTGCGTCTCAAACTCGAACCTACTTTGCGCTGCCAGAAGTCAAACGAGGCTTGATTCCTGGCGCCGGAGGCACTCAGCGCCTCACAGCTGCGCTCGGCAAATTCAAGGTACGCCTTCTGGAACAGCTCTTTATTTTCCGAGATTTTGTTCTTATCTAGTATTTGAGTTTCTTTTGGTTTCATTTTTCGCTCTGGTGTGGCTGTTGTTCCATTGCAGCACTTGCGGTACTTTTGCGGCTGCCGAAGACGGGTGTGGGTGCAGGAACCATTGTAACTGGCCCAGGCCTCATTGGACAAATCTATCTGAAATACTTTGGCGTACGCTCTGCTTACACCTGTTCAGGCAATGCGTACTATTCTCTTGGGCAAACCCATCACTGCCGAGGAAGGGCTTTCACATGGCCTTGTTTGTGAGCTCTTTGAAGACGGTGCAGTGCTTGAAAATACTGTCAAGGTGGCCGCCGATCTAGCCGCCAATGCGACCGAAGCTATGCAGCTTGCCAAAGAAGCCATCTGTCGTGGTAAGAACAACTTCAGCCCCCCTTTGAACTTTTGTCACCATCACCATCATCGCAATTGCTGACGCAACACTTGTCTTTCTTCCTGCCATTAATAGCCGACAGCCTTGGGCGTGATGACGAATACGAGAGGACTCTCTACTACATCACCATGGGCACCGAAGAGAAGATCAAGGGTGTTAATGGATTCCTCAAGAAGGAATAAAGGATCGATGCACTTTTTGCCTCATTTAGTAAATGAAGTCTTTGGTGCCACATTGGCCTAACGGAGGAAGGAATCCATGGTGCATAGCAAATTGAGCCTTTGCATTCCGTCATTTTTTCAGAAATCTCTCTGTGAGAGAACAAGTCTATTCACTGCTTATGGATTTGTTATCTTTCCGCCGTGACCTCTCAGCATCACAGCAATGAAGAATCCAGAAACAAGTATCCACTCGAATTAACCTGTTACCATCATCTGATCTCTTACGCTCATAACACCTGCCTGTATTGGTGGCTGTTGGATCTCAATGCTCTCTGAATGTGAACGTATAACTCTTTCTCTTTCGGTATGTTTGGCGTTGCTATTACGTGACTGCATAAAACCGCACGTGGTGAAGTTCCATGTAGGAAAAAATACTCCGAACACCAAGACATTTTGATGCAGCAAAGCAAATGCTACGGCGGACGTTTTCGGTTTCCGGATTTCAGTATTGTGTATCAAGCACCCCACAGAAAGTAAGACTTCTCGTATACCGACAAATCATACTTGAGGCTTTTGTATGGGTGTTAACATGTTTCAGTCCTGCTTTTCGAATATGGCCATGTCCTGGCCGATCCCTACGACAAACAACGACCTCACGTATGCCTGCGACGATGCTCAAAACCATGTTCTCGGGATGAAACTAGAGTACACATGAGCACTGACCATTACAGCCGTGTAAGTGTAGTAGCTAGCTACCGTGGTCTAAAGCCGGCAGCGCCAAATCAGACATCAGACCACTTCGTAGATGTCATGGATATATACGTCACAGTGCTATATCCCAGCTACGGATAAGCATTGGTAGCACATGAGAGGTAAAGACATATAATTACGTCCAGTACTCACTCATTGAATAGCGAGGAGGTAGGAGCAAGAGCGAGAAGGGAACAAACTGGGGGGCTGACCCCTTGGTGCGGCAGATTGGCTTGATTGAGATTGTGCCACCATCCATCTCAACTCTCGGGTCCATGTTGGGCCCGAGCCAGTAGTGCAACGCTCGTGAGTTCGACTTGTTATATTGAACGGGATCATTGAGCCATGCAGATCACATGACGGTGCGACGCCCCATTCTGTCTCAGTCATTTTAAAGTAGATGCATAAGAGGGCCGCATCTGTACCGATCCAGGTCGAACCTGCTGATGGTTGGTTCTATATTTACTAACTTATTAAACCTTTTGCTACAGCTCACACCCGATCTGGGATGAAGAGACAGACAAAAGCACAGAATTTGCCGTAAAGAGCCTCCTGAAGTAAGACACAGTCACATTTGGCTGCATTCCACCAACGCCACCGTTCCATCTGAGACTCACTTGGCTCAGACACCAGCTCCCGGCCATGAGCTCAGCGCAGATGTCACCCCTCTCTCGAGACTTTTGCATCTCTCTCCTCCCTTCTCTTCTCTTGCCACCACGGCCCACTTCAGTTCAGCACAGATTATAGTCACCAGAACGTTCTTTCCCTTCTTCTCCCTCCAAGCTTATTCACGCACTATGTGTTTTTTATCCCCGAGACAGATCGGCGAAGCAGATGCGCCCCAGACACGTCACATTCCCCCACCACTCTTCTTGCGAGACACTCGAAATTAACCATGTGTTGCGTATATTGGGGGCCAGTGTTACCACCCACCCGGAGAACAGTGCATTGGAGTGAATCTCAGAGTGGTGCTCCGTAATACAACCACTACCAGGAACTTGGGAGCATTTTGCTTGTTGTATCTATGTACTTGGGCCAGTGTCCACTCGGACCACGCGGCCGAGACGATTCCACCCGCCTGGTATGGGGATTTCACTTGTGATAGCGGCACCACCTTAATCGCACGCAAGTTCTTGATACAGGCGATGACGGCACACTTTTATTTTATACAAAAGCAATGAAATGAAATGAAAAAGAAAGGCGCTAATAGCCCACAACAGCACACATACGAAGAGCTAGAAGTGAATATTAAATGGCAAACTAGTACTAAAAGGTATTTGATCCGGTGCAAATTGTATTGTTTGTCTGCGGTTAACTAACAGCGCACAAGCGAGATTTTTCTTGCTTTCTCCATTTTATTTCCTCCCTCCCTTCCCTTTTAGTTCAGGCGAGAGAATATCTCATGGGGGGAGGGAAAAGAAAAGAAAAGTCGTACGATTCTACAAGATCAACAACAGTCGGCGTTTTCTTCCTTGACTTTTCTTCCTGTTTGAGACAACACCATAGATGACGGGGGTTCCGGGGAGGCGAACCGCATTCTTTGACTGCGTACTGATGCACACATAGGTAAGTACCTACCTATACACTAATCTAAGTAGGTACATGATACATATTGCAGTTCAAGTGAGAGTGAGAGTGAGAAGATATACGTAGCTAATCATATTCCTATTAGCCAAAATGATTGTTTTTACACGTTCATATCCTTGAGATAAATCAGCTTATATCCATCTATCACCAGGGCGGCACCGTCCGATATCCGCAGGTTCTGGATATTGTAATAGGAAAATAGAAAAAAGGAAAGGGAAAAGGAAAAGAGGGTGAGTAAGGCTAAAGTTTACCGGATCGACATCCGGGACGGCATAATAACGCTAAAACTGAGGCTCCCAGGGAAGAACAGCTCGCGTCTCCTCATCTAAGATGTTTCGTTTCGTTTGGGGAAGGATTTGCATAGTGACAGATCGCCTTGAACATTCGCTCGATTCCCTTCACCCCTCCTGGGTATAGATGGAGATGGGGCATAGTGCTCGTAGCAACGCTTCAGCTGTGGCGGTCGTTATTTCCTTCTAACCTTCTTCTTCCTGCTCATCCCTTGAGCAGGACAGGGGGATCTTTTAGCGTCGTCGGCCTAGAGTTTTTAGAGTTCTGCCTAATCTTGTTGCTTTTTCTCTTGGCGATGCTAGTGGTTTTTAACCAAGCACAGCGGTTTCAAGGAAGAAGCAGCCTAAGAATGTAGCACGGCTGACCTGTCACATTGTGTTGGCGTTGTTCATGGGGGGGTGTGTGGACTTTTCAAGAACATTTTTTTCACTACCTCGTGCACGGATGCACATTAAAATGTTTCTGGGGAATCTAAGATTGGCTTTTTTTTTTTTTCCTGCACATGTACGATGCTTTTGCTCCCTCGTCGATCACTTTTCTTCTTGCGGATATTCGGGGCCCAGGGCCACGGCACGGGGATAAGTAGTGGTATGTCACGTTGGATACAGTATTTCGGGAGAAGGGTTCGACATACTAGGATCGCAGAACCGACATGTCATTTCTTTTCTTTTTTTTCTTTTTTTTCCTTGTTGTATGCCAAGGGGGAGGAGGCGATTGTGCTTGATTAGAGTTGGACGAGGGCTCGTATAGAGTGGCGAGGTCTTTAATGAGTGTTTTACTGCGGCGATGTTGAAGTCGTACGCCGGAGATGAGGGCCGTATTAGGTAGGGAATCGTAGGGGGTTTCCGATGGTTGCCTACCCTGGAACTGGGATGAAATTCTGCGACTCCTGGGATGGAGGAAGTGTGAGTTGAATACGCTTGATGAGTTTATGTCAGAATTTGGAGTAGATTCTTTGCTGGATATTTGATATACATTGATGCATACTCGAATTCGGATGCTGATGCTGGCTGAACGTGCTCCTCTCATTGAGATACTTCGATATGTCAGAAAAGGCCAGAATTTTAAGCGAGCACCAAGCACACCGAGTTCCATAGAATCCATGATAAACCCAACTAACACGTATTCAATTACTTCTAGATATTTTTTTATTTTTTATTTTTTTACCTGCATATTATACTTGTAAATTGATTGTTACAACTAGGTCTAGTCGCTAGCCAAAAGCTCATCTCATCGTTGGCCATTCTCTGGCTAGCCAATCCGCTAACACCAGCAATACAGCTCCAAAAGCTCCCTATCCCCACGTTTTTCCAACGCTGGCTCAACAGCATTCTCACCTTCAATCACCATCAAGCCAAGCTCACAAAACAAAGCCCCTTAATGAACTCTACAATCTAATAACTTCATACATCAAACTATTTCATTTTACCTCCACAATGGCGCAGCAAAAAGCCCTACGCGACTGGCTATACCTCTTCATCATCGCCACCCAGCTCTTTGGCATGCTCGGTAAGACTTGAATATCTACCTACTCATCCACAACGGCATAGATAGACAAAGCAAAGCTCAACTCAGCTCACAATCCCCAACTTCGCAGCTCTCGACCTCGTCGCCTTCTACCCCAAATCTCTCTACCAACCCCCCTCCGCCCCCCTCCACTTCCTCCTCTCTCTCCGCAGCTTCTACGTCTCCTCCACCGGCGACCCTTTCTTCGCCCACTCGTCTCCCCACCAGCCGTGGTTCGAAATCTTCCTCTACATCGAGGGCCTCGTCCAGCTCCCGCTGGCGGCATATCTCGTCTCCCAGCTGGCTTCTAGACGAGCCACGTCGGGACCTGCCGAGCTGGCCGGGCTGGCGTTTGGGTCGGTGACGTTTATGGGCGCTGCGGCGTGCTGTTTTGAGTTGTTCCACATGGGCGACGACATGGTGGGCGCGGAGAAGAAGGCGTCGCTGCTGTATGGGACGTATCTGCCGTTTGCTGTTATCCGTACGTGTCAATGTTGAAAAACTCTTCTTTTCTCCTTTTGGACAATGCTTCACGTTGCTGACAGATGGGATGTAGCTGCGCTGCTGGCTGTGGATATGTATCTGCGGCTATTGCCTCGTGTCCAAGAGTCTGACACAAAGGCAAAAACTCTGTAAATGCGATCTGTCTGGTTAAGATAAAAGCCAAAGATGCTGATTTGGATATACTTTTCTCGTCTGGGGTTTGAATCAAAGAATTGCCACTGTCATACTACAGGAATAATACAATGTATTAAGAACCAACCACCCAAGAGCTCAGCATATATAGATGCTCCTTTCTAATTCATGGCCGCCACCCAAACTCCAGTTCGTACGAGTCCATCATACAGAAAGAAAGAAAAAAAAAAAAAAAAAAAAAAATTCAACGCAAAAAACATCCATTTGCATTCGTACATTGCCCCCCCCCCCAAAAAAAAAACCACCACCTAGTCCTTTCTTTTAGAATATCCCCATCCATTACCCACACCATATCCCAACGGCGTAGCTCCGCCCATAGACCTGCCCTTGAGCCTGCGAGGCAGAATCACTCCCATGGTATACATTCCAGCCACCAAAAGGCCGGCAATAAACGAGACGAGGCTGTAAAACACGGTGCTTGCATATATATGCCCCCCCAGGCCCTGCCACTCCACGTGCCCCTCCGTCTTGGGCAGCATCGGGGTCGGGAACCAGCGCACGGAGAAGCTAAACGGCAAGGGATCGCCAATAACGAGCTTCTTGGTAAAGGAGCCCGTCATGTGGCTCAGCGGGCTGGTGCTGTACGAAACGGCAGAGTCGAGCACGCCGCTGTCGTGGCTGTGCATGTGGTGCTTGGGCATGCTGTGCAGCAGCACGTTCATGTGCGTGCTGATGTGCATGTGGCTGAGCTGCAGCGTGCCGGCCAGGGCGAATATCAGCGGGATGTACTCCTGCTCGGGCAGCTTCTCGCCAATGACCTCGACGTGAGGCGGCGGGCGGGCGGGCAGGCGGCACGAGAGCGGCGCATCGTTGTGGATGTAGAACTCGAGCAGGTGGAAGAAGGGGTCGGTGATGAGGGGGATGGTGCAATTGACCTCGCCTTCGACGCCGTAGTGGAACTGCAGGGGCTCGCCGGTTTCGTTGCATGTTGGGAAGGGGATCCATTGCAGCTGGTGGTTGGCCAGTTCGATGTGTTCGCCGGTATCACTGGGAGGGGGGAGAGTCCCATGTCAGCATCCTTCTTCTCTGCTGCTTCTTCCTTTGCGACTCACGAGCTTCGGTTCATGCATTCCACGTGGATTGGCGCGCCATAGTGGTACGACGGCAGAGGCACGTTGGCGGCAGCAAACGACGCCAGGCCGCCAACCAGCGTTGCGACGGCCGCGAACCGCATGGCGATGGTGTTGGTGGGCGCTTGGATGGACGGACGGATGGAGATGGAGATGGAGATGTTGGCGGGAGTCGCGTCCCGAGATTCCGCTGCTCGGTGCTTCTTCTTCTGCTTCGCTGCCACCGGGTTCAGGATACGTTGCGATCCATCTGCCGGCTTCGCTGCGGTCAACGGTCAAGCAGATGCCGTTTCTTGTCCTCGGCGCGGGCTCTCGAAGCGTGTCATGAGCTGTCGAGATTTGGCCCCATCGGGACATGCCAGAGAAGGGGAGCTAATTTCGACGGCACTGCGCCACAAGCGTGGGGGTTTACTGTGGCTGGGCTGGGCTGGGTACTTAACAACGGTGATTTAATACATACTCGAGCTTCATATTGATGCGAACAACGACCTATGGCATCTCTATTTTTCTCTCATCGTCCAGTAAATAAACTAGCTCATCAAGACTTTGAACAGCTCGTCTTTTATTTCTCCACAGTCCCCGCCATTGTTATCACCAGCCACTCCATGCTCCACCCCTCGCCGTTGTACTTCTTCTCCAGATACTGCCTGATCAACTCCCTCACCTCCTCCACCGGATGCGCATTTCTCACTTCCTCGCTCCAAAACGTATTCATCACCCACGGCAGCATCATTGCAAAGCACTTTACAAATTGTGTCGCGTTTTCAATTTTACAGGTGCCCGGGTTCTCCTTGACGGACACGTTGGCAAGCCCCAGCTCTTTCAGATGGCCCTCGATCCATGCTGCGTCGTCCCAGTGGCCGGATTTGTGCATTTGCATGGGCAGTGGATCTGGCATCGGCGCATCAAAGGGAAGCGATTGCAGTGCTTCGCGCATGTCCCGGATCCAGAACATGTTGGCATTGCTTTTGGGCCATGTGGAAGCGCCGAATCTGCCGCCCGGCTTGAGCAGTCTCATGCAGTCTAAGAGCATCTTCTCGTAAGTGAATGCCGTTGATGAATGGCTGACTGTGATGCTCTGTGAATCTTACCTCTTACTGCGGCATCTGGATCTGGGATAATGTGAAGCCCCAGAGCAATCGCCACATGGGTGAATGAGCTTTCTGGAAGACCAGTGTCCTATAAAAGCAGGTATATATGAGTAGCTGTGTATAACAAAATGTTCCAAATACAGGCCCTCACCTGAGCATCGAGCACTTTGGCCTCTACATTCACCCACTTCTCCTCAGCAATCCTCTTCTTCACCACATCCACCATGGCCTCAGAGTTGTCGGCGCAAGTAAACGAGCTCGACTGCAGAATCTCGTCTGGCAGCGCAGCTTGCACCTCCTGCGTCACCACGCCGACCCCACACGCGCTGTCCAGAAGTCTCACAGGCTCGGTGACGTTGCCATTGAGGCCAAGATCATTGACCAGAGGGTCAGCAATTAGCCGCAATACTCCTCGCGAGAAGTCTACAAAGTCTTTTTCGAATGTGGGCGTCTGCTGCGGCATCGTTTTGAAGTGCGCAGACATGGACTTGGCCATGGTTTCGATGTCGTCTGTGGCAGCCATTTTCAATTTGGAGGTAGATTGTTTGTTCAAGTTAAGTACCAAGTAAAATTGTCATCTGATAAAAAAAAAAATACCGGCAAAGAGAAGATCTTGAATTGCCATTTTTATAATTCATGACCATGTAGCTTTCCGTTGTCGAAATGAGGCGCAAGTATCCGAGAAGTTACCGTGCGCAACCCTCAGCTCGCCAAAACTCTACCACAAAGTCTCCGCATTGTTTGCGAGTCCGCTTACGGTCACATGTTGTAAGCGAGCAAGTTTCAAAACTGTTCTACACGAAGCTTGCACAACTACGTAATAAGGTTTTATGCCGTCAGATGATATTGGGTTGAATTGAGTAGTCTATCAATGATGCTTAAACCACCACTTGACGTAGGCAACCATCCATCCTATCCGGCATAAGCCAAACCTGCCAAGCAGAATCTCGGCAACAAAAGCACAGCCTGATGCTGCCCACTACAAATCCTCTCCCAATTTCTAGAAGCCATCACCAGCTTTCTTTTCTTCTTTCTTTCTCTTTTCTTTATTGAAGCACTCTGTGTGTCCTGCCTACGGGAGACCTGGCGGACACTTTATAGAGCCCCAAACCGGCTCTTAACTAGAACAATGCCCTGGGCTCGCTGTTTGGATGTTCTGAATTTGTTCCAATCATGAACACAGGTGACGTAACGAGCGTTGATCCAGGGAATAAGAGCCGGGAAGTGCTGTTCAAAAACGTGGATGCCGGCCGATCGCGCGCTGACGGTCTTTGTGGGATCGGAGCCGAAAAGTGGGGGGGGGCTGGCGTACGGAGGTCAAATGTCTCCGGCCAGAGAAAAACGTATTTTAGTAGGTATACGCTGCTGACTGTGCAGCAATCCAGTAGCGTTCCGGTGCTCTGGTATCGTATCGTATGTAATAGATATTATGTATAAGGTTATATCGTGGATAGTGTCGCATTTGGATTAAAAATCGCACGAGGATTCGATCCTCTTAAAGGGAACAAATGAAAACATGTTGCAGACGAGCTGCCACAATTTAAAAGAATGAAAATGAGTAATGCCAGGACCAGCCAGCCCTTACTCTCAACCCAGAGTCTGAATCACCAGCTCCATAACTCTCCTCTTCCTCCTTTTTTTCTCTCAAGAAATTGAATGTTGATAAAGTAGAAAAAAAAGAAAAAAACAAAAACAGCGACCAAATCCTCCTCTTATATACCCGTTAAACTCGCACTCTCTTCTCCACAGTAACACCACCATTCCCCCTCCTCCTCGCTCCTCTTCCGAAATAGTCCAACACGTACATATAAACAGACCAAATACGCGAACCAACAGATACACGAGACAAAAAAAAAAAAAAGGTACCTGCAGCTCTCACCACCGACTCAAGCCATGCCACGTAAACTCCCATCCCCGGCCCTGCATTCCCAAACGGGAAGCAGATGCTTACAACTGGCATATCTGCCCGTCCCCCAATCAGGCTTTGCGGGCCTCTACGCCCGAATAGGCCCAAAGACGCAATAGCCAAGAAGAAGAAAAAAGTGATAGAAACATGGGCGAAAGCTGGAAGATACAGGGGATACTATTGGTGCCAGGCCTGCAACTATTGCTAGGTGCCTGCTACTAGGCAAATCTTGGTACAGTAGCACTACCTGCTAATGCTAACAAAAAGTGAGGCGGTCTGGCCCGTATCGTGCAACATGGAACACGCAGCAACAACAACAACCTATCAAATCCGCAGATCCGCTCGCCTTGCCGTGATACAGCCTAAGAAAAAAAGGCGTTGCGGTAAATATTGACCACTAGGAAGCTGCATAAGCGAGTGAAAACGCATCAATTGGGTCATATGCGAGGATAGTCATTCAAAAGTCCTTGTTTTTTTACCATGTTTCGGTGGCTTCTGACTGGATATAATTCATTCCAAATCGCTTTGGGCATCCATCCATTAGACCAAAAAACAAGGCAAAATATCACCACCCAGCCATCTCAAAAGCAATCACAAGAGAATAAGCGAATAAAAGCTCAAGACTTCATACTAATCATTTCCTACAAACTGACAGAAGAAAGGCGAATAGAACAAAATTGGTAAAACACGCTTCTCCAGTTTCTTTTTATAACCTTCGCATAATAATATGCTACATACTCCATACATACATACCTTGAAAAAAAACTAACCTAGTCTGCGTTTCTACTTTATACACGCGCATATAGGTATATACTATATGCCGCGTGTGTGCGTGTGTGTATCTCGTGTTGTGCGTCATCTCTCTCTGTGTGTCTCCGTCTCTCTCTCTCTCTCTCACTCTCTTTTTCTTTCTTATGCAAATAATCTTTAAAATTTAAGAAACTTGACCCTTTGTTTAACCCCCCCATTTGGCGCCCCGTTTCACAAAAAACCAGAAATTACATGCCCGTCTTTCCCTTTGTCGCTTCCTCTCCTTTGCTTCTTCTTTCTTCTTCGTCTTCTCCCCCCGTTTATTTTTTTTTTCTCCTCCTTCTGGTTAGACGTGAATTTTTGAAACAAGCAGACAAAGTGAGAAAGGAATCAATGGTAAAAAGAAACCGGACAAATGATTACCACCATCCATCCTCCTCTCCCCCCCTCCCCCAAATGTAGCTACCGCATACATAAACAAAATCAAGGCAAAAAAGAGTCCACTCCCGGGATCCGCTCACATCTCACATCTCACATAAATCTCATGCTCGCTGTTGGCAACCGCTCCACTAGCCCGGCCACCTCTCTCCGCAGCATCCTCAGCACGCGTCGGATATCCGCCAGGTTTGCACCGCCGTCGTTGTGGCCCTGGCCTGCCGCCGGCAGAGCAGCCTCGCAACGTTGCAGGAGGTCGCCGATGGAAGGCCCAAGCAAGCCTCCCTTGGCTGCGCCGCCACGTCGCCGTACCTCAGCCACCCAATCGTTCACCACGTAGACGATGATCTCGATGATGCGGTTGCGCACCATGCCGCTAAAGCCATAGTCTTGCGTGTCAAAGATGTTCTCCAGCACACGCACAATCATATCATGGGACACGCCCAGAGATAGGAATAGCTGCACCGGCCACGTAGGATCGGCACCGATGGTGGCATCCTGCTGGTAAGTGACGGCATACCGACATAACTGCGGCAGAAGTGTCTGGATGGGGAAGACGAAGCTGTCCAGTGATGTGTGGTGAGCAATATTTTGGATCTTGCTCGTCACGGCTTCGTACGGCAAGGGAGGTAGCGACATGCCCGCCTCTGTCGCCTCATGTTTTGCCATGATTTCCGCGTGAGTCTGCTGGATCAGGCTATCCCATGTTGATGCGATGGTCGTGGGATTGCGGTAGTTGGCAGTGTGGTAGATCAGCAGGCACAGATCGTAGTATCCAGCCTGATCGGCGTAATCGTTGAAAAGCTGCACAAAAATAATATTAGCGTCCATATAAAGAAAAATGCCAACAAGTAGCGCAAGGTATTCTTACATCCGAAAGGCTGATGATTCTTCCATCGAGGGCCTTTTCAATCTCAACCTTTCTCTCAGCATCGATTCTGTCGTCCGCCAACAAGCGGCCCAAGAGATCATCCTGGATGTTGGCAACTTCCAGCAGATCCGTCACCTCGTGGTTCAGTCGCTGCTGCTGCTGTCGGCTGATACCAACAGTCGCCACATTGGCATTGGCCTTTGCCAAGCTGAGCAGCCTGAGCCGGTCCTTGATGTTAAGCGGAAAGTCGGAGCTGGCCAGCTCGGCCTGCACCTCAGCTGCATCGAAGAAGCGGCTGCGGTTGGTGTAGAAGCGGCAGAGGAGGTCGGCGTGCTCCACGTTGGTGCCCGCCAGCCGCTGCAGGAAGGTAATGACGTGTGGAGAATCGATGCCCAGTATCCGTTCGGTCCATCCCTGCTCAATGTACCATTCGTACAAGTCAAAGTGGAAGACTTCATCGTCTGACCCATTGACCACCTCGTAAGCCTCGTTTCTCTTAGTGGCGATGAGCGTTGGTCGGCCGTCAACCGTCAGCGGCTCCATACTTGAGGCGGCATCGAGGTGTCGCAGAACCTCGTGAATGAGGTCGTAAACTCTTCTCCTTTCATTAAAGGCGTTGGCGCGAGGATCAGCCGCAGGCTTGCCGTCGTTGATCCACATCAAGGCCGTGTTGCCTCTATCCTGCTCTCGGGCAACATAGAGACACAGCTGCACAGCTCCGGCGTAGTACTTCATGTCAATGTACTGTGCGATGGCAACCTGCAGGTTACCAAATGTCAGGCTGCGAGCCACTTTCTGGAAGAGAGATAAGCTCTCATTGAGGAGGATCCTGGACTGATTGGTGTTGGGCGGCTGCTCAGACGCCCTCTTTAGTGACTCCTGCGCCTTGAAGATGACTACATCATCGGGGCTGCAGAAGCTGCCGCATCTCCGCCTTAGCGCGTCTGCGACCGTCTCAACGTTTGAGCCACTCTCAATGTTGCGGTTGACGATAGCCTTGACTAACAGCTTAGCAAGATCCTTTCCATCTGCCTGTGAGAAGAGTTTCTCATAGGTCAAATCCCTGAGTTGCTGTCGAGAGGTATCATCCAGTCTGGCGTAGATATCTGATACACGCTCGTCAAATAGCATGAGCACAAATGAAATGCCTTCTGAGATGCTCTCCATTAGTTTTTGGAGCGCATGCAGTGCCTGGTGTTCTGCCTGCAGCGCCACCTCCTCCTGTCGGCTGGCAACTCGCTGTAAGTCAGAGGGGCCAGACATCCCCTGAATGAGGCCCTTGTTAGACTCAATGAATTTCCTTAGCCGCTCAAGGTTCTCCTGGGTGGTGATGAGCTTAGCAGGAGGGATGGACGAAGACACGGAAATCGTCCCATTGGGAGCAACGCTTGCACTGATGACGGGAGCTTTCCAAAGCTTCCTGATTAATCTTGACAGGTACATGGCCAATGCATCATGCCGGGATGACAGTTTGACCGAGTCCGTTGTGAGAGATGACCCATCAGTTTCTATGATTGTAGGCTGACCACCAAAGTCGACAAAAAGAGCTCTTGCTCGGTCTTCGGTTACTTGATCGATCGCCTTCACGGAGCCTCGCCTAGAGTCTCCATGGCCGCACGCCACAGCCAAAGCTGTGGAGACTGTCTCTACACGGCCGTAAAGGAATATGAGACGACGGCACATGAGATCCAATGCCTCGTCTCCGGGCGAATCTCGAATGGCGGCCGCAAAGGTATCCACCAGTCGTCGTCTGCGGATGATGTGAATTCCTGTATTAGTAAGAACAGCAAACTCGCTAGGAGGCTCGTCAAACTGGACAGCCAGCTCATTACCGAATCCAACCGGTTGGCTGGCGGCCGCAAAAGGTTTCGTAATTAAGCCGACAGCCTCCGCTCGACTGCCAATGTCAATCCAGCTTGCCTGCTCAAAGTATCTCAGGGGGGTAGTAGGAGACGTTCGTTTTATTCTTCCGGTTTCAGGGCCAGCCACAAATAGCAAGTCGGAATTGGGATCATCCTTCTTGCTCACAAAGTCCAAGAAGAATCCAGGTGGGAATCGAGCGCCCTGTCTGCTTGCTATCAACAGAGTTGAATCGAGGTCAACTACCGTCTCTCCTGAGGGCTGGGTGCCCACTCCAAACTGAGTTGATCGTCGGGCAACGGCCGCAGGAGGGAATTTAATGAATTGAACCTGCATGCTCTGGGGAGCTAGATTGGCCTGAGACCCGTATAAATAAGAGGAAGCATTAGTAGCGCTGAAGAAGAGACGACAGCCGGTATCGGTCAGCGCCATGAGATGAAGTTTCGAGGCCTCTTGCTTCGAGATGGGGCTGATGGAGACAAAGTTGGTCCGATCAGTCAAAAGTTTTGATTGAGTGATCATGTGTGCAATATCTCGAAGGCAGTGCAGCTTAGTCTTCTCAATCACCTTATTCAGCCGCTCAGGGGATTCCATGTGATAGACTCGAATGGTCGATGTGCTTGAAAGAGTGTAAACCAGCTTTCTCGTGTCGTCAATCACAATGTCCACCAAGTGCTCGGGGTCATTGTGACCCCATAAGCTGGACTGCAAGCTGACAACTGAGGACCAGCCAGGGTTCGAATGGTTGATCTTACCACACCGATTCGAAAACCACTTTTCCTCAGATTGGTAGTAAAGCTCGTTAATGTCCGTATCGCTGCATCCGCCAAAGAAAATGCGACCGTCAGCAGAGCCACTGATGATGCGGATGTCGTTGCCACGGATGGGCAAGACCATCTTCGTCTGGTACAAGGTGACGTTCTTGGTACCAGCAGACGTGTCTGTAGCAGACACGCCGAGGAGGATGATCTCGGACGACGTTGCCACAACCAGGATATGTGTGATTGTGTTTACAAAGATGCCAGGCTTCGGAGGAACCAGGGCAACAGCGTGGATCGTGTGCGGCTGGTCTTCAAAGCCAATAAGCTCGGGGTCGGAGTGGGTGTAGTCCCAGAGAAAAAGCGAATTATCAATCACCACCCAAGCATGATTAATCTCAGCAAATAGTCCCATGAGGGTTTGGAGCTGGCCGGCGTTGTAGTGGTCGAAGACTTGGTTCGGGATCGGGTACATGTTCGTCTTCTGGAAGGGAGCCCAGGCGGAATCGGCGCCGGGAAGCTCATAGTCGGAAGATGCCCCCTCTTTTCAACAGAGTGTCTTGTTAGCCCGTGTCTTGTCCTATGGTCTGCTCCATCTGGCGAGAAGAGCATGTCAACTTACGTCTGCAGTAGGAATCTAGATCTGGAAAGCTCTCGTCTTGTTGCAGGAAAGCATTGATGGCCTTGGCCGCCTTGAGGACCGGGGGAATGTTTTCGACGCGTGGAGGCGCCAGCGGCGTCAGAGAAGACAATCCTGAGGCCTCGACGTTTGCAGACGTCGTCGTCACCGCCGTCGAGCTCGCTGGTGCCGTGCCAAGAGGCGCTGTTGTGGTGGTGGTCGCCGCAGATGAGGTCTGGGCATTCTGGCCCTCGCTGACGGGGAAGAGCGTCCGGCGGACGGGATCGTGCGAGGTCTGATAGCGCGCGACAATGGCCGGCGTGTTCACAAATGCGCCCGGCACAGGGCGCATCGGCGTAGCGGGAGGATACGACATGTCGGGCGGCAGATCGGGGCTTGATGCTGCTTCACCTTGACCAGAGCCGCGGATGGAGGAAACGCGCTGGTCAGACCATCAAGGACCAGCTGCACGTGCCGTGGGCGGTGGCGCAATCCGAAGCTTCGCGTGGAAATCCGAAGCTGGGCCCCGCGATCGCTAATTGCGTGGTGGGTGCGCGGCGAAGAAGAGGGAAGAGATGGCGATGGCGACGCCCCGAGCAAAAGATTCGACGTCGTGGATTATTTTGGTGTACACTGGGAGGTTGGTAGAGCTCTGCTTTTTTCGTCCCTGGGCGCCGAATTGCGCTAGTCCGCATTAGGGTTGTAGTTCGCGAGCGGTACGTACCTCAGTTTGTTTGCCTGTGCAACCCCATCTTAGTCATATTCGGCACTACGCAGGAATGGCTTGGCAGCCCAACTCGTCCAGAGCTGTAAGAGGATGAAGATTGCAGTGATAAAAAGCAAATCCTATTGCTCCTCGCCCCCAAATTCTCCCAGGGATATAAATTACCCATCTTAATAGCCTTTACTCAAACTGTTTTATCTCTTGTATTTATTTTTTGACCACCTAGTGAATGTGAAGGATGTTCCAGTGCATCCGACAGATGCCCTTCAATAAGCCATTTCACTCCGAATGAATAAATCGGATGCATCAGGCTGAGCCCACTCTTCCTTTAATCTTTAAATACATACTTCATATTATTCAAATTTACACGCCTTCAAGGGACTAAGCGGTCGGTATTTACAATCCAATACCAGCAAATTTAGTCATCATTTCAGACAATTGGAGTCTGCCTTATGGGTATTCATCCTATTACTTTGCCCAGGTAGACAGAGCAAAAATTAAACATATCAGAAAGCGCATTCTAAATAAATACTACAAAATTATGGAGGACTCTCTCGATACAGTCCTTGTTTCGTCAAACACGGACAGCAAACAACTCCCAGAGCTGAAGACTCAGCCTCGTATTTCGCTGGATGACCTAGCACCTGAAACTCTACTTGCAATCATAACCGAGTTGACCGATCTCGACTCGTTATATAATTTGATCGTGGCATCACCAATAGCATGGCGCTTATTCAACAAATACGCCTGCCTCATCACCGAAACTGTCCTATCCTCTCCAGACTCCCTCCTAGCTCCCGGTATCCAACAGTTCATACGTGCCCTCATCCTCATACGAAATTCTCAAAAACCTTTCTCATGCCCTGACGACTTTGTCTACTTTATTCATAAACATATGGCTAAAAATTGCGATAATGGCATCAAGTACGATGACTTGGACAATCTCACGGCTACAGTCACTCCTTCTCTCGCTACTGCCATCACAGTCGGCAAGCCGCCTAGTGAAATACTATGGTCTGTCGTGGCAACAGCCCGACATGTCTCAGTTCTCACGCATAACTGCATGGAGTTCTATCTCGCCCGCATACGGAGTCCTTCATTCACACCTAAATACCTTGATAACGGCTTGAAACCTATTGACCCCGATGAACCGGCGCCTCCTTATATGAATGACCTTGAGGGTACACCGTTGGTAACGGCAGACATAGGGCCGCCCGGCTGGGTTGAAGAAACGCGAGTTTTGCGAGCTCTATGGTTCGTTCAGCTCGCCCATGAAATGATCGTGTCAGCTCCTGAATGGAAAAATTTTGAAAATGGAGCCAAGTTTAAGAGCCCACAGGAGTTTATCCGCGGGAACGTAAATCACTCGCTCATAAATGGTCCGATCGAAGAGGTAAAAACCGTTATGGAATACCTTGAAAGCCTCGGAACACAACCGGAAACTGAACAAAAAGGGCCGTACTACCGCCTTCCTCGGCCGCCAAAAGGCTATAGTGATGCGGGCTGGATAATGCCCCTTCCCGAGCTTCGGCAACAGGAATGGAAAGATGGCCTTTGCTATAGATTGGTCTATCCCAATAAAGTGGTTGAATTCGAATTGCCGCTTGATACGAAGGAATTGTCGCCTGATATGAAGGATATAAAAGGCGAACCGTCTAGATCTACAGTCTCCCGCTGGGATCAGACATGTACTGCCATCGACGGGCCTTGCACGAACATAGAATACTGGGCAGGTATCTCTAGTGACATGCTTTCATCGCCCATTGTCGGAGTAAAATTTGATTCGTATCGCCGACTTGGGTTCGCCTTGTGGGACAGGAAGCGAATGTTTTTTCTGGGCCTCATTCCAGGGCTATACGAAACGTGGTCTTTTGAAAAAACAGCTCAGTACATCTTCGCCTGGGAAAGCATTCTTCCCGAAGGAGAGGCACAGAGGTTAAAAGAATCGCTCCGAGCAAGAGCAAGGTTCAATGAGTACCTTTGGCCGAATGAGATCATGTGGTAGGTTGGCAGGGCTAACAATATCGTTGTTCAAGTTTCTTTTCGATTCGTCAAAGCAAGGGTGATGATACCCTTTTCTTTTTTCTTTTTGCTTTTCTGCTTTCCGTTTTTATATCTTTCTATTTCCGTCGGCTGTGATTTTGATCACAGGTGACTTTACACATTTGGGCTGGGACAACTCAAGGTGATGCGGGCTGCACTGTAAGCTTTGCTACATAGGTTGGCGTAATGCTGACCTTTGTCATACTATTTCCTAAGAAATCATTATTATATATTGAGTTATTTTTCTCCTCAAATTGGCTATTCTCTTGCATGGCTCCAGACAAAGCACCGTGATTCAGTTTGTTCCAACGGTTATCGTTTCTCCCTGCAACCGCCGATTCCCCCTATTGACCTCGTTTCACAGTACATATTATCAGATAATACTCTTTTTTTATCACATAGTTCCATCTGGGTAGCACCAAAGTAAAGCAAAGCGGATTCTAAAGCCAATTACTGCTTCTTTGCCTCGCGAGCTGCCTTGCGAAGAGCCCGGCGGCGGATATCAATGTGCATCTTCTTGTTGTACCAGATCGTCAAGGGGCTGTTGACGCCCAGCACGTTCTCAATCACCCACAGCATAAATGCATGGCTCCACCAGGGAGTGTAGGTGTTGGGCGCGGTCTGGTAACCACCGCTTCCGACCTTGCCCAGCGCAGCCTTGACGAAGCCACGAGGGTTGGGGATAAGCAGGCTGGTGCGGCGGATCTTGCTCATGGCAGTCGTGACCAAGTGGCTGAGGACCAGGTAGACATCGACATTGTAATCAGACAGTTCGGAAGACAGAGCATTGCTCCACTGCTGGAGAAAAGCCTTGCTGCCGGAATAGGTGGCCAGGTAGGGAGTAGGAGTCCAGCCGCCGAACGAGCCCATTGTCAAGATCAAACCGCGCTTGCGCTTCTGAAGAATAGGAGCAACAACCTGGGTAGTCTTCAAGGTTCCAAGACAGTTGATGGTGACAATGTTCTGCAGCTCCTCCTTGGGTGTCTCCAAGAATGGAACAGGAATGCTGTGGCTCTGGCCGACGTTGTTGATCAGGATACCAACATCCAGGTCCTGCACAAGCTCTCGCAGTCTATCGTAGTCCGAATCGTTGTCCTGGGCAAAATCCATGGCGAGCGTCTTGACTTGAAGACCCTTGCCGGTGTACTTTTGCTCAAGATCCTTGGCTAGAGTATCAAGCTTCGATTGGGTTCGGGAAACGAGCACGAGATTAAAGCCCTTGGCAGCGAGCTGCGAGGCATACTCCTTGCCCAGGCCATCGGAGGCGCCGGTAACGACAGCCCAGGTGCCAGGCTTGCCATACTTGCGGAGCTATTTTGCTGTCAGTGACAAGAACTGGAAGTTGCACGCTGTGAACAGTAGGAGGGGCTCGTTTACACTGGTGCCCGGCAGCAGGAATGAGCTGAGGACAAGCTGGAGGTAGCTAAAGAACTTGGATCCCAAGTAGAGCGCACCGATTCCAGCCAGGGCCCATTGGACGGGCTGAGGCACGTTTTCAAGGAAGCTCTTGACGGACTCCATGATTGCGCAGTGCGATGGCTGTGGCAAGTTGGAGGTAAACAGAGGGAGAAGAATTTGGTGGGATTGGGAGCTTTAGTGGGCGAGCTCATCTACAAATCCCGTTGGGCTGCCGCTTAGCCAATTAAAGCGTGCATAAGCTCTGGGTCCGCCCAAGAGCCGCGGTGTTCGATTAGATCAAGGTGCCGACAGCAGCGCCTTGTGATACCAATCAGAGATTGAAATTGAGGCCATATTCTTATCTAATATTGTAGAGTTGCAATTGTCGTGGTCTTTTCTTTCTTTTCTTTGTTATTTTGGCAGTGCATCTGCTGCGTCTCGCATAGTGGGCGTGCAGCACAGCATGTGAACAACCAATTTCTTGCTCATCTAATCTCCTCGGCAGGCGGGCGATCTGAATATCCCAACAAGCAGTAGTACACTTGTGGAAGGGAAAAGGCAATTGAAGGAGCAAAAAAAAAAAAAAAAATAAGAAGAAGAAGAAGAAGAAGGGGAGACGTAATATACGATTTCAACTGTATCGTAGTAATCAAATTTTTGTCAATTGGTGCAACATGCTTGCAAAGATGCTTCGCCTGAGGGGGCCTGCTATCAGTTAGTGTGCCTGAGAACTGGCGGGCTATTACAGCGAGCTCCACTGCTGCCCATTGAATATTCCGAGTCTTATGATCTTCACACCTCCAACTTACATACACAACGCAACACCGACCACAATCCTTAGCCATGGATCTTCTCAAGTCAATTCTGCCGCCAGCCAATGGCATCCTCCCCTATTACATGCTCATTGTGCGTATCTATCCAGATCTTCCATCGCAAGCAAACACCCCGCTTCGTGCCCAGCTAACACAGATTCTACCGCAGCTCTCCGTCATATCTATCGGCAACTCCGTCCAAGCCTACACGACGCTGCACTTCTCACGGCGTGTCTATAACGGCCGCTTCATCCGAAACCCCAAGCTACCCCCCGCCTCTGCCACATTCGATCCCGAGGACTCGGCCAACAAGCTGGTCCAAGCCCAAAACGACCCCAAGGCTACGGACCAGCTGACGCCCCTCGCTGGAAGGTTGTTCGGAACGTGGACCATCATCACCTCCATCGTTCGATGCTATGCGGCGTACCACCTGAACAGTGGCCCGATGTACAATGTTGCCATCTGGACGTACGTGGTGGCACTGAGCCATTTCGCCAGCGAGCTGTTTGTGTTTAAGAGCATGACCTTTGGTCTTCCCCAGATCTTCCCCTTTACGCTGGCTACGACGGCGCTCATCTGGATGCCCATGGTTCGAAGCTACTATGTCGAGTTTGAGTAAAACATGGCATGCGCTGCTTTATTGGGAGAAAAAAAAATTGCGTGTGGGAATAATAGATATGAATATATATATATATTAAGAAACTTTTATTTAGTTTATTTATTTACTCAATTATATCTATGTAACATTTTTATAGCTCGACCTAGCTTAGCTCATCTCAGCTTATTTCGGTACAGCTCTCCATCCAAAGTTCGAAGGCGAGCAGCTGCTTGTTCGGGAGTGATATCTCGCTGCGGCTCTGCCATCAGCTCGAATCCAACAAGGAACTTCTTCACCGTTGCGGACCGCAGCAGTGGGGGGTAAAAGTGCATGTGGAGGTAGGCGTTGTCAATTTCTTCAGGAGTTCCGTCTAGGGGCGCCTGGTGAATGCCTGAGCTGTACGGGAAGTGGCACTCAAACAGGTTGTCGTATCGTCGGGCAACTTCCTGAATGGCCTCTGCAAATTGCAGCCGCTCGTCGGCTGTGAAGTCGATGAGTGCGCGGATATGTCGCTTGGGGAGAATAATGACCTCGAATGGCCACACTGCCCACCAGGGGCAGACGATAGCGAAAGAAGCATTCTGCCACACGAGGCGCTCCTCCTTTGCCAGCTCCAGCTTGATGTAGTCTGCCAGAAGATGTCTTCCATGCTGCTGATGGTACTTTGTCATTTGTATCAGCTCTTTGCCTGGCTCTTCGGGCATGGTTGACGTTGTCCAGGCCTGGCAGTGGGGATGCGGGTTGGAGCAGCCCATTGCTGCGCCCTTGTTCTCAAAGATTTGCATGTAGCGGTAGTTGTCTTTGGGAATGGGGGCCTCCTCCTTTGGGATAGAGAGCTGAAGCTGTGCAGCAACCGCTGAGAGAGGGTTTGATGGGGATAGGTGATTGGCATAAAGCCGGGTCCAGTGATCAACAACTGGGAGGATATCATTTGGCGGCATGTCAGCAAGGGTGACATTGTGCTTTGGCGAAAATGTCATGACATAGCACACGCCCTTGACGCCCTGCGCGCGCAGCAGCAGTGACTCTAAGTCTATGTGGACTTAATCAGCACGGTGTTTCCTCACTCTACACGGCAAAGAGGGAGGGTTGTTGGGTGATTTACCATCTGTGGACTGGCCAGCCTCGTAGTCGGGCTGCTGCTCCTTGACAGCGCTGTAGTCATTTACAAAAGAAAATGTCTTTTCATACTTTGGGTTGTGGCCGCCAGCAGCGCGAGCATTTCCAGGGCAGAGATAGCACTTTTATATTGTTAGATGAGTGATGAGTGAACATGGGTATGTTTACAAGGCGTAAGATGAAGTATACCTTGGGATCAAACTCGGGCAGAGTGGTCGCTGCGGCACCTTCTTCCTGTCCTCTACCAGCAGCACAGCAAAGTCAGCGCATCGTGAACTATTTGTTACTTCTTATGGAACAGAGCATATTTCATGTTCTACTTACTGCCAGGGGCGCTTTGTCCGGTGAGGCGAGACGAGCAGCCAGCTGTCTGTTAGCGGGTTGTACCTCCGGTGGGAGATGTCATCGAGAATCTGGTCGGGCATGGCTGCAGAGGAGGAAATCACGGGTTTGACAGCGGAATGTGCCGACGGAAAGAAGCAATATCGCAGAGATGATCTCGGGCGAATAGAGTTATAAGGCACGAACAAGAATCAATTATATTGCTTCGGAGAATAAACCTGAGGCTAAGGCCGGGGGCATCTTTGGGGCAAGGACCAAAACTCGGGCCAATACGTCAATAGACTTAATTAGAGCGCCGGGACTATGCCGAGCGGGTCAAGGCTATAAGCGCGCCAACAGAGCGCATCGTTTGCAAATCCTTTTGCGAGTCGTGAAAGCAAGGCCGCAGCTACACTATGACGCATTTCCGCAAGCTTGGTTCAACGTTGGACTGCCTAAGCCTTAGGGTGCGCCATTTAGTCTGAGAAATACACGGATGGAGCTTGATATATGATATCGGGGTGGGACAGGCAACGGAAAAGGGCCGTCTAGATTTCCAGTGTTTCAATGTGTATGCTGATAACAGCAGTAACATGCAGATGATGTTTCAATGGACTCTACAGCAGTAGTAGTATCACTATATTTTTACGCGTGAGAGAAGAAGCGTCTCAGTACTCTATAAAAGCTGCATCCTTTGGGTCTCGCCAAGTCGATGCAGGCTTCAAAGTGGGGGAAACAGCTACAGTACGTAGAACTGTTCAAAGCTTCAACTTTTGGGATTTTTCAGCGGTTCAATCACGAAGAAGTAGGCTACCTACCTGGTAGTCTATACCTGGAGTGGGTAGTAGAATCTGCCTGTGGCAGATACCGCGATACTGCCAATTCAAGTCCCTTCAACATTGAGGCGTTCATTCTGCCATGACATGAGTGGCATCACGTGACACAGCTCTCAGCCGCATCTGGCCTAGCCACCGTCGCCTGCGCCTGCTCGCCTCCTTCTGCAGCCGCCCAGCGAATTCCATGGGCCGCAACAGCGCATCCCTGGCTCCACCGGATCGCGACATCCAACATCATCTGGCCGCGGAATACTGGGCGGCGCCCGTCCTCGTTTCCATCAACCACCGTCGCACATCCGCAAAATCCATCAAAGCAACGGCCGCGATAGCTTCCCGGCGTCGCGCGCTTTCTGCAGACACTCTTTTTGCGCCCCAGTCGCGCCCGTAGCCCGCGCCGTGGCTGCCGCTGTTTTTCCGACCTGCTCCACCAATCATTTCTAGGGTGGAAGCATCGCGCCAGACGCCTGTCCAGCTGCAGCGCTCGGCGATATGGGCGTCATTCGCAAGAAGACGGCGACCAGGGGAGGTGAGGGTGGCGTCAAGTACGTCTGCGACGTCTGCTCGTGCGACATCACTTCCACGGTAAGTCAATCCTGCAGCTCTGCTTGCAGCTCTCTCTTTTATAGCCCGCCCTACCCACGCCGTGCGCTGAATGGTTGCTGACTCACGTCCTGCTGGCTTATAGGTCCGCATTAGATGTGCCGACCCTGCATGTTCTGACTTCGACCTCTGCGTGCCTTGCTTTGGCAAGGGAGAGTCGCGCAACACCCACGATCCCGCAACGCACTCGTTCCGTGTAATCGAGCAGAATTCGTTTCCCATCTTTGCCCGAGAATGGGGTGCCGACGAAGAACTGCTGCTGCTGGAGGGTGCCGAGATATATGGCCTTGGATCATGGGCGGATATCGCTGACCACATCGGCGGCTTCCGCGAAAAGGACGAAGTGCGCGATCACTATCTAAAAACATTTGTCGACTCGCCCAACTTCCCCCTCCCCAAAAGATGCAGCCCCCATGACTGCGAGCTCGCAAATGAAATCCCACGAGAAGAGTTCCAGTCGCGCAAGAAGCGGCGCATTGAGGAGCGAAGAGAGGCTTCCAAGAATGCACCAGCCCTACAACCCAAAACAAAGCCCACCGCCAGTGTGCCTAGCTGTCACGAGATTCAGGGCTACATGCCTGGCCGTCTCGAGTTTGAAACAGAGTACGCCAACGAGGCAGAAGAGGCAGTGCAACTGATGCAGTTCGACCCTGGCGACGGACTCAACCCGCGGACAGGAGAGCTGGAGCCCGAGATGGAGCTGAAGTTGACGGTTATGGAAATCTACAACTGCCGGCTGACACAGCGTGTGGAGCGCAAAAAGGTTATTTTCGAGCATAATCTGTTGGATTATCGAGAAAACACAAAACTGGAAAAGAGGAAGACCAAGGAAGAAAAGGATCTCCTACAGAGGGCAAAGCCGTTTGGCCGTATCATGAACCACAAGGACTTTGAAGATTTCACACAAGGTTTGCAGGATGAGCTAAATCTGAGACAAGCTATTGCTCAGCTCCAAGAGTGGCGCAGTCTCCGCATTGGAGATTTACGAAGCGGCGAAAAGTACGAGACGGAAAAGGCTTCTCGGATACAAAAGTCCATACCTATGGGGTCTATGGATAGAGAGAGGCTGGCGTCCTCTCAGCGTTCAAAGGCACCACCTCCTCCTGAGCCTCCAAGCGGAGCCGCTCTGCTCATTGCCCCTGAGCTGCCACTTCGTCCCGCACAAGCCAACGGAGAGACGAATGGTGAAGATGCCAAACCTCTGACTAATGGTCACGCAAATGGCGTAAACGGCATAAATGGTGTCAACGGCGTCAACGGCCACAGTCCGACCAAACAAAAGTATATCCCGCAGCCCATCTCTGGCGTGCAGCCCTTGCAGTTGACGCAGGAGAACGCTCCCGATTTGCACCTCCTCACGCCAGAAGAAGCCAAGCTTTGTGAGGTGGTGCGCCTTCAGCCGAAGCCATACTTGATGATCAAGGAGCAAATCCTCAAGGAAGCCATTAGGGGTAATGGAACACTGAAGAAGAAACAAGCCAAGGAGATTTGCCGGCTGGATTCTCAGAAGGGGGCGAGACTATTTGATTTCTTCAGCAACGCAGGGTGGGTTGGTAAGGCATGAGGTGGAGGTAACCTCGGAGTATCTAGGCGTAAAAACAGGTGTGGACGTATGATGATACACTATATCGTTTTCTGCAGGAGTCGCGTTTTTGCTTCTTCTTTTTGTTTGCTTCCTTGTTTATTTTTTCGGTGGCGGGGTTGGCAATTAAACCACGACTTTTTCAACGATACATGACGGGAGAGACGAAAAGGGAGGAAGGCGGCTATTAATCTCTTCATCGTCTTTGTTCTACCATTTTTTACACGAAGGAGTTAAGGGGATGCATGCAAAGAAATAATACCCTTAAATTCAATATAATCAATAAAGTTATCGAATTTTGTATTCTCTCATCTCTTCCTAATCCAAAGCCCAGCAGCAGCAGCTCGTGACGAAGCCAAATCATCATCTACAAGTCGAATTGGTGAGCTGCCATTCGGCCCGCCTCACCCCCGCCAGGAATCGGGGCATTTTGGGCATGGACACATTTCACGCACACAAAACCCCTGATTTGTTACAGAATTTCTGGTCAGATGCCCATCTTGCAGGCGGCAGCCATGTACGCCGTATCGCACGGCTGGGACGGGGCTAATGGTAGTGGCAGTGAACCGTGGCGGGGAGGCAGCTTAGCGTAGGGTCCAGGTACGCCTTTTCCTTTTCGGCACTTCTTTTTAAACCTCTTGGCTCCAGCTTAGCTTTATCTCGACTTGACAACACAGAACAACCTCCAAAAAGCTAGAGCCTTGGCTGTCTTTTTTCTTTTATATATATATATGAACTTGCTTCAGACTTTTGCGTTAAAAAATAATTTTGCCGTGGCTAGGAGCATGTCGAGCTACACTGTTGCGTCGCTGAAGAGGGTGTCTGCAAAGACGCTTTCTGACAAGATTCTCGGGGAACAGGACAAGGCAGAGCCAAGCTTTGCGGTGATTGATGTTCGAGATGTTGGTATGTAGCGGCGCACATGCCTCCCTATTCCCCTTTATCATGTGAGGGCCTTTTGGAGAAATGAAAAGAATTCAGTGGAATTCTTGTTTATAAAGATAAAGAGGCAAACACTGAAAATCAAATCCCTACCCACCTTGGATATAAGCACATGAAAAACCTAGACTAACACTCTCACGCAGACTACATCGGCGGCCACATCAAGGGATCAACCAACATCCCCTGCAACCAGCTAGACGCCCTGATGCCCACCCTCATCCGCAAAGTCAAGGACAAGAAGGCAGTCATCTTCCACTGCGCGCTCAGCCAGCAGCGGGGGCCCTTCTCCGCGCTCAAGTATCTCCGCGAGAGAGACGCTCTGCTGGCGTCGTTGGGCGAGGAGCCTCCCAAGGAGCAGGAAGTGTGTATCCTGGAGCAAGGATTCACGGGATGGCAAGAGATTTATGGCGAGGATGAGAGGCTGACGGAGGGCTTTCGGAAGGAGATCTGGAGGTGAAGAGATGTACATGAGCGCCGGTGCTGGGAAGTTTCTGTTGTGGGTGATTATCTAGATGGATGGAGATTGGATTACGGCGTGATGAAAGTTATACTGCGTTTCTATTTTTATTGTTTTCGACTTTTCTTTTCTTTTCTTTTCTTTTCTTTTTTTTTTTTTTTCTTTCTTTCTTTTTGTCTTAATAAACACGCTGTTTGGAGCTATCTGCTAGAAAGAGCTTTTCTCTCGGCTCAAGCTGTCAATACTGGCATTGTTCCTGGTTTATCTGGTCACCAGCATCTTTCCTAGCATACTAGGGATTGGGAAGTGGCGTCCAATAGTGAATTTTGAAGAAAGAGGTTCTTCCAGTCAAGGAACTACCTATATACTCTAGAAAAGACAGGGGCTCATATCTGAACTTCGTCACTGCCTTTTAGATTCAGACTTTATGTCAGAGGTAATAACAGCCTCTCTTTCTCCAACCTGTAACTACTCGAGATATAGAACAGTAAACATTCTACATAATAATTTACTCAAGCCTTTGTGATTAATCGCTTCACACGTCGAGTGTCATCTTCTTACTAACCATTTTTACATCCCACGTTTGTCTTCCGTGAATTACCTAACAACCATGGACGACATGGGTTCGTATGTTTCTCGCTCTCCCACCTGCCTTATGACTGTAGCTAACATAAATCTCAGCCATCAACGCGATTCGACCGTTGAACGCGAAGAAGATGGCGACTTGACAGCCATGGAAATTGGCTTCTCCACCATCGGAGCAATATTGTTCATAGTGCTCTTGTTTGGCATTTATAAAAGTAACTTCGATATGCCTAATATCATCAGAGTTCCTGCTCGCAAAACATGGAGGTGGTTGGTCAATGGCATTCGCTGGATCTGCTGTGTTAAGAGAGAGGATCCGGCTCAGCATCAGCCGCAAGAGGAAGGAATTGAGCTGCATGGGATTTCATCTGCACAGACGGCGGTGGCTTCGATGGCGGCTTCGTCTGTACAGACAGTGGTGGCTTGAGTCTACTTGGTTGGGACTGGTTGGCTCTGCGGACTGGTGACGTTTACAATTGTGTGATGAAGAGAGCGGTAAGCGATGGGTACTTGTATAGCGAGTGTGAAGAATGGAACGGGGGTTTGCTGTTTGGCTAGGAATACTTTAGCGTTTGGGTCAATAAGCCGAGATGTGGGAAGATAACAATGTTGTCTTTGAATAGAGGGGCTTCTCTTAATTGAAGATTTAGGGAATATCGAATAGATGCACTACGTTTTACCGTTTTCTCCATATAGCCGCGGGATAACCAGCTTGTAATATCATTTTCGAGCCGTTTCATCATCATAGCAATGCCTTGTAAAGTTATACGTGAAGGTGTTCACGACTATCAAAAGATTTCTAGGGTAAGATGGGTGAATTCCATCACACACTATGGAGCAGTATTGGATGCTAACTCGAGATGGAAATATTACTGCAATAGGTCCTTACACAACTGCAGCAATCGAGATCGATGGCCGTACCGTGTGCATAATGTGACAGCCAGAAGTGACAAGGACAATCACATTCCCAAGCCTGGTGCGATTCCTAATCCCCGTCTGCAACATCTCCTTAGCCCTTATGTATTCGCCATTCACCATTCGCCAATTCACCGATGCTCAGACCCGCAAACCCGCCAATGGACTGCACTAGCAGCCCGCTGTGTGAATTTTATGGGGCGCTGCGAGCCATGTGGCAGGAATTTGGCAGCTTGAATGCAGTAACTTCTGCGCTTTCTCTTGTTCTATAAAACCTGGTCCTGCAAACATCTGCTCTGGAGCTGGAGATTGTCAGAGGAAAGACTCTCATCTTCATTTTCTCATCACTCCCTTCCTCCATCGTCCTCCCTTTTCTTTCGCATCTTCGTGCCTTGCCCCGCCACCGAGAACCCCCGCGACAAAGATTGCCGATAACAAGCGATAAGCATACCAACGAACAAGGGAATCGCGCTGCGAATAGACATCATGGGAGCGCAGGAAGAGATAACAAATGGCGCAAATGTGCCCGAGGTTGTTACCAGTACGCATTTACCATGGCATGTTTTCTCAAACCCCCTCGAGCCACTGCTAACAGGCGCGTAGATTTGGGATTTGCGCCTGCGGTAAAGCTGTCTGGAGAATGGTCTGTCAAGAGAGTGTTGGAAGAGATTCCCAGCGAGGCACCTGCCGAGGGCTCCAGCTCACCGATCCCATTCTTCCATATGCTTTCTCGGCTCAAGACTACCAAGCGTGAGGGATGGCGGCGGTTTGGAATCGAAAGGTTAGTCTGCGGCTGGAGGCGTCTCCAACTTTGGCCACACAAACAAAAACGAAAGCAAAATTGCTAACGGAAGTTTTCTTCTCTTTCCTTACAGAGGCGAGTCGATTTCGGATCACATGTACCGCATGTCTCTCATCACCATGTTTGCGCCACCGACCCTGGCCAAGAAGCTGGATCTCCAAAAGTGCATGAAGATGGCCTTGATCCACGACATGGCCGAGCTCCTGGTTGGAGACATCACCCCCGTCGACGGCGTCGCCAAGCCCGAAAAGAATCGACGCGAGGCTGAGACGATGGACTTTTTGACCAAGAACCTGCTGCGCAGTGTCGCAGGCGGTGATGTTGGCACCGAGATTCGAGCGATATGGCAGGAATACGAAGATTCACAGACGCTGGACAGCCATTTCGTGCACGACGTGGACAAGATCGAGCTGCTGCTGCAGATGGTCGAGTATGAGAAGCAGGGCAAGGGACATGTGGACCTGGGCGAGTTTGCGTACGTTTCACGCAAAGTCACGCTGCCTGAGATGAAGGAGTGGGCGGAGGAGTTGCTGCGCGAGAGAGAAGCGTTCTGGCAGACAAAGGAACATGTTCACGGCGAGAAGGGACTGGAGGGAGGAGTGTCTGAGGAGACGAGACGTGGACAAGAAGACTACTATGAGCGAAAGTGATGGTGACGTTTTGGCATTTTCTTTTTTGGACTGGGCTTTTACCTTTTGTTTTCATGGTGGGCATTTTAAAGAGCAGAAGCGAATTCACATTCGACACAGGGATTCATAGAGAGAGAGAGAGTATAGACTTTTTGTGTGTATGCTGTGCAGAGTGCCTTGTTGCTGCTGTGAATCATTTATCATTTACTGTAGTAGCTGTTGCTCAGTTTCAACCAACAGCTGCAAGATGATACCTACTAGTAGTAGTAATAGATATGTGGCTTTACTCTTGCGTGTACAGTAGCTGAATGTGCTGCTGTGCAGCGAGTGCCAACTGCCCACCACCATCTCGCGATTGCCCCTGGCAACAGGGCTTGCTGCTAGTGGGCGACAGTTGGTCACCAGCCACCAGTCACTGGAGCTGATCCCTGGACTTATAGTGCGTGTGGAGAGATGTTTTCTCCGCCACGCCGCTAACAAAACATTCCATCTCATCTGCACGCGGGCCTTCAAGCCCTGTATCGGACGAACCGGATTGCTTCCTTTGCTTCTGTGCCCAGCAGGCTATACTGTAAAGCATCTGCGCATTTTGCCAATTGCATACAGCGCTCCGCAGCTCCCGTAAAGAGCAGCGCTCGGCTAAAGACGAAGAGGAAGAGAGGCTGGCCCAAAGCAGGGCTTTGCTGTGAGCAGCTCCACCACCGGGTTTGCGCAAAAAGTCCACTCACGCACTCACGCACTCGCTTGTCACTCGGACCTCCACCATCGGCGGCTCACTTCTCACCGCTGCCCTGACATACTGGAGAGGAGTCGAAAAAGGCGACTGGAGACGAGACGAGACGAGCAATCGATAGTTATTTGCCTTCCCACCGCTTTCAACCGCCCCCCCCCTTTTTTTCTGCAGGAACTCGCCCACTTGCTCCGTACTGTAGTTCACTTTGGATTCTGCCGCTCACTTGCCTGACCGCAGCTTTAGCAGGGCCTGCGAAGGACTTGACGCTTACAAGCTACATACGCCAATCTTTATCTTTCTGGAATCCCTCTCTACCTCTCTCTCTCTCTCTCTCTCTCTCTCTCTTTATCCCTGTTTTTTTCTGTCTCGCTTGATTGCCACCCTGTGCGGTGCTTATCAGAAAAGAGGCGCCACTTCTCTCCGCATTCCAGGCTGCAGCGGCGAAGAGGGTGTGACAAAAAAAAGGTTGACCTTGATTGCGACTCGGTCACGAGGAGACGATAAGCTCGGAGGGAAAAAAAAAAAAAAAAAGCAAGACATTCCGGGAGGGCCCCAGGCGGCACAGACAAGGTTTTGGAGAAGCGAGGCCTGTGAGGGAACAGCACACCACCAGAAGAAGTGAACGGCTAGGGAGAGGCGGCGTGTCAGCAGGGCGGACGCCATTCACTCATTCAGTTGCCTGCTCGCCTGGCTTGCTCTGCTCGACCTTTCTGCAGTGAAGTGCAGCGCCGTGTAGCCTGCTCCAGCTCGGCTCAGTCTCAGCTCCAGCTCCAAATCGCTGCTGTCTGTGAACGGCGGGAACCTCTGAGTCCTGCAGCGCTTTGCGGTGACGAGAGGTATCGCCGTGCGTCTGTCAAGTATACCGAGTACTTGCGGTGAGCCACTATCTTACCTATCATTGGATAGAGTTCGCCCCGAGCGCACACGAGGCAGGGGAGGCTCCAGCGTTGTAGTCGAGCCCAGCGTCCAGTCATTCATTCATTGTAGCAAGCCTGCGTCACAGCACAAACTCCCGGCGACAGGGGACGATACGACAGCGAAGCCGATATCGATATCGAGATTCACCAAAGAAACAATCAGGAGGACGACGAGATCGACGACGAATAGAAAGAAATCTATATAAAGACAGACGACAATCGCCATGACCTTCGCTGCGCACTACCACATGTCGGCGCCGGCACACGACGGCGTTCATCCCGGCCTGTTCCGGCCGCCAGCGTCGCCCAGCTCCAGCACCGACTATCTCTCGTCGTCGACTTTTGCAACCGAGCACTCTTCGAAGCGGAAATGGAGTCGCAGCAGCATGCCCCGGATGCACCAGACAGGCGCTCACGGCGGCCTCTATGATGAAGGCGATGTCTATATGGATGCTGCAGTACCGCCTTCGAGAACCTACGCTCTAGCTGGCCAACTTCATACGCCACTGGTGGGATCCAATTCTGAAGATGCCGACATGGCCATGGCCGAGAGCATGGGGGACAGCATGGGAGACAGCATGTACTCTGACTCGGACTACAGGCGGGCCCTCGGCACCAAGCGATCCCGCGATGAGATGGACCAAGACTCTTCCAGCGGGCCCACACAGCTGTTCAGCCAACCCGAGCCTGAGCAATCTGCAAATTCCAGTAGCTGGGGGTCCTTTGCTTTCGCCACCATTGGAGGCGTTGTTGGCCGGGTATGGGAGTTTTGCAAGGCTGGTGCTTTCAAGGGCTTTTACGCGGGGGGCGGCACATCGTACAAGGTGACATCTACAGGCGTTAGTGTTGATGAAGCTGCTGGTCCCGGGCTTGACCAGACTTATTATTTCCAAGGCCATAGTCAGCAACAGCAAAACCATGACTACATGAGTAGAGACAGGGCGCGACATGTACAACAGCAGTTCCCAAAAAGGAGCCACCACCACTACAGCAGCAGCAGCAACAGTAACAGCAACAGTCAGAATTCTGGCTACGACGACCCATATGATAGCCGTGCTTCAACGCCCACTGGGCCAGCACCAAAGAGGCGTAGACATACAGAGAGCGGTAATGACTTGGGCCAGAACTGGGTGATGATCCGAGAGCCCGGCCGTGACAGCGAGGCGAGGACGCCCCGGAAGATGGCTACGCCGAGCCGCACGTCCCCTCGCCATCTCTCTCAGCAAACTCCTCTGGCCGATCTCCGCATGGGCCCTCCAAGCAGCTTTTCTACTCCTGCTTCATCTGACCCTGCTCCTCTTCGCCCTGCAAGTCGCGCTGCCAGCCGTCCGGGCAGTCGAATGTCGGATGTCAACACCTTCAGGTCTGCACGACCTGCAACCTCAGCTTCTGTTGCGTCCTTCAAAGCCAGTGTTCCCAAGCCGCCTACACCCAGCAGGATCCCTGTCAAAGCAAACACTTCAGCAACTTTGGCATCGTCGGCTCCGCTTGCAAACTTTGAGCCCGGCCGAAGGCGCAGACACACAGTCGTGCCGTCGTCGTCTTCCGATCCCTCTGCCTGGCGAAGTCAGGGTCATCAACGCGCTGAAAGTGCGGCCTCAGTGGCTACTAGCAGGGCCACCGAGATTGACGCCAGCCCGCGACTAGATGCCGAAGCCAAGCGATTAGCAAGCCGTCGTCAGAAGGAAGAGCGCAATGCTGATGCGCGTATGGCGGCGTTCAACAAGCAGCTGCAAGACATGATCCGGCAGGGCAGAGAGGCCCTGGGGTCGACTATTGAAGTTGACATCAACGATGCAGGCTGGGAAGACACGCTCTAAACAAGACTACGGGACTAACTATAATCACATCTTCCGGCCACTCTTTATCATTCTTTTACATGAACATAGTTTCTTTTTATCTTCCCTTTATTCTCTATTGACGGACTGATGACTTTTTCTATTCTTACTCTCTTTTGTTCGCCCGACATGGGCGCTTATGACATTATGAGGTTACTAGATGCGGAAATCGTACGGACGAGCTACACAGAATCTGCTGATTATTTTGGTTGGGTTCTTATTTTTCAACGTTTTACTGGACCTGATTTTCTTTTCTTTTTTCTCTTTTTTTTTATTTTTTTTATTTTTTTCTTCTTGAACTTGGATGATTGGGCATCTATTCTGCGAGTGGACAGCACGGCAGGAAAGGGGGGAAAAAGGCAAAGGGTAACGCCGCTTTTTTTGTTATAGCCCATCATTGTTGCCATATCCAAGTCCTTTGACGACTGCTAGTTAGCTATTCATGACGTTTTATGCGGAGGAATTTTATGCGGAGGAAATTGTGTATTTTATGAATTTTACCTCGTTGAGGATGGCGCATTAATGACCGATATGAGGACGAGGGAAACGAAGTGGGAGGGTAACACTGATTTGATTATGATTATTAGCCTCATCTTAGCTTTAGCAAAAATGAATCAAGGATAAAAGCCACAGGTGGAATGTATTCATCGTGATGCTGATGCTGGCACTAGCAGTGTAGAGAAGCTCTGGAGGGAGCGTTGACAGCACCCGCCGGATGTTTGTATCCGGAGGAGGACGCTAATAAAGAAGGGCAGCTCTTTCGGCCGTTGGGCGAATGTGACTGGTGCTCGGAAACGAGGAAAAAGGAAGATGGAATACCGACTTGCTGCATACGCGAGATGAAAGCTCATCTTAGTGCCACGCCGTATGTGCCTTTTCCTCCTCCCTCTTAAGCCACGCAGCTGAAGGTTCATTTTGATAAGGACTAGAAAGAAAGAAAAAAGAGATGGAAAGATATTTTTAGCAGTCCTTTAGATGGACGGTTTTAATAATAGAAACCAACCTGAGACCTGCATCTATAGTGGTGTTGCGAGCATGTGCCGTTGTGCTCTTTTGCCTGGCCTTGTCGTGCTGAGAGCTGGAGATTTCTTTGGGGGCGATGAGCTAGCCATGCTGCGTGAGGATTTTGGTGCAAGCAACTCTTTCTTTTTTTTTTCTTGTCATGTTTTCTCCTTGAATATACTTTTTGATGAAATTAATATCTTCTGTTTGTTACATGATAAATTTTTGCTTCGTTTACAGATCGATCGGTGATGGCGGTGTTGATATAATTAAAACATCGCCACTGCCCACTTACATCCAGCTCCTCGTGCCACCATCAAATCAAACGGGCACAAACCAATGAAAAGCACCCCAGTTGCAAGACACCTTCTCTCGCCCAAAACACCAAAAAGACATCACGCCCTAGACCTGAAAAGCAACGAAAAGAGGCGCTGCCAAATACAGCTTAGCCAAAGCACCTTTTTTCTTCTCCCTCCCTTGCGTCTGATCCTTACTACTACTAGCAGCAGCACCAGCACCAGCAGTCATTTTTTTTTCCTGTTGACTCTCCCTTTGTAAAACCAAACCAGCTCCAGGAATGGAAAAGACGAGCTAACAATGAGAGTCCAGATCCTGCTAGCTGGATTTGCGTGTCCCATGCCATGTAGCACTGCGCTGGTAAAATTGGTGGAAAGGAGAGTGGCCGGGGGAGGTGCTTCTGGTGGCGCTGTGAGACATTCCGCGGCCTCTCTCACCTTGATGGGAAATGCTGCCTAGCAAGTTAGTAGAGTGTATTTGCTACAGTACCTTTGAGCACCCATTCTTTTGCCTAAAACCCTACCGAGTAAGGTACATGTAGTCGAGATGAAAATGCCACAGCGCAATGAGGGTACTTAAAGGGGTTCAGCTGCCCCAGCCTCTCTCCTCTCTCTCTGTCGATCCAATCGCTTTTTACGCTGTGTTTTTATTTTATTTTATTTTTTAAGAAGAGAAGTCGGAAGAAAGGAAACGCATGATACAAGACCCCTCCCCCCCCCATCTTGTTGTTGCTTTTCTCTCCTTTTTTTTTCGGCGTCTGAGCTTTTTTGGACACGACGTCTTGTTGTCGATCCTGACACCATAATACATAATAAAGACGCCGTATTACACGAAACATACACACACACACACTACTCAAAAGCACGTCCCCCGCATCGCAAACTCCCCAACCATGAAGGTAAGAAAAAAAAAAAAAGAAGAAATAATAGCCATATCCACTATATATATTCAATACATTAAGGAAAACAATTAACTAAAAGGAAAAAAAAAAAAAGAAGACCCAGATCTCGTCTCTCCTCATGCTGCTGCTCCCCGCCCTCGCCCTGGCCCTTCCAACACAGCAGCCACAACAAGCCCACAGCAGCGACCTGCATCGCAGATTCACATGCCCTGCCAACGTGCAGGACTTTTGCTCCGCTTCCAACATTCACTCGAGTTGTGAGAATGGCAGGTTTACGTCGGGGGCGATGGATACGTGCGGAGAATGCCATTGTTGATTGAGAGGAGGAGAAGGAGAGAGGAGGAGAAGGAGGAGAGAGCTTGAAAGAATGGAAGAAGGAAAGATTGAGTGGAAAAGAGAGCGAGAACGTACGGCAGTGGTGACGATGGTAATACGGGCGAGTTTGTTTGGTTGATGTATGGCATACGGGAGTTTTTAATTAATTACTGCGCGTTGATTCTTATTCGACATTATCAAGAGTGGAAATTATTGTTTGCTATTCTTTAGTTCAGTTAATGCAAAAGCAAAAATTGGGCGTCAGGCCTATCGAATCTATCTAAATCCATCAAAAACACCATACAAATCCGTAGTCTGGTTCAAGTATCGCAAAACTAATCCTTTGGTTTGTTTACTAGAAACTCAACGGCACTCTGACCCCATTAGCTCCTGAGTATCTGGAGCACTCGTCTCAGAGCCTCAATCTCCCTGGTCAATGCCTCTCTCTCTTCTCCTTCACTGCCTGATCCTCTGCAGCAATCGAATTCAGCTGATCCGCCGACATATGAAGAAGAACCCTGTCCGTCTCTGGCTCGGGGCACCGGTAGGGACCCGACACGATCCCGCGCAAGTCTCCCTCGTGGAGTTTCGGAATTTCAAAATGAACTTCATCATCGTATAACGAGGATCGGTCAACTTCATCGCCCTTGGCCGATATGGAGCTATCAGTACCGCTGTCGTTGTCGCTGTCGTTGTCGCTGTCGTTGTCGTTATCGCTGCAGACAACGCTACGGCTTGCCTTTTTTTTTTTTTATTTATTACCTCGGTAGAACTCTCTGACATGGCCCTTCTGATACATGACATGGGCAAATGCTTCGTTGATGCTTCGAATTCGTGTAATGAGTCTCATCTCAGCATCTTCAAAAATACTATGGCGCCTATAGTACGCATCTAATCCATAGTGTGTAATTCTCATGAATTCCGAGGCAATCTTGCCAACATATGCCCGCTGCTGGTCAGTGGTGCTTCGAGACTCGCCCAGGTCCTTAAGAAGCTCCTCACGCTTCTTGAGACTTGACCTGATCTCATCCTTCACCAATAGGAATTCTGCGCGAGTGTGATTCATCAACAGCTGTTCGAGACGAATGCGGAGAGCCGGTATGACTAGCCTGTTCGTAGGCAGAGTATTCCACGGTGCTTCCCCAAATAGAGCCTGCTCTTGGCTTTGGCGTTTATTCATAGTACCAGACTTGTCATCAGCACCAGGACTTTTGACAACGCAGTAGCCCAAATGCAAATCTCCTCTTTTGTCCTTTACGTGATCACAAACAACGGCTTTTGTGGCATTCTCGATGGCAAGATCGGGCTTGGTCAGCACTCCTAAGATTCGCTCTCCGTTGGAATCAACCTCAGCAGCAAGCCGAAGGATATTTTGGTTGGCAACATCGCTATTGCAAGGGACAACGGTGAGAATGATGGTTCTTGTCTGTTGAATGTATCGCTTCACCATGTACTTCACCAGGTCGATATCGGACTGGAGTCACTGTCTCGAACATGCCGGGAACGTCGATGACAGTAAGGTGGGCAGCATTGGGATGGTTGATTTCAACCTTGAGGATGTCGAGGCTAAATGCACTGCCTCTGTTGCCATCTTCGCCTGAAATTTTGATGTCCATGGCTATGGCAGCCTAGAAGATGTAGGTTAGTCATGCCAAAACGTTATGATGATGGAAACTCTGGCACCAAGGCTACTTACGTCCTCGAAAATTTTGAGGAAGTCGTCTGAAGTGATCTTATCCGTCGATCGGCGGAATTCTCTGACGAGCTTCTCTCGCTCAGGAGACGGATTGTGCGGGATAATAGATACCACGACACTCTCAGCAGGCTCCCGTCGGCAAACAATCTCGGTGGCATGCCGAGTACATGGAGTGGCTGAACGAGGGAACTGGAATCCTGTCAAAGACTCAAGAACGCTGGATTTGCCTGCACCATGGTCTCCAACCACGACAATCTGTAGAAAAGTCAGCCAATGTTCAGCTTCATGAGGAGCACGATCTCTTGATATATTACCTGAGGCAGAGGCACGAGATGGGATATACCCAATTCGCGAAGCTTGTCCACCTTGTCCAAAAGAACTCGGGATCCAAGCCCCTGACTCGTCTTGCCTTCATCAGAAGAGGAGTTCATCTTCAAGGCGATCTTTATTAGAAACGCAGAACAAGTGCTTCACCTGCTCAAACCTTGAACGTTGTAATCAAAGAGATAGAATAGCAAAAAGACTTGACTGTGATATTGAAAGAGAGAGAATAGAAAACAAGATCGGTAGGGAAGAGGCAGTAAATCTATCTCAAAAGGGAACTGGGCTGAGTGCCTTGCATTCACTGGAAGCTGTTTAACGCCTCTGCTGGTAACCCCATAGAATCCCGCAATTCAGCGGACAACAAGTGCATTCACCGAACAATTTTCGCCATAGTATCAGGAGAGATGCCCCCTGCTAACTGGCAGACTAAATGATAGGCCTCTTACAAAAAACATCCCGTGGGCGTCTATAAAGAGACATAAAGGCTTAGACTTATATGCAAGACTCTTGAAACACCGGATGCCACTTCAATTGCCCTTCTGAAGCCCCCAATTCTTGAGCACTTGAATTTTCTCATGCATAAGTTGTCTTACAGCCCTACGTGCAGGCTTTCGCTTCGATTCGTCATCTCGACCCGGCATCTGCTCATTGTCCTGCTACTGTTGAATTGCCTGTCTGGAATCTTTGTTTCGAATTTCTTCCTCACACGCTGCAAGATCCTTCATAGTCTGAATCGTATCAGCATGCTCATCCCCACTCACTTCCCGATGAATCTGCAACAATTCAATCAATATCTTCTTCGCTTCGTCCGGATCTGTATGCCGCCAACACTGCGCAAGCCTTGCCATGGCCAGCAATGTGTTTGGATGTTTATCTCCTAATCGCTCCCTCAGCAGATCCAGCCTCAACAGTGTCATCATGAACGTCAATTTCGCCTCGTTATTTCGGCCGCTGTTATAGAGTAATCTGCCGTAGTTTAATCGGCTTTCGACTGTGTCGGGATGTTTCTCGCCGAGCATTTCTACATGGAGGATTCGCGCCTCTTCTAGGACGCCTTGAGCATCGAGCCATCTTCCCTGACTTATATAGACTGCCCCTAGGCTGGTCATGGTCAAAATTGTGTCGGGGTGATTCGTCCCAAGAATCTCTTGCCTGAGTTTTAAAGTTTGCTCTTTCAGCTTCTCAGCCTCGGCAAGTCGACGTTGAAAATGGTAGGTTATTGAGAGGGACCCCATGGTCCTGATTGTATCGGGGTGCTTCTCCCCGAGAATTTTTAACTGGAGCGTCAATGCCTGCTCTTTCAGCCGCTCAGAGTCATCGTGTCGGCCTTGCTTATCGTACGTTTCTGCGAGGCTACCCATCGCCAAAGCCATCTCCGGGTGTTCCTCGTCGAAAACTTCTTGCATAAGTCTCAACGCTTGTTCTTTGAACTTCTCAGCCTCAGTATATCGACCTTGGGCATGGTAAGATTTTGCGAGGCTCATCATAGTCCTAATTGTATTTGGATGCTTTTCTCCAAAAATTTCCAGTTGGTGTTTCAACACCTGGTCTTCTAGCTTTTCCGACTTGGTGTATCGGCCGCTATTGTAGTAGGTCATCGCGAGGTTCCTCATAGACCGAATTGTAATCGGATGCCTCTCTCCATAGATCTTTAAACGTTGACTCAATACCTTCTCCATCAACGTTTCAGAGTCACCGTACCGACCTTGATTATTATAGGTTGCTGCAAGAAGATGCATAGTCTTCACTGTATCTGGGTGCTTGTCTCCAAGGTCTCTCAATTGAAGGCTCAATACTTGCTTATTCAATTCCTCAGATTCGACATAACGGCCCTGGAAAATATATATTTCTGCGAGATCAGCCATGGTACTGAATGTGTGTGGATGGCTCCCTAGCACTGCCTGGTAAAGGGCCAGCGCTTGCTTTGCTAACTTCTCAGAGTCGTCATACCGACCTTGATCACTGAGTAAAATTGCAAGTTGTGAAATGCTTCTGATTGTAGCTGGATGCTTATCCCCAAATATCTCTCGGCGCACATCTAGCGTTTGCTTCATCAACACCTCGGCCTCTTTACGTCGACCTTGACTAAAGTATATTATTGCGAGATTTTCCTTCATGTTGACTGTTTGTGGGTGATCATCTCCGATCACCTCCCGTTGGAGGCTCAACACCTGCTCCGTCAACCTCTCGGCTTCGTCATAACGGGCCTGAAATTGATGTATTATTGCGAGGTATGCCATGCTAGTGATCATTTTTGGATGTTTATCACAGAGACTTCCGCTCTGCCGGCGAAGCTCTAGCACCTGTTCTGCCAACTTCTCAGCTTCGCTGTACCGGCCCAGCCATATAAGCGTCACCACAAGAATTGCCATGCCTTCGATGGTATCTAGATGTTTCTCGCCGAGCGCCTTTGTTCTCAAGTTTATAACCTTTCTGTCTACCGGCTCTCTTTCTCTCCACCTCCCATAAGCATACATACAAGCCGATACTCTGCAGAGTAATGCCGACGCTTCAACTTCTTTCCCGTTCACTTCTGCCCACTCGCCCACCTGGATAGCGTGTGGTATGTAACAATACCCTGGCAACGGAACGTTTTCGAAAACATCATTTACTATCTTCAGAGCTATGGCTGAGAAGTATGCCTCTGTATTCTGTGGACTGTCAGTCAAAGCCGTAGATTCGCCCAAGGGTGACTTTTCTGGCTGCTGGACCCTTAGTCCATATCGTATGGCCTCTTGGACAAGCTTATGCATCTCATAGCTCCGCTGGCCTTCTTCCACTCGGCGCGTATGGAGAAAAGAGAACTCGACTAGTCTTGTGACAGCTTGTAACACTTCTAGATCTGTATTTTGCCTATAAGCATTCTCATCCTCTTGACTGCTAGCGCTACCTTGGCCTGCCGCTTGCATTAGCTGATGTGGTATGTCTTGGTTGTATAGATATGCAATAACGTGAAGAATTCGATACGACAGCTTGCTCTCCTCTTGAATGCGCTCAATCGAAATTTTCCACGTCTCAAGAACACTATTTGACACTTCCGGCCGTCGATGCCGGTCAGAGTCGTTAATCTTGAGCAGATCCCATCGACTCGTGCCTTGCAGAAGGAGGTTCAAGTATTCCTTAACAGGCGTTCTTGTCCGTCGCATATATACCCCGGCCTGTGAAACTGCCAGTGGAAGTAGTTGCAGTTCTTCCAGGAGGCGATCTATTTCGGCATCTTCCATGCCTGACTTCATGTTGTCACTCATGGACATCTCAAGAAGGGATATTGCCTCATCTTTCGTCATGGAGGGAACCTCGATGCCTCGGCTGGGCCCGACAAGAGTGCCCGTAATACGCCCGTCACGGCTCGTCCACAGTATCGTTCCTTGCAAACCTCCCGGGATGAACTTTGCCAGGCTCCCCCCTTTGCGTCCCACGCCAAAGAGTCCAAGATCATCAGCATTGTCAAGGATAAGGACCCATCGCGGCTGTGCCTCAATCCCGTCTCGCACCGCAGCAAGCAGCTCCGGCCCATCGAGGCTCTCTCCACTGATGCCGAGCTTTTTCCCAATCGCCTTATAGTCGGACGTGAAAGTGGCTTCGCTATCTGCGTGCACCCACAAGACGCAGCACTCATCATCGACACACCGCCGGTACGCATAGTCTAGTGCGATCTGCGTTTTTCTATAATTTATTTTTAATCAGCACCTTGGTCACTTATATGCCGGAGACGCAATTCTAATATCCTACCCTGAGCCTCCCAAGCCCCAAAGTGCCGCGTTATAGAAGCCTGGCGATGGTGGCAGCAACTTGTCCAGTTGATCAACAACCTCTTTGCGGTAGACGAGGTCCTCGTTGAGAAGATATGGAATGACGCGAGCGACCTTGGCTGGAGCTGGTGGGAGGGGTAGATGAACATGGAGATTGCCTTGGTTGATAAAGGCATCGGGACCAAATGAATTATGGCCGATTTCGCGCCATTCGCGCTCTGAAGCTGTCATTGCGATTGTGATCCAGGTTGAGGCATTTTTTACGTGGATCCAGCACAGCTGCAAGAGCCAGCAGATCGACCATTTTAGAGTCCAGAAACAGCCTTGCACATAATCCTTGTGGTTGTGACGGGGCCAATGAGAGACGCGATATGGAAGAGCGAAGGAGGGGGCGGTGTTGGGCGCCTAAATAATGTAGGAATTCGAGATTTAGTATCCAGAAGGCAGTAGCAGGAATTAACAAAAGAAAGCTCTAATCTCTGAGAAACACTCTGCATTATTCTTAGATGCCTTATTATAGCAACAGAGACTTTATCTAAATTATGCTAGGAACAATATTTTACTGCCATTGGGTCCATATGATTCTGTATTCATTCTACATGTACTCTTCTACCCGTATCTATTTACAATTATACACATGTATTCTTAATGTAATGTTCTGCTTTATATATTATAAAATATTTTGTATCAAGATCCTGAGTAGGTTGTAGGAAAATTAATTCGCGGGATAGCTGTGCCCAAGTATAGCAGAGGCGATTATCCAGTCTTTCCAATTATCAGCATGGCATAAGCTACCAAAAATGTGCTACATTTATTCCCAATTACCATGTTAGGAAGATCTAAATTAGAGACAACCTTTAATATATCAAAGCTTGCTAACACAGGTTAACGCCATACCTCTCTTAGTTTGCGAAGATGGTCCATTCAGCCGATATCTACGTTGTCAAATTAAAAACGATAATTGAGGTTCTACTTTTTTAAAGTTTTCTTTTTCACCGTTCGTATAACTGTTCCTTGAACCCCGTAATCAGAAGATAAGTATATGATTAATTAATTCCTGATTGGCTGATACATCGCGGCAACCCCAGACACAGAAAAAGCAACCTATATACGAACATACGAAGTACACAAGTAGACAGTATAAACACCCAAAACAAGGTTTGTTTGGTTTGCCTCACACCACTCCATCGCAAGTGGAGCAGCCCAGAGAAAAATTCTATTCGACATGCCAGAAGGAAATAACAGCCCACATAGAGCAAGCCATCTGGTCATGTTCCCACTTCCCGCCGTGGCAAATGACAGGCGGCTTTTGTTTAGCTCCCCATCCTCTCTTGTGGCCCATTACCTAAAAAGTGTAACAAAGAAAGTGGTCGTCAAGTGGTATATCCTATCCAATCAACGACAAACAAGAATACCCCTTTGTTCTGAAAGAAAGAATGAGCAGAAACAACAGAATGTATGAGAAAACAACATAAACCAAATCTCATCAAATCGTACATCCTCATCCCATCCAGAATGTAAAGAAAGTAAAAGAAAACGCCCATCGCTTTAGTGTGTATGTACATGTATATATGAATGGTATATGTCCCATGAAAAGAGTCTTGTCTCTCACCCTCTCTTCTCTTTCTAATAATGATACAACGATAATGAAAAAAAAAAAAAGCTCTATCAGTCTTTCAAAAGTGATCCGACATCCTGCAACTGCAATGATGTCGCCATGGGGGGAGGTCCGCCCCTATCTATTCTACCCCATCCGGCTCCCCACGCTGGTAGTTCTTGCTGCATGTAGGGCGCCCGTTGTCGCGACGAGCTCGGTCCTCCGGGTATTAGAAAGCCATCTGTCAGTGTGATTTCATCTGAGCCAGCGTTTTCGTGGAAGCTGCCTGGGTGTTGGCTCAGGGCAATCTCGTCAGTTCTGTCGCTCCGAGCCTGAGATTTTCGGTTTCTTCTTCGCCAGAATCGTGTCCTCTGCCTAGTGCCGTCCTGTTGAGCGAATATCTCTGGAGATTCCATAATGCCAGCCCGAGGAGATCGTCGACCATTTGCAAAGGAGCTGCCATGAGCCCGCGGATAGAAGAATCCGGCAGGCCGCCCGCCAGTGAAGGGATTCCAGGGTCGCAATCGAGGTGAAGTAATATTAATGCTGCCGTTGCATCCGGCATTATAGCTAGTACGCGCTTCGCCCGATAGTTCTTCTAGGGTCAGTCCCTTCGTCTCCGGGACCAACAGCGTGGTTATCGTTCCGAGCAGCATAAAAAGAGCAAAAAGCTGCAAGAGGCGGTTCAAGTGTGGCGAGCATTGGGTGCCTTTGCAGTCGGGAGGAGAGTCTTGGCTCAGTATCGGGATACTGATAACCTGGGCGATGATGGCGCCAATCTTGCCACTGGCGGCAGAGACACCGTGGCCAGTAGATCTGTATCGGGTAGGATAGCATTCACCAGGGATAATAAAGGTGGTTGTGTTGGGGCCGAAGTTGAATAGAAACTGGGCAATGATGTAGAGGGCAAGCATTGCTCCTTCGGTTAAGCTGTGGAAGGCAAAGCCAAGAATACAAAAGATGACGGTGAGGAGAAGAAAGCCAGCAAACTGAAGGGGCTTCCGGCCGACGCTATCGATTGTGAAAACTGCGGCCCAGTAGCCAGGGATCGACCCGGCACAGGCGAGTATAATCATGCCGACGGCTTGGTTGTACAATCTATGGTACAATGTGCTTCCATTAGCATATCCAATGGCGCTAAGAACCATAGATTGGTTTAAGCCTAGGCCATAATATGCAAGATCCTATTGTTAAGGGTCAGCAAAAATAGACAACAAAAAGGGGGAGGCCAAGACGGCGATATGCATATATCTGAAGACGCACCAGAAAGAACCATGACGAAGTTGTACCAATGAGCACTTTCAAGTTCTTGAGATTGCTGAAGTAGCTCGCGATATCAGGCCACGAGGCTGGGGGCACATCGAGTGGCGACTGCTCGGTAACAGTTGCCGTACGGGTTCGCTTCATGGACATGGAGCCTTGGTCGCTCCTTCGCCTGCTCGACACGTATGCGCGGATGTCGGCATCGGCCTTTTCCACGTCGTTCTGTATATCGAACGTGTAGCGAGGTGTCTCAGGGATAGTGATACGATAGTACAGGGCCAGGCATGCAGGGATGGCACCAACGCCAACAATGATTCGCCACGATCGATCAGCGGCCTCCCTGCACGCCAGATCGCAGGCGCCTTCTGCAGAGATGTCCACATACGACTTCTTGAACGCCACGGTAGTGATAAGCGCAACGATTGCGGCTAAAAGCTGACCCAGGCCTTGCATAGAGAAAACGGCAGCCATCATGGCCCCACGCCAGCGTGTCGGCGCAAACCTAGACGCGAGTTAGTGATTATGCCGGCAGATGCAAAACGTCGGATAATGCCCGTACTCTGAAGTGATGACGCTGGAAAGTGGATAATCGCCACCAATACCGACTCCCTGGAGCCGCGTTAGTCGTTGTCATCCCGCAAAAGAATGGGGTAGAAGGAGAGGCAGAAGGGCAGAGAGAAGGGGTTTCGCTTCCATACCATCATGACGCGCCAGAATATCAATAAGCCGGCGGCACTAATCGTGGGGCTCGGAGACGCAAGCGCGCAACCAAATGTACCAATGGTGATGATGATGAGCTCGATGCCGTACATACGACGCCGGCCAAATGCACTAAGCCGCAAATTACTGTCAGCACCGGCCGCTCTTCCAAGCCTAATGGAAGCGATTTTGAGTTGCTACTTACTCGGCGAGCCAGCCAAAGATGATCATCCCCAACACAATGCCTCCGCTGGTGGATGCCTTGAGGGCCTGGTTGATAGGGTCGGGGAGGATGCCGCCATTGCCTCCATAGCCGTTGACAGAGGTGTCGCCGCTGTAAAAGACTAATCCGAGAAGGCTGACGATGAGGTTGATGGCAAAGATGTCGTAGGAATCGATAAAAAACCCAGCTCCAGCTACCAGCACGGCTCGTACATCTAGATATCCATAGTTAGACAAACCTGAGTCTGCAAACTCCATCAACTACCCAACCTGGGGTTTGTAGGAAGACTGAAACATACGGTAAAACCCAAAAGGGACCTTGTCAATCTCGGACAAGGCCAGTCGTCTGCGTAGGTTGGAGTCGGTAATATGCGAATAGTCGTTGTAAAAGTTGTGAAAAGCATTGTTGCCGCCGTATGTGTGGTCGCGGCCACGCATTGATGCTGCCGGCGGCGGCAGCATCTCGCCATCGACAAAGGTCGCCATCGTAGGTGACGATTAAAAGGCAGATGTTGATACGGTTGAGCTTGATGTCAAGGACGAGCCCTGTTTGTCGCTACCGGGAATACATGGGTGACTGGTGCCGAGTTAAGGAAGAGAAAGGTTGGCGAGGACAGCTCCACGAGCGAAACAGCGAAACAGCAAAAACAACGGCGTCGGTTTCAGTTTCAGTAATTTCGATGTTGTTGGTGGCCTCTCGTTGTCGTGTATGGCTGAAGGCGAGCAACAGCTTGATGTAATTTGCGATCCGCCGCTCAGTGGAATATGGCAAATGGGAGCAGAGCGAGAAGGATCTTGGTAGGTAGTATCGTGGCTACGGCGATGTTCAAGGCTGTACGACCTGCGCTGTGACGGGACAGCTTGGCATGAGGCTGAGAGGATTGACAAGCTTCGTAGGCTGCTCGATGAGGGCGATGTCGTGTACAAATATGATATGGCACGGATTTTTTGCGCTGTGCTGCAGGATGTCAAGGTGAAAGGAAAGCAGGTGCTAGTAAATCCAACCAGGGCGCTAGTCACCGAAATAAGAACCGCCTAGCCAGCAGACGGAGGCGCGGGATGAAGATTCGGGAGGGTGAGACGAGGCAAAACGCAAGTCGAAAAGAGGGACGGCCTGGTCTTTTGTTGTGAATGGATGGATGGATGGAGACCTTCGTACATGCGGCCGAGTGGATGGATGGAGCCGCCACGAACCGCCACCAGCCCCAGGCGAAGCTTTATGCTGCTGCCAAGGTTCGACAGCTGAGAGTTTTTCTTCTTTTTTCCTTCGCCTCGTACGAAGACGTGCAGGGGGGACAACGGCGTTACGTACGAGCAAAGGCAGGGAGAGCTCGTGTGAGGAAATCGAGTCTGTCCTGGATCCGAAGTCAGCCAAGCCAGACCAAGTGCCAGCACAAAGCACACCGACCCAGCAATACTCACTGTGCCGTACCAGCAACCCCCTCTTTTGCAAAGCAATCGCCCATCAGTCATTCCTTAGCAGCCTGCTTCCGCACCAACCCCCGGCTACTGGCCCCGATAGTGCTCGAAACACACAATGGCTGGCGATGCTTCTATGGCGCCAAGGGCTGTGGATCGGCCGGGACTACTGCACGTGCTGGCTTCGCGCCCAGCCAATGCCCGCGCGCAACGACTTTTTGCCGAACCATGGCTGCTAAAGGGCGCTCGAGCCAGCTGCCCTACGCCGCCTAGCGCAACGCCCTTGTGGATTCTGCAGCGGCGCCGAGTCAGTGCCCTGGAGGCTGCCCATCGTTCTGAAGCCTTTCCAGAACGCTCGTGCCTGAGAGCCGATTGAGCAGCGACTCCGAGACCCCGACGAGGAGGAGCGGGTCGCTGACAAGCACTAGTCGATGGGATTGGATAGCTGTCGGTGCCTTACAATGGATCTTTTCTAGTTCTTTGATTGACGCTTGCTGCACGGTATTAAGTTCTGCAGCACACCCACGCGCGGTAGACAGACTGCTGAAGGAGGCGTGGCAAGCCCATTTTTTTTTTTCTTCCTTGGCTTTTTTTCTGTTTCTGTTATCTCTTCTTTTTTATCCCTCTCTTCGCGCTCTATCCCCGTTGCATCACCGGGGAGCCTCGGTGCTGCGAACACGCCACCATTGACTCGCGCACGCCTGGGGAGCGCAGGCAACACAGTGCTGTCGGTGGAGTGGCAACTTGCGATATTAATGCTTGGAGTTGTATTCGCTGCTCGTACGAGCAACATTACTCAATCTCAATAGCGAAATGGATAGTACTATTCCCATCCCCATCCCCATCACCCATACTGTACACCGCCAGAAGCCTCGTCACCAATTCAATCGCAAGCATTTGGAATACTGTATCGTGCTATCGCTACCCCGTACTCCACTGGCATTGTTAGGCACTTGTTCCGAACCTTTGTACTGTGATGTACCGGCGACTGCCGCAGCGACTCCCTGTGTCTGTTGAGCATCTTGCAGTACCTCGCAGTACCACGCCCAATAACCAACGATTCATTTGCCCTCAAGCCTACAGTAGCATCAAGCAGTAACATTCATGGTGTTGACTGCCACTACGTCTAACTGGGCTAATGCGGAATACTGCCTGATGGGTTCATGCATCTCTCTTACTCTATTATTACTCTACATCCGACGCCTGGCTCTGCAAGGATGGTCCCCCCCCTGCTAGCCACGCCCTACGCCCGCTGTAGGCCTGTGGAACTCGCCCAGCAGCCGGTGCTCATCCAGCTCTTCATCTTCGCCCAGGACAAGACGGGAGAACGTCAGTTCGCTCGCTAATAAATCGCACGTTGCACCCCACGCGGGAGCAGACTGTGACGGCCATCAGCAGCTTCGCTCGCCGGCCCCCCCTCCTCGAAGCGAGAGGCTGCGTGGGGTGGTGAATCGCGATTCGAGCTACCAAAGCCAGATTGCCGTCTGTACGGCCATGGTAATCGTCCTGCCTCCGCCGTGCAAGCACTGCATTCGGAGCTGCATTCTGATCTGGGGTTCCGGCCGGTCTCGTCGTGGGCTGCATGGCCCGTCAGCACCTTGATAGAGCATCGGAAACCTGCATTGCACCAGGGGGCTCCCAGTCCCAGATCTTTTCCCAGCTGTCCGGCCTTTCGGCGCCAGCCCTGGCCGCCTGCGGTGGAATCTGCTCGCTGACCTGACATGGCCCCTCGTCCATAATTTCTCAGGTGCCCGCAAGAGCAGAAAAAGAGTAGGCAGTTGCGAGCTTTGACAGCTTCATAAGCCTATTTAGCGTACAGCATAAGCTGCGCTGGAGGAGAGGAGGAAAACGGCAAAACGGCTTGCATCATCACCGACGACGCTGATTGGCAGAGCAAGCCGGCTTAGCAGATCGTTCTAGACTGCTGCGAACGGCTCTCGCTCGCTCCAAAAGCCAGGCGCCGCAAGTCGTACCAAACGGACCTCCTTTGTTTGACCTTTTTACGCCTGCATAACATTGCGCTCCTAATCATCTCCTCGTACGGATATCGCTGTTTGTATTATGTGATATTTCGTGACTAAACTTGTACATCTGATACAAGCGCGACCCATAGCAACTGGTTGTCGGATGAAGGGGAATGAATAGGTAGCTACGTCGGTAGCATAGCAGGATCCAGATCCTAGCCCCTGTGCCACGATTATCACTGCAGGATGCCACCGAGTACACGCTGTGAGAGTCCTGATTCGTATTGCTCTTTCGGAGCTTAGCCGTCTAAGCGGTAACTCAGCACTACTAGAGTAGTATCCGCACGAATACTCCGTACCAGTTTTACCTACTACTAGGTACTACTACTACTTGCACAGAGTAGCTTAACAAGTAGTCGATAGTATTCAATAGCTCAACTCTGCTCCCTTGCATGTTTGCGAATCCTGCTAACACTCTGAAATTCGACAGCCAATGGATAGCCAAAGATTTCCACATGCGGCCAAGTTATATGCAGGTTGTGGCTCTCTGTCTGAACAAATATTGAATACCATTTCTAACCAAAGACTTTTGCGTCCATCCCCTCGTGTGAGCCAACATCTATCTATAATAGTACTGTGTACATAGCACGGGACGGAGTGAAGAAGTAGAATACACCCAGTGCTATAGATTAATCCAAGGTAGTTCCCTATGCACACTGCCTGCCGTCCGGGGCTACCACGCAGTAATGTCATCCACCTCAGCTTCACCGAATGTGCTCGACTTCATCAGCTGCCCCACGCCAACTTCCTCCTGGGCGCCACCCTCGACCAACATGATATCGGGTAGAATCTCTTTCAAGAAGCCCAGCACGTAGCGGTTGACCTGCTCAAACTGCAGGAGGAAGGCGTCGTGTCCCTCAGGGCTATCGATCCGCTCCAGTCGCGCATTTTTGACGTACTGAGCAATCTCCTCCTGTTCGGCAAAAGTGAATAGCCCGTCGCTTTCAATGCCAAGTACGAGCAGGGGCTGTTCAATTAGTGCAAGAGCCTCAGCGATCGACGATGCGCGGTCCCTAGAGACATCATGAGTATCCAGTTTTCGAGTCATAGCGATGTAGCAGTTGCTGTCAAAGCGCTTGACGAATTTCTTTCCCTGGTAGCGCAGATAGGATTGTGCGGAAAAGTATGTCGATGTAGGCAGCTTGTCACCTCCAGTCAGGCTTTCTCCTTGGTCGCGGTCATTCCCCGGGCCATGGAACTGCGGGTCAGCGTTTTCTGCCGATCGTGATCCCGGACTGCTGGCTCCAGAGCCAGCCTGGCTATTTTTGCGCGAGGTTGACGCCCGCTTCACATTGTGGCCATCATTGTGGATGTGAAAGTGCGCTTCCGACGGCGTGCTGGGACTGGGCCGCTCTCGGATTGACTGAATCTTGGAAGGGTCGGGAATGTTCCGGCCAAACCGTGACTCGAACGAGTTGCGGCTACGGTAAGTGAGCAGCGCAGACATGCGAGCCGCACCGAGCCCAGTCACAGGCGGATCATCAAAAGGATAGTATCCATCGTCGTACTTTGGGTCGGCATAGATGCTCTGGCGTTGAGCTTCGCCCCAGCTGATGCCCCATGCGCTATGCCGGCTGGACGTGGCAATCGGCACCACACAGCGAACATAGTCCTTGCCAAAGTACGCCCACTCCAGAACAAACATGCCACCGAGAGAGCCACCGATTACGGCAGCCACTTGCTTCACCCCCAAATCATCCAAGATAAGTTTGTGTAGACTGGTTGGCCTTTGTTAGTCTGTCTTCAGTGCCAGTGGGAGGGAACCATAAAGGGGCGTCTTACTTCACGTCATCTCGGATAGTTGTGAGAGGAAACTCGGGTCCATAATAACCATTTTTGGCATCGCCATCCTTGGCCGTCACCGGGCTTGCTGTGCCGTACGGGCTGCCTAGGCTGTTCATGCATACGATGAAGAATCTTGATGTATCGAAAGCCCTACCCGGACCACCAAGCAGAGGACCCCACCAGTCGCTCACATCAGCGCTGCCGGTCAGGGCATGGCATATCACCATGGCGTTGTCACCAGAGGGCGACAGCTTGCCGCGGGTGGTATAGGCCACAGGAACATTATATAGCGTGACGCCAGACTCGAGAGTGAATTCCGGCACAATGGCTATTTGCTGGTCGGGGATGAGAGCCGAAAAGGGGTTCTCAGGTTGCGACTGGGTTCTTTCTTGCAGGTATTCAGCCACTATTCTTCTCACAATCTCACGTATATGGACATATCAAGCAGTCTGCTGCGGCCCCCGGCCCATTGAGCCACTTGGCTGACGCTCACACAGGGTGAAGACGTAAAAAAGAGTGGCAATTGGGATGTAATTTTGAGCAAATAGGAGAAAAGTGTATTGTACTGACCGTATTTCATATTGGTATCACCATTGATACCGTTTTTCTCACTCATCTTGCCGCCTGCAAGTAGCAACGAATGACTCGACCTCCGAGAACGGAGAAGAGACTAACTAGCACTATGAGACAATCGGGACTCAGCACCAACTCAAAGCCCAATATGCTGAAGAACAACTGAGCTGCGTGTAAAACGCCGTGTAGAGTAAGTGAAGGGTAAAAAAAAAATTATTGAAATGAATGAAAATATATAAGTTTTGTGTCAAGTGTATTTGTGGAGGTTGAGAAATTCAGATGCTAGCATGCATGGCGCAATTCCAGATATGACCTTCTTGGCCGGGGTAAGCCACATTGGGGCGAATCGAATTTCCCTTTTGGCTTAGTAAGTACGTAAGCAATCATGATAATGACTTGCCACGTGACGCCGTTCAGCGCGACGTTGCCAAAATGCAGCAGGTACTCGTGCTTTGTACCTACGCTGGTGTCTTTTGGGCGCAAGGCTGCGCATGGTCCGTGCACGGCCGCTTGGAGCGCAGCTTCACGACTTCACGCGAGCCTCTTCAAACCTGGTTTTAATACAGCAACGCAGCCGCTTTTCAACTCCAAAATCCTGCCTTGGGGCGCAGGCTAGTCAAGGCATCATTTATACCTGCGGAAACCCGGTCCAACGCCATTTTCCCCGACCGAATTGCTGTCCGGCCGTTCTGGCAGCCGCCTAGGCATCTTTTTTTTTGCTATATTTCTCTAGCTTGCTACACTCAACTATTTTTCACCAGCATTTTACCACAGGATTAGCCACAACGCAGAGACCGACCACCTTCGATCAAGCACGTCTTACCGCGCCATCACTTTATCCTTTCCATCTCCAAAGCCAACTAGATCTGTCTCTAGATGATCTAAGAAATCTGCCGCTGATGGTATAACACGCGCCGATTCCTCGCTGCATCTTCGAGCGTCATGCCCCCGAAGCGAAAGCGATTCGAACGACCACCAGGCGACGGAGGCAGGCCATCACCACACAACCCAGGCGACTCCGAAATCGCGCATCACGAACGAGACGACAGCATGAACCACATGAACCAAGGCCGGGGCCGAGGGCGAGGCGGGCATCGAAACGCCAACCGACGGGACTCGTCGCGTGGCCACAACATACGGGGTGCTCACAACTATCAGCAGCACCAGCAAAATCAGCAAAACCAACAGAATCTGCAGAATCCGCAGAATCAGCCTCAAGTTGCGCGAAGACCCAGCACGTCCTCCTCCCAGCAGACGCCACAACAGTCTCCAGCAGCTCCAAGAGCACCCAGTTCTCCTCCTGTGTCTAAGCAACCACCGCCACCACCCGCCTTTGCGAAACCTCCTCCCACTCCGCTCCCGCCGACCAATAACTCTGCCGAGTCCATATCGGAAAACGGCACGCCATCTAGATCCAATTATCGCTATGATAATCTCACAGAGGAAAAGATCCGATCATGGGCAGAGCGCGGGCGAGAGGAAATCGTACAACATGGTGTGCAATCACGAGAAGATGTTGACATCACAGAACTGTCTAGCCTGTTCCAGGAATTCATTCACGCTGTTGTTGAGGGCAGGCTGGATGCAACTGATGCTGGAAAATGTGTCAAAGAGATCTTGGGAGATGAAGCGACAGAGATAAATAAGGATTCCTACGTCGCCCCCCATACGCTACTTCTTGACTCGCTAGCCATTGTCATGGACAATGAGCCTGATCTATACCGCCCGTCTCTTCGCGACTTTTTGATTGCCACCGAGGTGTCTCCTGCCCTGATGCGGCAAGTGCTCGATGCGCCTTTGCTTCAGCAGCTCGGGCTTATCCGGGATACATTTGCCCGGCTCGGTGTAAGGCAGGCGACAAACCTACTCTACCGGCAAGCAAACTATAACCTCCTACGCGAAGAGACAGAGGGTTACTCGAAGCTCGTCACTGAGCTCTTCACTACTAGCAGTATACCATCACCCGCTCCCGAACTTGCAGAGCAGACGTTTGAGAGGGTAAAGGCTTTGATCGGAACCTTCGATTTGGACGTTGGACGAGTACTTGACGTCACTCTTGACGTCGCTGCCGCCGTTCTTATCAAACAATTTAAATTTTTCGTCAAATTTCTGCGCATCAGCTCTTGGTGGCCGCGCTCGCATCTCATACTTAGCTCTTCGGTCTATACGGGCGGCCTACCAACATGGGCTCAGCCAGATTATCTTTACTGGAATACTACTGAAGAAGACGAGGAACTCAATGCACAACAGAGACTGGCTCGAGATACTGCTTTCTGGGCCCGAGCGCGCGAAGTCCACTTGGCAGCATTTTTCGAACTGGGTGGCAGAGAGCCATCAAACTTGGCTTCCTACCGACCAAAGCTCACCAATGGCAACAGCAGCGAATCGACTACCGAAGTTGAGCGCCAATGGATAGAAGAGACCAAGACTCTCCCACCTCCAGGCAATAAGGTTGCTGCGCAGCTCTTGGGATTCAAGTTGCTCTTCTATAACAGTGAGCTTCGGGATAAACTCGATGTGCTCCCCGCCAATCTGCTCTATCTAGCCGCGCTTCTTATCAAGGTCGGCTTCATCTCACTCACCGACCTCTACCCTCATCTATCACCCTCCGATGAAAACATGGAGCATGTCCGCGAAGAGCAAGCCAAAGTAATAGAGCAGGAAGAGAAGGCGTCGCGAGGTGGCCCGATGAATGCTTTACTCATGGCGGGTGTTCTTCCTCAGGGCGATGACGATAATCCCACGCCAACCAACACTATCAGGCGAGAGCCGATGAAGAAAGTAGAACCTGAGCAAAAGGCATCCGGCAGTGCAGAAGCTACTGAAGACTCTAAGAACCTTCCGGAGCCATTGGAACAAAAAGTGAGGCTACTTGTTCAACTTTTGACAATCGGCGCCATTCCAGAGTCACTGTTCATTCTTGGAAAGTTTCCGTGGGTTCCAGAGCTATTCCCAGAAGTCCTTTCTCGAATTCACCGTATATTACACGTCTCTCTGGAAAAAGTCTTCAACGACAGCCGCCCAAAACCCTTCAACGGAGCCGACGTCGACTGCCCAACCAAGGAAATATTCTCTGCAGATCAGAGTGGCGTCGCAAAGGGGAGTGTTCGGCTTACCCGACTACCAGTTAAGAAGATCTGGCGATGGCCATATCCGGATAAATGGGATACTAACGAGAGCCAAAATTACCGATTCTACTGGGATGAATGGGCGGATAACATTCCGGTCTGTCAGACTGTGGATGACGTCTTCACTTTATGCAACACCTTCCTCAACATTTCTGGTGTAAGCATTGGCAAGGATGAAACTCTTCTCTCCAAGCTGGCTAGCATTGGAAATAAAAGTTTGAGTGAGGATACATCTGAGTCTAACTTTGCTCGATGGCATGACCTTCTTCGCAGGCTCCTAGTGCCGGCCCTCAGCCATACAAAAGCCAATGTATCCGTTGTCAACGCTGTTTGGGACATGCTCCGCAGGTATCCACTGACTACACGATACTCCATATACGCAGAATGGTTTGAGGGGCAGATATCTCGCTTACCCGCCATGCGTTCAGCGTTTGCTCGTGCTACTGCAGAGACACGAGGAACTATGAAGCGTGTGTCGCTTACAAACATAAGTGAAATGGCTAAGCAACTGGCCAAAACAAGTTATTCTTCCCCTGGAGTTGTCTTTCGGGTTGCATTTGAACAACTTGAATCTTACCCCAACCTGATAGAAGGGTTTGTCGAATGTGCCAAATATTTTACCGACCTTTCCTACGACGTCCTCGTCTGGTCTTTGATGAACTCCCTTGGCAAATCTCGAAGTCGCACACAGGCCGACCATGCACTTACAACCAGCAAATGGCTCCAAGCCCTGTCAAGGTTCTCGGGTAAAATTTTCAAGCGCTACTCGGCCATCAATCCCATTCCTGTCCTTCAATACGTCAATGATCAGCTTCAACGAGGTAATTCAACCGATTTGATCATTCTGAAGGAATTTATCACGTCTATGGGCGGCATTGTCGACTCAGTAGACTTTACCGATGCTCAGGTTCTGTCCATGGCCGGTGGAGAACGACTGCGTCGCCATACATTGATTCGAGGCCAAGACAAGCGTTTTGACAGTGTTAAGAGCTCCAAGAGGCTTATACTAGCCCTCACCGAATCAAAGCTCGCTGCCCGTCTGCTCCTTAATCTCGCACAGTATCGCCAGTCAGCCATATATCAAGTCCCCGAAGATGAAGCCCATATCAAATACTTGTCCGCCCTCATAGACGACTCTCACCAGATTCTCATACAGTATCTTGATTTTATCTGGAGCAACCTTGATCCTTCAGCGTTTGATGCCTTGGTTCCCTCAATTAATGAATTGATTGGTTCATATGGATTGGACACCAGCATTGCCTTCTTGATTGGCAGATCTAGCCTCTCACACCGACTTTATCCTTGGGGTCAGAGGGAAGCGGAAAATACAAAAGAGAACCCACAGTCTACACAGCGGGAAGCTACTGACAAGGAGGGAGATGTTCCTATGAGCGACGAATCCAAAGACAAGTCGGGTCTGGCAGCCTCCGCAAATGATGAACAGGTGGGAAATGATGACGCCTCCCCTGGCCCACGTGCGACAACTGATGTGAAGTACAAACAGAAACTCGACGATGTGTCATTGACACTTACCCCTCTACAGCCTATAGTTGAAGTTGTGAAAGAGACCGTGCGACCAGAAGTCTGGCAAAAGATGAACCCGGAACTCTATTCTATTTTCTGGGCTCTACAGCTCGGCGACCTCTTTTGTCCTGAAGACATGTACAAAGAGGAGAAGGATCGACTCGAGAGTGAAGGCCAAGCTATTCTTAGAGATCGTTCGGACATGTCCCGCAGAGGCCAAGAGCGAAAGAATGAAAAGAGACAGGAACTCTTGAAACAGCAGCTCAGCCTCTCTATGGAGCTCAAGGAACACCGCCAACGAAAAACCAAATGGATGGAATGCTTAGCCGAGCAGTTCCAGTCTATATGCCCCGACCCTAAAATCAAGACTGACAGCCTCTCCGATATTTTACTAGAGCAATGTTTCCTCCCCAGAGCTCTGTTGTCCCCAGCAGACACCGAGTACACGTATAAGTTTATCATTGCACTACACGAACTGAGAGCGCCAAACTTCAAGCTCATGTCGCTTTATGACCGACTCTTCAACGCCAACCGGTTGCGATCGCTAATCTTCACCAGCTCTGTCAGAGAGGCTGAATATCTTGGGAGATTTATCAACTTGATACTCCGAGATCTATCCAGATGGCACAAGAACGAGACGACTGAGAAAGGTAGACACAACAAAGATCAGCCTCGTTTAGGCGCGTATGATAAGGAAGGCAAGGGGCCTAGCGACCGGCCATATCTTGGATTCGCTGTCAGTCTCAAGGAGGACGGGGAACCGGATACTTTGATGGAGCATGCTCAGTTCAAAGATCTCTTGTTCCGTTGGCATAAGAACTTGAATACGGCACTGAAAAGTTGTTTGGCCGGGACGGAGTGGATGCACATCAGAAATGCCATTACCGTTCTCAAAGCTGTCTTGGATTATTTCCCTGCCATCGATTTTATGGCCACCCAATTTACGACGCAGCTTCAAAAGATTACCAAACAAGAAGCTGCGCCCAAGGCATCGGCTGATAGCGAGGAAGGCCACAGAGTGGATTTATCGGTTGCCGCTCAAGGTGCCATGTCCGAGTTGCAAAAGAGGAAATCGAGATGGGTCATGGTTCAAGCTTTCAGGCCCAATGCGGTGAGTGTTGCTCATCGTAAGAATATTGCTATCTGTATCAGATCACTAATGCTCCAAACAACAGGGCGGCGGCTCTCAATCGGAAGTTGACAAATCGGCATCAGCCGCATCGAACCTACGTGCTACGGCTACAGACTTCCAGTCACAAACGAGGTACGTGAATTGTTTTGTGTCTTATCCAGAATGTCTTATGGAATCCGACCCTGACTTGCGCCCAAAAATTACAGGTCACCAGCAAATAGGCAGTCTACGGCTGAAAGAGAAGATGGAGAAGTCCAGGACGGGAAATCCCAGCCTGGTTCCGCCATGCAGAAGGATTCTCTACCGGCCAAGCCTTCTGGCTCCATGAGAGACGTTTCAATGACTCGGGACGACGCTTCTGGGCTTCCTCGATCGTCCACTCCAATGGCCGGTCAAGGTGGTGCGGGCGCCTTTGGGCCTAGAAATGATCCTCGCTCCCACGCGCTACCTGACAGGCCGGCACACAATCTCCCTACACGGCCAGATGTTCCTATACCGAGTCATTTCACGCAAGACCGATATACTCAGAATCGCGGTCATGATCGTCGGGAAATGAGAGACTCTAGAGAAAACCATAGGCAGCGCGATGGGCGGGAGCCGCGAGAGAACTGGGATGGCCGTGATGCTAGAGAAGGCAAAGAACATCGTGACGCGAGGGAACCTCGGGAGCCTCGAAGCCTCGAATCAGATCGACCGGACCGCTCTCGCGAATACATAGACCGGCGCGGAAACGAAACAATGCCCCGGGATGCTGGCCCAACTGACCTCCCACCTCGCCCAAGGCAGCAAGAGCGCGAGTGGGGATCAAGAGACTCTTGGGCTAATAGATCTCAAGATCGACTGAATGACTTGCCATCTCAGCTGCCAACGGCTCCTTCTGGCCCGGCTGATGCGTCTGAGCCGGCCATGAATCCTCAAAGGGCCGCGTTGTTTGCTCAGGATGAAGTGGATCGAACTCGACGAGGTCCAGAGCAAGATCGGGGCCCGCGCTCTCGAAGACCAGGGCCACAAGATTCAATAGAATCAATCAACCCTGAGCGAGCTGCATTGATCGACGACCGCGACGACGGTACGCACGGGCGTGATGGACGCGAGAGAGGCCCTCGAGTCCAGTCACCTCGGCGAAGTGGACGATACGGACACGAACATGGTCCTCCGTCTGGGCCATACGAAGACAGACACGGGCACAACTTTCAGCCAGATAATCGACAAGCTGGAAGAAATGCTCGTGGCCGCTCACCAGCTGGCGGTGAAAACTACCGTAGCAATAAGGGGATGGATCGCGACGGAGATCGAGCCCACATGGACAAGATGCGAGATGCGCCATCTTCAGGATTCCATAGATCTGCGCTCGGACAGGAAGCTGATCATAGGCCGCCACCTTATCAAGATCAAAACTACGGACGGCTGAACCCAGTGCCTACGAATACCCCGGATATCCCGCTGGGACCGCGGGGACGGGGGCGAGGTGCTTCCAGAAATAATCAACAAGGCGGGCCACCGGCGATGTCAAACCGGCCCGACAATCGATATGGAGCCCCCGACGCGCCTAGAGCACCATCACAGGAACGACATCCTCCTTCGGGTCCCGCATCTGGACGTAATCGCCGTGGCGGCTATGAGCACAATAACAATGTACCATCTGCTCCCTCGGGCACTCCTGCCGGGCCACACGCTGATAGAATGAGAAACTTTGGCGGCGGCGGCAGTGGTGGCGGTGGTGCACAGGACAATCCACCCTCTTCCCAAGGTAGCAACACGGCTACTGCACCTGGAGTGCATCCCGATCGACTTGCTCAAATGGGTGCCTCCTCCTTACCCAACGCCCCCCCTCCACCTCCTCCACCACCAGGGCCTCCTCCATACGGCCATGGACAACATGGACACAGTCACAACCGCCATTCAATGTCTTCATCCGGAAACCCTGAGAGGTCGGGACCTAGGATGTCTACGGGCTCTCTTCCACTGGAGCCTAACGTGCCCACGGGCCCTGCATCTGGTGGTGACAGACCGTCCAGGTCGGGCGGTGGACGAAGACAGCTGGCAGGCATCAACAATATGCTCCAGCAAGCCCAGGCTTCCATGCCGAACGAAGGACGACCCACTGGTCCTCGCTCTAACCCTCCCCGACAAATGCTCGGTCATTCTGACATTCAAGTTTTGGCGGGTGGGGATATGGCCCCTCCAACGCCGGATCGCCCAGAAGCACAATGGCATGACTCGTCTCCTCGAGGTGGCACGTTGAACGGAGAAGAGGCATCAGGACGGGGTGAGCATGAACGGGGTCGACGAGATCGCGATGGCCGAACGGATCGTTCCAAGCGGCCGTCTCGCCGTAGCAGCCGGGAACGAGAGAGGGGCGAAGGCAAAGAGCACAGCGAGCACCGAGAAAGACGATCAGCTGGCGGCGTTGAAGGTGGAACTCGCGAAGATAGAGACAATCGCAGGTCGACTCGAGACGGTAGCTCTCGGGATGCGGCAGCGGCAACGCCGAGCAGCGGCCGAGAGTCACGGCATAGGAACGATGGTGGGGCAGGAAACAGAGGCGGAGATGAAAGAAGCGGTAATAGAGCCAACCGAGGAAACCAGAGAGACGGAACACAGCGTACGGAGGAGCAGCGGAGGGAACATAGGGATGACCGAGGACGCAAGAGGAGAGGCGACGAAGCCGACGGGGCCTTGCTAAGCGATCGTGAGAAGAGGGCGCGACGATAGCCCGAGGGAAAAAAAAAAAAAAAAAAGAGATCGATTTTTGTCAAGCGTTGGTACGACGGTTCTAGCCAAATTATTTGCTTTTTGGTTAATCGGAGCCTTTTGCTATCATGCCGCGCTGCAGTACATTTTTTATATTTTTGTCAGACGCGGAATTTGATATCATTCTGTACACTACAATTTTCTGTTTTTTTCCCTACTTATTCATGTTTTGCCTTTGCGACAGTCTCTACGACCACAAGGGATCGGTTCAGACGAAAAAAAAATAATGCAACTTTACCTATCTATGTTTTTACCTTTTTGTTTACCTACATACTTGCCTCTTCTGTCTTGTGTGTTTTATTTGTCTACCTACCAGAGAGACAGATGGCACACGCATTTCTTCGAATCTATCAATGTATTAAAACAAAAAAGAATGCTTTTTTTATCAAAATCATGCCAGCAAATGTTACACTGCATTGCATTTCATGGCCCAATATATGAATTACGGGACGCTTAGACGGGAAACGGCCATGGTTGAGGGAAATTATATAACGGCCTCATTCGAACTATTTTGCTCAATCGTAGTGCGATTTACGGTTTATGGAAGAATTTATGACGCCAACCATTTTGTACGATATGTAAAGGAAATAAAGAAAAGGGGAAGGGAAGACGAGATATGGGATGAGAGCCGTACGATTATGTTTCAGCAAAACGACGGTACAAAGGGAGGGGTATACGCGCGACTATTTTCATGTATTATGAACGCTGTAAATGACTGAAGGGAAATAAGGAATTGGATGAATGCTGGGCCAGTTCTTGACGTAGGGGCTATGTAAGGAAAGGCTTGCGTAATCTAGTGGCTTAGTTTATGAATTTTTGATGACCAACTTATTTGGGCGAGGAGATTATTGATTGTTACGTGGGAGCAAAAAGAAAAGGATTTAACAGTAGGAGGAGAAACGACTGTGGCTGTATCCTGCAGTGTCTCACTTGGGGGCGTCGTGCATGTTACCCGTTATGGCAAGTGATGATTATCTTCTGGGGTGCTCATGGGCTGTGCTCTTTTGTGGGTTTTGATAGGGCTGCTGTGATGTGCTGCGGTGTCATGTCTGACATTTACGTACGAGAGGCGGTGCTCGACTCGATGTATGACCCAGTGTCTGTGAATCAACTGCGACTTAATTGGGATGGGCATGAATAGGTTTTGAGAAGAATGGCGATGATGTGAGAAGTGGAAATGCTGTTTACCTTGGGTACTAAGGGAAGAAGGGCCGTGTAAGTGTGGGATTTTTCTGGGACGGACTGTGGCGGAGGCTGCGTTGGTTGGCATGGAGAAGGGTAAGTTTGTGCGGCGGTGTTGCTATTTATTGCTCTATATTACTATTCATTGCGGCTGGGCTGATGATCTGTGGGGAGACCGGTGAGGATGAGATGAGAAGTAATAGTGTAGGGTAGTGTAGTGCTGGATGTGTGTGTATACTAGGTATGCCTAAGGAGTTTGATAGTAGAGCTCTAGGTAGTTAGCATGTGCACGAGATGGGCGGAGGACAAGACAGAGAGCATGAATATCGGATGCGGATTTGTGAATACGGAGTTCGGGGCCGGGGATTAGACTCTGCGGAGGGAACGTAATTGGCAATTTTGGAGACGTTTTATATAGGCTGCTGCGGGCTTGGCGCCGGCGGGACTATGGCGAGTCTCGATGTTTGATGGCATTCAAGATTGTTGTTTCTATCGATACCCAAGGTGCTGCATAGTATGCAAAGTATGTACTACTACCTGCATCTGGCCAGCATCAAGGAATCTGCGCCGGAGAGTGGGATGTGCAGAAAGCTGCAGCAAACAAGCCTGCATCGAGGGGCAGCAGCCGAGCCCACAGTGACGTGACGTGCTGCGGGAGACGCGCATCCTTATAGGAGCCCCTGAAAAAGGGAGCCGCGTTAGCGGGAGCGGCGCTGCGAGGTGGGCTGGGTGGGTGCCCGGCGGCGTCTTCTTATAGGGGGCTGAAGCAGGGCTTGGCGGGATTTTGATGAGGAGGATTGGAATGATGTGCGCTGGCCAGTGATGATCTGCAAGGCTTTGGGGGGGGAGCGAGCGCTGCGCACTAACTAGGTTTTTTGCATCGATGCGTACATACATATTCTTGTGGTTAGAGGTTTTTTTTGTTTTTTTGGCTTGCTTACTTGCTCTGCATCTTGGTTCACTCACGCAGTCAATCTTGATTTATTCAGGCGTGTAAGCGAAAACACAAGCACATGCTAAGCAGGCCCAAACGAGATTCGAAATTCTCAGGTACATGTACATGCAAGCTCCGTCTGGGCTTGGCAAAACAGGCGTTACACAAGAAAGGCAGCATTTGGTTGCTCCGCAGTCCCGATCTCCGGCCGCCGGGCTCTGCTGGAGGGACTCGTATTAGGGGTACAGTATCGTTTCTACTGAAAAATAAAGTTGAGATTACAAGATTTAAAAAAAAAAAAAAAAAAAAAAAAAGGTCAAGGTTCAACAAAAATAATAGCAGCGGGAGGCCGCCTTTGTTGTGGATCGGCGGGTTCTTTGTAGGTGTCCGAACACTCCGTAAGGGAGAAAACAGACACCTACCTAGTAGGCGCTACAGTTAATGAGCGGGTGCAGTTGAACAAGAGAGCGAAACGGTTCAAATCCAATCCAATCCAATCCAATCCATGCATGATGATGATGAATGATACTGCCTTGCAGTTACTACTACCTAGTCCGCACTCAAACTTGTACAGGTGCCTCCACCCGCCGTGTTTTAGCCCTCTTCGTAACTGCAGCACACGCCAAACATCGCCGGCACGCCACTGCATGGCATGGGCTGCGTGGCGGACGGGCCTCTTGAAACATCAAAAGACGCGCGACTGCTCCAATGACGGCCAACCACAGCGACTCAGCCTCCCCCTGCCACGCCGAATCCGCAGCACTAGCGGCGACACACTCGCAACAGCCCAAGACGTGTGACTTTTTTTTTTCTTTGTGTGTTTGCGCGGGAGGGGCTCGAACTGGGTTTCTGTTTTGGGCATCCTGTGAGCTTTTTAGTGGCGGGTGCATGTTGGCTGTGTGTGGCTGGAGGAGCGGCATTGGCAGAATACGAAGGTCGAGATGGGCGCATGGATGGTGGGAGTGCATGTCTGGACCATCACCTGCAGTCAATGCATTCACGTTACAGCAGAACTGAGCCCCTACTGCTGCTTGCTATACGCGCTATAGCAACCCGGGGTTACCTTACTTGGTTGCCTGTAGCTGTACCTGTACCCCAAGCTTGAGCTGCTGTGGCGCCCGTCTCCCGCCGGCAAACGCAGCCACCAGCACCGCCCACGAACCGCTGTAGAAATGATTCACCTTCTTCAGCGGCTATCCAGACACACAAGTACCGACTCCCCCGTTTTAGCGCCCTGCCAGGCACTCGTACCGGTACAAGCCCGATTCAGACCTTCTGCACCCCCCCTGCTCGGATTTATTCTCTCCCTCGCTCGCTTTTTTTCTTTCCCAGACGTCTCTTGTTCCCGGATCCCTGCCATGCATACTCTTGTCTGATTTCTTATTTCTCTAGTCCAGTCGATCGCTCTTCATTCTTGCTTTATCCACAGCGAAACATTCCCTTTTTTTTTTTCCTGCTCCTCTTTCTTCTTTCTCCTCCTTTCGCTATCCGCTCGTTCCACCTCGCCGTCTTTGTTTCTATATCGGAGCCTTCATCAGCCTGGCCAGAGCGTGCGACACACGCCTCATTCCGCCCTTTGTCTGGCATTCCAAAAGGACGACAAACGTGACCCCCGTGGACCCGTACGATTCTCGACCACAGGCTGGGACGTACGGCGAGCCATCTCAAAACAGCCCCAGTCTTTCCGCCGAATCACGACCAGGACTAAGACGCCGCATCGAGAAGCTCAAGGAGGGAGGGAATTAGCTGACAAACGACGATTCGAAACCGCCCTTCTTTCACCATCGCAATTCAACTCTTGAGCTCTAGCGAGGTTCGGCCACACGAGAGAGCTGGAGTCAGCGGCAGACGACAGGAACGATCCGATTCAGCGACGATCCGAATTGCGCGCGCGTCTCTGCTAGGCTGTCTAGTCGGCTATTGCCCCCGGTGGGCTTTCACCAACAAAGCGCACGATAGACAACACCGGATGATACAACCGCCACCATGCTGAATCTAACGTGTAATTCGACGCTTGAGGATATGAACAGTACGTTTCCTCTCGCCATGCCCATCTCGTCTCCCGGACAGGCTTGCCTCTGCCACTTTAGGGAGACAAACTCGGCCGCAGAGAGCGACTACGGGCTGGATGTGATGAGACCATGAAGCTAACGTTCCAGCAGTATCCGAAGTCAAGATCGTCGGCCCTCTTGATTTCCACGACCTTGCGCGTGTCATTTCCGCCGGCTGCACCCTCATCGCCGTTGTGCTCAGCTTGTACCTGGTCTTCATGCACGCCTCGCACTACACCCAACCCAAAGAACAGCGACAGTAAGAAGCGATGCTGACGAAGCCTTTGCGGCCTTTGTATCAGCATGAATCTGGCTAACAATCCTCGGCAGCATTATCCGTATTCTCTTCATGGTCCCCGTCTATGCCATTTCTTCTTACATGCAGCTCGAATGGTACCGCCAAGCCACTTACTTCTCCGTCATCTCCGATTGCTACGAGGCCTTTGCCATTGCGTCCTTTTTCGGCCTGCTATGTCACTACTGTGCGCCCGACCTGCACACGCAAAAGGAATTCTTTAGAAATCTACGCCCCATCCAGCCTTGGGTCTTGCCTATCAACTGGTTTGCCAAGTGCTGCGGCGGACAAAGAGGTCCGTGGCGCACCCCCAAGAGCGGTCTTACCTGGTTCAACATCGTCTGGATTGGTGTATATCAGTACTGCTTTATCCGAGTTGCCATGACCATCACCGCCGTCTTGACACAGCATTATGGCCGCTACTGCGAGAGCTCAAATTCCCCTGTTTTTGCTCACATATGGGTAAGCATATCAATCACTTCATCGCTTCATCGTCATCCATGCGAAAAGAGGGGCAATCAGCTGCTCAACGACGCCCCCCCAACCCCAACGACTGTAGCTAACGTATCTATCTTGTGCCAACCTATAGACTCTTGCCATTAATGCGATTTCCGTCACCATTGCCATGTACTGCCTCATTCAGTTTTACATCCAGCTAGCCAAACCCCTCGCCGAGCACAAGCTTTTTATCAAGGTCTTGGCCATCAAGCTCGTCATCTTCTTATCCTTTTGGCAATCGTTGGCCATTTCCGTCGGCACGTCGACGCTTAAAATTGTTCACCCGAACAAAGTTCTCGCCTACCCAGATCTCAAAGTCGGTATTCCAGCCATGCTGCTCTGCATCGAAATGGCCATCTTCTCCATCTTGCACATTTGGGCCTTCCCATACCAGGTGTACCGTCGCGGTGTTGGCGCATCCTTTTACCCATCTCCCGATGCATCAAAGGGCACCGTTGGCCTGGAGAAGCCTGCTCTGCCCCCCGCCGGCGGTTTCTTGGGTCTGCGTGCCTTGTGGGATGCTCTAAACTTGTGGGATCTCGTCAAGGCCTTTACTCGAGGTATGCGCTGGCTCATGTGCGGTGTGAAGAGGCGGAAGGAGGATATCAGCTACAAGCTCGGTGCTCCCAACGACGAAAGCGGCATGAGCATGAGCAATCTCCATGAGCCCAAGCCTGGCCAGGGTTCATACAACCACGCTTTTGACGACCCGACAACAACGGCATATCACGGCGTCGGTGGCGGAGTCATGTCTCCAACCGGCGAGGAGAGAGTCGGTCTAATCTACGATGCGCAGCCAAACCCGGAATCCGGTATGATGGGCTCGTCGCCGCCGTCAGCGTACGGCCAGCATCTGCATCAACAGCCATATGAATACGATCCACCTCCATACGGCGGCGCATCGCGCACACACTCGCCCTACAACAACACATACAATGAGCAGTCGCCTCCACAACGCCCTCAGCGACCACCCGAGCCCTACCAAGGAGACTGGAGACAACATTGAAGAAGGGAGAAGGGGGGGAAAAAATATTGACTGACATCTCTTTCCAACTAAAATCGCGATAAAAAATGAAAAAGGAAGATGAAATCTCGATCACTATTTATTACAAATCATGACGGCAGTCTTAATTACGATACCAACGGTAGGGAGGGCGCAACTGGCGGCTGAAGGTTTTTTTTTTTTTCTTTCTCGCATCTGATTTTCGACATGATTTCAATTATGCGCTTTATAGCCTCCACCAACAACGGGAGAGGCGAGGTATCATGGCTTTTTGTTTATGGATTTTGAACTGCTTCTATTTTTCTTTTTTTTTTTTTTTATTTGTTCGGCCCGTGCATCAGCAAGGCAGGACAGTGTACATAGATTGAGGGGAAGAATGAGATGGGAAGACAAAGAGGAAGAAAGAATGTATCGTTCACACAAGGCAGATGTTTGCCATGATGAAATAGAAATTTGAACTTGGATTTGAAACTTGTTTGCCATCTGTTTCGGATACGGAATGTACAGTACCGGGGAGTGGCGTTATCTAGTTTGTTGTGGCGCTTTCCTGCAATTACAACTGACTAGGAAACTGTTGCTATTTATAAATCTTTTATGGAGAAGATGAATTTGTATGGGAAAATGACATCCTTCGGCTGGTGAAGAGTTTTGACTTGAGTGGGTTAGTAGTCTATAGTTAGTAATTAGCCCAATGTCTTACAAGCGATCCGATAGGCGGAGTGCCAGAGTGGTTAATGGGTATGACTAGAAATCATATGGTTTCGGCCTCGCAGGTTCGAATCCTGTCTCCGTCGGAACGTGTTTCTTTTTTTTTCTTTTTTTTTTTATTTCCCTACTTTGCACATGACAAAGTCTCTTCTTCTTTTCTTAATTTTTTTTTTTTCCTTTAATTCTTCTCTCTACATCAATGTAATGCATTGGTGAATTTCTTGTTCTTGGGAACTAGCGCGCTATTTATTATAACTACGGAAAGTGAGTATAATTAAATGGAGTTATAATACGTGCTGTTACCCTATAAATGCTCAGTGCCGCATCCCAAAAGCTGCTATGTTCTTTACCTAGACCCAAAAGAAGATCGCAGCTTGGATCTAGTAAAGGTATAAATTTTGGAAATACTTTTGACTAGATAGTGAGCCCATGTTTCAATTCCGATGACATGATAATAGAGTGTCAGTAGTGATTTTCACAGAGATGCTTCAGTAAACTATTGTAGATTAGAGCTGATTTCAATAATGAAGCGCACATATAAATATGCATCGTCACTACTCTTATATATCGTTGTTCATGACAAGTCCTTTCGATAACCTACAGTAGGTATATCTAGTGAATGATCATTCAAATGCCCAGTTCCTTCTGTGGCCTAATGGAGATATTAGTCCATACACAAGTGCTTTGTAATATATATATATATAATATAACACTGGCAAAAGTAGAGGAAGCAGACTAAGTCTAGAATACCTGCAAATTAGTCATGATAGCTATTATTTGGGCACGGAACTATTATATCATTTGCCAAGTATAGTCGTTTTCAGGGTCAACTACTACGAATAATTACTATAAACATGCCACATTAAGCAAGAGTGACAAGCCAGTCAATGTACAAAACCACCAATTCAACAACAAAACCGCTCGTCGCAATTCAAAAACCAATATATTCTATTCAGCATTTCATATGCTGGGTGAATCCCGCTATGTCCGCTGCCCTCGAGATAGCCGCTATGTCGTGTACGCGGTTATATCTGCTCGGGACTCCCCTCCTCCTTGTTCCAATATGTACAACTATCCAGCCAATTTTTGCCATAGAGTCCCTTCGCGGCCCATGATCCATTATTTCAAGCCAGTTATGCCAAGGTTGGCCCGCTGTCCCCTCAAATCCAAAACGGTGGCCATGTAATTATTATGTAAGTACAAGGAATGATGCGATTGTGTCATGTTGTGACCGTGGTACGCGTAAATGCCCCCCAGGGCTGCTCATGGGCTGTCGTCTCGTCTCGCGATGAAGAGTTTCGAATCTCGGATCCTCACGGCACCAGCTTGGCGACCCCCTTTTACTTGCTCAGATGCCCTCCTTCCCCCCTCCCCTTAAAACAAAAAGCTGCCAACGCCATCCTGGTATCTCGAAAGGCGACAAGACCCCAAAATCCTTTGTTTTCTCATATGTATTCGAACGGCAGCGGCAAATATTCATCTACTTGTCATGGCGCTCCGATCATTCTAAAAACCAAACGAAAGAAAATAATGAAAAGAGAAAACCTGTCCAATGCAATGAAAAACGATAAACAGAAAATCAGGCGTGTATGAAAATAAACAAGCTAACAAGAAAAGGAGAGAGATTTTTATGCGGTTGCCCATTATCCTTCTTCAGGATCAGGGTTCGTTGCTCGGAGCACCGTAGGTCGCTGGATTCGTCGTGAATAGTCATGGTCGTCTCGCAGAGTGTTGAGACTTTCGTGGCTACCGCGTATGTAGAGACCCTGCTTAAAGGGGTCCATTCGAGGATCGATCTGGATTGTGCTGTTTCTGTTGGCAGCAGCGACCGGCGAAGCTGGTGAGCCGCCGTTTATGCTCATCTCAGGGGGAACCGATCCCACCATGCCGGATGAGCTACCCCGAACGCTAGGATCGTCTCGGTATTCGTCCTGATTTTGCCTTCTCCGCCGGAGGAACCAGAAGAAGGCAGCAGCGAGGACCACCAGACCGCCCACAATACCAACCACAATACCAACAATGGCACCGGTTGAAAGCCCCGATTTCGATTTCTTGGAAGTGGTGCCAGTTTGGTCTCCGCTTGGGTCTGCTGTTTGCTTGGGAAGACCGCCGCTGCTGCCGGAGCTCTGCTCGCCGGATGACGATGGGTTAGGCGTGGTACTGGCAGAAGACGACGACGTGGAGCTCGACTATAAAACATGTTAGCTACTTAGCTCTCTCGCACGGCATGTCAAGTTAGCATTCATAGTTTCGCGGCGGAACTGCTGTCCAGGAGTCAAGTCATACAGAGGATGAGCTACTTGGAGAAGTAGTCGGCGTCTCTGATGTGGAGGTGGAGATGGAAGTGGACGCGGAAGTGGACGCGGAGGTGGAAGTAATGGCGGAGCTGGACGTTGCTGAGGACGATTCTGAAGCTGTGCTCTGCACCACAGTCTTAGTCACACTATTGGTCAAAATCACAACGCTCGTCTGAAGTCCAGGGGGTTCCAACCCAACTGGCCACTCAGAAGAACAGGCTTTTGACAAAGAAGAGGCGTTACAAAAAGTGGTGGCCCGGCAGAGATTTGTGGTTCCAAGTCCTCCTAATCATGCTCTCGCGCCGTACATTTCATGTTTGATTCAAAGTGGACAACAGTACGCGTGCGCCGCCGCAAACAAAATTTCAACTCACCTGTCCTGTTGTTGAGCTTGCTGGTGCCGTGCTGGTACCGGACGGAGCGACCTCATTCAAGAGAATATAGCCAAACAAGCCGGGTCCACCGCAGTCTTCGGGAGTCCAAGCTGGGCAAGGTGTATTACACTTTTTGGTGTCGACTACCGAGCCTTGGTCGGGATAATAGTTTGAGCACCAGCACGAATTCTGTTGTGTGATGGAGAAGGCGTAATTTTTCTTCATGCAAAACTGTGTACAAAGTCCGTTGGTTTGGTATATGCTGACGTCTGTGGAAGAGTTAGATGATTGGTCTTGTTGCCCTATCCACCACTGGCTGACTTACTCAACGGCGTTTGGGCCGTGTTGAAACTGGCACAAACATTAAGTTCTATAGCAGAAACTAAGGTTGAAAAGGCCAGCACCAGGAGAACCAAGTAGCCCTGTCGCAGGGCATTGTTCCTAAATGAGGCCATGGTGGATATTTGCAAGAGTCGAATTGGTGGTGTATAGTTGATCTCAAAGGTGCAGACTAAAGAGCCATGCAAACTTGAAACACGCTTTCCCTTGAAAGTCGGTTGATGACGTGACTTCCTTTCCCTTTTGTTTCTCTTTCCCAGTTTTTTTTTTTAACGTTTCCTACAATGTTTCTGTCGATCAGATGGCTTCTCAGAAACAAGCCATAACCGCCTTTCCCGGTAGTTTATCAAGCCGCGTCCAGTGCTGGACTCGTCCGGTGCGCAACAATGGAGAGGCAAGAGCACCAATATCTGCTCTCTGGTATCGTACCCAAAATCGATATTATCGAATAAATTGCGCAGTAGTATTGATGTGAAAGCTACGCAGCTGAGTCGGTGTGGGATATGTCTTGGTTGGAAACCTGGGAGGACGTTGTTCAAATCAGAGACACAACAGCGGCTTTGAAGGCAAAGAAATTGAACACTGGAATGCTTCGATAACAAGCGTGACGCTATCGTCGAGACCAGGACAGCCGTGAATTTTCGGTGACTGGCGACAATGGCGACTGGAATGTGTGGCTCGAACGCAAACAGGCCGTAAAAGTGTTTGCAAGCGGTGCAACGATCCAAAGCAGCACCGAAGAAGGCGGGCGAGATGAATAGTGGCAAAACACACAAGGCCGCTCGCAGCACCCAACAGGGATTGTACCAAGACCCAAAGATTTCCAAGAACAGAAATCGAATATTATAGAAAAAAGAAGAAAAGAAAAGTAAGAAAAAGAGAAAGAAAAAGAAAAGGCTCCAAAAAAAGGAGGATAAGATGGGCGGCAAGCAAGCGGAGACGAGTAAAATATCTTAAGCTAGAGACTACCGCGGCCGCCGTTTATTCTGCTGAGAGATGCCAAACCACTCTGGGAGATGATCAACAAAAGCTGGCGGTCGGGTGCGGCTGAGAAGCGACGGCGAGAGGCGAATGGCTGCAGCAGCGAGGCGTTTCTTGATGGGGGAGAGTTCCAGCCAGTTAAGCAGAGGAACGACTCGAGGCGAGGTTGGAGATGGGAGAAGAGAGGAGGAGAGGAGAGAGGAGGAAAAAGAGTGCAGGTAGGTAGAGTGAGGTAGTATTATGGAGGTTTGCCTGTCTTTGGCGTTGGCTGGAAGGCAAAGTATCCGGTACAAGGCCCAGCTGCAGGCCCTCTTAGGCACAGCTCCCTTACAGCAGCCCCGGGAAGATCAGGCCCGAGCGCTGCAGTGACAAGTGACTTGGCTTTTTTTTTCGGGGTGATCCAGGATGGCCTGAGGGACAAGTGATGATGGGGCCGAGAAGAACCTGCAGCAGGGCTACCGTTGCTATGTACATTGTATGTGTGTTTGCGCTTGTATGAGGTGAAGCTAGAAAGCACATGAATCATATACCATGTATTCCTGCTATTCTGACAAGTACCTGCTAATCTATAGAGGGATGAGACGACACCTGGATGGCTCTATCTTGGTAGATACCTAAGCCAAGGTCTAAACACCCGGTGCTGGGGCACACCGGACACCACAGCTCGTCGCAGGTACCGCTACTTGCTTGGCTATCGCATGCCCCTGGCCCATGGCGTCACTGGGGCGCCACGGGGCAGCAGATGGCGGCATCTTGCCCAGCGGGCTAACGAGACGCCAGCGCCGCTAGAGGCCGTGCGGAGGGTCGCAAAAGCAAGCCACAGTGGATGCGCAGTTTTTGGCTGCATGGGATGCTGGGCTTGCGCTGCTTTGGGCCTCCGTCTGCGATCGAGCGCTGCGATCTTGCAAAATCCATCCGACGAATGCCTGCACGGAGCAATGTACAGTACCGGCTAGCAGCATCACCAACTCACACACACTCACGCAAAGTACGGGCAGTGGGAGGCGATATACAATGCCGCACTCGCATGGCATACAAGTATCATTGCACATCACCCAAGCTCAAGCCACAGTTATTTATATCAGAGCTACCAGGGCCGGTGGCGCTATAGCCTATCAGCCTGTAAGTGTACTGGAGATGCCGCCAGATGTGCCATATTTGCGAGTGGGCAGCAGGGGATACAAGCTGCAGCGGCTCTGTTGTTGATAGTCCATGACGCGATTATGAGCACAGAGAGCAGAGCCTGCATAAGAATCTTTATGCATGGGTTGGATTGCATCACAAACCTCTCATTCATCCACAAAGAGGGACGAATGCCCGGATGTATGTAATTTCGTGCCCGTAGCTGTACTTCTAGCGGACTCGAGGAGACACTTATAGGCGGGTTGACACGATGTGCATCCAAGCGTTCTTCATCTTCGTCAGCTGAAACGGCACAACAAGGCCCGCCGAGCTGATGTTGAAACTTTTACTAGACTATCTTGGACTGACACGACAACTATCAAAATGCCCATCAACTGACTCTCCAGCTCGGGGGGCCCCAAAATACTAAGACAGTGGATGGCGCTGAACTTTCGGTCCATACCGTCAGCAGCGCCCGTGTCCGAGAACGCCTAAACAAAACAACCAGGACAGGTACTGGTACCTGCACCCGCGCTGCCACGCCAGCACAGCTAGTGCTACAGCTAGTGCCGGTTGCTTATAGCAGGAGGTGGCAAGGAGCCACAGCGTCCCAACCAGGCAAGTCGCATTGCTAGCAGCTGCCTTTCGACACCTTGTTTCTCGATGCTGTCTGTCAACCGCGTCCGCCATCGCCAGAGAGCGAGACGAACGAGCTCAACAGGCCGTTCGTTTCCTGCTGCTCCATCCCGGGCCGCCAAAGTCACAATTGACCGCAGGCCCCATCGGTACCGAGCCACAGGCCGCGAATGCCGCTGGCTCGTTCGCTGCATGCAGAGGTCACGGCACAAGACAATACGAAACCCCTGTGGCCGTCGAATACGAGGCAAAAAGATGACCGCGTGTGGGTTGCTGCTCGTACGGCAAACGTGTGCTAGCAACCGCCCTCGGCCATGGCCAGTGTGGCTCAATCGCCCAATGACGCGGAAGAGCTCAGCGCACGTCGCTCTGCGCTGTCTGGGGCCTTGACGATTTTGACGGCCGTGGACCCAAAGCTGCATCGGACATGTGTCCACCCACACACACGCACATTCGCTTCGGCCTGCGCTATGCCGCTCGGGGCATGTATCATGGATTGGCCTGGACGACTAGCCTCACCCAACTGAGATACGATACGAAGAGGACGGGATCACGCGGTTAAAGAGAAAGAGAACGCGAGAATCAGGGAGAGATAAGCAGAGAGCAAGAATATCGCGGACGATGCCGTGGTCCGGTGGTGGCAATCGCTGCCATTGCAATTGACAAACCCAAGCTCGATGACAAACACACACTTCTTTGCAATGGGCGATCCACCAAGCCAGACAGGACAAGACAACGTTGGGACGATCAGGGGGACACTCTCGAAGCTTTGTCACCTCTTCTCGCCTTGCACACCGGCAGCCCCAAGAAAAAAAAAAAAAAAAAAAAAAAAAAGCTTCTCAAGTCCGTCCATGACGATGATAATTTTGGATGCACGGGAAAGCAGGGACCAGGGCTTCTGCTTGAGAGTGGGGATGGTGGCACCGCATGCCTGACCCGGTGGCCTTTATTCTTCTCTTTTCGCTGCTACGGGCTACAGATGCCGCTTGATGACTCTTTGCCCCTGTAGACTTGGATCGACACGAAGTACCTGCTACTCTGCAAGTGCACGATTCAGACCGGCGCAGCCGTACGAAGTAGCACTCGTACTTGAGGAGATGGTTCCGCTGATTTCAAAGGGAACGCCTGACACACATGCATCAGATACGACTGGGACGGCAGTCGAATGCCCCAGACACTTGACTGCCTCGAATCCTTTCTTATTTGGCGGTCAGCTAAATGCAACGTGAAAGTGTTCAGTATCTATACATCTACAAGTATAGTCAATCCGCGGGCCTTGGCTGGTCGCATCGGAAACATACTCACCCCGCGCTGGCGCCCTTGATTTCGCTCACGCCGATGAGCCACACTCAGCTCGTGGGCCCATCGATCTTTATTCTGATTGACAAAGTGATGAAACCGATCGCTTTTCCAGAAAGGAAACTACGCTGAGAAGAGTCGCTATCCAGCTGCCGTCTTATGTCAGCCGCTTTATATACACATTTCCTTACCATTCGGCTAAGAAGAGAGCAAGGATCGCAGCTCCATGCTCACACGAAGCGTTGTGTATGTACTTGCTAAAACCACCAACACGTCGACATGTGTTCCCCGCAGTCGTCTTCAACTCGCCCAGTACGGAGTCCTGTAGGTCCTATCTGCGAGCAATTGGCGAGCTCTCGGCAAAATAAACATGAGAGCCCCCCCCCGCGACCCACGCGTCCTTACATACAGCCACAAAGTCCCATTGCAGGATCCTGTTTTGGGAGGGCTGCTTGCCTGCATTGGCCAATTGTGGGCAGCCCCCACGGTTCGTCTTCCCCTCACCCCAACCTCCTTCACCAGCCTCCCATATGCGCAGCCTTCGCAAAGGGAAAAAGATGGTATTGTGTGAGTCGAGGCACCGTCCTGCAAGCTTGTTGTAGGATTTCTGATTCTGGCGGTGGACCAAAGGTAGCCTGGCAGAACAAATCACCCTGCTAGAGTAAGACTACTGCGCTGTACGTCGGATGTCACGGCGTTGACTCTCTGAGTTGATCGGCGTTGATAAGCGGTCGAACCGGGACCGCGCCGTCGAATCATATCATACGATGTGCTTGACTTGAACGCGCTGTGGAGTGTCTATGCGCATGCAGCAGGTGATTCTTGGTAGGTATTGAACAATCCTTGAGTATGAAGACGAAATTCTTGTCCAAAATCCAGCATAGGGGACCACTAGTGATCGTATTGATTTTTGCTGGATGCTTGGCACCCGCATGTCAAGGCAAAAAAAGTGGTGCAGCATCTTGGGGGAGAAAACAGAATCTCATCAAAAAGGGCATATCAAGACTCTGCCAGTCTTCGGCAGAGTGACTCCGACTCTCAACAAAAGCATATGGAATTGAAATATCTTCGGCTATCTGAGGTCAAAGGATGACGCCTTGTCTGCCGATCTATAGGTCAAAAAATGATCGACAAGCTAGGAAGATGGATCTTTGTTATTGGGAGCAACCGCGCCGGGTGTTTCAAAGGCCGACATCTGCCAATTGCCATGCGAATAGCAGACGCTTGAGCCACCTGGATCGAGAAATTTTTTCTCCCCTCACGCGCATGTACAAGTGTGAGATGGAGGTAAAGCTCCATGTTTGTACATATTGTGATCGATGATGCTTTGTATGGTGGGTTATGGCTCCATACCGTTTCATGCCACATTTGTTGGCATCACATCACCTCACATTTCCTGTTGTGCATACAGCTAAGTGCGGTGACCAATTGGCTGCCTACAATTGCCTTTGGAAAATTCGATTCTAAGAAAGCTGTCCACAGTTGAACGATGCTAGCGCTGCTGCTGCTGATACAGGCTAAAACGAAGCTCCGCGACTGGCGGGCTATAGTTGTTAAAAGTATGGAGCAGCCCTAATCGAGACACGCGCGCCCACTGAGCCGGAGCAAATGGTTCGAGCCAGTCTATATTATGAATCTGCTGAGTCCATTGGATTTTGGCTTCCCGTTGGCTGTGAATGAATGTCTTGTGAGCGCGTGCTCAATTGGGACAATAGAGGAAAAGTGCTGTCATCGTTGTACCCGTCGGGGACAGATCTTTGAGAGGGAAGTGGTAGTCTTATTTACTGCCATGATGTCTTGCCGATTCTCAACTCTCCCCTGGCTTTTGAGGTGGTGATATTGCATCCCCTCATGATTGCAGACAATACTGTATGTGTCCGACTCATGCTCGGTGGCTTGGCTCTTCAGCTTGTACAAAGCAGCCGAAACTGCGAAAAGCTTCTGCTGTAATAGCTCAAAGCTTCACGTGTGAGCCTCCCCCTTATTACTCTGAGCCATTACAGTGGAATCCACCGACGAGGCTTGCTCGCTCCAGGGTCCATCCCTAACGTGCACAAAGTCTAAAGCAGAGGGACCCAGCAAATGGCATTTTAGTCTGCAAATCTTGGGGCCGAAGTTCCCTCGCGGCGCGCGCCAAATCAGCGCCCGCGAATACGAGAAGCCGCTTTGACTATTGACGACGAGGGCCTACTCTAATTTGCGGTAGCGCTGTGGATAGATGGCATTTCAGCTGAGATGGACAAAACCTTGGACGGCAACTGAGCTGAGGCCCCAGATTTACCGCTCGGTGGAAAGGATGGATATGGAGGAAGAGTTGGTGCTTGACACTGGAGCTAATGAGGGCAGTTGACGGCAGTGAAAAGCCAAAGCGGCGTGTAGTTGCCAGATTGAGAATTGAGCCTCGTATCCCCTTGTTCAAGTAGGATTTCCGTCAGACGCAAGGGAGGGTCGGGAATCCACAAAAAGGGGCATCAAGTGAGATCTGATAAGCAACGAGGCGTAGCAATTGGATCTTTGATCAGCGATCAAAAAGAGGTGATTTTGGGCTCTTGTAACGTTTGATAGCGCTTGCCGAGCAGGATAGTTTAAAAAAAAGAAAAATCGCGGTCGGCTTGGCAGAATTATGGGGTTCCCTTATGCTTGAGAGAATCATGAGCTGTGTCGATGTCACGTTCGATTTGATGTGAGTTGAAGGTTTATTAGGTGAAGTTGACAGGGTTTGTTTGGTGGTGGTGGCTGATTTGCGGCTTGCCGTTTTTTACTGCTTCACACGTGGGATCAATTGGTGGCACTGATGAGTCGGCTCGAACCTTGAAACGCTTAAGAGCACGTTTGTGGACGAATGGCCAGAATTGCGCTGAAGAGGAGGGGCAAAGATAGGTCAAAGGAAGCCCCTGAGCGATTTACTTGATTTTTCTACTGGTGGCATCAATGAAATCGACTGTATTCCAGCAAACAGCGAGGCTGTAGCAGCGGAATTGGTGCTTGCAGAAGGGAACCCCCCGGTGATGTGCCCGGAGCATCTTCGGCCCCGATCCTGCTAAGAATATCCATCCTCCGGTTACGCGCGGCACCGCACCGCATCGCATTTGCATTGCATCATCATCTAGTATCCGAGACTCTTGTTTTGCTCTTTTCTGCGGCCAGACAACCGCGAGCACTCGGGCCTGCTGGCGAAACCCGCAATTCGAGACCTGGAAATACAAAGAATCGGCGTGTGTGTCTATTTGTTCTGTTTGCTCGCTTGTCTCACCGTGCGTGTGTGGTCTTTGACTAACACTCTTGCTTGATTACCCCAGATATCGCCCTCCTCCGATGCGGGTCATTGCATGTGACTGGTTGCGATAGACGGGCCTTGTGTCTGAACAACCCCCTTGCTTTGCGCACACCGACCGTTGCATTGCAATTGGACGTCGAGGCGAGAGACTGCCATCAGCAGCACCGCTAGAAGCGAGATTGAACTGCCGGTATCGCACACGCACCACGCAAAACTGCCGCCATCATGGGCGCAATATCACTCCCCATCAAGGCCCTTGGCCCTCCTCAGCCTCGTCCCCCTCGTCGCCGCCGCCTCTCCTCCAGCCTCATGGCCTTCGTCCTCCTGCTCGCCGCGGCGCTCTTCTACGCGCTCGTCTCCCTGGGCGGGCCCTGCACCGCCGGCGCCACCTGCTACCGCGGCTACCAGTCCTTCTACAGCTTCGACGCCGGCGACGAGAATCACTCGGCCTGGATGGCTGCCATCCCGGATGACGTGCACATCACGAGCCTCAGCATCCCCGGCACGCACGACACCATGACGTACGAGATTGGCTCGGAGCAGCTGCAGTGCCAGAACTGGAACCTGACCGTGCAGCTGGAGAGCGGGCTGCGCTATCTGGATATCCGCGCGAGGCTGCGCAATGATGAGCTGCACATCTACCATGCGAATGGGTATACGGGCTTTGGCTACGAGCAGGTCTTGCTGGATATCTTTGCCTTTTTGGACAGGAACCCTTCCGAGACGATTCTCATGCGGCTGAAAGAAGAGGGCAGTCCCATCGGCCCGGACAACACAATTTCCTTTGAAGACGCCTTCAACTATCACCACTTTGCGTCGCCCCTCACCGCACCGGGATCCAAGAAGCATCTGTACAAATACGACTTTGCCGCTCCCCTCCCTACACTGGGCGCGCTGCGCTCCAAAATCTTCATCCTGCAAAACTTTGACTCCCGCGACGGTCCCTACGGCCTGCAGTGGGAAGGCCCCGAAATGGTCCTCGAGGATCTCTGGATCATCCCAGACGTGTACCACCTCTCGGAGAAGTGGTCCGCCATCCGCGACGCGCTCGAAAACGCCGCGCTGGCGCCCGACGACAATCGCTTCCTGTACCTGGCGCACACGTCGGCCTCTGTGGGGGTTTTGCCCATTGAAGCTGCGGCGGGGCCCATGAACAGGACCATTCAGGGCATGAATGACATGACGGGGCAGTATCTTGAGGATGCGTCTGGCAATGTCGACGAGGCGAGGGTCGGCGTGGTGATTATTGATTTCCCGGGGAGGAAGCTGATTGGCACGATTTTGAAGTGGAATGTCTGGCTGAGGGGGAGGAAATGAATGAATGATTGGACTGTTGTACTGCTACTGCTACTAGCACTATGGCTGCTGGTATCTGCGAGTGGGTTGTTATTTTTTGCATTCTTTTACTGAGACATGGCGTTTGATTGATTTGGATGGATATGCATACATACATACTACGGACTACTACTACTACTACTACTACATAGGACGATTCACAGGCAGCATTGGGAATGATTTAGACGCATCAAGGATTGGAATTTAACGCAGACTATTGTCAACTTTTTTTTGCTTGAATATTTCCCAAGATAACACACTCATATATATACTCATACGCACATACATACATGCCCATCACCCTAGATACATTTGCTCATTCTCTCCACTGTCCATCCCATCCTGTCAATCCCGTCCATCCATCCGTCCCATCCACAAAACCGTCCTTTCCATCTCTCCATGCTAGACTATATACATACATGCCAATAACAGCACCATTAACTTGCCAAAAATAAAGAACGCTCAGTTACACTTCCAAACGAGAGGGTGGTATGATCAACTCCATATGTCTCCAAGCCATCCCATATATCCCAACGTATGTCCCTAAGATATCCCTTGAAAACAAAACAGATAAAAAGAAATAGAAAATCGCCTCAGCCCCCAATCCTAAAGACCCCTCTTCTCCTAGCCCAGTCCCCCCTCCTTTTTCACATTTTATTCCTACTGATGCCGTCTCAGTTGCTCTTGACTCCGCATAGACTTTTTGCTCTTGATGCTTCGCAATGCTGGCGTTCCTGACCTGCTCACTGAAGGGCTGTTGTCGTTACTATTGCTGGCGCCGAAACTCTCGATGCGATCAACCATCTGCAGCACTCTCGTCTTGGGACGCTCAAAAGTCATGGCTTCGGCCGTATACACGCTCGCTGATCTAGCAAACGACACATCTGTTGCGATAGAGAGCGGTCTCTCACTTCTGTCGTCCCGGTCGCTCCTCTCCTCGTAATCGTCCTGGTTGATTCTCAGGAAGCCGTCGTCGCGATCTCCCTCATCTACAGGTACACCGCCGCCTTCGTCATCCAGATGCGAGCTGAGCTTGCTGGCGCTACGAAGCGAAGGATCGATTTGCGATGACCTCTTATCCATATCAACCAGCTCTGCCGTCTGCGGCATGTGGAGAGGTATTCTTTCGTCGGTGCTGGTTCCATCGTCAAAATCTTCGCCATTCACGACACGAAGGCGCTCCTTGGGGACTGTGAACATGACCTGCACAAGGCGGTTCTCCACAGCCCTTTCAATGTCCCATTCGTTTTCTCTCCCCGCAGCACTGCCAGCTTCCGCACCTTCCCAGTCTTGGCGGCCTTGCTTCCTTCTAAGAATCTCGCTACCTATGGCTGTGAGCGGTGTCTCATAATCGTTGCTCAGCATATCCGTCGATATTTCTCTCTGAGGAGACCTGTCTCTGGGAGATAATAAGTCGCCTGAATTAGACTCCGCGCCAGAAAAGACGCGTCTCAAGGAGCCTAGCCAATTTCGCCGAGGCTTGAATTTTGACGGTGAGCTGGGTGGCTCTTCATCGTCGAATGGACTTTGAGGCGTGGAACGACCGAGCAACAGGTTGGGGCCCTCCGCCTGCAAAGCGCCGAACCCTGATTTTGCTGTGTTGTAGCTGCTCGAAGAGGAGCTGCCTGGTTTGCCTGGCTCGGTGGTAGCTGATGAGGCACCCCCAAAAGCACTGGCAACAATCGCGGACCATCGACCGGAGCTGGATCGTCCCAGACCATCTCCCCCACTACGATTCGATTCCGATAGAGCGGAATCGGTGCGGAGATCTTCGTCTCGCATGCCAGTCGAACGCTGGGAGTTTCGCCTCATGGGAGACCCACGACCCTGGCCTTGGCGTGTGCTATTATATCTCGCCAACATCGCATCGGCGGCATCAACATCAGAAACCCAATCCTGCACATCCGGATCGTGTTGAAATGAGCTATCTGGGTTTGGATCAGCGGTGCTTTGTCCAGGAGGCGGTGGCTGGAACACTGGGAGAGCCCCTGAAGCCACGGCAACGGTTGGTGTGAGGAATGGATCAGAGTATGCTTCCGAGGTGGGCGTAGTGACTTCGATAGGATGAACACGCTGATGAGCCAAGTCTTCTTCCTCATCCTCCATGATAGGGTGGATTTGACCAGGAGTAGGCATGAAGCTATTCTGAGTATTCGCCGGCATATAACCGCCACGAAGCTGCCTAGAGACTGGCTTTCTCGCAACTCCAGGTACGACCGGTGCATAGCCGCCATATGAGCCGCGCATGCCCTCGTACCCGAGAGACCGATCATCTCCGCCAAGCTGATACTGATCTTGCCCATTGGAATACCAACTGCGATAGCCCCATGGAAAGTTATCATCCCGCTGAGCCATCTCGGACGTATCGTGGACAAACATGCTCGCGTCCTGGGCCATGGCCCTGATCGTCTCTTCGCGAGCAGCTCTTCTCCTCTGTCTCTTACGCCAACAGAAACAACCGGCGACAGCCAAGATAATAAGGAGAGCTCCGCCACTAATACCAAACCCAAGACTCAATCCTAGGATTTTTGACTTGGCTGCATCACTTGTCGAGCTAGAGGTATCGCCGCCGGGGGTCTTACCAGGGGTCTTGCCTCCCGTAGGATTGCTGTAGGTGGTCGACCATGTCATGTCAGTCAAGTTTAAGAACTGCGGCGAGGTGGTGACGCTGGATTGTCGCTTCACTTTGCTTGACGAGCTGGAACCGCCAATCTGCCACCCTCCATATGCCATCATGATGTTTCCCGGCAAGATGGCCGCCCCGTGCCCATAAATGCCACTGCCGCCAAAGTTGGGCTGCTGCTTCGGTACGGTCCATGCCCAGGAGCTATATGTTTCGCTCATCTCCAGCACTACAAGTTGTGGATCCGCCGCGGTATTCACATCACCGACCCAGCCTCCCATAACGATAATTGAGTGTCCATCTGCGCTCAGTATGGCCGTGTGACCAGATCTGCTGTCTACGCCGTCGGCATTATCGGCCGGCTGCTGAATGTTGATATAGGACCAGGATTCTTCGGGCAGACTCCACACAGCAGCGGTACTCATGTTAATGAAGGCTTGCTGGGTGTGGCCGCCGATGACAACATACGCGGTCTGCTGTGTGACCGTGCCAGAGTTATTGCTCATTGAGCTCTGCAATGCGGTGAGGCTGAATCCGGCAATGGGCGTTTTAGGCCCAGTGCTTGACGCGATGCCTTGGACGTAGGATTTTGAAGAAGGGCTGCTGTCGGTCGGGGTAAGCGTCATCATACTCGTGGTATAGTCTGCCTCGGCCTGCCAACCGGTCGAGTTGTCCGAGGGCGTATCGCACATGCCGCCATAAGTATAAATCGTCGGCTCGTCGAGCGAAGGGGCCAGTGTGGCCGAAAAAGCAATTGTTCCGCCAAGGAAATACGGCCCTCTTGATGCGCTCTGCTTCAATTTACCCAAAGTGGTTGCCTGCTTTACCCACGTTGCATTACCGCCATCTCCCTCCCCGTAGGTCCAAACGTTTCCTGGTCCCTGATCGCATGCTCCAGCATATGCCAGTACGGAGCCATCTTCGGTTCTTACAGCGCCAAATGCCGCGTTGAGCGGATTGCTTCCGCCCAAGAAGGGTAGATATGTCGATACAAGATTCAGCTTTGTGTCTGCGCCAATCGTGCTCGAAATGTTGAGTGATAGGAACTGTACGTGATCGTCGCTGTCTTGGGTGAAGATGTAGGCTACGTCCGCTCCGTGACATGTACTCTGGTTGAAGCACACACTGGGCGTAAAGATCTGTGTGGGATTATATGGAAAGGTATGCGCAGTGGCCACCAACGGAGCTCCCAAGAGCAGCGCCGCTGTCAATAGTCGGCGCAAAGGCGGCGCCAGTCGTGGCGTTGCGCGATGCGGCTTCGCGCGTCCGCGAGCAAATGCCTCTGGTAGCACGGCCATTGATCGATTCCGCCTCGAGATGCCGCTTCGCTCCTCGAATTCTTTTCTGGTGTTTTCGCTTGAGTTTGATTGCCCTGTTCGTTTTGTCGATCATATCATCGTGGCATGTCGATCCTTGGCAGGCTTGTCGCAATCGTGACTCTTGACTTTTCTGTCCGGCTCTTCTTTTCAAGCTGCCGTTCACTTTCTCTCGTCGCCTTTTAGAATCGCATCCACCGTCTCAGCCAAATATCTGGCGGTGCTGGAGAAGCTCCTTCTCCCCACAAAGATCCAACCGAGTACTGTACGTATGGTACGTGCAGCAGTGATGGCGAAGAAGCCAAACGCGGCGGCCAATCGCCCCTCTCCCGCAAAAGAAGGTTAGAGATGCAGCTAAAGAATAAGGGAAGATAAAGTCAAATAAAAAGAAGACAATAGAATTTGTCCAGAACAAACCAGCCTTATTGCCTCGGCGCCAACACAACGCAGCATCCAAAGCAAAGCTTGAAAAGAAGCTCTGCGCCAAAGCGGCCGCGAAGAAAAAGAGAGGCCAAAAGCCAACAAAACAAGCGACGACGACGACGCAGGGACCTGGACCGGCTTTTGGCGGGCACAAAACAGAAAAAGACACCAACGCGGTGGGATGCACCCCGGCGATTAGCGTCACGAAGCAGAAGGAAGGCGCAGCAGCGGGTGGTGATTGACAGATTCGGAATCGTCCAGACAGGGGGGTAGGCGCGATAAAGGCGGAGGGAAAGAGCTAACATGGTTGCAAGCCCAGGCGGGCTGCAGGCGGCCGTGGTTGCCATACGGTAGGTACGACTGACGGGCAGCTGTCTAGGTAGATGGCGCCGTATACCTTACTTGTACATGTATCTGTCAAAATATGCTTCACATGGGACATGACAAGTGCCTGCCTTGCTTTGACTTTATTCTTATTCATCCAATTCAAACAAGACAACCCTACCTAACTGATGATTGCATACTACCTACGTACAGCAGCAGTAATCACCGCGTGTTGCACTTCGTATCTCTCTATTATGGACTATCTACTAACTAATGATGGCTCAATTTCCTTTCCATCCCCACCACCCCCGTTTTGTTGTCGTCGCCTGTTCGGCCGCCGTTGCCGGGAGCAACCAAAGCTTGGCCTCGCCACGGCTCTAGCGGGAGAGGGACCCGAGCTCTTTTTTGGTTTCCATGTAACCGCTACTAGGTCAGCCAACTGCTGTTTTGGGCGAATCTTAGCCCAGCCACCTACTACAGGTACGGACATGTGATGCTGCGAGGGGCTGGGGATAGCTGCGTGTGCAGTACTATGTATGTATTACGGCAGACACTGGTGTATATTGCAAGTAGTAGTAGCTATCGCGCATGATAAAACAGCCCCTGCAGCGAATAGATCGATGAGCTATGATGAGGTGCTGTAAAATGACGGCTGGGAAAGGCTGGCAGCTTATGCCATTGGCTGAGTCTTGCCCATCATACTTTGCTAATGCGTGTCTTTTTTACTTCTTTTTCATGCGCTGGCTCCATCCATCCGTTACTACTATGTATCAGGCTACAGCATCCAGCACACACACATTCACGTATCAGCAGTCTGTTGATTCGCTTCCCCCAGCCTGCCCATATCGTGGCCTGCTGCTCTTCGTCCGCGCCTTGTCTTGCACCACCATCGCCTCAGGCTCCACCTCTTCTTGGCCTGGGAAATGACAGAGACCCGCGCCACCGTCAACCACCGTCCACTAGTCAGAATTGGGGGCGGCAAGAAGAGACACTCAATAAAAACGAGCAAGCAAGCAGCATCCGGCAAACCTGTTAGCGCATCAAACCAAGAGAAAGGCTCCCTCATCCGAGACAATTCATCTTGTTCTCCATTGCTACTCCTATTTGTATCTGACATTATTAAAGCTCAGGACTGATGTGAAAAAAAAAAAAAAAAAAAAAAAAACTAAGAAAAAGATGCAAATAGCCTGCTTGTCCTTGTTGGTGGTGATACAACCAATGCCGGTTCATCTAATTCTGAGCTCCACCTCATGTCGTACTCCTTCAAAGAGTGTTATCATATTCAAGCCGGACCTTGTCCAAGCGACCAATAACACGTTATCTCGTAAACAAAATGTTATATCTTTATGGGTCTTTCTTCTCATTCCTCCATTAAAACCACCAGTGTATAGTATATATAACGATCTCAAAGAAAAAAAAAAAAAGCCAGCTATACGCCAGGCAGAATAAAAATTGAGGGGGTATCACGTAACAGGCCGCCTTAATAGTAAATCTTTTCTTCCCAAATAGGAGGTCGAGCTCCCTCAGAGTCCCACGTAATGTGGTTCTTCTCATCCAGCACCGCGCCCTCATCTGTGATTTGAATTACCTTGCTAGATGCAGCAACCTCAACCTTTGACAAGCCCGCGGGATCCGAGGGAATCCAGAGAATTGGGGCCCTGCTCGATACAGATGGTGGTAGGTATGCCTCTGCTGCAATCTCTTCGGAGTATTCGATCGGTTCCGCAAAGTGTTTTTCGGAAGTAAACCATTCGCGTAGTGTCGCGTAGTCGGCGTAGATCCAAGGCTTGAAGAATCTGAGAATGAAGTTGCCCTTGTTGGCGGGAACATTCGGCACCGCCTTGGTGCCAGGTGCTTTGCTCACGGTGTCCTCATTCGACAATTCATTGGTGACCAAGCCCTCCTCGGCGCTGGTGGCACCCTCATTGCCAGCGATACGTTCCTGGATGGCTTCCTCTTCAGCTTGAAGGCTGCGTGGCAGGCCGTAGAGGAGAGGATCAAGTGTTCTCGACAACGTAATGTGGAATAGAATAGTGAAGGCAAGGAAAATGGCCATAAGCACAGCAGGCCCAGCAGCCTTGGAGACGGCAAATAGACCAACCATGCAGATCTCGGCCAAGTAAATACCAGAAAATAGCTGCTTGAGAGCACGGGGATAGATCATGCCGTGTGTATCGATCTGAGTCTCCGTAACAAACAGGATATTGTATCGGTAGGCCAGATAGAACAGGCCCATGCCAAGGGATGACCAGAACAAGATCAAGGGAGCGATAACTGAGTATGTAATGCCTAAAAGAGAGAGCGTTAGCAGACGTAAAAGCTTACTAGGGCTATACAGGAGGGAACATACTAATTACAGCAATGTTGGTGTAAACAGGGAGAACGCTGCCCCAAGAAATGGCACTGAGGCTGGTCCACTTCTTGTACATGGCTCGAGGCGTCTTGGCCAAGAATTTGTACAGAAGCGTAAAGACGAAGAAACCGACAACTTGGGTAACAACGCTGGTGGCAATAGTGAGACCTTGGACGATAAAGTAAGAAATGTAGAAATTAGATGCCGTTGGCAGAGACGAGGAGAGAATGGTGAAGACCTGTCCCGGCTGTTGAGCAATCTGAACGAGGGCTGTCGAGGCTGCGTTGGTCAAAGTTTGGATCAAGAAGACCTGGATGAGTTGGAAGAAAAAGTACGAATTCTGAGTAAACAGTTCAACGCGGGACTGAGATACTTCGCCGGAAAGTCTGGCGCACAGTCGCATGATGACGGGAACCAACGACATGAGGATTGAGAGGGCCACTGCTGGGAGCAAACCAGACACGACTCCAAGAATGGGCTATCTTCTGATTAGCGCATGCTATAATAGGAACGAACGGCCCATCTATTGTGTTCTAAGATTGCTTACCTTGGGAATATCCGCAATCCAGGTCAAGCCTGGAATAGTCTTCAATGTGTTTACCTGGGCGATCAAACCAACAATGCCGACAGGAATAGCCCAGAAGATGATGAGAGCGGCGATGAAAGCGTACACCGCGTATCGGCGGATGATGATTTGCCACCAGGGGAGGGTCAAACTCTTCCAGACAATTTCTCCAGGCTGGACTCCAATGGCCTTGGGATCCATGTGCAGGGCTAGGTGATGAGTAACAGACTGGTAGGCGAACTGGGCGTCACCCTGGGTCTCGAATTCGACAAAAACAGCGCGGACCTTTTCGTAGTTGCCAGCTCGCCAGTCGGCCTGAGCCTTTTCAATCTCAGGGACCAGTCGCTGCAGCTCGGAACGGCTCCATTCGATAGTGTCGACTTTTTCGCCAACGAGACCAAGAAGGCCAAGACGGTGGTGCGGGCGTTTCTTGTCGGGAATCCATCGGGAAGCAATATCGCCAGTCTCAACATCGCCATCCTCGGTATTGGCAGATGCAGGGCCTTCGGGGTGAGTTTCTCCGCCCTCCTTCAGAGCTTTGGCGCGAGCCTTGTTAACTTCTTTCAGGAGACTAATCTCGCCCTTTTCAAGCTTCATAGCGGCATCATCTCGCTTCTCCACAAGTTCGTCGAGTTCATCCGTCTTGCCACAAACCCAGACGTTCTTGACCGCAGCAAACATTCTGCGAATGCGCTCCTCGCTGTTGTACTCATCCGGGACTGAAGTGAAGAGAACAGTACGGGCAGAAATTCGCTTGGCATAGTGCGGGTTGATGTGGTGAGCCTGTCGCAAGTTGATGTAGAAGATGCACTCGCGCGTGATCATGTACATGAGAAAGCCATAGACGGCCCAGCCAACAAAGGCATGGGCATAGAGGTAGTTCTTCTTGGTGTTGATGTCGACATTGCTGTAAGAGAGAATCTCGAGTTGGGACAACCCCTTGCCTCCGGTGGCGTTGACAGGGAAGAGAATGGGCCAGGTAATGAGAAGGCTGACAAAACAGATGACGAAGCAAATGCGTAGGTATCGGAGGAAGAGATAGGCGTCGAGACTCTGGTGGGTGAGAACATAGGCATCGGGAATCTTCCAGAAGGCGGAAACCCAAGTCAACAGATTGCTGGGTATACTTGGTGTCCGCTCACTACATGGGCGTCAATATCGAATTAAATCCCAACCTTTCTACTTGGCCTGAATGGTGCTACTCACTCTTCTCGCAATGATCCTAGGTATGTACGCGGCGCATAGTAGCGCCGTTGCGATCTTCTAAGAAATAGGAAAATGGCGATGTAGATGACTGATACAACTAGCACAGGAATC